GACAGGCAGCGACGGGCAACGCGTGTACTGCCGTGTCCGAACCAGCCAAACAGACCGAGAAGATGGAGCAGTCCAAGCAAATAGATCTGGCAAGGATGGCAGGGAGGGGCGAGTGCTGTCTGTGAGCATAGAGACGCTGATGGAGCGAGCAGAGCAGGAGCAGCTGCAGCGCGCCTTCCGCTTGTCCCACCTCATGGCCTCCTCCTCCCCTTCCTCTGCCACACCCTCTGCTGCTGCTCCCTCTCCTTCTTCTCAACCACTCTCTAAAGCAGCACAATCGGCGGCACCAGCAGCAGCAGCAGCAGCAGCGCCATCAGCAGCAGCAACACCTGCTGCAGGGGCAGCTCTGTGGGTGGATAAGTACTCTCCGCGCTGCTTCACAGACCTGCTCAGTCCCGAGCCCACCAACCGTGCTGTGCTCTCCTGGCTCAAGCAGTGGGACCGCTGCGTCTTTGGCGCTGCTGCTGCCTCCTCCCGCGCCCGCACTCACCCGGATACCATCGCTGCTCTGCGCCGATTGCCCCCGCCTGCTGCTGCTGCGGGGGCTGGTGGGATGGGCGGAGGGTTTGCCGGGGGACGCGGGGGGAGGAGGGGTGGGGGGTTTGGGAGAGGCGAGGGGGGAGGGTGGGGAGGAGGGGGAGGGGGAGGGGGGCGTGGAGGGTGGGGAGGAGGGGGAGCGGGAGGGGGAGGGGGGCGTGGAGGGTGGGGAGGGCGAGGTGGTGGGGGGGCGGTGGCGGTGGGACTTGGGGTGGGGATAGGTTTGGAGAGAGAGGGGGTGGTGGCAGGGAGGGTGGAGGGAGATGGGGAGGGAGGGGTGGTGCAGGAGGAGGGGGAGGGCGCAGTGGGATGGGGGGCGGCCGAGGGTGGAGGGGTGACAAGGAAGGCATGGGTGGGGGTGGCATGAGTAACAGTGTGGGAGCAGGCATGGGAGGGGAGAGTCTGCTGGGGAAGAGGGCGCGAGGAGAGACAGCAGGAGATAGACCGGAAGCAAGGGTGAGTGCATGGATGGGCTTTTTTAGTGGTCTGCACATCTGTGTGTTTGTGCGTCTGTGCAGTTGGTTTATTCGTGCTTTGGATTCACAAAAAACGCAGACGACAATGCTTGAGTCGGGAATCGGTATCACGGTATCACCTAGTGGTCCTCTCTCCACATGTGTGCTGCAGTGCAGGTGAAGAGATTCTGCAGCTGTGTGTGTGTGGCAGCGGGGCACTGCGGGTATGTCAAGTTCAACCACTCATGGATGTCAACTACCCTACCCGTGGCCGTTCTGCTGCCCCTCCTGCATCCAGCAGCCCCCCTCCATGCCCCCTTGCCTCCGACCCTCCTCACCTCCCCACATTTCTTCCCCTCCTCTTTCTTGATCGTCCTTTCTCTTCCTTGCCCTCCATGACCCTCACGCGGTGACTGCAGATTCTGCTGCTGTGCGGAGCACCAGGGTTGGGCAAGAAGACGCTAGCGCACGTGGTGGAGGTGGAGGTCAACGCCAGTGGCCGACCGCTGCACTGCCCCTCCTGCATCCAACCTCCCCTCCTTTTCCCCTTGCCTCCTACCTCCTACCTCCCTTACCTTCTTACCCTCTTACCACCCTCCTCTCTTCCGCTCCTCCCTTCTTCACCCTCCTCCCCACCACCCCCTGCCTGTGCCCCCCACGTGTGGCTGCAGATCCTGCTGCTGTGCGGAGCACCAGGGTTGGGCAAAACAACGCTAGCGCACGTGGCAGCGCGGCACTGCGGGTACCGAGTGGTGGAGGTGAACGCCAGTGACGACCGCGTCGCCTCCTCCCTGCGCCAGCGCATCGTGGACGCCGTCGAGATGCGCTCCGTGCTCGCTTCCGCTTCAGCAACTCCCGCCAGTGCATCTGGCGCTGGTGCTGCCACTGCTACTGCCACCGGTGCTGACTCCCGACCTAACTGCCTGGTTCGTGTGCTCATTCACTCACGCTCCCTGCGCCAGTTTTGAGGCGCCTCAAAACTGCCTGGTTCGTGTGCTCTCTCACTCACTCTCCCTGCGCCAGCGCATCGTTGACGCCGTTGAAATGCGCTCCGTGCTCGCCTCTGCTAATTCCTCTGCTTCTGCCTCTGCCTCTGCCTCTGCTTCTGCTTCTGCTACTGCACCGTCCTCTTCCGCGTTGCCTTCCAAACCTGGTGGCGCCGCTGACTCCCGACCCAACTGCCTGGTCCGTGTGCTCACCCACCCACTCGCCTGCTCCTCACTCACTCTTTCTCACCCACCCGCTCATCTGCTCACTCACTCACACTGTTGAGCTGCCCCTGCCTGCGCTTGGTTCTGCCAATTGCACAAACAATGGGTTTCCGTGCTCGCACGAGAAATGAGGGCGTTTTTGAGTTGAGACGTCTCAAAAAACTGGCAGCGCTTGGTTCGTTCAAGTGCGCAAACGAATGAGTTTCCGTGCTCGCACGTCTGCCTGCAAACTCTGCAAGGCCACACGCATCACCCTCACCTGCAACACTGTCTCACTCACCCCCCCATGCCGCCTGTCATCCTCTCTCCCACATCCCATCCCCGTCCGGGCTCGCCAGGTGATAGATGAGATTGATGGGGCCTTTGCTGATAGTCAACTCGTTTTGATGGGTCTCAAAGCGTAACCATTATCAATTTGCAATGCAACACTGTCTCACACAACCCCACACCACCTGCTGCCCTCCCCCCCACACATCCCATCCCCGTCCGGGCTCGCCAGGTGATCGATGAGATTGATGGGGCCTTTGCAGGAGCTGAGGGGAGAGGCGCTGTGGATGCGCTTGTTGAACTGGTGCGTCCTGCTGCTATCTCCCGCTCTCTGTCACTCCCTCTATCTCCCCCCCTTGCCCCTACTGCTCTCGCTCTCCTCCTGCTCTTGCTCTCCGTCCTTGACTCCCGCAAAATGATCTCTCTCCTTCTATCTAAGCGCCAAGCGCTCGCCCACATACACATGACCCACAGCAGACATCCTCTCTCTTCCACACATCCACTCATGTTAGTCCCAACCTTTCTCATCCTCCCATGTCCAAGCTGACATGAAAGAAGTGTTTTGGGACGTCTCAAAACTCCTCCACACATTCACATGTTATCCCCAACCTTTCTCATCCTCCCAGGTCCAAGCTGACATGAAAGCAGCAGCCTCTGCTGCAGCAGCAGCAGCATCTGCCCCTCCAATAGGGAGCGACGACGAGGATGACGAGGGCGGGTCGGATGGAGAGGCAGCAAGCAGAGGGGGAGGGCAGGGGAGGGCGCGAGGAGGAGGGAAGTTCAGGAGGGTGAGCAAGGAGGGAGTGCCTAGAGCCAGCGGGCCCAAGAGGATCCGCAGGAGGAGAGCGTCTGGGAAGGGTGGTGCTGCTGTGGTGCAGCTGAAACGACTCAACCGACCGGTAAGTCTGTTTTGAGGTGGCTCAAAAAGAGGAGTTGGAGGAGGAGAGCATTGGAGAAGGGTGGTGCTGCTGCCGTGCAGCTGAGGCGACTCACCCGACCGGTTAGTCAGCTTGCCTGGGCGGGAGTGTTTTTCTGTATCTCTGTGAGGTCACGGCATTTGGTCCTCTGCTCTGCATTTAAACATACTCTCGGTCATTTTTGTTTTCCGTTCCGTCTATTACGGCACGTGGTGCTGCTGCAGGTTGTTTTTGAGAATTCTCAAAAGCAACCTTTTTTCCATTCGGTGCTGAGGCGACTCAACCGACCGGTTAGTCAGCTTGCCTGGAGTTCTCTGTTCGCTGGAAGATCTCGGCATGGATGTAGCGGTTGAGTTGACGCAAAAGCCATTGGGACGTCGCAGCATACGAGCATGTTATCAAGCGCCTCAGAACTAGATCACCTGAATTGAGATGACCACCAGAGGCACCTCCATTAGAGCCTCTGCCTTTTCTTTTCTCACGACCCTTTCCCCTCCCCCCTCCCCCTTCCCTCCCATTTTCTCTCCCTATACGTACACATACACATGCGTGATGGTGGCAGATCATCTGTATCGCTAACGACCTCGTGAAGTGAGCCTAGTTTTGAGTCGACTCATAACACGGCTCTTTGCCCTCCCTCCCTCCCATTTTCTCCCCATACACGTACACATACACATGCGTGATGGTGGCAGATCATCTGTATCGCTAACGACCTCTATGCGCCTGCTCTCAGGCCTCTGCGCTCCGTGGCAGAGTAGGTCGAAGTGGCAGGTGGCTGATGGCGAGGAGAGAGAGGAGGGAGAGGGGAGAGGGGAGGGGGAGAGTATGGCAGGGTGTGACCCCTGAGCATGGTTTGTAAGCATGACCTCTATGCGCCTGCTCTCAAGCCTCTGCGCTCCGTGGCAGAGTAGGTTGGGGTGGCGGGGGAAGGGGCGAAGGGAGAGGAGTGAAGGGGAACGAGTTAAGGGGAGAGGGTGTATGGGTGGGAGGTGAGTGGAGGGGAGAGGAGTGAAGGGGAGGCGAGGGGAGAAGAGGGAGTGTCACGGATTTCATCATTTTGTTCCAGTGCATCTTCTGCTGGGTTGACTCAAAAAAGCACCTCTCTTTCTGCTTCTTCCCGTTTTCTCCTTCACTGCCTGTGCACGCTCCAAATGGCTGTGCATGCATGGATCTCTATGTGTGTGTGTACGCCATGTGCATTTGGCTGTGCATGCATGGATCTGTGTGTGTGCATGCATGTACACATGTGCATGTGCATGTGCGTGTGCGTGTGTGGGTACGTGTGCATTTGTTGTGTGTTGACCACAGGGTACATGTGTTCCAGCCGCCAACCACCAACAGAATCGTCTCAAGGTAACCCCACTCTGCACTCTCCTCCCACCTCCACCCCATCCCAGCCCTCTCGCATTCCCTGCTGCCTGCAGCCCTCCACCCCACCCCCATCCCTCTTCCTCCTACTCTTCACGGAACATTTTCTCCCACGTTCTCGTCCCCAATTCCACTCGTTCACTCGCCCCCCCTTGGCCCTCTCCCCGTGTTCTCCTCTCACTACATCCATCTCTCGTATCCCACCTATTTTTGAGACGCCTCGAGAATATACTCACTCTTTCCCGATGCTCTCCTCTCACTACATCCCTCTCTTGGATCCCGTCGCCCGCCCCTCTTTGTGCTTCCTCGTTATGTACCCCTGTGCACCTCTGTGGACGCCTGTGCACGCCTGTGCACCCCATGGCAGGCTGCGGCACATATGTGAGGCGGAGGGGTTTGAGGCGGATGTGCGGGGACTCAATGCCCTGGCTGCCCAAACAGGTACGTTGCGAGCTGTCCTTGCCTTGATTCCTGATGCCTTGATGAGTGGTATTGTCATCCCCAATGCACTCTTTCTACAGTGCCAGTCAACCAAGTGGCTTTTGAGTCGACTTAAAAGTCACCTCTCCACAGTGTCACCAAGCCAATCAACCAAACCCCCTACTTCCACCCGTGAACCCCGTCCCGTCCCTCCCTCCCTCCCCACGCCCACCGATACAGACGGGGACATACGGGCGTGTCTCAACACCCTGCAGTTCCTGCACCGAGCCAACAGAGCACTGCGAGCGGTACTTTACTTTGCTGCACCTGCTCCGCTGCGCTGCTGCTCCGTTGCACTGCTATTCCGCTGTCTCTGAGTTGCATCTTCTGACCGTTAAGCGAGGCGTCTCAAAGCCAGACTGCCAGTGTGCTTTTATCTTCTGACCTCAAACTCACTCCCTTACTCTCCCACTCCCTCTTACTCCCTGCCCCGGCTCCTGTCCCTCCCTCCTCCTCCTCCTCCCCTGGCCAGTCGGAGGTGGCAGAGCAGGTGGTGGGGCGCAAGGACGCCACCAAGGGGCTCATGGACGTGTGGAATGAGGTGAGGTGGAGTGCGGTGAGATGGAGTGCGGTGAGGTGGAGTGCGGTGAGGTGGAGTGAGGTGGGCCGAATGCAGTGGACAGAGTGAGGTCGATGGGTGCATGTGCAAGTGCGGCTACTTTGGAATGTTATGCGAAATGGTGTGCGACGTGATGTGGTATGCTATGCGAGTGGGAGAGTTGCATGAACGATCTGCGCGTCTTTGTTTTTTGAGAATTCTCGAAAAAGCATAGTGTCTGCGTTCGTGTAGTCCCCTCCCCACCAGCCACGCGACTTTTGAGTCGAATCAAAAGACACATAGTGTATGTGTTCGTGTAGTCTCCTCCCCACCAGCCGTGCATTCTTGACCCCATTCACCATCTCTTTCTAATCACCTTCTAGCCCCCGGCCACTCTCCTTCTAACCCCCCTTCAATCTCCTCCTAATCCCCTTCTGATATTCTTCTCATCCCTTCCACCTTCCCCCTTTCAGGTATTCTTTCCCACTGCCCTCCTCTCGGTCCCCAAGCCTCTCTCCTCCGCATCACCACCGCCATCAGCAGCAGCATCGCCCTCTCTCCACTCCTCCTCGCCATCCCAGCCAGCTTCACACTACTCTCGATTCGACTCCCTTGTCTCGCAACTGTGAGTCCTTTTTTTGAGTCAAATTCAGCGTTTTGACCACCTAACTACTCGTCTCTCATGTGTGCGGCCCATCATCATCATTTAGTCTTGCGTTTTGAGCCGACTTGTCTCCCATGTGTGCGGGCCATCATCCTCTCGTTCTCCATCCGCTCATAGTCCCTCCTCTAATTCCTGTGAGCTGCAGTGGTGGCACGTCAGACACACTTCTAGATGGCATTCACGACAACCTGCTGCATGCTGCTCTCTCCGATGTATCCCTGCGCAAGACTGTGAGCCCTCACGCCACTCTGACCCCTTTTGAGGCGCCTCAAAACATGAGACGACTTTTGAGGCGCCTCAAAACATGAGACGACTTTTGAGGCGCCTCAAAACATGAGACGACTTTTGAGGCGCCTCAAAACATGAGACGACTTTTGAGGCGCCTCAAAACATGAGACGACTTTTGAGGCGCCTCAAAAGTCGTCTCAAAAGACTGTGAGGCCTCACGCCACTCTGACCCCTCTCACCACTCTCAGTTCAGTTCAAGAACTGCACACAGCTTGATCGCAAAGCTTGTTTCACGACAACCTGCTGCATGCTGCTCTCTCCGATGTGTCACTGCGCAAGACTGTGAGCTGACACATTCAGGCACCCTGCGCGAGCGCACGCATGCGCGCGCACACACACACGCACACACACCAGACACACACGCGTACACGCTAAAAAGTGCCATGGCTCTCCATCTCTTAACTTTCAAGAGATGTAGCAACGTCCTTTGTGTTCCTCTCTAAACTTCTCAATCCCCTCCCGTTCCCGCTTTCCTACCTACCCTCTTCTTTCCCCCCCGCTTATTCACCCCTCCCTTTCCTCTCCACAACCTCTTGCCTGCATTCCCGACCATCCCTCCAACCCTGCATACCAGTCGTCCTCGCTGCATTGGCTGGTGTGCGCAGACTTGTGGCACCACAGGGCCATGGCCTCTCAGCAGTTCGCACTGCTGGGTAAGGGCTCGTGAAAGGGATGTTATGGGTGGATGAGATGAGAGATATGTGGTGGAAATCTCAGGAGTTTATCTGATGGTTGTTGGTCTTGCTGCTTGCACCAGAGAGGGTAGATGTTGTTTGTGTTGTGCCACCTTTTGCTGTGTTCTGAAAGAGTGGCATGAGTGACTGTGTCAGAGAAAGTTTGTTGTGAGTGTAGTGAGAGGGTATTGCAGCGCAGTGTACTGTTGCTGCCTGGCAATACACTCATACTGAGCTTGCTACAACCGATTATGTGAGACCATGTGACATCTCAAGCCATCCACTCCCATCCCATCCCATCCTATGTTGGAATATACGCGTTTGTCGTATATACGCGTTTCGTATATACGCAAGCGTCTATACTCTATACGCTTAAACCTCAGATCGGGGATACGCTTTTCCGGGCAGGCAAAAAAAACCACGGGCAGGGGGGAAAACGTTACTGGTCTGGTTTTGGAGGGGGGGCATTTCATGGGCTTTGTGAGTCGGGTGGTATTTTTTCCAGAGATTAACTTACCAACATGAACATACAAAGGACTGCAGGCGCATCATCGTCATGATCCTTTCCAACCCCCACTCTACCCCGCATCTTTTTGCATATCCTCGATTTTTTTGCCCGTGCCCCACAAAAAAAATTGGGCTGCGTATTGCGTTTGAGTGGGCGTTTAGCGTTTTACGTATATACACTAGCGTGCAAACGCTAAACGCAAAGGGGTCTGGGCGTATGTTCCAACATAGATCCCATCTCATCCCATCCCATCCCATCCCCTGTGCCCATGCAGCGTTTGAGACATGTGCCATGTACGCCATTCGAGCCACCATGGGTGTTGCTGACAGACACCCCCTTGAGTGGCCCAAGGCCCATGCCAGGTGTCTCACGCTCACCCACTGACCCACCGATCCTCCCTTATGCTCGTGTCTCCGTTTCTCTGATTATCTGTTCTCTCGATTTGTTCGTCTTCTTATTTCTCCGTGTTTTTTCTTTCCCTTTCATTTCATGATCCATCAATATTTTCCCGTCCTCCTGCATCATAACCATTCATACATTCTTCTTCCAGACACCTCCCTCCTTACTCTGGTTACCCTCCCTGTCCGCCTCTACAAACCTCTTCCTCCCTGCTTCCATCCCACTCTTCGGCCCTCCCCTTCCTCCTTTTTGAGAATTCTCAAAACTGATTCCCATCCCACTCTTCGGCCCTCCCCTTCCTCCCTTCCTCTCATTCCAACCCTCCATCCCATCTCCTCTCGCACCCCAACCCCCCCTCCCCCCCCCCCTCCCCTCCCTTTTTACAGGTTTCGCTCACAGCATGCCATGCGCATGGAGACAGTGGAGGCATGGCGGGGTGCCATGCTACCAGCCATAGCACGCACCTCTCCCCTGCGCTCCCTTGTGCCTGACCTCGTCTCGCCTCTGCTTTCTGTCATCTCAGCCACCCCCATTCGCCCAGTAAGATTTGCTTAGCGGTCGCTCCTTAACGTTCATACACTGCTCCCCCTCGCTCCTTCATGGGACTTTGGTCAAGGGCCATGGGACAAGGGTCATATGACAAGGGTCATATGACAAGGGTCATATGACAAGGGTCATATGACAAGGGCCATGGGACAAGGGTCATAGGACAAGGGTCATATGACAAGGGTCATATGACAAGGGTCATATGACAAGGGTCATAGGACAAGGGTCATAGGACAAGGGTCATAGGACAAGGGTCATTGGTCATGGGTCATGGGTACTGGGTCATGGGTCATGGGACGTGGGTGATGCTGCGTGGCACTACATCCCTATCCCGGACATGCGTGCTCTGCCCTCATGATCAACCACCACTCCTCCTCTCTCTTTCCCCACTTCCCCTCTCCTTTCCCCCTCCTCTACCCCTCCTTTCCCGCTCCTTTACCTCTCCCTCCTCCCTCTCTTATACCTCCTCACCACCCACCTCCATCTCTCCTTCACTCTCTCCACACCCCTGCACTCCCCTCCACCCCACCAGGTGGCGGGGCAGCTATTAACCCCGTGGGAGAAGGCCGCGCTCGCACAGCTCGTGGCCACCATGCTTGACTATGGCCTCTCCTACCGCCACGCGCACCAGCTGCCCTGGCACCGCCGTGCTTTTGCTGCTGGTTCTGCTGGTGGAGGGGAAGGGGGGGTTGGTGGTGGTGGAGATGGGTACATGGGCGGCCCTGTTCTGGATCCTCCGCTCACGGAGTTTGTTGTGTTTGAGGTGCGTTGCTGACTTTTGAGTCGTCTCCAATGTGCGTTGCTGTGCCCATGCTTGCTGGTCTGGGTGTTGATGCTGTTGTTGTAACAGTTGTTGCATGCGCTCACTTTGTACTTTGTTGATATTTAACTCAGCATATGGTTGTGCTTGTATTGTGCTGGTACTTCTGCTGGTGCATGTGCATGTGTGTCCATGTGTGCTTCATGCGTGCGTGCGTGTGTGTGTGTGTTTCCTTTTCTTATCCATATGTGCTTGGTGCGTGTACTACTGTACACGCATTGCTGCATGTTTCCCCCTCTGCTTCAGGGACTTCGACCTCCACCATATGTCATGGCTATATCAGCAGCAGTGCGCCAGCTCATTGGCCGAGAGGTACCTGCACACCAATGGCGTACAATCAGGATGAGCTCCCCTTCCTATCCACCCTCTCATCACTTATAACTACTTTTTTTTCTCGCCAACTGCTTCCAAGTCCTGATCATTCTGCAGCATGGCAGCAACTTGAGCTGCTGCACGATGCTTACTCGTTCTTCCCTCACACATGCCATATGCGTCGTGTTTGGTCAGATTGAGCTCGAGCGCATCCGGCGGGACTCAGTGCGAGTGAAATCAGCAACCACTCCCAATGCCGCTGCAGCTCCTCAGCCTCCTTTAACTCTTCCTCGTCCTCCTCCTACTGCCCCAGCTGAGCCTCATCAAGAACCGCAAGCTGCTGCGCCGCCACAAGCTGCCAATGGTATCTCACAGAGCAGCAAGGGGAAGGGTATGTGCCACACTGCTTGTTCCAACACCCTCCACCATTGGTGTTTACTGTACCTTTTCTTTAAATTGCTCAGCCAACCACTGAATCTTCTCAAATGTGTCCTGTCCATTTCAACTCAATCATCATCAGGTACCCAGGAAGGTGATGGTCAGGCCAAGGAGAATGGAATCCCTATGGAAAGTAAAGCTGTGAAGCCGCAGGATGCTTCAGGCAGTGTTCAGCAAGGAAGCGACGCCAAACCAGCCAAAGTAAAGGATTTGCCACGACGACCCTTCTGGGGCTTCACCAGGTATGATTAGGGTTGACTGGGGCTTGCCATGTGTTCTGTGGTAACAGATGTGAGATTGGAGCTCTGACTCGAAAGCTGTTTTTGGACCATTGATAGGAGTAGATATGGGTCTTGTGCTTTTTGTTTTGATTGTGCTTCCAGGAAAGTGGAACAAAGCAGCCGGCCTAAAACTGTTGGGCAACCAAGTGGAGATGGGGGTTCAGGCATAAACGGTGCGGACAACAAGACAGCCAGTGAAAAGGCTATTCGCATCTCGTTCAAGTATCACGAGGTGCGAAAACACACGAGCGTGCTTATGTATTCTCTCCATGGCAAGGCCTTTACCTAATCATCGTGTTGTGCGTCTACCGGTATTCTTCATTGCAGGGTTTCACCAATGCCGTTCGACGACCAGTTCTTTTCTCGGAGCTCTTGTAAAATGAAGGTGGCAGTATTGACAATGTACAGGTACCGGTACTCACCACCAGCATCCGGTGCAGAAGGACAGGTTTACTTGATGTACTGAACACAGCACTTGACTATAATGACTGGCCTTCAGATATCTCGCTCTCTTCAGGTTCCAAGTCATCCTTTTCCATGTCATCGTTTTCCACACCATTCGCTGCTGATTCTACCTGTGCTAATTCCTTCTCAAAGATGTCTTCAATGTGGTCCTCGAGTGCATCCTTAATCTCATCAAAGTTCTCCATGAAGCCTTGAAGCATGTTAAGTCGGGCTGATGGCAATCCAGAAATGTCATCACATGTCAAATACTTGAATAAAAGCTCCTGCAATGAAAAGCTGATCATGCCATTGCAAAGCTAATTTTCTGAGAAGTCTCACGCACATTACCCTTACCGGAGCACGTAGTTCCTCCATACTGACCTTGGCTGCCTTACTCAGTTCCGACGAGGGCTCGTTGTCGCACAAGCCACAACGAAGCACTGTTTCCCATTCCTTGGGAGTGATGCTGGCAATGAGAAGCTCCATAGGAGCATCACGCAAGCTGCTGAACGCAGCAAGCCTGACCTTCTTGTCAACATCGCGTGTCTTTATGGCGATCGATGTGAGCAAGTCTGCAGGAAATCATGAAAGATGAGGAGCATGCACATGTTTCAAGAAAGACATGAGTGCGGCACTGTACCTTGGTCGATGTTGGGTGACGCAGCAAGAATCTGAACAGCAGTTCGGCGGACCCTTGTGCTTGGATCAAAGAGCATCGCATGCGTCAGGTGAGCACGTGCCTCTGCTGTCCATACCGAACTGTTAGCAGCTTCGCTTTGTTGCCCCAGCCTTTCCAAACCTGTTACACATGCAAGGTGTGTAAGTCCTGGAGCATTGCTTTGCACAATTGGAACAGCGAAATAAGAAAGCTCTTACATGACAAGCACTCCAGTCGCAGCTGAATGGCTTCAAGCTGTTCATTGGCTAACACTGCTGAGCAAGATGTGAAAGTAATTCGTGGCTCGGCTTCAAAAATCTTTTCGAAGAGCCCCAAGGCTTGTGAGTAGCCTGCAGCATAGGAAGTGAGCAGGGCACAGGAACAAGAAGCAGAATACTGGCGTGGGAAGTATACTTACCGTCCTTCGCTTGATAGGAACCACACTCTACAACTTTCACCAGGCAGAACAGAATTGTGTCTGCAAGGTCAGCATTTGCCAGAAAGAGCAACACTTGCTTGCGCCTTAAATCTTCTCCATGGGCAGTTGAGGAGAGCAGCCCATGAAGAGTTGTCTTCATGCATGCTAGCCATTCAGCCTTGTAAAAACCACAAAAGGGTAAGGTGCGAGTTGCACACAGCAAAACAAACCGTCACTCCAAAGGTGTGCCCTTACTGCGTCTAAATTGTATGCCTCCTCCAAAAGCCTCCAGATTGAAGGAAACCGTTGGCATGGGTGCACAGAAATGTCAAAAAGACTCGCTTGCACCAGCTTTAAGGCCACTTGAAAGCAGCAAAACACAATATCTGGCAGTTGTGAGACCACCAGATTGAAAATGAGACGAGAAGATACTCAAGCAGGCGACAGATATTCACGCCAGGACCTGGAGATTTCATGCGTCTGAACATTACCTGGCGGTTCATGAGCTGCCCACACACAGTCAAACAGGTGATGTCCGGCATGTTCACCGAACAGAGCTCGCTGAAGCACAGCGAATTCCAATACATTGGCCTTGCACTCATTGACAACAGGAATCTCCAACTCTTCAGCAAACTTGTACAATTCTGCAGAGGCCACAGTTCAGAGGTTATGACATGGATTGAATTTCTTGACGTAACACGACCAGTCATACCAAATAGTAGGTCTTGCACTTTCATCAGTCGTAATGCTTGCTGTTCGAAGCTCTCACGTAAGTGAACGAGCCGATCAATCAAGGACTGAAACATTGATGGAAATGGAAGGTCCCACCTTGCCGTCCGAAGAAGCGTCAGACAGCTCATTATGTCCTTCACATTCCACTTAGGGGTCGACTTCCGTTTCTTTAGCTTCCTGATGTTGCTCATGCCGAGCATCACAAAATCAAGATTCAGAGAGAAAATGCACGTCGGAATGCATTATCATCATACCTGTCCGTGAGGAAACACAGAAGAATCTTCTGAATTCTTCCGAATATGCCCAGCATGAAATCTCTGGAAACTAGGTGAGGACGGACCTCTTCCGAATACGTGAGAAGCACTTCAAAAAAGAGGGTGTCGTGGAGATGAGAAGGAAGTCCATCTTTGGTGCACTGCTCTAAGTCCTTCAGTATGACCGTCTCCAGCTGATTCATTGTGATTGCCGCACGACGGTGGATGTGAGGTGAGGAGGCGACGCGAAAAGGAGACGGCGGTACATTCGTATTCAGCAACTGATCTGGTGTTGAGCATCACGGAGGCAGTCATATTCGTCAACTCTTCCAAATTCGGGCACCTTGGGATTTGAGTGGCAGTCTGATCAATTCACCGTGTGAAGTGAATTGCTAAGTATTCCATGATTAGAAGTTGATGGTTTATTCGATAAAGTATCACTACATAAGTTTTGAGATAACTCTTCAACCAATGCTGAATAATATTTAAAGAAATTGCCAAACACACAAGCATACTGAAATTGTGGATTTTCAAAATTCAAGCAAGCAAATACAATCCTCCGTACTGATGAGGAACCCCAATACCACTGTACTCAAGAGGAACTCCTTTCCAACAGCACCCAGCATTCCAGCCTGACCCTCCCTGAACACAGCACACTAGTTACCAGGACCGCCACCAGCAGCAGCAGACACTGCAGCAGGGGAAGCCGCAAGCTGCTTCTCCAGATAAGCTTCCACCAGATGCGACCCACATGCCTGCTGAACCACAGCCATGGTGGCTGGGGAATCCAGGCGCACAAACTCATCACTGCCACTTGCAGTGACTTCTGCCTGGGGGTTAGCAAACTCGCGACGTGCAGCAGCAATGGCATAGCGAATGGCAGAGTGGATGGAAACAGCAAGAAGGAGAGGGGGCTCCCCAGATGCTGGCAAGGGTAGCAGGTTAGTGGGGACATGGGGAGAAGAGTGGGACGAGTGAGGAGATGGAGAAGCCTTTAGTACAGAGCAGATGGTTGATGGCAAGCAGCACAATGTGTCATTGACTGTTGAGTCGACTTGCAAGTGGATTTGCTGCAATGCCAGCACCGAGCAGATGGCATGGAATGATGGCAAGCAATGGAATCCTGCAGGGCACCTGATGTGATGCTGCTGTAGAGGATTTGAAATTCCGGAAAAGTGAAATAGTCAATGTACCCCATGCCGACAGAGACAAAGGTAAACTCAAGCCAGGTACGGTCGGGAGAGTAGGTGCAAGAAGAGGGGCAGAAAGGAAGCATTGAAGGGACGAGCAAAACATACAAAATACAGTAAAAAGGCAGCTCAATGCGCCGTGCGGAGCGGAGATAGTGATCGGAGAGGGTCTGATTGTGAGGGGAGAAAGCAGGGTATATGGTACCTTTGGATGAGAGCACGCCGCGGTCGTTTCCAGAGCCCTGCAGCAGAGACACATTGAGCTGGCGGGGCGCAGTGTCAAACGACGGCACCTTGTACGACCACGTGCCATCCGTCAACAGCCTGCCTGATGCCTCATCCACCACCACCTCCTCTGTTGTGAAGAAGCCCTGCCCCTGCACGAAGGCTCCTTCCACCTGAAGGGAGGCAGGAGAGAGGAGTTTTTTTTTTTTTAGGCGCCTCAAATTTCGTCCTCTGATGTGAAGAAACCTTGTTCCTTCACGAAGGCTCCTTCCACCTGGGAGGGAGGCAGGAGAGACGAGGGTTCGGGTGAAGTAGAGGGGAGAAACGGGAGGAAGAGTGACGGAAAGCGACTTCCATGCAAGCAACGTCCATGTTAAGTGGCAAACATACAGGGGAATGGGTGGACGAGTGAGCGAGTGAGTGAGTGAATGAGTGAGGGAATGGATGCTTGGATGCAGAAAGCAGTGGGGATGTTTTCTGACCTGTCCTATGTCGACAGCAGGGTTGAGGCTGCGGCCGCAGTCATAGTGGACATCACACCGCAGCACACTCACACTCCCTGTTGCCACATCCACCTCCACCTGCCCACACACGTGCACGCCAGCGATGAAAAGGGAGGGGGGAGAGGAGAGGCCAGAAGCGGCCAGCCAAACAGCCGAGAGACGGAAGGAGCATGGGTTATTACTGAGCGAATTACTACAGAGCAGCATGTAGGAGATGATACATGCACTGCACATGCATTCCAAAGAGCACCCCGACCAAAGGAAAAGGCGTCGGGTAATAAGGATGAGCTGGAGTACCTCTGAGACAGCAGCTCCAAAGTTGAAGTAGGAGAGGAAAAAGCTGCCAGGAAGAGGCTTCGGCTGATAGTTAGCCTGAGCCGACAGGTACAAGCGCATGGCTTTAGCCTGCCCCACAACCTCCTCCCAGCTCGCCACATCCTCCTCTCCCACCACCACATCACTCGCTCCTGCTGCTGGTCCGCCTCCAAACATCCCCCCTGGGCCTCCGCCTGGCACCCCGAGCCGCTTGCACGCCTTGGCCTTTTCTGCTGCTGCTTTGGCGGTTTGCAGCAGGGGGAGCAGCTGGTCGCATGCTAGCTGGGCGCCAGCACAGGAGGCCTCGGAGGTGGAGCTTCCAGCAGTGATGCCCCCGTGGGCCAGGGATATGCTGTCGTTCTCTACCACTCGGATACGGCTCACGTCCACTCCATACTTGCTGCTGCCGCTGCTGCTGCTGCCGCTGCTGCTGCTGCTGCCGCTGCTGCTGCTGCTGCTGCTGCTGCCGCTGCTGCTGCCGCTGCTGCTGCTGCTGCTGCTGCTGGGGTTGTTGGGCCAGAGTTGGTTGAGGGAGTTGGCTACAGCCTGCCGCACCTTGGTAAACAGCCCCTGACCCATCTCCACTCCTCCTGTTTCCACCACAACCGAAGCGTCACCAAACACAGTCACACGTGCGGGCTTGCCCATGATTCCAATCTTGTAGTGCACAGGAGCAATGGCGAGGCCTCTCTTACGCCACTTGTGCGCTGCGTTGAATTCCTCCACTGCCGCTGCACGCTTGCTGTAGCTCGCAAGAGATTTCACCTCCCTCCACACTCTCTCCGCGATCGCACCCTCATCCTCCGCCTTCTCCTCCTTTGCACCCTCATCATCCTCCTCCGCAGCAGGAGCAGAAGAAGCCGGAGCAGCAGGGGCAACGTCGCGGGGGAAGAAGGCACGGAGGGAGTCAGTGGTGATGTGGTTACGCTCGCGGACTAGCACTGGATCCAGGTTCAGGGTTGCAGCTACATGGTCCATGACTGCTTCAGCCACCAGCACTCCCTGCACCTCGCCTGGCGCCCTCACTGTCACCCGCGTGGGTAGGTTGGTCCTGCAGGTGTGGGTAGGGGCGGAGAGGAGGAGCGACGGGGCGAGGATGGGGAGATGTGGAGGGATGGATGGAGAGGTGGGTGGTTGGCTGGTTGGAAGAGGTGTAGAAGGGGGGGAGAGAGAGGTGGTATTGCGAGAGCTGGGCATGGAAAGAGGTCGGAAGGGCCATAGCTGATAAGCAACCTTTTTAACCCCCAAGAGTGCTCCGTCCATTCACCCACCGAAGAAACAACAAAAATTGCAAAGCACCAACATCCCCCCTCCAAGAAATTACATGCCACGAAACCCCCACCCTTCTAACCCCAAACCCACTCCACCCCTCCCTATCCCCCTCGCCCCATCCGCCCCGCCGCCTCACTTGGCAATCTTGAAATCAATCTGCAGCGCGCCCCAGTCATACTGCGTGACAGCAGGGCCGTACGCCATGCACAGCCAGTTACTCATGGTCTCGCTGCATCCGCCATTCAGCACCGCGCTCACTTTTGAGTCGACTCAAAACTCACTTGGCAATTTTGAAATCGATCTCCAGCGCGCCCCAGTCATACTGCGTGACGGCAGGGCCGTACGCCATGCACAGCCAGTTACTCATGGTCTCGCTGCATCCGCCATTCAGCACCGCGCTCACTTTTGAGTCGACTCAAAACTCACTTGGCAATTTTGAAATCGATCTCCAGCGCGCCCCAGTCATACTGCGTGACGGCAGGGCCGTACGCCATGCACAGCCAGTTACTCATGGTCTCGCTGCATCCGCCATTCAGCACCGCGCTCACTTTTGAGTCGACTCAAAACTCACTTGGCAATTTTGAAATCGATCTCCAGCGCGCCCCAGTCATACTGCGTGACGGCAGGGCCGTACGCCATGCACAGCCAGTTACTCATGGTCTCACTGCACCCGCCGTTCAGCACCGCGCTCACGCGCAGCGCATGCACGCGGCCAGTCTCGTCAAACCCCACGTCGTAGCGCGCCCGCGACTCGTGCCTGCCGCCCACCAGAGCCGTGTCTGCCTTGCGGTCCAGGGCCATGCGCACGGGGCGGTGCAGGTGCTGCGCTGCCAGCGCACACGCCACTGCCACCTGAAAGCACACAGGGAGGCAGGGACGATGAGAGAGGAGAGTGGTACTGGAACGGGGGTGATGAGGACGAGGAGTCGACTCAGAAGTCAGAGCCGTGCGCACGGGGCGGTGCAGGTGCTGCGCTGCCAGCGCACACGCCACTGCCACCTGGTGGCGGGAGAGAGTCTCCGAGCCGGCGAGTGACCACGCGCACACAGCTAGCCGGCAGCCCCAGGGCCACAGCCACGCTCTCCTGTGTGATCTGCGGGGACAAGGTGAGTCGCGCTGTACACGGTGAGCGCGCCTCCCTCGTCTGGCACCGCCATCGCCACTTGTGTCTCCATGTAGAAATGCTGCTGGGAGCCCGAGCGCACCTGATGTGGGTGCGTAGTGTGTGGGGGGAAGGGAGACATAAGGGAGATGACATTTCGAGAGGGTTGAAGAATGGGATCTGAGTACAAGTGCTGCTGCGAATGGCTGCACGCCACTCTCACCGTCTTCACCCCATTGCTCAAAGGAGCACAGCAAGATGCAACAAAAGAATCAGCCCACTCATGCAGCAGCATGCAGCAAGCCTTTTGAGGCGCCTCAAAAGCCACTCATGCTGCATGCAGCAAGCCTTTTGAGGTGCTTCAAAAGCCACTCATGCAGCAAGATGCAACAAGCCTCACCTCAGCTCCGGTGATCTTAAGAGGGCTCTTGTCGAAGGCCTCATGGAAGTTCCCACGGCGGGGCAGGGCCATGAGGAACATGGGGTTGAGAGTGAAGAAGGACCCAGCAGCCTCAGCCTGCTCTATGCTCAGAATGGCAGTGGCACCACTCGCCTCGCCTGCGGATACTCCCGGTGCTGCTGCTGCTGCTGCTGCTGGTTCTGCTCCTGTTGCTGACCGTTCTGCTTCTGCTGCTTGTGCTGCTGGCTTGTGAGCAGCGACAGGTGGTGGGGAGGAGTCGTATGTGCAGATCACCTTGCGAGCACCTTCCTGAGCGTGGCGGTATGAGTCAGCAACCTGACGGGTGGAAGGGGGAAAACGGTTGAGTCAGTGGGGACATGGGGAAGGGGGGAAGAGGGGACTCAAAATACACAGAGCCAGAACATCAACCAACCTACCGGCGTCAACCCACCATCACGCATCCCATTCCACCCCATCCCATCCCATCCCATCCCATCCCATCCCATCCCATCCCATCCCATCCCATCCCATCCCACCGTTTCCCAACCCACCACAAGAGCAACCGGCTGGCCGTAATACTCGGTGCGCCCCTCGGCAAAGAGCGGGTCAATGGCGCCCATGAGGTTCGAGCCCACGTTGACCCCGCCAGGGGGGATGTGCGAGGCGTCCAGCACCGCCACCACGCCTGGCGAGGCCAGCGCTGCCGCGTAGCAGCGCGAGGTGATGCGCGCAGAGGCGTGCGTGGAGACTGCAAAGGCGGCGTACAGGCAGGAGGCCGGCACTGGTATGTCGTCCACGAAGATTGCATGGCCTGACAGGGGATGGGGGGGGGAGAGGCGAGGGAGGAAGAAATGGGGGAAAGTGGGGAAAGGGGGAAAAAGGTGGGAAGAGAATTAGGGGAAACATGATTTTGAGGCGCCTCATGTGATGGTGCTAAGTTGTCGTCCACGAAGATTGGGACGGGTGAGAGAGGGGCGAGGGTGGGGCGAGGATGGTGCACCTGTGGCTTGCAGGTCGACTCCGAGCTTGGGGAGGGGCAGGGCGAGTGGAAAGACGTCGTTGGTGACGCTGTATACCTGCTGCCCCCTCATCACCACGTGCTGCTGCTCGCTGCTGCCCCTCACTCCGTCACCATTTACGCCATCACCAGCAGCAGCAGCAGCAGCAGCAGCAGCAGCAGCAGCAGCAGCAGCAGCAGCAGAAGCATCACCAGCAGCAGCAGTGCCATCCTGCAGGCTCGTCTTGGGCGGGTTGACTTGGGGCAGGTGGCGGGAGAGGAAGGAAAAGAGGAAACCCACAGCCGCCTCTGCTCTATACTCCGCCCACCGGGTCCCCTCTGGAGGCACCACCTCCCCTCGCACTGCCCGCACCGCCTCCAGAACACTGCCAGGTGTCAGCGCGCCATTGGCTGCTGCAGAGAGCAGGCGGGACTCGGCTTGGCGCGCTCTGATGGCGTGGGGGCCGCCAAACGCCCCAAAGACCAGCCGAGCAGAGTGGATGGTGGGGGAAGAAGTGGAAGAGGCGGAGGAGGAGGCGGGGGTGAGGTGAAGGAGGAAGGCGGCATTGACGTACGCATAGGCGTTGCCAGAGGGGCGGACAGACGCGCGGAAGGAGTCAAACACCAGCTGCTGACCCGCAGAGGAGGTGGCGGGAGGGAGCGAGGGGCAGGGCAGGAAGACGGAGTGCAGCAGCGTGGTGCTGGGCAGAGGGCCGCGCAGCAGAAACTGCTCCAAAGAGACCTCCTCCCACGCCCACCCGTCACTGCCTCCTGCTCCTCCTCCTGCTGTTTCTACTGTTGTTCCTGCTCCTGTGCCGGAGACAGCAGTGGGGGGGGTGGGAGTGGCGGTGCGCACTGAGGCGTTCAGGGCGAGCAGGAGAGTGGCGACGTCGGAAGGGAAGGCGCGCTGAGACGCGGCGAGCACCAGGTTCCCACCGATGCTGGCAGCGTTGCGCACGTGCGGCCCTGCCACCTTGCGCAGGTGACCCGCCACACACGAAAACACCTCCGCTGCCGCTGATGCCGCTGATGCTGATGCTCCTGCAGCCTTTGCTTCATCCCAGCCGTTGATCACTGGAGAGTTAGCATCAGCGCCCTTCCCTGACAATGTGTCCAGCACTGCAATCACATCGGCCAGACACACAGCAGCACCGAATCTGATCCCCATCACACGCGCGCCCCCTTCACCACCCTCACCCCCCTCACTCTCCTCGCCACTGGGCCCTTCTTCCCACGCCACGTGCTGCAGCTCAGGGAGGCGCTTCAGGTCCACCCTAGTCACACAAGCCACACCATCATAGCGGCCCAGCTCAGGATACACACCCACTGCCGTGTTGCCCACCACCAGCCGAACCTCCTCCTCCTCCGCCCCACCATCACCCGCTCCTCCTTCCCCCTTGCCTCCCAACAGCACGGATCGCAGCTCCTCGAGGCTTCTCGGCGCCACCCACGCAACCTTCCTCCCTTTCTTCTCAGCCTTCACCTTCCCCGCCGCCTGCTCCCCCCCCGCCTGCTCCCCCTCCCCCGCCGCGCTCACCTCTCCATTCGTCCCAGCGCCGCCCATGCCCGCCGCTTCTCCCGCGCCTGACTCCTCCCAGACTTCCCACCCGAGAATCTTGTCTCCCCCTGCTGCCTGATCCTGCTGCGCGCCGAGCTGGCGCTGGGTCTCCGCGGTGAGCCAGGCGGGGAACGGCGGGTCGGAGGCGGGATCATAGCGCGGGAGGGGCTTGCGAGGTTTGCCACACAGCCCACTGCACTTGCCGCTGCCGCTCTTGCTGCACTTCCCACCGCCGCTCCCGCCACTCCCGCCGCTCCCCCCGCATTCTCCCTCGCCGTGCGCCTGCTTCTGCGCGGCCTGACCGGAGGACGCAGCAGCAGGGGCGAACTCACTGATATCCAGCACCGTACAGGACCGCAGTCCTGCAGATCCAAGCTCTTCTAGGTCCATCAACCCCACTGCTGCTGCTGTTGCTGCAGCAGCACTGCCATTGGTCCCAGCGGTCCCAGCGGTCCCAGCGGTCCCAGCAAAGCTCTTGCAGGCGTCGAGAATGGGCCGGTATCCCGTGCAGCGGCACAAGTTCCCAGCCATTGCCTCCTCTACCTCCTGCTCCGTCAACCCGCTCACCGCCTCCACTCCCTCCGCGGACTCCGCGGAGGCTCCTCCCGCGCGGAGGTGGCGGCGGCGGAGGGCAGCGTATAGCGAGATGGACATGCCCGGCGTGCAGAAGCCGCACTGCGACGCGTGGAACCCCGCCAGCCGCTGCTGCACCGCGTGCGGCTGCTCCGCGCGTCCGCCCTTGTGACACGTGTGCGGATCCCGCTGCTGCTTCAACCCCGCGCCGGGGGGTGCGGGTGCGCCTGAGCCGCCGTTGGAAGTTGGCTGGTCGGTGGGGGACGAGCGGGGCGCGGAGCAGAGGCCTTCCGCGGTGGTGACGGCGGCGAGGTGCAGGGAGGCGAGGGGGAGCAGGCAGGAGTTGAGAGAGCGCTCGTCGACGGTGCTGGTGAGAGAGTTGTAACGAGCGACCATGACCGCACACGCTCCGCACCCGCCTGAAATTACGCCGGGTCCAGGGAACAAGGAGCAATGCGTGCAATGGAATCAGAAGCTTTTCTTTAAGACGAAATGGGTGGCAGAAAAGCCAATGCAGTGAAGGACCTGCAGAATTGTGGACGAGGGAACTGGCCGTAATGTGCATGATGGCATTCGGGATAATGAAGAGCAGAGCCACGTAAGTGACTCCGATGATATTCGCGGTCGTTACAGCAGACATACACCGAATGATGTTACCAATTCCGCGATTTTCAGGCAGGTTTCGTCACCAGTAACATGAGTTCTGTAAGGCTGAACAAGTGTAGCGACGCATACCTTCACCGCAGGCCAGCTTAGTCCCTGTGAACTCCGTCCTGGTGCGGATGAATTCGTTCAGCGTCATGGCCGGGTCCACGTCGCGAACTTCCATGCGCCGTCCATTCAGAGCAAACACCAGCGGCGCCTGGCCGTTGGCGTCAGAAAATAATGCGTCGCGCCCCATGATGAACCGAAGAAAGACGTCACCTTCGGAATATGGCTTCGAGGAGTGAGCAGACTTCGCTATTTAGGATGTGCGAGAGACGGAATTCAGACACTGTACCGTACGGCAGCATGAGAGGATTCAAATCGAAGCAAGGGATTCTGCAAGGAACCAGCTTGACCGTTGCCGAGGGAGGACGGCACCATGGCAGCCGCCAAAGCGAAGTAGGGCTTGGCTTGGCAGCAGGTTTGGAAACCACTGATGGATGATATGGCTCTGGCCCATTCGTCCAAGTCTACCCAAAATCAAGGGGCTTACGTGGATGCTGTAGCTATTAGGCGAATCCTCTTTCTTGCCAAACTCACTACGGTAACAGGTGATACACTTGATGTACCGTGCTACACCAGCTGTCTTAGCATTTGCATCACCAATGGCGGAGAGCCTCAACTATAGGTATTAACCATACTTATATTAAGTTTTATATACGAAAATAATGTATTAAAGGCTTTATTAAGGGTTTTATTCATTTGTATTGTTATTTGTATAAACACATTTTCATAAGGGCAATCTGTTGCCAGCATAAGTGCATTCAGGGTGAGATTTTTGGATCAGGGAGTGAGATAGTTGCTGCTTTTGCAACACGTTGACTCTCAGAATGAACCAATTGACACCCGTCGTTACGCGTGTTATACGAATAACGACCGTCAGAAAGGTGCATGTAGGGTGTGGACTCCAAGGGGGAGAGGGCAAAGCTGACGCACTTTGAGTCAACCCACGTGGCGAGTAGAGATGGTGTGTTGGGGACGGCGGATTCGTGCTGGAGGGATCAAGATGTCCTACTCACCACAGGATTTAATGCGTTCCACCTAGTGTTCAAGGAGGTGATTGGTCACGAAAATGATTCCAGCTGGCAGAAACTGTTCGCGAAGGGCTGACCCTCAATCCCCACCGTACAACTGAACATACGGCGTACAGCTGCTTCGAGATGACTCCGTGCCTCGTGTGCGCGCCACTTGGACACGACACATTGACGACGATGCGCGAAAGTGGTTGCTTTCGCCTGCGCTGCGCAAACTTGTGCTCCACAGAGCCTAGAGATTCTCAGCGAAGCTCATTTTGGACTGAGGCGAGCTTCGCCTGCCTCGTTTTCCTGTCGTGGAGCCACGACGACACGCTGCCTACACACACCACTCGGCAAATCGTCTCCACCTTCGCGCTTCGACTGAATTCCAGAATCTCACCTATTTCTCCGCATTCGACACCCATCCACCACTTCCGCTTCTACCGTCGAAAAATCAAGAGACTGTCTTCCGCACAAGTCTGTCCATTTCAACACAAGAAAGACTGGGTGGTTGGATCATTTAATCAGCAGCTCCTCATTCCTTCCTCTGTTCCTGCCGCTGTGACGCTCTCGTAGCTCTCACCGTGGCAACCCTCTCGCTTTTGAGGCGCTTGTTCGCCCCACTGGCGTTTCCCTCACCCTAGATCTTACCCCATCAACTCTGAAAACATCTGCAAGCGCCGTCCTCCATCCACCGTCACGTTCGCTCCGCGTTCTTAGCCCGGGCGCGTTCTTTCGTCTCCCTGCGCTACCGTCTCGTTATTTTCTCGCCGTGCTGGCTCTGCACGATGCTAAGCACATCTGCGTTGGGCTCTCGTTCCATCCATCCATGCGCCGGAACGCACTCCGCTGCCGGCCTCCCCCCACGGCCTCACCCACCAACACCACGGCCTTTACTAAACAGTAGGCCATTATCGCCCTCCGATCTATTCCACTCTCGCGCATCTCGCGCCAACTTGAACGCCTCTCAAACGCTTCTCTCTGCGCGCACGCACCGCGGCGTCGTCATCACCAGTCAGCTCCTGCCACGCGGCGGCCGATCGGGCCCCTCCCGTCACGCCCCCGCGCAGCCCCCGTGCGCGATCGCGCCCTTCCGCAAAGCGCCTACTACTAAGAAGTCTGCGGGGGAAGCCTCGCAGGCGCCGACGCAGTCCAGTCCGCGCTCCGCGCCCCGCCACACAAGATCCGCGCCACCGCCGGTAGCGGAACCACACACGAGTGCTTCTTTTGACTCGACAGCAAAGAACGAGCAAGACCACGAGAACGCGACAGCCGCTGCAAGTCGGCAAGGGCTTTCCGCCAAGGCCGCTCACTTGAGGCTTTTGGAGGATGGTGTGAGCGATTCGTCGCTGTCGCCGTCGCCGTCGTCGCCGCCGCCGCCGCAGCCGTCGTCGTCGTGGCTTTCCAACGTCTCTTTCTCTCTGCCCGTGAAGTCTCTCCCCGCGATGGCCGGTGACGCGGGCCTCGTGGCGTTTCTTTTGCGACGAGATGGCGACTCCGGCGATGATTGCGCCCCTGGCGACGAAGTGAACGAGCCGCGGCGCAGCTTGGGAGTTATTCCAGATCAAAAGAAGAGTCTATCCCCGCGCGAGGGATACTTGGAAGAGTCCATCGGTGGTGCTGCTGACGGCGCTGGTGCCGAGTCCGACGGCGCGGGCGATGGCGGCGGGCCGCCGCTCCACGCGGCGGTGGGCGCTGCGGTGAGCGCCGCCAAGGACGAGGTGGCGGAGAGAGTGCGCGCGCTGCTCCTGATGTCGCGCGCGGGAGATGATGATTCGCCGCGGAAAGCAGGCGATTCGCTTCCCGTTCCCACGGTTGACGAGTCACCTGCCACTGTCCACCATTACCAGCCGGGAGGTGATGAGCCCGTGGGCCTGCCGTCGGCGCCAGTACTGACTGCTGACTCCCTCGACGCGGCCGTTGCGCCGCCGCCTGAGGGAGAGGCGGAAGACGCAGCGGGGGAGTGGCGGAACGAAGATGGCGCGGAGGAGGCGGAGGCGGAGGCGGAGGGGGAGTGGGGTCCGCGCGTTTATATGCGCGGATTTATGTCGCTCTGGCGGGGGATGCGGGGCGAGCTGAAGCAAGATGCGCGCGCGAGGGAGAAGCGGAGGCAAGGGGAGCGGGAGGTACAGGTTGAGGTGAATAATAAGGGCGAGGAGGAGGCGGAAATGAGTAAGGGGGAGGAGAAAAAGGAGGAGGATGAAGGTGCGGCAGGAATGGTGGAATCGTTTACTGCAGATGCAGACAAGTCAACGGAAGAGGCGGCAGAGATGGCAGAAGGGGCGGGGAATGGAAGCCACGAGGAAAGTGTGCTCATAGAAAGTGACCAAGGAGGAGAGGCAGAGGATGAGGGAGAAGGCCAAGTGCAAGCAGGAGAAGGGTCGAATGCTGAAGAAACGAGTGGAGAAGAGCGGAAGAAGCCTGCTCGTGCCAGTGCATGGGCGCTGGGCATGCTCATGGACTGGAGGCGGCAGCAGAAGCAGGAGGAGCAGGGGCAGCCGCAGAAGCAAAGCGGTGGTAAACCCGTTCTGACGGCCGCGGAAGAAGCTTCTACTGCTGAACAAGCTACCAGCAGCGCTCAAGCAGCAGTGGCCGTTGAGGGTCAAAAGGCGGAGCTGGAAGGAGTGTTGCCACAGGAGTTGAAGGCGGAACAGGGAAAGCTGGGGAAGCTGGGGAAGCTGGGAATGCTTGAAGCAGGCACGGAGGAGGATGTGGTCGGCTCGGCCGGTTCTGGCGTGGCGTTGCCGGGCAGCGGAGCAGGAGCAGGAGCAGGAGCAGGAGCGGCCATGGATGCCGGGGGAAAGCAAGCAGCAGCGAGAAAGGCTGTTTCGTGCAACACGTGCAACTCGTGCAAAGCGTTTGCTGCCACGGCTGCCGCCGGTGCCCCTGCTGGCGCAACAAGCGAGAGCAACGTGGAGAAATCGACACCAGCAGCGGCAGCACCAGCAGCAGCAGCAGCAGCAGGAGCAGGAGGCAAAGGAGCAGTGTGGGTGCAGCATACGGCAGACTCGCTGCGTCCGTTCCTGCAGCAGGCGTCAGGGGAGGAGCTATGGCGCGTGTCGCTGCTCGCATGGCTGTGCGAGAAGGCCTACAGCATCCCCCGCCTTGATGTGAGTGCACTCGCAACAATTATTTCTCTCAAACACTTTTTTCCGTGCAGTCTCTTTGTCCCGTTTGCCGTTTGCTAGTCACTCCGTTTGCTTGTTTCTCTGCCTCTGGCTTTCTCACCTCTCTTTCCACTCTCATCCTTCCATGTCCTTCCATGCCCCTGTCTGCGTGCCTGTCTGTCTGCTTGTTCCCAACAGACCAAGCAGCTGCATCGCCGCTTCGGCCTCACCCTCGTCACCTCCTCGCACATCCTCGCTGCTGCGCAGGCCGAAGCTGCTGCCGCTGCAGCTGCTGCTGCCAGCCTCGCCAAGCAGAAGGCCAAGGCAGCTAGAGCTGCAGCATCAGCCGCACCAGCGGTAGCAACAGCAGCACCAGCAGCACCGCCACCCACAACAGCAACACCAACAGCACCAGCAGCAGAAGAAAGTACACGTGCAGTTTCGGCGTCACACCCAATGGCTGCGCTCCCTGCTGGTCCATCCACTGAGCACGCACTGCTACCTGCTCCTGCCGTCCACGCAGCTCTTCCTCCCCCTCACGAATCCCCTGCTCCCTCTCCCTCACCGTCAGCGGCATCAGCAGCAGCATCACCACCTTCATTGCCTGAAGTTACTGCCTTGGTTACCGCTCCTGCACCTCCCACCACTGCCCTTGCTGCTATGCCCCACACCACCACCACCACCACTGCTGGCACCTCCACTTCCGCCCTTGCCTCTAATGCTACCTCGTCTCCTCCTGCTGCTGCTACTACACCTGCTCCTGCTTCTTCCACTGCCTCGGCTGCTGCAGCGTCTGTAGCTTCATCCGGCCCAAAATCTCTGGACACCCCACCTTTGGAAGAGGCCCCATCACCGCACCCCATCTCTCTCCACGCCACTGCTGAGGCCTTCGCCTGTGCAGCCACTGCTGCCACCGCCGCTGCCACTGGTCCTGCTGCCTGCACTTCCACACCTGCCCCTTCTGAAACGGAACCTCCTACTGCCCCTCCTGCTCCTGCCTCAGGAGCCAAGAGCAGCGCAGCAGGGAGCAAGCCCACAGCAGCAGCAGCAGGAGGAGGAGCAGCAGGAGGAGGAGGGAGGCAGCGGGCACAGCCCATGCGCATGGTACATATGCGACGACGAAGCAACCAACACACGATACATAGTCATTCAGGGCTCTGAGTCTGTCGCCTCGTGGCAGGCGAATCTCAGCTTCGACCCTGTTCCGTTTGAAGACCCTGCGCTAGGCGTGCTGGTGCACAGGGGGATTTACACCGCTGCCAAGGCGCTGTATCGGGAGTTGCTTCCGTACATTCGCACGCACCTGCATGGCGTGCAGTGCTCGCATTGCTCCTACGCCCACGCGCATGAGCACACCCCGTCCTCTGATTCCAAATCCCACGTGCACGCCCACGCCCACGACCACGACCATGACTACCCTCACAGTGACCTGCACGCGCACCAGTCCCCGCGGCATCCACCCAGGATCCAGTTCACAGGGCACTCCCTGGGCGGCAGTTTAGCTGCGCTCCTCTCCCTCCTGCTGCACCTCCGTGGGGAGGCCTCGCCACAGCACCTCCTCCCCGTCGCCCTCTTCGGTTCCCCGTCTATTATGTGCGGTGGAGACCGGTTGCTAGGTCTGCTGGGGCTGGAGCCTGAAGAGGCGATGTGGAATGTGGTGATGGCTCGGGACTTAGTCCCTCGGGCGTTCACGTGTGAGTATCCGTCACATATTACAGAAGTTCTCAGGCGCGTGAGTGGGGCTTTAAGGAAGCACCCTTGTTTGCTGTCTCAGAGGCTTGTGTATGCTCCCATGGGGCATATGATGGTGCTGCAGCCTGACTCTGCCAAGGCCCCTCCGCACCCCCTCCTGCCGCCGGGCACCGCTCTGTACCACTTGGCACACCCGAAGCTGCCGATACAGATGCCGAACACCCTGCCGTGGCACACCGTGGCTCTGGCCCGGCGGCTGTGGCGACTGGTGGTGGGGCGAGCGGGAGGAGCAGGAGGCGGAGAGGGCGAGGGAGGGGGAAGTGAGCTTGGCTGGATGGAGGAGAAAGAGAGCCAGAACGTGTGGGCTGCACCTTCCCCTCGCCCCGCCTCTTCCTCTCCTACCGCCTCTCCCGCCACCTCTCCCTCTGCCTCTGCCTCTGCCTCATCTTCCGCCCAGTCCCGCCTTGAGCTGCGAGCAGCACAGCTCGCCTTCCTCAACAACCCGCACCCTCTCGAAACGCTCTCCGACCCAGCAGCCTACGGGACAGAGGGCACCATAAGCCGCGACCACGACCCCCGGAACTACACCGGCACCCTGACCAGCCTCGCCTTGCAGGCCGTGCGGCGGCTGCGGAAGCAGCGGAGAGAGCGGGAGCAGGAGGAGAACCGTCGGGCGAAGGAGCTAGCGGAGAGGCAGCAGATCGCGGCGCTGCAGCAGCAGCAGCGGCGGCTGCGGAAGCAGCTGATGCAGCTGGTGCCGAGGAGGAGGAGGTTGGTGTCTAAGAAGAGAGTAGCGAAGCAGAGGAGGGGGAAGCAGGATGCTGCAGCTGCTGCGTCGGCTCTAGCGGCCGCTGCTGCTGCCGCCTCAGCGTTTCTCGCATCGGATGCCGGTAAGGGGAGGTTTGGGCCAAGGAACGGTTTGGGTGCTGATTCTCCCGTCTCCTCCTCCTCTGCTGGATCCTCTTCTTTCTTCTCCTCTGCACGCTCCCTGCCCCAGGGAGCCGTGACAGTGAGGTTTGTTGCTGCGGCGGTGGCAGCAGCAGCAGCTGCTGCGGCGGCTGCTAGTAATGGTGCTGCCAGGGATGGAAGAACTGGTTTCAAGAGTAAGAGCACCAGCAGGGGCAGCGGCGGCGGCGGCGGCGGCGGCAGCAGCAGTGGCAGCACTCATGGCTTAACAACAGACGTTTGTTTTGAGAGTAATGATTCAGCAGATGCGCACAGCAGCGGAGGAGGGGGAAGGGGTGGGGGAGGGGGTGGGGGAGGGGGAGGAGGAGTAGGAGGAGCAGCCTCAACCTCACTCTCCTGCGGGCCCCCTTACTCCACCAGTCTCTCTTGTGCTCACCATCCGACTCCCTCTGCCTGTGCCCTCCCAGCAACCCCTCCGTCCCCTTCTTCCCCTGCCTGGCTCACCAGCACCAGTGGCAGCAGCAGCAGCAGCACGGCAGCAGCTGCAGTGGCAGGAGCGGCAGGGGGGGAATGCAGGGACGGCAGCAGCGGCGGCGCGGATAGGGAGGTGGGGAAGCGGGGAGGGGGAGGGTCGTGGATGGATTACTTTCTGTCGTTTTATCGGTCGAGGCATGCAGGGGTGGTTCTGCTGCTGCTCGTTGCTGCAGCTGGTGACTTCTGAGTTTACTTAAAAGGGCGCGGGAAGGGGGAGGGGAGTCGTGGATGGATTACTTGTTGTCGCTGTACTGATTGAAGTACATGCGGGGTTGGTGCTGCCGTCACAGTAACCGGAAGGGCACTTTGTCGAGAGATTTTTGGCTCACTTCCCAAGGACGAACAGATTGCAGGGTGGATCAGTCGTCACTATACTCGAGCGAATGGCCTCTGGTCCCACAGCTGCTGCTGCTGCTGTTGTGGTGCTGCCTGCCGCGACTGCCGCCGCAGTTGCCGCCGCCGTGTTCCTGCTTCAGCTGCGGTGCAGTTGGTGGACTGGCAGGTGGGTACGCCATTTGTTTTGTTGTCGCGACACACATATGCGGGTTCAACGGCAAATCAGTCTCCTTTGAAGACCCGCTCCAGCAGCTCTCATGTCAACAGATACATGAAGCCATTGAAGGACCCAACAATGCTAGTGGATGGGTTTGAAATTCCTGAATTCTTGTGGACAAGGAAAGGCTAGCTATTGTCCACTGGGCAATTGTGGGAATTGGGAGGTTATGGGGTGTAGTGTACATTAGGTTCTCAGGATATTAGGCATGTACATAATTATTTTTGGAATGCTTTCTGGTTTGAACATTCTGAGCTCTCTCCTTGTTGAATCACCACCACCGAATCACACTACCAAAAGTTTCAGCACGAAGCTCTTTAGGTCCGTTGTCATAAGCCCTGTCCAGTTCAAATACAGCCTTACAATATATGGGTTATAATTTTACACAGATACGGCTGATCAACACCTACATTCTCACCACATTAAGAGGAGATTACTTTCCACAGGATCCACCATTGAGAAGATTCTACCTACCAGTAGATGTTCTACTAAAATCCACTGAAGCAAGCCCCTCAGCGGCCCTCGCTCCCTGTGGCCTGCCGCCGGCGCTTGCGGGCGAGGCAGTAGACGACAACTCGGCGGCTGATGAAGTCTGGGTGCAGGTGCCTGTCCTGCAGCCTGCCCACTGTGAAGCGCGCCTGTGCGCGCTCCAGAAACAGCTGCAACACCTCGTCTGGTGCAACGAGCAGTCAGGGAGAGTAGGAGAGAGGCAGTGAGGGAGGAAAGAGGAAGGAAGGGGGACACAGGAGAGGTGAATCAAGAAGTGTATCGCTCAGTGCCTGGTCCCTTACTGTAGTTCCTAGTAGCCGCATTCTCCGCGTTCCAAAGCTTAGCATCTACCTCTTTTATTTGGAAATAAACTAAAAGGGAGATAATAAACTAAAAGGAAGACAAAAAAAAGGAAGAGTGCAAGTCTTCCCAAGCTCACCATTCCTGAGCTCGCCAGCAATGAGCACAGTGGTGTGCGGGCGCACGAGCTGCCGCAGCGCCTGCATGAGTACCTCCACGCCCTCCTCACTGAACACCACATCCGACGCCACCACGTAGTCATACCCCCTCCGCCTCGCTTTCCCCTCTTGCTCTTGCTCCCCCCACTCCCTCCCTCGACCGCCCCAACCCTCCTCCTCACCCTCATCCTCATCCTCATCCTCCTCCTCATCCGCCTCGTCCTCCCCTCTCCCGTCGCTGTCACTCTCATCCTCTTCGCCGTCGAATCCTGGCAGTGCCATGCCCTCCCCCCATTCCAGCTCAAACACCCTCACTCTCACCCGCGTCTCCTCGCCCTTCCTGCCATGGCACACCTCTACTACCTCAGGCCACGCCCCACTATCCCCCCCTCCGACTCCCATCCCCCCATCACCGATAGAACCTCTTTGCCCTGCTGTTGCTGCTGCTGCTGAGCCTGCCTTTCCCGCTCCCCCTCTGCGCTTCCCCCCAGCACCACCACCCCCACCGCTGGCACTACCAGCGGCGCTCGCGCTGCTGTTCGATGCCTTCTTAGCTGATGCATGGCGGGCAGACGAGGCAGGTCCATGCGGAAAGGAGGAGGAGGAGGAGGAAGAGGAGGAGAAGGAGGAGGAGTTGAGGGAGGAAGGAGTGGCAGAGAGGGGGTGTGAAGGCAGCAGGTTGTGGCAGACGTTGCGGTGTATCAGGCGCAGGCGGTCGTACTGGTCTGTGATGTGCACGTGGGACGCTCCCAGCAGTGCTGCTACTATGCTGTTAGTGTTGAAAGATGGGGGGGAAAGAGGGGGGGGGGGGGGAGGAGTTGCGGGGAACAAGGCAGGGGGTGGTAGACACGTGAAAACGGGGAGAGTGGGGGAAGATATGAGGGGGAATGCGGAGAGAGCGGAGCGGGGAGAGGGAAGAGAAGGTCAGGAATTCTGGTCCTGTTACCCAACAACGTGGCCCTGTTACCCAACAACGTGGCCCTGTTACCCAACAACGTGGCCCTGTTACCCAACAACGTGGCCCTGTTACCCAACAACGTGGCCCTGTTACCCAACAACGTGGCCCTGTTACCCAACAACGTGGCCCTGTTACCCAACAACGTGGCCCTGTTACCCAACAACGTAACCCTGTTACCCAACAACGAGATGTGAAAGGAGTGATATGTACAAGGATGGGAGAGAGCAGACTTGGGGGTTCCACCTACACCCCTCTTCCCCACTTCCACCCCCATCAGCCCCCACTCCCTTCCTTCACCACACTAAAAGTTCAGAAAATCAAACTCCTCCGTTCACACTAGAGGGCCTTGCTTGCACCCTTCTCCCCACACGCACGCACCCCACACGGCCACAACCGGCCCCCAGTGTTTTGAGTCGACTCAAAACACTCCTCTCCCCACACACACGCCCACACACGCACGCACACGCACGCACCCCACAAGGCCGCAACCGGCCCCCAGCTCGAGGCACCTAGCGCCGCGAATGGGCAAGCGCGCCGAGTCCGCCAGGTGCTCCAGCGCCTTCGCCAGCACCACGCCGCTGTCCCACAGCACCGACCCTGTCACGCCTGGCCGAACCTGCGCATCAGGTTCGGTAAGATGGGCCAGACGGGTTCCCGTGTTGATGACAGATAGTCCGAGCGGCGGCTCGGATGTGAAGATTTTAGAGGGGGATTCGTTTTCAAGGGCAGGGATGGGGAGCGAGTGCGAGGCGGTGGGGAAGAGAATGATGACACTGAGACGAGCAGGAGGAAAGACGGGATCTAATGAGGGGGTCTAACCCCGGAAACGGGAACGCGGCCGCTGTGGTGGCGCGTTGGCGCCCGCGGTCGCGTGGACACGCGAAGCGGACGTGTGAACATCTGGACGTGTGGACGAGCGAACGTGTGCACGCGTGGACGCTAGCACTGGAGTGGGGTACCTGCGAGGCAGGAGGGCGACTGGAAAATATCGAGCACTTGACCGCACGCCTCGATGCGCACGCTGGTGGCGCCTTGATCCACGAAGCAGCCCATGCGCGCAGTGAACGGGTCGCGCAAACCCCACAGCAGCATCACCTCCTCGCACGGGTCCCCTACCATGGCCACCGGCACGCCAAGACGCCCCACCCATCCCTCTTCGGGCTCTGTGAAGCTTTCCTCATTACTTAGGCTTCCGTCGCTTTCTTCAGCTGCACTTGCTGCTGCGGCCATGGCTGGCTTGGAAGTGTCTGGTCTTGGCTGACTTCTTTGTTGTCGCAATTTTCCCTCGTCCTTGGCTGACAACGGCAGGAGGTTGTGAGCTGTATTTCTTGTCAGATCGTTCTATCTAAAATATGTACAGCTCATTAAAAAATGGTTATAATTTCCAATGGAGGACCAAGCCCAAATACTTGTGCATATATTAGGAATATCGTGCCTGACGCACTTTTATCTTGGCCCAGTTGCCAAGGACATTTTAGTATTAAGATTAACAGCTGATTATAAATACAGTAACTACACAATCTAGCATGTTATTTCAAAAGTGCACATGGTGCACAGAAAACCGTTGGCTGAGGCGGGGAAAAATCGCCAGCGGTGTGTCGCACATAACCGACCCTTTTGCGTCATCCCGCCTGTTTGCGACATCCCGCCAGTCGCACAGCTGGTCGTTGTGCCAAATTCAAATTCCAAATGGCGACTGCATCGCTGGACGGACGAACCAACCAGGTCTGTTTCTCGAGGCGCAGTTGACTCAATTCCTTGAACTCTCCGAGACATTCTTCAGCTGCGTTTGGCTTGGGCTTCCACAGCACAGCTGGACTACATATATCGTCTCGGGACAAATTACTCATTTACTTCTATCCACGGTCTGATAGTACTGCTCTGATTTATCTCAGGCTTTCCATACATTTGTTTCTTCGTTTCGGCAATATCCATCTCCTAACCATGACACAGACAGTACTACCTGAGAGCTCTCAAGCGGCAGTTGATATCCCTCTTGGCCCTGATTCTGAAACACCATCCAAGGATAAATCTATCTCCAGAGGGACTGAGAAGCTGGTTCACATCATTCCGCTCATTCTGATGCTCTGCATGGTCACTCTTTGGATATGCCACAAGGGTAAGCATCCCGTCCAGCGTCAAGTCTCTCCGTCGCCAAATTGTTGTCAATTTGTCGTCATTACAACTATTGTTGTGATGGTGCAGACTTGGATATGGCCTCAACTACAAGCGTACAGGGAGTCTATCATTTCTCGACAAAATCTACTTCACTCTCTGAAAGGAGGCTTATCGACGTCACCCAGGACTCCTCACACGAGGGAGACGTGCAGGCTGCTGGTGTTAAAACGACACAAGATGGCTTCTCACTCCGGAAACAAATTCATCGAGCGCTCTTCTCCCGTATGGATGCTGAGAAGACAGCCAAACCGAAGTCCTCTGCTAAGGCATTTTTGTTTCGTTTCACGTAGACGTCGCTTGCCCCGCTGAGGGCTTACAGTGACTTCTTACCACTAACGGCATGACTTGTGCCACTTGGGAGCGTGAGATAAATGCTAGACGACATTGATGTTGTGGTCTCTCTGATGCGTAACTATTGGTAAACTGATCCAGTGACGACTAATTTCAAAACCTGCTGTTACCTATTCATAAACCAACACATATAACTACCGTGCATAAAAACACCCCCATAAGGAAATAATAATCACCCTTCCAATGACAGGCATCTCATTACATCCATTACACCATCCCATCAGAGAAGCTAGTGAACTAATCAAACTGTTCCACAACATCGCTATTTTCAACCAAGTTAAAACACTACTACCGTATGTGCAACGTCTTTGACAAATACACCGTTTTACTCTTCATCTCTGCAACACGAGGGAACAAGATATAAAAGAGATGCAAAAAAGCAGAATCGCATGAAACTGGAAAACTTGATAAAGATGATCACAAGTAACTCACCCTTGCTCCTCGCTGTGGTGTCCCGCGGCCAGCTCCTGCTGAGCCATACCCAAATTTTGGCTTCTTTTCAGCAGGTTTCAGAATTTGGAAGGAGCACATGAGGCTCTCATCCACGCTCATCATGGCTCCTGCATTGTCAAACTCGCCACAGTAATTGGGTGCTGAAAACACTGTAACAAGCTGTCGCTTGGCAAAGAACTCGTAACCATCTTCCACCACCTGGACATGAGACAAGCGGGAGGTAGTGTAAAATGTGGAACGACGATTTCCAGCATGTTCTGAATGTTAACAACTCGATCACATGGTGCTTCCAGCAGGAAACAGAAGACAAAAAAACACCAACCTGGTGTGCCCGACACACGAGGTCAAGGTCGTGCTTGTCAAGGAATTCTGTGACCGTGTCGCCTCCAAATGTATATGACACGCCCCTGTCATTATCCCCCCATCCCTGAATGTCTTTATCTGGATCTGCCCACAATAGGTCACACAGCAGGCCTGCATCCGGAACATCTGTGGGTCGACCAATCTTCTTTATCTGCTCCAGGGAGCGTAAGTCAGGTGATAGACCGCCATGCATGCAAAGTATCTTCTCATCTATGAGAGCAGCCACAGGGAGGCAGTTGAAGCACTCAGTGAAAGTCTTCCACAAGCGAATGTTGTACCTGATGGATGTAAAAGTTGGAAAGCAACGAGACATGGAAAGGGCAGGCATGAAAGGGGAACCAAACTGGTGAATTCAGCCGCTCAGACTGTTTAAAACAAGGGACCCGCTGAGACGCGAGAGTGCGCTTTAGAAAAAGCACCCGTATGAACTTGTGAGCCTGTCCGAATCTAGAATTGCAGCAGCAGTGCCATTCCTACAAGACATTCAACTACCAAATTCCTACTTACCGGCGCTTGCACTCGTCATAGAAGCCATAGATGCGATTAATGGACGCACACTCGTGATTTCCACGCAAGAGGAAGAAATTCTCCGGGTACTTGATCTTATACGCTAGAAGAAGGCAGATGGTCTCCATGCTCTGCTTTCCGCGGTCCACGTAGTCTCCCAGGAACAGGTAATTCGCTTCAGGTGGAAAACCGCCGTACTCAAAGAGACGCAAAAGGTCCGAGTACTGCCCATGGATGTCACCTACGGTGGAGCAATAAAAAGAACTTTAAAAGAGCTAATAGAAGCAGACGAATGTGGGGGGCGTGAGTGCGGTTCGGACAAAGCAGCGAGGGATAGGGATGCAAGAGAGCTGGGCGAAAGTGTCGGAAACAAGGCATATAAGGGTGAGATGAAAAACATTCTATGCTTCGACCAACAACAGGACGCACCGCATATTTTTATGGGCGCCTCAAGCTCAAGAAGATTAGGTTGTTGCAAGAAGATGTCCCGGGACGTCGTGCAGAGACTTCGAATCTCTGCTTCTGTCAGCTGCACCTGCTTGCCTGGCCTGCCGTTCCTAACGTCTAGGAGACGAGCAATAATGTCATCCAATGTTGCGTCGTCCATGACGAATAGCGCTTAGCCGGAACCGGCACAACGCTATCCCCTGAGGTAACCTTCTGACGCAAGTGACGGACAAAAGGGACTGGCACAGACGGACGCAACAAGACGTTATAACTTTAACAGAGTTCACTCTAAACGCCAACTGAACTCCTCAGTCAGGGTCTGCTCGGGAAGGATTGGGGGAGCCGCGACACGTTTACGGGGTCAGAAGGCTCTCCTGCTTCCTCCAGGAGCCGAAAGGAAGCTATGAGAGCAGTACAGGCGACGCTCGACTACTACGAGAAAAAAAATCCGAAAAAGTGACACCAGCTCAGCAAGGCCTTCCTATCTCGCCTTCAAGGCGGGAAAGGGCTGCAGCAGCAGCCTAGCGATTTGCTATGAGCTCATCTGGGACCACGAGCTTCACGCGGGGATGTGATGTGATGTGTGAGGTGGAAGACGGAGGCGATGGGTATGAGGGATGGGTGACCCCGTGGGAGGGACGATTTGATGGGGGTGAGATTGAAAGGAGTTGGAATCCGAAAGGTTAGAGAAAGAGAGGGGTGGAGTGGAGTGGAGTGGTTGTGGAGAGAGGTGGTATGAGCACAACGAAAGTCGAGTTGTGTGGTGGGGTGAGTTCGTGCTAGTTGCTGCCTGCCTGACCTGCCTGGTGGCTGGTCCTGTGGGTCGTTCATCCTGCTGCGTAGATAAATTTCGTTGAAACCCTAACGCGTGTGTCTGGGGATGACTGCAACGAGAAGCTGTGATGTCATTTTGATGTAAATAAAACATCAGTTATACAAACTCTAAGAACCTATCACTTGGCTTCTGTCGACAAGCTTAAGATACAAAAACTGCTGATGATAATTATTAATTAGAAAATTTGACGACACTTCATGCAAATTACATGTATTATTGCATGCGGGTACCATTCCTTACCTTTTACTTTCCAGTGAATTGTACTCGTGTATAATGCCCTGGATAATAGCAGCTTCTGGTGTAGCCGTTTCACATTCTTCCCTTGGCGTCCTCCCCAAACATATCCTTCTTCAAGCTTTTTCCCATTCCCCACCGAATCCACCTTACCATTCTGCTTGTTCTCCGCCATGGCTCTTCGTCAAGCAGCCCGTCGCGCCGCCACAGTCGCCTCCCGCTTTCACCATCTACCTTCCCTCCCACTCATCAACAGCCCACGTACCCTTGCGTCCTTTTCCAGCCTTCCACCCTCGTCCTCTTTCTCCACCTTCCCCACTGCTACCAACTCTTCACCGCTTTCGCGACCATCCCTGCCGACTCTATCACCACCCGCCGACTCTACTATCACGGCCGCAGCCGCGCCGCCGCGAGGCGATTTTTCTGCTTCATGGCTCGCCGCGAGCGGCCGGAGCTTCGGTGCGTTTGGAGGAGAGAGGGGTTGTAGAGGATCGCATAAGATCGCATGGGATCGCATGGATCACTTGTGTGATAGGGACGGCGCGTGGGTTTTGACCTAGCTGTCTGTCCGTTTTAAGCATACTCGTTGACTGGTTCACCTGCACGCCCGCATGACTTTGCGTTGCTTCATCTCCTTCCACCTCTCTCCCCCACTCCCCTCCCCCCCTCAACCTTCTCCTTCATCCCCTTTTATCCTCCGTGTCCGATTCGGCGGCTTCAGCCGCTGGCAGCACGGAAACTAAAGTCATCACCATCGCAACGCCCAGCGAGTTCACGTCTCTGATCAGTGGTACGGCTCTTGTACTGACATCGCCGCTGGTTTATTGCTGTTAATCTGTGAGGTTGGGACGTGGTTGGGAAAGGTGGAGAGAGTCGTGGCAAGGCCGATACTGAGGAGAGGCTGGATTGGGTGGGTCCGTGTTTGTGTATGGTTCCACAATTACGCTAGCTCATTAGCATGTAAATGGTGCAGATATCTCTGACCTCTTGATTCAAGTTTGCATTGAAAGGCAAACATTTATTTTGTTTCCTTGATTGGCGTGCAAATGCGTGAGGGTGTACTTGCGTGGGAGGTTGCACATCTGTGTGTGTGTGTGTGTGTCTCCTGACCTGAATCCATCTGTTGGTAAATGCCTATGGGTGGGTGGTTGTGTGTGTGTGTGTGTGTATGCGTGCGTGCATGCATGTGTGTGTGTGTGTGTGTGTGTGTGTGTGTGTGTGTGTGTGTGTGTGTGTGTGCATGTGTGCGTGTGTCTGTGAGTGAACATCAGACCCATCGCGACTTGTGGTTGTTGACTTCACAGCACAATGGTGTGGTCCATGTAAGTTTTCTTCGCTCCTCCACGCCCCCCATTCACCACACCCTGATAACTTTCCCCTTACTCTCCCGTTCCAACCCTTTCCGCTCTCATCCCCCTTTTCCCCTTCCACCTTCCTTGCTTAAGTAACCTCACCTTCTCCATGCTCCCCCCCCCTGAATTCCAAGTTTTGTGCTTTCTCATCGACAAATGAGGCTTTTGCGAACTGATACAATAACATCCTTGTTTGGGACGGCACCAATTTCTCCTCCTTCCCTCCTGCAATTGCTCTCTGCCTGGCAGGCAGAAGCATCGCCCCGTTGTTGGATGAAATTAGCCGAACTCACGACTCAGTTGCCATTGCCAAGGTTGACATTGATGATGTGAGTGAACTCATCTATTGTTTTCATTCCCACTACCCACGTTTCTGGCCCTCCCTCCTATCAGCTCACTCATTGTTCTCTTATAATCCCTTCGGTCCCAACCCACCCGCGTGCCAACCCCCCTTCTTATTCCAAGCGTTCTCATTGTTACGTGTTTCCGTGGCACTTGCAAGTCACGGCCTGTTCTAATTGCTACTTCATATGTTTTTTTTCGACAGGCTGCACTTGCTGGTGTGGTTAACACTGCCAGGATCAGCAGTGTGGTGAGCTCTCTGACACTTTCTTCTTGCAATTGTAAATCCGTATTTGCACCACCATGCACCACTGTTTACCATTCTTCGCCACATTTTGAATTATCATGTCGTTAGCAGCATTCTTGGCGTAGTGGCATGAAGGACCCTCTGTCTTTCTGCGCATACTATCTGGTTGCTGCCTTAACTCCCCGGTCTAGCTTATGGTACTCTGCCCTGTTGTCGCTGACACGTTTTGCAGCCGACCTTCCATTTCTACAAGGCGGGGAAGCTGTTGAGCCAGTTCAGTGGAGCAGACGCACTCAAGCTGAAAGACACCATTGCATTGCTGCAAAAATGACGAGACTGCAATAGTCTACACTGATATTTCATGTGGTGAAGTGGATACCTCATTGCTTGCACTGGTGTTGCAAGACTGCATATATGAGATGTGTACAGTGCAATTGCTTCTGGAGTCCACTGACAAAAAGGAAAACTGTTCGTTCCCTGGGCAGGTTACAACACCCAAATTTAGATCACAAAGTATAAGACAGCAAGAACCTACCCTCCGAGTCAAAGCCCCCGTGCGATCATACCAGGTCAGAGCCAAGCACAGGCTATTTCCAACCTAGGGTAGCTTGACAGATTCAGGACACATTCCAAAGAGCCAACAGAACCGAGACAGAAGGCTTAGATTACTGTCAGAGTCCTAGTATGAGAGATTCTCTGCAACCACTTCACCTTGACCTCTACGAAGGGGGAATGGGCCTGACAGGAGCTTGGGCATCTGCGAGCGCTGCAGCAAACATCTCCGGGCCACCCACTTCGTCATAGTACTCAGCCCACACGCCTCTGTTCTTCTTGGGATCAATCCTCCTAAGGGCCTGCCACACCGCACTCTGGCACTTGAATCCGGACCCAAACGCGATCTGCCAGACGCGGTCGCCCCGGCGGACGCGACCCTGGGCTTCCGCGTAGGACAGCTCGTACCAGATGGACGATGAGGATGTGTTGCCGAACCTGTAAAGAGCCATGCGGGACGGCTCGGTTTGGTAGTTGGTGAGATCAAGGTTCTTCTCAAGCTCATCGATGACAGCGCGACCACCGGCATGGATACAGAAGTGCTCAAATGCGAGCTTGAAATCCGGCACATAGGGCTTCATCTTCATGCCAAAGACCTTGCGCGCGATGAGAACAGCGGCGAACAGCAGCTGCTCAGACAACGGCAGGACGAGCGGACCCAGCGTGGTGATGTTGGTGCGGAGCGACTCTCCAGCGACGTTCATGAGGTCCTTGGAGAGAGCGACGCCCACCACCTTGTTGTCGTCCTCCTCCTGGAACACACAGCCATAGCTCTTGTCATCTCGGCCCATATGCGTGCGCACCACGTGCTTCAGCTCGTACTTGGCACGGCGACGCTCGCTGCTCTTGTTGGTGAGCAGCATGGCGGCTCCTCCCAGGCGGAAGAGGCAGTTGGAGACTTGCATGGAGCGGCGTGTACCGAGGTAGATGTTCTGGGAAATGTTCTCGGTAGACACGACAACTGCGTACGTGTTGGGGGTCACCTGGGGAACAAGGAGAGTGAAAAGGGAGAAAGGAAGATAATGCTTAGTTGAAAACAAAAAACACTTGCGAAAAGAACTACGATGCGCGAGGTTGTGGTGATTTGCGCAGTCTAAAAAGATGTATTAAAGCTCTTAGCCTGTCTAGTTGGTGCCTGTCAAGTTTCGATAGCCGTGGGTTAAGCTCATATAAGTTCTCGTCTCTATAACACACCTCATGTTGTTCATTTTATGCATTTAAACATCCATCAACTCTCACCTGGAGCAAATCCTGAGCGAGCTTGATGGCAATAAGCCCCGCGCTGCAGCCCATACCACCGAGGTTGTACGACTGGATGTCGTTGCGCATTTTGTACTTGTTCACCACCATCGCGGATAGCGACGGAGTCGGGCAGAAAATGCTGCAGTTCACCACCAGAATGCTGATATCTTTTGGTTTGATGCCAGTCTTTTCGAAAAGCGCGTCAAGACTGCCGAAAATGACCATCTCCGCTTCATTCCGAGCCTCCGCCAGGCTGGGTGTAATCGGGAAGGTCCTCAGGCATTTCGGAAGATAAGTCCGATCCCCTAGCCCGGATCGCTCCACGACCTTGGTCTGAAACTCGACGCTCTTGTCATCGAAGGTCGGAGTGCGTCGAGCGAAGTCAAGTCCCTCGGCGCGAGTCATGGCGAGCTCTTCCGAAGGCCGAAAGCAGGCGTAGTCGACGAGCAGAATACGCGTGCGTCTGTTTGCGAAGTACAAGGCGGCGGCGAGGAGGATGACGTTAAGGGCGACGAAGACAGGAACGGCATTCTGGTGCAGGAACTCCCAAAGCGTCTGCACGTCTTCGGGTGTCATGCGAGCCACGCGAAGGGCAAGCGCTGCCAGTAAAGGCAGCAGGATTACAGGGCCGCTGTTAGACACGATGAAATGGTATGCCAGCTTCAACTTGCGTCTGCTTGAATTGGTTTGAGTCGATTCTGGAGGACCTGCTTTCCCGTTGGCCTCGGCATGTTCGCTCTCGGAACCCATCGTGGGACTCAATACGAAAGAAAAAGAGGCCTACGCGTTCGTGCTACAGCAAATATAGCAGCACTTCTCGGGAGATGCCAAGCTCGAGAATGCGAACTTCGGTAAAACAAAATGCCTCACAGGGACCGTGCTATTATGCTAGGGATGTAGCTTGCATCCTGCTGAACAGATGGATAGGGGAGAGACTTGTTTGCTTCTACAAAGCACAGATTCGAGTTGTGGTTCGATGGGAAACAAGAGGTTCGGGAAATAGCTTGTTCTGGAGGGCGCTCGGTGTGCTTCGGGGAAGTGGAACGGATGAAATCCAACATCCACGACGCGACAAGTCAGGGCCTGACCTGCAGCGTGGCACCAGGTGATTCGACGATGTCTGAACCTCGAAACACTCAGAAAAATGCTTCAAGGCTCGGCAATCGCACCCGAATCCACACCCCCAAGGTTTCACCAAACCACGCCAGGTATGGGTGTGACAGAGTGGCAGGTCTGGTCTGACACCTCCAGCCTCCCGCTGATTTTGAACCCTATGTTTCAATCAGATCTAGGCAACCCCAGCCCAGGCTCGGGGCGCAGAAAACTCAACGTGACGTAACCCGAAACCTCGGGAAAATAAAACATGGATGCACAGTAATTTCGTTTCGATGTTTGACTCGTATACGCTGTCAATTGAAGGCACAATTTGGAATCATTTGGCAGGTTTCAGCCCAAAACAGCAGCTTCATTGTCTCCAATGCATACAAACATTAGTCCATATGCATGCTTGGTATGTGAGAAGTCCGTGTTAAAGCAAGCTTTATATGCTAACGGAAAGAAGGCTATGCATGCCTGAGACGCAATTCCAAGTTCTGCCTAAAGCTACAAGAAACGAAGCATGCATTTTCACATACTAGTTACTAGTAGTTGGATGGAGATGAACCCTGTGTGACTCCGTGGACTAAACTGGTCGGTGGATGAAAAGGTAGAATGGGCAGGAGTCTGACCTTGAGGCTTACGCTACTTAAGGGGCCTAATTGGAGCCACCGTGTCAGCCACAGCTTCCGCATGCATCTCCTCCCCGCGAGCACTTTCGTAGTACTCTGCCCACACCCCTCTGTTCTTTTTGGGATCAATCCTCCTAAGAGCCTGCCACACCGCACTCTGGCACTTGAATCCGGACCCAAACGCGATCTGCCAAACGCGGTCGCCACGGCGGACGCGACCCTGTGCTTCCGAGTAGGAGAGCTCGTACCAGATGGACGATGAGGATGTGTTGCCAAAGCGGTAGAGAGCCATACGCGATGGCTCGACGTGGTACTGTGTCAACTCCAGGTTTTTCTCGATCTCGTCAATGACAGCGCGTCCACCGGCATGGATGCAGAAATGCTCAAATGCGAGCTTGAAGTCCGGCACATAGGGCTTCATCTTCATGCCAAAGACCTTGCGCGCGATGAGAACAGCGGCGAACAGCAGCTGCTCCGAAAGCGGCAGAACAAGCGGACCCAGCGTCGTGATGTTGGTGCGCAAAGCCTCGCCAGCCACGTTCATGAGGTCGCGAGAGAGAGCTACACCGACTATCTTGTTGTCGTCCTCCTCCTGGAACACACAGCCGTAGCTCTTGTCGTCCTTGCCCAAGTGAGTGCGTACCACATGCTTCAGCTCGTACTTCGCACGGTAACGCTCGCTGCTCTTGTTAGTGAGGAGCATGGCTGCTCCACCAACTCGGAACAGGCAGTTGGAGACTTGCATAGAGCGACGGTTCCCGAGGTACAAGTTCAGTGAAATGTTCTCTGTTGATACCACAATCGCGTATGTGTTGGGAATCACCTGCACGACGAGGAGTAAAGGTAGAGCTTTTGGGTAAGCGTGGAGTCCAGTTTGCAAAAACATCCAACCTCTCCTTCATTGAAATGAGAGGGAATTATGAACGACAGGAAGCAACAATAATGGAGACAAAAACAAAAGCTTCAAAAGCCTTTTCTTAGATAGCATCAGAGAAAATTCACCTGAAGAAGGTCCCGAGCGAGTTTGATGGCAATAAGGCCAGCGCTGCAGCCCATACCACCGAGGTTGTACGACTGGATGTCGTTGCGCATTTTGTACTTGTTCACCACCATGGCAGACAGAGACGGAGTGGGGCAGAAGACGCTGCAGTTCACCACGAGGATCCCAACGTCTTTCGGTTTAATGCCGGTCTTGGCAAACAAGTCATCCAGGCACCCGAAAATGACCATTTGAGCCTCATGGCGAGCTTCGGAAACGCATGGATCGATGGGAAGCTTGCGGAGACAACGAGGTAAATGGGTACGGTCGCCGAGGCCGGAACGTTCAGCAACCTTGGCCTGAAAATCCAGGCTCTTCTCATCAAAGCATCCCATCTCACGAGCGAATTCGACACAATTCTTTTGAGTGATGGCGAGCTCCTCGGGAGGCATAAAACAAGAGAAGTCGACGAGAAGAACATCCTTGCGGCGAGTGAAGAGGTATAGCGCCGTGACAAACAGAATCAACGTCGATCCAGCTGCGACCGCGATTACATTTGCGTTGAGAAAATCCAAAATCATCTGGGAGTCTTCGGCAGTGAAACGGTTCATGCGAAGAACAACAGCAGCCAATAAAGGAATCAGCATGAGCAGTCCACCATGTGAAACCACATAGTGGAACCCGAGCTTCATGTGACGAAGGTTGGATGCACGCTGTGTAGAAGCCTGCGACGGCTTCGTCGACCCACTCGTGCGAGACTGGTCCGAGGGTAGTGTTTCGGCAGAAGCCATAGCGCTTGGGCCTCTTCAAGCAACTATGTTGGACCAAGTCTGACAATGGTTAGGGACAACACTTTCAATCAGATCCCAGCAACAAATGGAGCTTGTAGCAAGATAAAGGCAACATTGCTTGAGAATGGCTGGGGGCTGTGGAGATTTCGTTGAAGTGATTGCGGGGGGATCCATCATTCTCCGGTTTCCCGCTCTTTTCTTTGGTTCGTGTGGTTCCTCGTCGCGCATCCAGCGCAAATTTCTGTCAGCAAACTTCCACCGCTCGATACCACATCCGAACCATGTTACCAGCTTCGGAGCTAGCCAGTTGAAAACTTATTGGCTGTCAGAAAGAACGATAACCTCGTTGACCAATCTCGCCCTACACGTAGCGTTCTGACTGGTTCGGCTCTTGGGCTTGATGGTTTAGGGCTTGTCCAGACCACCAGAAGTTTGACGAGCGTGCGCACAATGCCGTTGAGCGTTGAGACCTGGGAATGGATAGAGTCCCTTGTCAGGTGTACACTCAGAACACACTGGGGGCTGTTGAAAAAGGCCTAGGAGGTTCTTTCCGAACAGCGTCACCGAATTGTGGCGGTTCTTTGCCATGACGTCACTTCGCACATTTGTTCCTAGAAGGAAATGGGGAGAATAGTGCTGGTCACGGACTTGTTATGCCATTACCTGGTGCAAGCATAATGTTGAAAATCCGAATCTAACATAAAATATAGGTGCTAACAAAAGCTTTAGGGTTTGTATAGAGGTAGTATCTTAAAATATGCTTTTGAATAATACCAATATAATGAGATTACATAAACATTCAGGGTCTGCCATGTAAGTACATATGTTGAGTTCTGTTCATCACAATAATGATCAACTTATGCTAGTAGCTTGTATCCCAACATACTCCACCAGGTACATCCGAGCATTTGCATGCAGCCAAGAATCCCGTCCCGAGTCTGCGTCCCCACATCACCTCCGCTCTCCTCCCCTTCCCTTCTCCGCCACACACGCCACCTCCCCCTCGTTCTCACTCCGCAACAGCCATTCCCTTCCCCCCACCACTCCCCAGAGACACACTTCCTCCACTCCCGAAACTCTCTGTTTCGTTCCGCCGAATTCGTTCAAGCGCACCTTCTCGTCCAGGCACTATCACCACACTTAGGAATATTACAGTATCCCATCACAACCATGGATGCCTCGCCGTGGCTCAACTCTGCGCCGCGTCTAGCCCGTCCGTCAGATGCGCCAGGCCTTCTCGGCGCTGCCGCTGCAATGGACGCCTTGGCTCGGCGCAATAGGATGGAGGAGGAGACGCAGCGGCTTCTTAAAGTAATCTTCGGGGACGCTGACGTGGCTCCCCGCACCTTACGGGAGCGGGACGCCGTCGTCCCTAGATTTTCCAGGAAGCGCTTCGAGGCACCGTCGCTGCCCGTCGCTTCAAACAACGGAACTTTAGAGCCGTCAATTAATTCGGATCTCCCGGTTCATGTGGTTAGCGAATCCGGCATACAGCAACCAACAATAGCGCCATTCACGCCGCAAGATGCGGGATTGATTGAGAGAAAACTGGAGCTTTTGGAACGGATTCAGCAGCAACGCCTTAAAGAATTAGAATGGGAGCTGTTGCAGCAGCAGCAGCAGCAGCAGCAGCAGCAGCAGCAGCCAATAAAGAGTCCCCAGATGGGCTTCTTAGCTGATTTGCACAGTGCGTGCGTGTCGCTTCCTCCATCTATTCCGGACTCGTCGTCGAGCGGGATCGCCGGCGCCTGCAGCGGCGCAACTGGCGGTATTGCCGCGTGTTCTGCCAGCGGAGGAGGGAACGGGCTGGCCTTTAGGGAGCATGGCGACGAGGCGACGGCGTACCGATGGAATAATGGCTCGTCGGCAGGCGCAGGCGCGACGGGTATGCCTCCTGCTGAAACGACGATGTTATGAGTTGCATGCGACGGAATGGGTGCATGCGACGGGATGGGTGCATGCGACGGAATGGGTGCATTCGACGGAATGGGTGCATGCGACGGAATGGGTGCATGCGACGGAATGGTTGCATGCGACGGAATGGGTGCATGCGACGGGATGGGTGCATGCGACGGGATGGGTGCATGCGACGGGATGGGTGCATACACGATGGGTACCGTTCGTTCCTGCCGTTTACGAAGCACAAGTCGTCCTTTTTTCCGCGCTTCTACTTCCCTCTCGACCCCTCGAACTCTCTCCCTCCCTCTCGCTTTCTTCCCCCGCCACCCTCTGTCTCTCTCACTCTCCTTGTCTTCGTCTCCCTCGCTCAAGCTGTCTCGTTCGCCCGCCTCTCTCCTACTGCCTGTGTCTGGCTGCTCGTGCGGTGTCCGTGCGTGCATGCGTGCGTGCGTGCGTGCGTTGATGTGAACCCTCACCAGGCTCCCTACTGTCCACGGCAGCTCGCGCCAACGACTACGCATCCACGCCCGCGCACTCCCTCGCCGCCTCTATTCCCGCCTCCGCCGTCGCCGCCTCCGCCTCCGCCGCCTCTGTTTCCGCTTCCGCTACCGCTTCCGCCTCCGCCGGTGTTTCTGCCTCGGCGCGAGTGCACGCGCTGCTTGCCTCGCTACAAAACCTCATTCCCTCCGCGCCGTCCGTGCTCCCCGCCACCATCGCGTAATCCACTCCGCTCCGTCGCATCCCATTACGATTCCCCTGTGCCGTTTCCGCTTCTCGTCGCTCTCGCATTCCTCTCTCCAATCTCTCGTTCTCTCTCGCCTTCTTTCTCGGCATTCTTTTATCCCCTCCCGCCCCTCCCTCCCTACCTTCTTCCCCGTTGCCGTCGTCCCCTTTTATTCAGTTTCTCCTGACCTATCCTTTCTTTAGGCCGCTTTACTCATGTTCCCTGTTTTGTTTCGTATCCCCTGTTTCCTCGTTCATTTCTGCCGGTGCGGTGATGATTGATGCTTGATGCTGATGCTTGATGCTTGATGCTGATGCTTGATGCTTGATGCTTGATGCGTCCTGTGCCTGTGCGGCCATACAATACAGCAACGGCTCGGGCTCCTCACATGAGGCCTCAGGCCTATCGCCAGCGCCGGCAACGCCAACCGCGCCGGCGACCCCAACCGCGCGAGCAGCCGCACAACACATCCTTCTCCAGCAACAGCAGCAACGGTGGCCAAGGCAGGAGCAGGAGCAGGAGCAGGAGCAGAGCCAGCAGCAGCAGCGGCAGCAGAAACAGCAGAAACAGCAGCAACAGCAGCAGCAGCAGCAGCAGCAGCAGCAGCAGCAGCAGCAGCAGCAGCAGCAGAAACAGCAGCAGCAGCAGCCGCCGCCTGGTTCCATATTGGAAGGTCAGTCAGCTTTTGCTAGGTTCTCGTCGCTCCGCGTTCTCTGCTCCCGTGCTCCTCCCTCTTTTCACTACATGTGTTCAGGCCTTGCGCTCCACCCCACACTTCAAAACTTCTAACCTTTTTCCTCTCCCCGTCTCCCCCGTTTCTCCTCCCCCCCCCCTCCCCCCCCCCCCCCCCCCTCCTCCTGCTCCACTCTCTCCTCCCTCGGACCTCTACAGCGCGCGTTCCCATGTTCTCCAGCCGCTCTCTCGCCCGCATGCCTCTGCCTCGCTCGTCCCTCTCCCACCACCACCACCCCGCCTCCTCCCTCTCCCTCTCCACCGCCCCTCTCAGCTCCCTCCTATCTCCTTTCCCATCCGCTCTCCCTCTTCCCTCGTCTCGCCCCATGGCTGAGCCTGGTCCCTCCTCCTCCTCCTCTGTTGCCACTGCCACCGCATTTGATAGTGCAACGACCTCTGCAGCGCTCCTTCCGTTTGCCCCTGCCAGCCACCTGAGTTTGCATCCGCACAGACCAGCACTCCCCGCTGCACTAACTGATGCACCAGTGCTCTCTGCTCTTACAACTCAGCGCATGGTAGCAGCACCAGTGCTCGCGCCAGTGCTACCTCCCATACTGCCAGTACCAGTGCCAGCAGCACCAGCCGCAACAGTGCCGATTTGCACTATAAGCAGCCGGCACAAAAGGTGAGTTGTGTGTGTGTGTGTGTGTGTGTGTGTGTGTGTGTGTGTGTTCTCAGTGTATGCACACATGCTCACACACTAACCGCCACCCATCAGTGCGTGCACACTATTGCATGCACACTATTAATAGTCTGCTGTCCTTCGTCCCCTCCCTTTTCTCCCTCTGCTCTTTCATTATCCCGGAATGTGTAAACTTCATCCTTGCAAAACCTCCTGCTGCATCCTTTCTTACCTCTCCTCTATCCCCCCCGTCCCCTCCCCCCTCTCCCGCTCCTGATAAGTTTTATGTATTCAGCCACCTCTCTCCGTTCTCTGTTCTCCTTTGCTGTGCATGTCCCTCCCTGCGATGCTCGTCGTGGCCTCTGCTGCGTCCACTCTACCTGCTCGTGTGCGATGGGGTGGGGTTGGGTGGGTTTGGGTGGGTTTGGGTGGGGTGGGGAGTGGTGGGGTGGGGTGGGGCGGGGTGGTAATGGCAAGCAGACTGCTACGGAACCGGGTGAACGCGCAGCAGGCGAGGGAGAGGAAGCGGTACCGGGCAGCAGCAATGGAGGAGCGCTGTGAGGCGCTGGCACAGGAGAACAGCCAGCTGGAGGTTGCAATTGAAGCCGTGACAAAGGTCTGTACATGCTTCTGTGTCTTGCCAGTGCTGCTGCCACCCGAGCTGATGCTGCTGCTGTCATTGCTGCCGATGCCGGTGCTGCTGATGCCTCTCCTGCTGCTGCTGCTGCTGCTGCTGCTGCTGCTGCTGCTGCTGCTGCTGCTGCTGCTGCTGCTGCTGCTGCTGCTGCTGCTGCTGCTGCTGCTGCTGCTGCTGCTGCTGCTGCTGCTGCTGCTGCTGCTCCTCCTCCTGCTGCTGCTGCTCCTCCTCCTGCTGCTGCTGCTGCTGCTGCTGCCGCTGCTGTTGCTGCTGCTGCTGCCAGCAGCATTGCCCGCCCTTCATGATGTCCCTGTGGCTTGTTGCATGTCTCTCCTCCTTGTCCACGCACACACCCCTCTTGTTCGGCCCTTACCCCGCGCAGGAGAATGAGCGGCTTCGACAGGTGGTTCGCCGGGGTGTGGTGGGTAGGGAGTAGAGTGAGTGGCGCCTCAAAATTCTGTCTTTTCAGGGGCCTTGCGCTTTGGCAGCTGGTGCTGCAAGCTGTGGTGGGCCGAGAGCAGGTGGGAAGGTGGTGGGGGATGCTGCAAGCTCGGCAAGCTGCGTGACGGAATGCTCGTCTGATTAGGGTTCCAGCGCCTTGCAATGAAGCAACTGGGGGGGTGATGGTGTGTGGTCTGAGTGAGAATGTTGATTCACAATCCACGAAGGATGAAGGGAGGAGAGTGGGGGGGATGGAAAGGGAAAGGGGATGGGAGGGTGGTTGTTGCTAATTGGCAATAAGGTAGCAGCAATGCAAGGCAGCGGGAGGGTGCTTCTAATGTGTACCTCGTGCAATTGGGATAAGCTAGTCGTTGTTTCAATTCGGCCTGCTTTGCTTTGTGAGCTTTAGCTGGTCACATGCTGAGTATCGTAGCTTTGTGTGGGGTGGGACTTGCTGTATATATCAATTGTATCATACGGTAGGGGGAATGCTCTTGTAGTTCTTGTACACTCTTTTCATGTCTGCATATAGATTCACTGCAACTTCATGTGTGCTATCCAACTAGTAAAGTGGAGTCTTTCAGGGGGTGCTGATTGCGCTTCAGAAGGTTCATGTGTAGCATTGGTTGGTGCATAGGATTGGGTGATGTAGGGTTACGAGGGAATTGGCTTGGAGTTGTGGGAGTGGCTCGGTTGAGTGTGCGGGAGTTGGGAGTGAAAAGCTGGGCTGGATGTGGCGCAAGGTAGTTGGAAGAGGTGATGGGGGCTTTGGGCTGGGCTGTGAACAGGGAGGGGACTTCGGGCTGGGCTGGAGAGGCGACGGGGCCTTCGGGCTGGGCTGGTAGACGGGGCTGGGCTGGGCTGGGGTTCTGGACTAGCGGAATTCTGACGACGAATCTGCCGAATCTGACGACCTATAGTCAGAGGCCAGGTTTGTCGGTATCAGACGAAAAGATCCTCGCTATCTGAAATTTCAGATGAAGTATAACGCGTGCTCTAAAAAATCAGACGATATATAACTCTTCGTCTTATGGATCAGACGAAATAAAAAGCATTGTCTTACAAATCAGATGAAATAAGAAATGAAGGTCTGAAAATCAGAAAATCAGACCAATTTGGTCTGATAACGAGAGCCCTGGAGACAAGGTTTTTAGAGTGGTGGCAGGCCTAGTGCTGTACAGCTACAGGTGTGGAAAACTGTCAAATGTTGTAGCCTATAGTGAGGTTTGTCTTAGGGGGTACAAAACTTAGGGTTAGCTATATGTACCCCAACCAACATCAATGCATCATCCATTCTTCATTCTGACATGGTATCAGTTAGGTTAGGATCCTGTGGGATCCCGTTCCTCCGTTCTCCGTTCGAGCCTCCCGAGCCTGATCCTAGCTCTCATTCGTCCCGGTTCCGTTGTTACCGCGCGTAGTGCCGCGCCTAGCGCCACTCCTAGCGTCGCGTCCTGCCCGCCCTTTCCCCCTCGTCGCGTCCCTTTCCCCCCGTCGCGTCGCGCCCTTTCCCCCCAGTCGAGTCGCGCCCTTTTCCCCCCGTCGCGTCGCGCTCTTTCCCCCCGTCGCGTCGCCCCCCTTTCCCCCCGTCGCGTCGCGCCCTTTCCCCCCGTCACGTCGCCCTGCCCCGTCCCGTCGCCCTGCCCCGTCGCGTCGCCCTGCCCCGTCCCGTCGCCCTGCCCCGTCCCGTCGCCCTGCCCCGTCGCGTCGCCCTGCCCCGTCGCGTCGCCCTTCCCCGTCCCGTCGCCCTGCCCCGTCGCGTCGCCCTGCCCCGTCGCGTCGCCCTTCCCCGTCCCGTCGCCCTGCCCCGTCGCGTCGCCCTGCCCCGTCGTGTCACCCTGCCCCGTCGCATCGCGCCCGCCCTTTCCCCCGTCCCGTCGACCCTACGCCCTGGCCCGTCGCCCTAGCCCGTTCTTCCGCTGCGACTAAGTCCCCCCACCTGAACCCTAATTTGCCTCTTACCTCCTGCTGTTACTCGCCTGCTCGTTCGCGTTAGTTCTCGCTATGGCGACTCCGCGAGTTCTTCGTTTCGACGCTGACGGTAGACCTCTTGACTTTTCCGTCTGGCTTCTTCGCGCTCGCCGTCTGTTAGAGAGTCAAGTCCAGGGGGGCGAGACCCTCTGGTCGCACGCTACTGGTGACCTCCCCGAGCCCCCCGAGCCTGCCGCTTTAGGTCCTGCCCCTGACGATGCTGCTACGGCTCGCTTTGCCCGTCAGCGCGCTGACAGGACGGCTTGGACGTCGCGTGACGCTGCGGCCTGCATCGCACTCAGCAGCCTCCTCCCTGAGTCAGAGGAGGTCCACTTCACTCAGGTTCGCACCGCTGCTGCGTACCTCACTGCGATTAAGGCCCGCTACTCTACTCCCGCTACTGTCTCTCTTGGCCGTCTTTTCCTCCCGTTCCTGTTTCCTGATCTCGCCTCGTTTGAGCGCTCTGCTGACTTGATCGCTCACCTCCGCTCGCTCGACGCTAGTTACCGCGCTGCTTGCACTGAGGCACAGCTTGCACTGCTTCCTCCCCCTATGGCGATTACTATCTATTTCATCGCCACTAGCCTCCCTGACCGCCTTGCCTCCGTTCGCGACGCGCTTCTGCTGAAGCACCCTAGTGAGCTCACCGTCGATGTCCTTGAGTCTACACTCAAGGACGTCGAGAGCAACCTTCGCTCGGTAGCCGCTGCCTCTGGTGCTGTGCCCCCCCCACTCTTCCACGGGTGCACAGTCCCGCAGTTACCCACCTTTACTGCCTCACTTGCCACTGCCGCTACTGACGCGACTGCAGCTGCTGTTACGACTGCGTCGCGGTCCCGCGGTAGGAGTGGCAAGAAAGGCGGTTCTGGTGGTGGTAGTGGAGGTGGAGGCGGAGGTAGTGGAGGTGGCGTTGCGCCTGGCGGCGGTGGAGGTTCAGGGCCTGGAGAGGCGCCTCGTGCAGTGACTGGTGACTCCACTGCGCCTGCTAGTGGTGGCGACGCCCGAGTTCGTCAGTCGCCTCCTGTACTTCCTGCCCCGGTTGGTGGAGCAGCGGCGTGGTACCAGGCTCAGCGTCAGCAGCAGCTTCTGCAGCACCAGCAGCCCCTCTCCTCCCAGCAGCCTCAGCAGCAGCAGCGGCAGCAGCTGGCTCCAGGGTCGGGGCTGCGTCAGACCCAGCGCGGTGCTGCTTACACTCCCTGCACCTACCAGGTTCTGACAGGCCCTCGTCGTGGCCACCCTTGTGGCCGGTTTCACCCCCCTGGTCAGTGCTTTGCTCAGCTCACTGACACGGTTCGTTTGGTCTACGGGGTTGGTGCTCCTGCCCCTGACTGGCTGCCTCTTGTTCAGCGCTACGGCTCCGCTCTGTGGGGCATGTCTGCTGAGCAGTTAGTTGATCTGATTGGTACTCCCCATGCTATGTATGCTGTTGTTGACTCTAGTGTTTCTGACTCTGCTTACTCTGGTGTTGTTAGCTTAGGTGCTAGCCTTGCTCAGTTGCCTGTTGCTAGTGTAGGTTCTTGTGTAGACTCTAGTCCAGCGGCTACCTCAGAGGACGGTTCGCTGTCGTTCACGCTGGACTCTGGAGCCTCTCACTGCTTCTTTCGTGACAGCACGACACTTACGCCTCTTCCTGCGCCTGTTTCTGTGGCGCTGGCTGATCCCACTTCGGGACCAGTCACCGCGCGTCACACTACCACCTTGCCGTGTCCGGCTGCTCCTTCTGGGTCTCTCACTGGGTTTCACGTCCCCTCGTTCTCCCGGAACTTGGTGGGCGTGCGACCCCTCGTGAGTCAGCACGTGGGTGTGTGGTTTGAGCCTTCTGGAGAGACTGCGGTGTGTGTTGACGGGGACTCTTACCAGCCCCTCGCCACTTTTGCTGCTGAGCCGGGCTCCGGTCTCTACACTCTTCACACTGGCCCGCGCGCTCAGCAGCGACTGCAGCAGCAGCAGCAGCCGCAGCAGCAGCAGCCGCAGCAGCAGCAGCGGCAGCAGCCGCAGCCGCAGCCACAGCGGCCGCCGTCGCAGCAGCCACTCCTCCCAGTTCCTGTCCCTCCCCCTAGTCTCCTCCCTGCGTCTCACCAGGTGGTTCCGTCCCCTCAGGTTGTCGCGTCCAGTCCAGTCGCTGCGTCTTGCTCCTGTCGGTCGCTTGCCCACCCCACCGTTCTGTGGCACCACCGGATGGGACACCCTTCTCTTCCACGTCTGCGTGCTATGTCTAGTCAGCGTCTGGTCTTAGGTCTCCCGCGTGTCTTGCCGTCGCTGCCGCCGTCCCTTGCACCACCGTGCGGTCCTTGCGTCGAGGGTAGGCTGCGTGCCACCCCTCACTCCTCCTCCCTTCGTCCGGCCACCGAGCCTTTTGAGACGCTGCACTTGGACGTCTGGGGCCCTTCTCCTCGCCCTGGCCCTGAGCGTGAGCGTTTCTTTTTTGTGGTCGTTGACGACTACTCCCGCTACACCACAGTGTTCCCCCTGGCGAGGAAGTCTGAGGTGACTTCTACGCTGATCAGGTGGTTGCTTACCACCCAGGACACTCGTGGTCGTCGTGTCAGCTGTCTCCACTCCGACCGCGGGGGCGAGTTTCGCTCCGGCATTCTCGCTGGATTCTGTCGCGAACAGGGCATTCGTCAGTCCTGGACGCTTCCGGAGTCCCCACAGCAGAATGGGGTTGCTGAGCGTCGCATAGGCCTGGTCATGGAGATTGCCCGCACCTCCTTGACTCACGCCCGTGCCCCCCATTTCCTGTGGCCATACGCGGTCAGGTACGCCGCGCACCAGCTGAACCTCTGGCCATGCGTCTCTCGGCCGGAGGCTTCACCGACCAGTCTTTGGACAGGGTCCCCTGGTGTCGCGTCGAGGTTTCGTGTCTGGGGGTGCTTGGCTCTTGTCCGCGACACCTCCGCGGACAAGCTCTCGCCTCGCGCCGTTCCTTGTGTCTTCCTTGGTTTCCCTGAGGACTCCTCTGACTTCACCTTTTACCACCCTCCCTCTCACCGGTTCTTTGACTCCCGTGACGTCCGTTTCGAGGAGTCCACCCCGTACTACGTCAGGTACCCCAGTCGAGGTCTCCCGGTTCCTCCTCCCCCCCTCTTCCTGACAGCCGCTCCCCCGCCTGCTCCCCCGGTACAGCCTCCCCCCCCTGGTCCAGCCCCGTCTGGTGTGTCTCAGGCTAGCCCTCCCCCTTCGGTAGCCCCCCCTGTACAGCCTCCCTCCCCACAGTCTTCCTCGCCGCCTCCTGCAGGTGCTCCCTCTCGGGAGGTTGGTCCTGCGACTGTCCCTGTACAGGTCTCTGGTTCTGGGGGTGCTGGAGTTGGAGCTGAGCCGCGGGTTGCAGAGGACTCTTGTCTTCCGGGGGCTGGTACTGGTCGTGCGGAGTCTGGGGGTGCTGGTGCGGAGTCTGGGGGTGCTGCGTCTGGGGGTGAGGGTGTCCCTTCGGTTTCTGGAGAGCCTGGGTCTGGAGCTGGTGTTAGTGCTGCCTCTGGGGGTGGTGTGCTTGGTGCTTCGGAGGTCGACTCTGGGGCTGCCGCTGCCCCGGACACTACTCCTTCCCCCCACCCCTACCCGACCAGGTTCCAGGCTCGTGTTCGCCGTGCTCGTGAGGAGCAGCTGGAGTTGGAGAGAGAGGAGAGAGAGTTGCAGCGGCTCGAGGAGCAGGAGCGACAGCAGCAGGGGCAGCAGCCGCTGGAGCAGCAGCAGCCGCAGCAGCAGCAGCTGCCGTCTCCTCCTCCTGTCTCGGGTCTTCGGACCCTTGGTCTCCCCTCTCCCTCTCCTTCCTCCTCCCCCTCTCCTCCCGTCTCTGGTCCTCCGCTTCCTCCTCCTGACCCCTCTCCCGCTGTTTTCCCTCGTTCTCAGTCTTCGTTGTCCCCTCCTCCTTCTCAGACTTGGGCCTCTCGTCGCTCCCCTCGTGCTCGTCCCTCGTCTCCTGTTCCCTTCACTGACCTTCGTACTGCCTTACTTCGTTCTAGTCCACCTCGTCCGTCTCCGTCTGTGCTTCCGTCTCCTCCTGAGTCGGCTCTCACTGCGTCGCTCCCTACTCCTGTCACTGACTACTACCGCACGTACCGTCCTCTTCTCTCTCGTGTTCTCGCCTCGCTTGTTACTCACCCTCGTGCCTCTGTGTCCTCTGTGTCCGCTCTTACTGCCGCAGTCACTGAGTTTGCCTCTACCCGCCGCCTTGACTTCGCCACCGCTCTTGTGGCTGCTCCTCCTTCCAGTCCTCTGGCCGTCGGGGGTGTGTCTGCCCTTGGCTGTGACGCCCTAGAGGACAGGCAGTTTGAGCTAGATTCCTGGCGGCCGCTTCCCCTCATCTCTGTGCCATGCTCCTTGCCCCTGAGGGTGACCCTGACGCCCTTGACATTCCGACTCCTCGCACTTACGCTGAGGCAGTGTCAGGGCCTTGGGCCTCTCAGTGGAGAGCTGCCATGGACGCAGAGATGGCCTCCTACAGATCCACAGGCACCTACGTCGATGAGGTTCCCCCTCCGGGGGCGAACGTAGTCGACGGCATGTGGATCTACAGGGTGAAGCGGCCACCGGGATCTCCTCCGGTCTTCAAGGCACGCTACGTGGCTAGAGGTTTCAGTCAGCGCGAGGGAGTTGACTTCTTTCAGACCTTCGCGCCCACCCCGAAGATGACCACTCTTCGGGTGTTACTACACGTAGCAGCACAGAGAGACTACGAGTTACACTCTCTCGACTTCTCTACTGCTTTCCTTCAGGGCAGTCTTCACGAGGAGGTCTGGTTGCGTCGTCCCTCTGCCTTCACTGGCTCTTTCCCTCCTGGGACCCAGTGGAGGCTGAGGCGACCGGTTTACGGTCTTCGTCAGGCTCCTCGTGAGTGGCACGACACCCTGCGTTCTACCCTCTCTGACCTTGGGTTCCAGCCGTCTTCTGCTGACCCGTCGCTGTTTGTTCGTCGTGGCCCCACACCTTTCTTTGTTCTGGTCTACGTTGACGACCTTGTTTTTGCCACCCCTGACAGGGTTGCTTTGGCACACGTGAAGTCCGAACTGCAGAAGAGACACACCTGCACTGATCTTGGTGAGCTGCGCCACTACCTTGGCCTGCAGATCACCAGGGACAGAGCTGCTCGCACCATTACACTTTCACAGTCCCACATGGTGCAGCAGGTCCTTCAGCGGTTCGGGCTTCAGCACTCCACAGTACAGCGCACACCTCTTGCTGTTGACCACAGACTCACTGGACCCTTTCCTGACGAGCCGTTCGAGCCTAGTGGTCCCTACGCAGAGCTTGTGGGTTGCCTCATGTACCTGATGACTTGTACTCGCCCGGACCTCGCCTTCCCTCTCAGCGTTCTTGCGCGCTTTGTTGCGCCAGGGAGACACCGTCCTGTTCACTGGACAGCAGCTGTGAGGGTGGCGAAGTACCTAGCGACGACGTCAGGCGTGGGGCTAGTTCTTGGAGGGCAGCAGTCTGTCGTACTTACTGGTCACTGTGACTCCTCTTACGCTGACGACGCTGAGACTCACAGGTCTACTCAGGGGTACTGTTTCAGCCTGGGTTCTGGAGCTGTTTCCTGGCGGTCCACGCGCTCCTCTTCGGTCTCGACCTCTACAGCTGAGGCTGAGATCTACGCTGGTGCCATGGCGGCACAGGAGCTGCGTTGGTTGACCTTCTTGCTCACCGACCTTGGTGAGCGGCCGAGCTCTGCACCGACCTTGTTCACTGACAACAAGACGTCTATTCTCCTTTGTCGAGAGCCACGACTGGAGAGCAGAGTGAAGCACATTCACGTCAGGTACTTTCTTCTGCGAGAGTTGCAGAGGCGTGGACAGGCTCGCTTTGAGTTTGTGGAGTCCGAGGCCAACACTGCAGACATCTTCACCAAGGCGCTTCCGCCTTGTGACCACCAGAGGTGCTGTGTGCAGTTAGGCCTTGTTGACACTGGTTCTCGTATTGCTTAGACTTGAGTGTACTGTTTACTTTGCTTTCTATATACCTCTGTTACTTCTTGGACTGGCCTTGTGGCCACTGTTGTTTGTGCTCAGACTGTGTGGTGACGTTGTGATCCACCCTGAGCTTCGTTTCTTGGACTGGTCTTGTGACCGTACTCGTTTGGTTCTGCTAGACACCCCTCACTTAGGCTATGGGGGTGTGTCAAATGTTGTAGCCTATAGTGAGGTTTGTCTTAGGGGGTACAAAACTTAGGGTTAGCTATATGTACCCCAACCAACATCAATGCATCATCCATTCTTCATTCTGACAAAAACCCTCCCAATTCACGTTAGTTGAACACATTATATTCTCCAGAAAAAGCTGTAGGGAAGCCTGTCATGTCATCCATGTCCACTTGAGGAGCCCAGATATACAAGGGAATGTTGTAATCACCCGGATGGATCCCTGTAGCGCGGTAGTTTTTTGCCCTTTTCTTTGTAACGGACTTGTGGCCAGGTCAGATCAAATGATGCGCCCATGGTTGGCAAGGAGATTGAAGGTGCTTCTGGCTTTCCTTATTCACCTCAACTGTATGGGTGGTTCAAACATAGGAGCCAGAAGCAACGCGCTAGGAGCCAGGTGTTAGGAATGAGCCGAGCAGCAGCGATGCCCTAGGGACGCATAAGATACGGTAAGAGCAATGAATGCGTGCAAGAGTGCATGCGTGCACGGCGGCGAAAAGAGGTTTTTTTTTGCGGGCGCCTTGAACGCTACGAGCGCAGGTCGTGTATAGCAGGGAAGTGAACGCTGTCGCTGCGAGGCACTGCCGTCCGTGGCAGCAGCAGCAGAGGTTTGAGTCTACTTGAAAACAAAGCTACGAGCGCAGGTCGTGTATGGTGGGGAAGTGAATGCCGTCGCCCCGAGGCACTGCTGTCCGTGGCAGCAGCATGAGCAGTGGCCACAGCGGCCCCGACACGTCAAAGACATTCTGGAAGTTGCGGCATACGCCCAGGTCAAACTCGTTCACCCACACCTGGAGATGGGGAGGTGTGGAGTACGGCGCAAGCGGATACAGGGAGGTTGTGAGGGCGCTGCAGGAAATTGTGGCATGCTGAGGCAGAAGCAGACGAAGAGCTAGGGCGCCCACAGGCGGAGATGGGAAGGTGTGGAGCGCGGTGTGAGGAGAAGGTGCAGCATGGCGAGAGGTTGTGAGGAAGGGTGAACGGGACATGAACGTTCATGGAGTGATGGACAATGTGATGAACTTGAGTGCGTGAATGATGGAGGGGAGATACGGAGCAAGGATCAAAAGCAGCGACCCTGATATGTATAAGTATCTTACCAAGACACTGAACTCTGTGTGATTGAACAAGAAACGAACAAGAGAAAGAGAGAAAGAAAGAGAGAGAGAAAGAAAGAAAGAGAGAGAGAGAGAGAACAATAGAAAGAAATAACTGTTTCGTGTTTCAGCACCCTCTGGAGGCTCACCCTTCCAGCTCGCCTGGCCTCGCGGCGGCGCAGCACAAAGTCGAAGAAGTCAATGGTGGTCTGCGCTGTCGCCACCAGGTCGACTCAAACCACACCTATTGACTCAACTGAAAACTCACCCTTCCAGCTCGCCTGGCCTCGCGGCGGCGCAGCACAAAGTCATAGAAGTCAATGGTGGTCTGCGCTGTCGCCACCAGGTACCCGTGCCACGCCAGCAGCAGCGCTATGGCTATGAATGCTGCCAGTGCCACCACGAAGGTGAATATCACCCCTGGGAGTGGCTGGGCCATCTGGGGAGAAGAGAGGAACGGGGGGCAGAGGAGGTGTTTTGAGTCGTCTCAAAGCCACGCCAGCAGCAGTGCTATGGCTATGAACGCTGCCAGCGCCACCACAAAGGTGAATATCACCCCTGGAAGCGGCTTTGTTATCTGGGAAGTGGGGGGATTGGTGGGAGAGCGGGGAAGAAAGGAGGGGAGAGTGGAAGAGAAGAGATAAGTGAATGGGGGGGGGGGGGGGGGGGGTGCAGTGAAAGTGGGATGGGGATGGGGAGAAGATGGGGGACGGGGGAGAGCAATCATGGTGTGAGGCGGCTTGAAGCAGGACTGGGATGTTGATTGCAATGTTGCTGGGGAGAGCAGAGAGAGAGAGAGAATGTGCGAGGCAATGCGGGAACAGAGAGGGGTGAGGAGGAGGTAGGAGGAGATGAGGGGAGTGCGAGACGGGAGAAGGGATGAGTGGAGTGGAACGGAAAGAGGGGGGAGCGAGAGCAAGGAGATTGGACAAGGGAAGCAACAGGGCAACGAGACAAAGCAATTTGTGAGCGTGTAAAGGGTCGAGGTACCTTACCTTCTTGCGGTCGGCTATAAGCATGGTGGCGACTGTAACTGAATAGCCACAGCCCACCCACAAATACAGCACTGCTCGCACAGGTGAGGGAGGGATAGGGACGCAGGGAGGGTTGCCGAGGGGCGAGAGGGGAAGGTAGGGTTTGGGCGGGGGGGGGGGGAGGGGTGGATGAGAGGTAAAAAAAGGGGGAAACTGTCATGGCGTGTGGATGGCAGGGGAATGGAAGTGAGGGGGAGGGGAGGGCATGGGGAGGCAACGGATGGGTATAAGTACAACAGATGACATGGCACAAGTCCAGTCATGCTCTTGATCACACCGACAGAGCATGAGGTGGTGGCATGGCACGGAACAAGGTGACTTTTGAGTGGACTCAAAAGTCACCACGACATGGCACAAGTCCAGTCCAGCTCGCGATCACACCGACAGAGCATCAGGTGGTGGAACGGCACGGAACAAGGTGACTTTTGAGTGGACTCAAAAGTCACCCGGGGGTCTCACCACCCGAACATACTGGTGACTTTTGAGTGGACTCAAAAGTCACCACGACATGGCACAAGTCCAGTCCAGCTCGCGATCACACCGACAGAGCATCAGGTGGTGGAACGGCACGGAACAAGGTGACTTTTGAGTGGACTCAAAAGTCACCCGGGGGTCTCACCACCCGAACATACTGGTGACTTTTGAGTGGACTCAAAAGTCACCACGACATGGCACAAGCCCAGTCCAGCTCGCGACCACACCGACAGAGCATGAGGTGGTGGTATGGCACGGAACAAGAAGAGAAGAAACCGAAAGAAACCGATGCGAGAGAGAGTGACTCAAATGTCGCATTGACAGTGACAGAGCGCGAGGTGGCGGTGTGGCACGGAACATGAAGTGAAGAAACAGATGCGAGAGTGAGAAGAGAAACCTTGGCGGCTGCTGCTGGGAAGAATAGGCTGGGATCTCGAGGTGGGGTGTGTGTGGGGGAAGAGGTAAGGAGAGAGGGAGAGGACGCACAGAAGAGGAAGAAGTAGCGATAGTTCCGGAGCCCAATGCAGTTGTGCATCCACGCTGGGGGTGGGAGGTAAGGGGTGGGAAGCAAGGGGTGGGAAGCAAGGGGTGGGAAGCAAGGGGTGGGAAGCAAGGGGTGGGAAGCAATGGGTGGGAAGCAGGGGGTGGGAGGCATGGGTGGGTGGGAGGCATGGGGTGGGAGCGAGTGAATGAGGGAGCGAGCGAGTGAGAGAGTGAATGAGTGGGAAGTCAGTGCGAGGGCGAGTGAATGAGTTGAGTGAGTCAGAGAGAGAGCGAGTGACGGAGTGAGGGAGTGAGTGAGTGAGTGAGTGAGTGGTACGTACGGCAGTGGTGGTCCATTTTGAGCACGCATCTGCAAGGAATGCAGGGAAGAGAGGCAGATGGTGAGGTGAGAAGAGAGGCAGATGGTGAGTTGAGAAGAGAGGCAGATGGTGAGTTGAGAAGAGAGGCAGAGATGGCAGGTAGAGAAGAGACGACTGCATCCTTTTGCAAGTAAGATAAAGGTAATGGGGGGGGTGGGGAGGAAGGGGGGGATAGTTTGGTGGTATCATCAGGCTGCAGAGTGAGTGAGGGGTGACGCGAGGGGTGAAATGAAATGAGGGCCGAGAATACGTGTGCGATGAAGGGGTGAGAGAATGTGCACCGCACCTTTCACATATATGGCAGTGATGTGTCAGTGGGGGCTTGAGATTCTGACCTGCCATCATGGGGCAGGCAGGAGAGAGAGAGTCCACAGTGCCAACAGACCATATCATAACATGCCATGCCATGCCATAATCCCGCACAAAACCAGCATGCCATGCCAAGAATCCATGCAAAATTCTTGCGAGTTGCGGCATAATTGGTATTTATGAACTAAACAGTAGCCATGCCCATGTAGGGAGGAGTAAACACCATAACTCACTGCACTGAGAGTTCCTTTTTTCAGGCACCTAGAAAAATAGCACTCTAACTCACTGCACTGGAAGTTCCAGAAAACCAGCTCAACAATCTCAGCACACAGTCGCACACTCACAATGCCCCACCACTCACACCTGCCCCACCACTCACACTTGTCGCACCACTCACACTTGTCGCACCACTCACACTTGTCGCACCACTCACACTTGTCGCACCACTCACACTTGTCGCACCAGCGCACACAGGGCATGGTTTCGGAGAGGTTCAGCTGCATGTCTGCCACTATGCGCCCCACGCTCACCCTCACATCGCCCTGCGGCGCCCCTCGGATCTCCTTGTCTGGGAGCTGATGTTGCGGGAGTGCGAAGGACAGGGGAAGAGGACAAGTTGCGTGCCACAAACCCAGGTAACTTGTATGCCACCTGATTAATGTCACTCCTGACACCATACAGCCCACGCTCACCCTAACATCGCCTGCGGCGCCCCTCAGATTTCCTTCTCTGGGAGCTGATGTTGAGGGAGTGGGAAGGAAGGACAGGGGAGGAGGAAAATGCGCGGGACAACAAAACCAAGGTGACATCTAATCACCAGAAACGTAATGTCTGTCTGCCACTACACTCCCCACGCTCACCCTCACGTCGCCCTGCGGCGCCCCTCGGATCTCGTCTGGTAGCTGATGTTGAGAGGGCGAGACAGGGGAAGAGGAGAAAATGTGTGACAATAAGCCGAGGTGACTTTAGAAACAATTCAAAAATAATGTCTGCTACTGGCCTTTGAGGGGCCACCAAGCCACCCACCCACCCACCCACCCACCCACCCACCCACCCACCCACCCACCAAGAGCAGTGTGTCTCACCGCAAGCGGAGGAGGCGAGCCCGGGTTTCTGGTGGCGGAGTAGAAGAATGTTGAATGATACCCACGCCGTCGCCGTGCCATTCACCGTGCCTTTTTCGCACACCCTAGTGATCTCTCCTACTCTTGTGCTCTCTCCCACCCACCCGCAACAGTGTCTCACCGCAAGGGGAGGAGGCGAGCCCGGGTTTCTGGTGGCGGCGCAGTAGAAGTTGAAGAGAATGTTGAATGATACCCATGTGGCTGCCACAGCATGCAGCATGCCCGCTGGGGTGTGCAGGGGCCATGCCATGGGCAGCAGCAGCGAGAAGGCCAGGTAGACGATGGCGCTGGTAATGGCGGGGAGAGGGACATGGGGAGGGAGGATGGTTGAGTCGACTAGGAACTGGGTTACTGGGCCGTGCCATGGGTAGCAGCAGCGAGAAGGCCAGGTAGACGATGGCGCTGGTAATGGCGGGGAGAGGGACATGGGGAGGGAGGATGGTTGAGTCGACTAGGAACTGGGTTACTGGGCCGTGCCATGGGTAGCAGCAGCGAGAAGGCCAGGTAGACGATGGCGCTGGTAATGGCGGGGAGAGGGACATGGGGAGGGAGGATGGTTGAGTCGACTAGGAACTGGGTTACTGGGCCGTGCCATGGGTAGCAGCAGCGAGAAGGCCAGGTAGACGATGGCGCTGGTAATGGCGGGGAGAGGGACATGGGGAGGGAGGATGGTTGAGTCGACTAGGAACTGGGTTACTGGGCCGTGCCATGGGTAGCAGCAGCGAGAAGGCCAGGTAGACGATGGCGCTGGTAATGGCGGGGAGAGGGACATGGGGAGGGAGGATGGTTGAGTCGACTAGGAACTGGGTTACTGGGCCGTGCCATGGGTAGCAGCAGCGAGAAGGCCAGGTAGACGATGGCTCTGGTAATGGCGGGGAGAGGGACATGAGGAGGGAGGACGGTTGAGTCGACTAGGAACTGGGTTACTGGGCCGTGCCATGGGTAGCAGCAGCGAGAAGGCCAGGTAGACGATGGCTCTGGTAATGGCGGGGAGAGGGACATGAGGAGGGAGGACGGTTGAGTCGAGTGATAAATGGCCATGCCATGGGGAGCAGCAGCCGAGAAGAAGAGGTAGACGATGACGTTGACAAGGGGAGAAGGGGAGTGGGGAGGAGAGGGGAGAGAAGAGGAACACGAAGAGGAAGACAGAGAGAAAGGGGGGGAAGGGTGGAGGAGGAGGGGAGGGGTAAGGGGGAACAGAGTGAGAGGAAGTTGAAGAGGAGGCAATTTACGCTTTGTTCAGTTTGGTGATGAGAATGAGGACAGAGAAACGGCAGGAGATTTCCAAGAGGAGAAGAGGCAGAAAGGGCCAAACGCAAGAGGAAAGGCATCGCTACGTCTACAAGAGGCAATGAAAACACCGTGCAGCGCGCAGATGATTGGAGACCAAGGAAGGGGGCATGTCATGGGCATGGCATGGGCATGGCATGGGCAGGAAATAAGAAGGGTGACTGACAGGATGAGGACGAGGGCGATGAGGACGTAGAGTGGACCCAAGACCTTGACGGTGGAGTCCAGAAAGAGCTCCAGGCGCAGCATTGCCCACTCCCACCTGGGACAGACGCCGCATGGATGATGGATGGATGGGTGGATGGATGGATGGATGGGTGGATGGATGGATGGATGGATGGATGGGTGGATGGATGGATGGATGGATGGATGGATGGATGGATGGATGGATGGATGGATGGATGGATGGATGGATGGATGGATGGATGGATGGATGGATGGATGGATGGATGGATGGATGGATGAATGGCGTGCAGGGCACAATCACGCACGTGAGCACGCGAGCATGCGAGCAGCGCGAGAAAGCAAAAACACAAGCAAGCGAGCAACGAAGATACCAGGGAACAGATGGGAACGGAGAGCGAGAGGGGAGTGGGAGGACGGGATATCCTGGAAAGGCCACAAAGGTGGAATAGAATGCACTAATATGAGCAGAAGCAGAGGCGAGGAGAGGCAGTGAGGAAGATGGGAGGGAAACGACAGAATAGAATTAAAAGGGTGAAGCGAGAAGGGAGGCATGGGGAAGAGCAGAGGATGCAGGAGGAGCGGGGAGTGGCAATGGCATCATCATCCGTCGTCGTCGTTTTGTCGCGTACCCCATATCAAGGCGCCGAACCCAAACGCGGGGGAGAATGGACGCGAGTCGTCTCGCACCAGGCCCGCACATGGCGTGTGAGGGCAACTGGTCCGGCCAACAGCGGGGAGCGGACGCGAAGCAGAATGCACGGAACAGCTGAAAAGGCTGCTTCTCAGAAGCGGAATGGTCGAGTGGATGGAGGATGATGGTATTCTGCACGGGACCGCGACGAGCTCAATGATTCTGACGGGCTGTAGTGAACCCTGCACTTAACTAAGTGGCTGAAGCTAGCTTAGATCATCCCAGGGACAGCCAAACGACGGCACCAACTTGTAAGTCACCATCGTGCCAGCCAGGCGGAACTCGGTGGACAAACAAGCCGAATGAACAGTCGCAGCAATGTAGGCGCGGCCGGCGGTAATGTGCTGCAGGGATTCACACTTCTCTAAGCTCTAGCATAATTTGAATTCCCTCGACTGGTTCGCGCTTTCCCTAGTTGTTGACGGGAGAATTCTCTTATTCCATCCTGTCAGAGAGGAAGCCCACATCAGCTGTTACTGCACCAGCCAGCAGCACAACTGAAATACCCCAGATCTATTTCCTACAGAACAAGTTTTGTACTAGAAAGCGGTTCCTTGGAAAATCAGCATATTTATTGCAAACACAAATACAAGATACAAGGCAAGGGTCCACACACGGAAACCACAAGCAAAATACAGCTTGGTAGTAGCTGGTGACCAGCAAGACGCTAGCCAAAAGCAAACAAAGAAAGATAAACAAAAGCATAATCAAGACATCTGCGTAATGGCCTGTGGATGTGACTGCTGCATTGCCAAGGGCGGCTGCTCCTGCACTCCATCTTGAACTGCATCCTCTGCCATCATTTGCTGCTGCTGCTGTTGCTGCTGCTGCTGCTCCATCAACTGCTGCTGCTGCTGCTGCTGCTGTTGCTGCTGCTGCTGCTGCTGCTGCTGCTGCTGCTGCTGCTGCTGCTGCTGCTGCTGTTGCTGTTGCTGCTGTTGCTGCTGCTGCTGCTCCTGCTGCTGCTGATGCTGCTGCTGCTGCTGTTGCTGATTCATAAGAAGCTGCTGCTGCTCGGGCCAGTGCTTCATTCTCTCGACAGCTTTCTGAAGTAGCTCCTTACGATGCCGCTTGAAACTGCTCATTTCAGATACACCAGAGCCAGGCTCACGGCCATCGGCACCACCAGGAACAGCCTTTTCACCACCAAGGGCTTCTCGCAGCTTGGAAATGCTGCCTTCAAATTCAACGCGCAAAATCTCTTCCCAGTAACGAATCGCAGCATCCAGGCTTCCACCCAGCTCGGCGGCCTTCTTCTCAATAGCGTGAATAATGCGCATCTGCGAGAACGACGAGTCAATGTCGAAGCAACAACATTAAACAAGAAAAGCAAATAACAAACCGACAATGACAATAAGATGCGAAAGACAATGTTACCTGCTTGCTCCAATACTTGTAATCATTCTTATGCCTCCACCAAACGCATTTACGATCGCGCTTGCGTGCTTCTTCAAGCTTCTCAATGGACGGCCCACCATTGATACCCTCCTTCCATTCCGTCCATACGTCAATGACCTTGCTCTCGGAGCTGCGATTCACTTCGTAACCTTCAGGATTAACAAGGTCCGCCTCAAATCCAGCCGCGGAGCTCCCGGCACCGAGCAAAAGCTGACCTCCTGGTGCACCTGGAGGCGGAGAGAGCATTCGGCGACTCCTTTTTCCTTGTCCTGGAGGTTGAGATGGCTTCAGCGCTGGAGATGCAGGCACCAGCGAAGGCGGCATCAATGAAGCAGCCGAGGTCATTTGCTGAGGTTGCAAATAATCGGCAGGAGCTCCGCATGCTGTGAGAGGTTGGCATCCCAGCTGTGACAAGTGATGTTGCTGCTGCTGTAGGTGTTGCTGCTGTGGGGGTTGTTGCTGCTGATACGGCTGCTGGTTTCGAGTGTCCGTCTGCAACTGCTGCTGGTGCGCTCCAACAGTAGGAATTCCTGAACAAAAACACAAACAGTGGTATCACACACCATAGAGGTTAGTGACATTAGAACGAAGAGCAGACGCAAATGCACATGGAAGCGCTTTGACAGAACGATACTGATGGAATCACTAGGACATCGAAGAAATGTTTTGGAATAATCGGGAAATTCCACCTGACGTTATCGTGAGTGTAGAGCCACCAGTGAGAGGAGAGTCCGAAAACAAGATCCTGAGAAAAATAGTCTCTTGGATACGCAGTTGCTCTTTCTCCTTCCACAAACAGTTCCGGATGTGACGACAATCGCTAACTCGCTCCTTGTCACCTAGTTCAGCTGCAGACTCTACTTCTCTACATACTACGGTAAGTTGGTTTTCAACATTGGCGATGTCACGCCGAACGCGCATCAATTCGCCCCTAGCATCGTCGGGGCGGTAAGTAGCCATCTTGCCGTCGCTGCCCTGAAGGACAAGGAGCGACAGGGGCTCGGATGAACGATAAACTGGGAGCTCGCAGATAGAGAAGACGAGGGTTGCGAAAGACTGGAACCTGAAGCATCAGGTTGGGCGATAAAACGAAACCCTGGGAGCAGATGGGCGATTGCTGAGGGAAATGGGTGCGATGAACCAAGGTGTAGCTAGCGATGGCTCCAAGGGGAAATGGTTGAGGAGGGAGGGTCGACTGTATCATCCCATCCACTGACTGCCACGGCGGAAACTCCGAGGCGACTTGATGGCGGAGTGTGCGGCTATTCAAAGGGCTGAAATCCTGTCAGCGGCTGCGATCTGTTTATGCCACTTGATTGACGGTTTAGATGAACGTAAAACATTTGAGGTCACCCCAAACCTGTTTGGCTGGGGAATGAGGCGATGACGGAGAAAATCGCAAGCCCTGCGATTGCGAGGGTTTCCACATCAGCAAGCATGCACTTGGGGAATGCAATTCGCGGAGGAAACTGTAATTCGACAGCTGCAGTCGTCAGCCTACCACGATCGTCGTCCGAGGTAACCATTAATCGCCCGCTGGGCCGCTGCCATGGAGCATGACACGACCTGCAAATTGGCAGGACCTTGCGACCAGCACAACCACCTTCCAACTGTCTAGTACACGCATAAAGTGTACCCTTTCACGCTTAGCCTATCATGCTCATAACTCAAACAATAATAGGTGAGGAGATAATCCATATTGGCTAAAAAAGGAGAAAAAAAAACGGAGAAATTTTTTTAGACAGTAACAAAGAAGAAACTTTGGTTCTAGATGGGTGTTTTGGTCAATTAAAGAGTAAGGAATTTGCATTTTTTTTTTAACCGGGGTGCACATTCACCTGTGCGGGCATCAGGAGATAGCCTCCAATGGCCCACATTACAGCCAAAGCTCGGCCCAACCCCCAAAATTCGTGTTCCCCATCCCCGCCATTTCTGAATGTGTGCCTCGGTTTTAAGGATCCTTGCACTATAAAAACGTTAATATCCACAGTCGTTACTTATTGCTTGTTTCTGATAAGGATGACTTTCTCTATGACCAGAAGGATAAGCTCAGCTACTCTAAAGATACATGTCTCTTCTTAGCCTTTGTGAAGTCAACCAGTGTACTTATTTTCCGTTTTCTCCAGCTTCGTGTTCTTCTGTCAAGCGTGACAGCTAACATGACAGGTTTGTTGTCCAGAGGCGGTTTACATGCCCGTTCGTTCCCCGAGCAGACTTGGTTCGGCACGAGCCGGAGAACTAGCTATCTCCCTCGGTCCGACCTCCTTTCTTGGCTTGGCGGGTTGTTGTGGCTGGGCTTGATATTTCCACCAGCTTCATTCCCCTGCCATAACAACACTGCAACCTAGGTTTCTCCTTTCTTCCCACAGCTTCCACCTCTCAACATTTATTATCCCTACCTGCTTCTGTAGTAACCATGGGGTCGGAGCGCGAAGATCAGGTTTACCTGGCCAAGCTTGCTGAGCAGGCCGAACGCTATGACGAAATGGTGGAGGCCATTGAGAAAGTTGCGAAGCTCGCTGACGATGTGGAGCTCTCGGTGGAGGAGCGCAACCTTCTCTCGGTAGCATTTAAGAATGTTGTTGGAGCTCGCCGCGCTTCGTGGCGTATCGTCTCCTCTATTGAGCAAAAAGAGGAAAGCAGAGGCCACGAGGATCGTGTTGCTATTATCAAGGAGTACCGCGCGAAGATTGAGAAGGAACTAGACGAGATCTGTGGACGCATCCTCTCCTTGTTGGACGCACACCTTATTCCTGCATCGAAATCCGCTGAGGCGAAGGTGTTTTACCTGAAAATGAAGGGTGATTATCATCGTTACCTCGCGGAGTTCAAGTCCGGAGCAGATCGCAAAGCTGCCGCTGAAAGCACACTGGAGGCTTACACTGCAGCTCAGGTACGTTCTGTCGTATCTGCACAATTATCTGTGCTTTGGTATTTGAGCGTTATTTTCTTCGCGTACGAGTAGTGTATGTTTTAAATGTGTTTAAGCTCAACACCATTTTTGTTAAATGGCAATGGTTTTTTTTTTGTACTTGCTTTTATATTTACCATGCGATCAAGTGTCCTTTCTATATTCCGAGTTTATTTCTTTTTTTTTTTTTTTGTGCTAATGTCTCGCCCTTCGCTGCCGTGTTCGCATTGCACAGGATACGGCTAATGCTGATCTTGCCACTACTCACCCGATTCGTCTGGGTTTGGCCCTTAACTTCTCTGTCTTCTACTACGAGATTCTTAACTCTCCTGAGCGCGCTTGCACGCTCGCGAAGCAGGTAATGCAGTTCAGTTTCAACACGCTTATGAAATGTTGCTTTGTTGTTCTCATTTAGTCCTTACTTCTTGGTCCACGCTGCAGGCTTTCGATGAAGCAATTGCGGAGCTCGACACGCTGGGGGAGGACTCGTACAAGGATAGCACGCTCATCATGCAATTGCTGCGGGACAACCTGACGCTCTGGACCTCGGATATGCAGGTACGTTCTGGCTATTAATCGTTTTTTTGCACCGTTGTTCCCATTACGATGCTATGGTTTTGTATGTTGGTGATGGTTGATATTGAATGCCAGCTGGTTTTACCTTCAGTTGCATGTTTCCCTGGTACAGGACGAGGCAGCAGAGGAGAAGGCTGACGAATGAGAACCAGTGTTCTACCGGATAACAGAGTGTTCACAGTTTGAGCTCTGTTGTTAGTTAGGCTAGTTGCCCTTTAGGACTTCTTTGCAAGCTGATTCGTACTTTTGTTGTCATTTCTTCGTGACTAAATGCGTCTAGGCTGGTTTGTGCCGAAGCTTCATTCCATTCTCGTTCAGATACTTTTCCATTACTATGTGCCTAAGGTTTAGTCCAACAAGCCTTTCTAAGATAGTGCAAGTGGTGCAGGCGCCCATTCACTAATAAGGCTTACAGAAGTACTGATTGACGTGGCATTCATGCATTTAGTCAATGACGCATTGTTGAGCGGGAAAGCCAACCAGATGCATCCATGGTTTTGTTTGAAATAGCCTCCTAGACCGCAGATTGTGCATCTCACGTCATCAAATTCCCTAGCAGTCCCATTCATGCACCTCGCACATCCACAGCTGGATCGTTAGGACTCCCAGCTCATTTCACCGAACTTTATCTCATTCAAATCCTCCCAAACCATTACATTGTCACAACCTCTCACCAAGTTTCCAAGTTTCCTGCTTCACTTTTCATCCACTCACATCACACGCACTGCGTTCGTTCGCACATTTCACGCATTCCCTTTGATCAGTTTCTCCCGCCTGGTTTTGTACAAAGCTGCAATGTCGCAGCAAGCCTCAGCATTCGTTGGTCGAAGAATCGCCAGCTGCTCATCAACTCAGCTTGCCATTCGCTTCTCCCGCTCCAGTCTCAATCCATTCCGCACCAAAAACGCCGACCACACTTCACGGCCTCATCTATCCCGGGTTTCGTTGCCTTCTGTCACAAGCTCGGCCTCCCTGTCGTCCCACTTCAAAGCTCATCCCGTCGCGGCACCCTCCCTTTCGTTTCGCCATCCAAGCGGTGAGTGCTTGCATGAAAGCTCCACCTTGTAGCACGTACATTGTGCAAGGGAAACATAGAAATTGACGATGCACCCTTTTGCATTGCGGGCAATACACCTGGCTTCATCAGATATCGAGCTTCCTCCTTTCATGCCTTGATTCCCAATTCATCCCTCATGCTCACCGCGAATTTCACTCACCCATCCCACATGGTCCATTCCGCAGCCCTCCACTCCGGCTCTTTCCCGACCGTCTCGGCTTCCGCTGCCGCCTCCGCTTCGGCAAGTTCCGCAATGGGGGAAACGGGAGACTCCGCAAAGCCGCGCGTGCTGGTGGTGGGACCGCAGCTGCCGCGCCTGGTATCCGATCTCGAGCAATTCGCGACGCTCGTGCACCTCCCGACGGGCGACAAGGCGGCGTGGGACTCGCTGCTGGACGCGCACGCGGGGGAGATCCGCGCGGCTGTGACCAACAGCTTCTGGGGATTCCCCGCGGAGCTGTTCGAGCGGCTTCCGCGGCTGGAGATTATCACCAACTTCGGCGTGGGCGTGGATTCCATAGGTACGCCGGAGTGCTGCCAGGTGAAGCGGGGTTGAGAATAGTGAGGGGGGGAAGGGGATTCAGCAGGTAGAGAATTTGCGACACTTTACCTTTCTCGTTTCCCGTTCCGTCGTGTGTTTCCTTTCCAGCGAACAATAACCACTCAATTTCTCCCTTTTATCCTCCCCGTGTGCCTGCATTTTCCCACGTGCGTCTCCAAATGGCTTCAGACGTGGCGAAGGCCAAGGACAAGGGCATCCACGTCACTAACACGCCAGACGTGCTCACGGATGACGTGGCAGACCTGGCTCTCGGGCTGATGCTGACTGTATCGCGGCGGCTGGTGGAAGGCGATCGATACGTGCGCGAGGGGCAGTGGGTCAAGAAGGGCATGATGCACCTGACGCACAAGGTGAGCTGCGGTGTTGGCGCGGGGTGGAGAGGGGTGGAAATGGTTGGGGGTGTGTAGGATAGGGTGGGGGGTGACGGTGGATGTGTGGAGTAAGGGCGCTCGAAGGAACTGTGATGCAGGGGGGTGCCAGTGGATGAAGGAAGGAACGTTAATGGACAGGGCACCGTCCATAATATCTTTACTGATGGTAACAGTATAGCTGGTCACTCATCCGAACCTGCTCCTGCTTGATGGAGCGTGGGAGGAAGCTTTCGTTGAATGGAATTGCTTCGTTTGTTACTGTCAATGCACTCCCTGTCCCCCTCTCCTCCCCACCTTTCCCCCTTTCCCCCTTTCCTGCTCCACCCTTCCCCGCTCCTCTCCTGCTTGACTGCACGCTTTTCCAGCTCCACAATTAATCCAAACACCTCCCGCTCCCCTCCCCACCCTACTGTCCCCTTGCCCTATTCTCTCCAACGCGCTGTGCCCCCTGTGCCTTACGGCCAAGTGACTCAAATGCTTGAGACGTGTGGGCTTTCCACAGCCATAAGCCCACAGCCCAGCTAGCAGCACGCTCCAACTGTCCTCCATCTACCTCCTGGCTGTGCCACAGGTGTCAGGCAAGCGAGTGGGCATCATAGGCCTGGGCCGCATCGGCCTGGCCATAGCCCAGCGAGCAGCAGCCTTCAACTGCCCCATCGGCTACTACAGTCGCCGCCAGCGCTCCGACATCCCCTCCTCCTACTCCTACCACTCCTCCCCTGCCGCCCTCGCCGCCGCGTCAGATTTCCTCGTTGTCGCCTGCCCCCTCACCCCAGAAACCACGCACATTGTAGACGCAGCTGTCCTTGAGGCTCTTGGCCCGTCCGGGGTACTGATTAACATTGCCCGGGGGAAGAATGTGGATGAGCCGGCACTGGTTGCGGCGCTGAAGGAAGGGAAGGTGGGGGGAGCGGGGCTGGATGTGTTTGAGGATGAACCGAATGTGCCGGCTGAGCTGCTGGGGATGGATAATGTGGTGGTGCAGCCTCATGTGGGCAGTGGCACATTTGAGACGCGTGGCGTGATGGCTGATGTGGTGTTGGAGAATCTCAAGGCGCATCTTGCAGGGGAGCCGCTCAAGACGCCTGTGGTCTAGGGTGGGGTTTCCGGTGCTGGTGCTTGTGCCGGTTCTGGTGTTGCTGGAAGGTGCAGGGTTGCATGGGTATGGTATCCCATGGATGGAACATTATGATCTGACTTGCAATTGAATCTGTAGATAATGAAATTGTAGCTCTTGTACACGTGGTTGTCTCATGCCAGTACGCTTCAATCATTTGTAGCAGGAGTAACGAGCAGCAGAAGACAAATTATTGAATGACAAGCAGAAGAAGCTGGTGCATACATATGGCAAATCCTAGGAACAACAGTACGAACAGCATATGGTTGGAACATTACACTGGAGAACAAACCTAGCATCTGAGTGTACACACAAGCTTGAAATAATGACCAGCCCCCCCCACTCCTGTGCACACTTCCACACCTCACCCATCCCCATAAACTTGTTTCCAGCTGTCGCAGCAGCTTCACTGGCAGGTCCTGCTACATGAACCAACCAAGTCACATGGCCACATCCCAGAATCTACCCTGCAGATCCGAATCATTTCATCCTTCCCTCTCAGCTACCGTATCTGTGCTTGCAGGAGCCTCAGCTTGGCCAGCACATCGCCTCCTCCTGCCTCGCAATCCACAACCATCGCTGCTGGCGCTGCACCACTCTCAGCCGCGCCTTGCTGCTTGCCCCTTGCCTCTTGCTGCAGCAGTAATTGGTGCAACTGGGAGAGCACATCATGCACTGCCACTCCCTCCTGCTCCACACGCTCACTCTCCCCTGAACCCTTGGCTGCTTCATCTTCTTCTCTTACTGCTGCAGCTGTTGCTGCTGGTGATGGTGCAGCTGCTGCTGCTGTTGCTGCTGGTGATGGTGCAGCTGCTGCTGCTGTTGCTGCTGGTGATGGTGCAGCTGCTGCTGTTGCTGCTGTTGTTGCTGCTGCTTCTTGCCCTGCTGCCGCGAGTTTCTCTCTGCGGTGTTCGTCCCTCTCCTGCTCCAGCTGCTGCGCTCTCCTACCTGCACAGCACAGCACTGACTCCGGCATGCCTGCACAGCAAAGGAAAGGGGACCACCATGGCGCCAGAGAGAGAGAGAGTGAGAGGAGAAGGGGAAAAATGGGGGGAAACAAGGGAGCATGAGGCACGGAAGTAGCAGGTAGTGAAGCAGAGGCGAGAATGGAGAGGAGGTGCGTGGGGGCATGGGAGCGGTAGCGGAGGGAGCCTGGAGGCACAAGGAAAGAGCAGGAAGCAGCCAGCAGCCTGACTGTAAGTGCTACACAGAGACGCAGGGATGAAGAGATGAAAGAGATGAAGAGGGGTGCGGGGAGATGCAGGGAGCAATTAGGCGTACCTGCAAGGCGTGCGACGTTGATGCCATAGCTCTTGGGGCAGGAGCCCTGTGCGAGCTTGTACAGAAACACCACCTCCTCCACCTCCTCCCCCCTCCCCCTCCCGCTGCTGCTGCTACTGCTCTCGCCCGCCCTGCTGGTCGCAGCAGAGGCAGAGGCAGAGGCATCGTGGGGAGCAGAGGAACGCACTTGGCATGCCATGTGCTGCAGGGATACCTGCAGCCGCACAGGGGAGGTGAGAGGGCGGAGGGGAGAGAGGGGAGGGGAGCGGAGGGCAGGGAGGTAGGGGAGAGGTGAGAGGTGAGGGGTGTGTGGGGAAAGTGGAGAGGGGAGAGAGGAGAGGGGAGAGGGGAGTGGCGAAGGGATGAGGAGAGTGGAAGGGAAGGGGAGAGGGTGAATGGAGAGAGGACGCCCATGCCCATGCACATGCCCATGCCCATGCCCATGCCCATGCACATGCCCATGCCCATGCCCATGCCCATGCCCATGCCCATGCCCATGCCCATGCCCATGCCCATGCACATGCCCATGCACATGCCCATGCACATGCCCATGCACATGCACATGCCCATGCCCATGCCCACGCCCGCACATGCACAGGGCAGCAGCGCTCACCCCAGGGTGGTGTTGGAAGTCGTGTGCTAGGGCGTGGTAGTGCGTGGAGAAGACCCCCAGGCACCCCACTCGGTTCAGCAGATGCTCAAACACCGCATGCCTGGATGGGGAAGGAGGGAGAGTGGAAGAGAAGGGGAGTGGAAGAGAAGGGGAGTGGAAGAGAAGGGGAGTGGATGAGAAGGGGAGTGGAAGAGAAGGGGAGTGGAAGAGATGAGTGGAGAAGGTGAAGAAGGTGAAGAGGAGGTGGTAACTGGAGAATTCTAGAGTGAGAACAAGGAGCACAATGAAAGGTGGCATCCAAGGGTGACACGCAAAATCGCATTACAAATCGCAACACGTAGCACCGCAACCGCAGCCCAAACCAGCAGACCCACTCCCAATGACATCGCACGCATCTCACCCCACCCCACCCCACCGCACCCCACCCTGCTGCACTCCACACCACCTCACACAACATTACCCCACCGCACACCCTCCACTCCAACTCACGCGATGGCGTGGCCGTCAGACGTGGCAGTCCCTCTTCCCAGCTCATCCAGGGCCACGAAGGAGTGGCGGGTGGCGCAGCGCAGCATGCCCGCCGTCTCCTGCAGCTCCACCAGGAACGTGGAGCGCGCTGCCATGATGTGATCGCGCGCCCCCATACGCACAAACACGCGGTCCACTGGGGAGAGGGACAGGGACTCTGCCGGTACATGTGCTCCTAGCTGGTGTGTGGGTGGACAGCATTAGGGGGAAAATGGGTAGAGGGGGAATTGGAGGCCATGATGTGACCGCGCGCCACCATGCGCACAAACACACGGTCCATTGGGGAGAGGGCGAGGGACTCTGCTGGTACGTGTGCTCCTAGCTGGAGAGAGACGGGAGGGGGAAATCAGGGAGAAGAGAGAGGGGAATTGGTGGGCTGTGGTGGTTGGCAATGGAAAGGGAAATGTGCAGTGCTCTAGAGCGGAATCAATCGGCATCGAGCCACTTCCTAAAGCACCTAATTAAGATTGCTCTCAAGTCTATAACTCAAACGGCCTCAAGCTCCCCTCCCCTCACCCGCCCAACCATTTCATATTCCTTCCTCTCCCACTCCCCCCCTCTCTCCCCTCTCCCTCCTACCTGTGCCAGGATGACAGCGAGGCATGTCTGCCGAATGAGTGTGGACTTTCCCCCCATGTTCGGCCCTGTCAGCAGCATCATCCGCGCCCCCTCCCCTCCCGCTCCCCCTCCCCCTCCCCTCTCCTCATCTCCCCTTCCTCCTCTGCCTCCATCCCCTCCGACCCCACCACCACACCCACCCAGCACAGTGTCATTGGGAACAAAGCAACTGCCACCAGACCCCATGGTCGCCAGCACAGCATGCCGCAACCCCTTGGCCCGGAAATACGGCACTTTCCCCACCCCCCGCAATTTCACCCCGCCCCCCTCCCCCTCCCCCTCCCCCTCCCTCTCCTCCTCCCTCTCCGCTCCCTGGCCCCCACGCGCATCAAACCCTACGTGCGGGCGGCACATGGGCGGGGCACCGGCTTGGGAGAAGGCAGCGAGGGAGAGGAGCGCGTCCAGCTGCGCGATGGCATGCACGGCGCGCAGCCAGAGCGGCAGGGACGCGCAGAAGCGCCCCAGCAGGCGCTGGTAGATGCCCTTGAGTGCTGCTTCCTCCTCCTCCTTGGCTTCTGCCAGGCGTTGAAGCGCAGACCGGATAAAGGGCGTCCAAAACCGCCGCACGCCCTGGGGAAACGGGGAGGAGGGGTAGGTGAAGGGGAGGAGGAGGAATGAGTAAATGAGTGAGTTTGTGCGCGTTCTCCCCTTCGCCCTTCGCCCTTTGCCCCCCTGCTCCTCTGCCCCCCTGCCCATCTGCCCTCGGCCCCGCGCACTCCCTTTGCACACCCCCCCCCCTCCCCCCTTACAGCCCACCTTCTTCTGTGACTTGAGCTCGTAGGACGGCGGCACGCGGCTGAGCAGCGAGTCCGGCACCTCCAGCTGGAACGGGTCCTTGCCCACTGTCACGTACGCCAGGGGTACCTGTGATTGAAAAAGGGGGGGGGGGGGGGGGGGGAGAGAGGGGGGGGGGGAGAATGAGACGGCAGAGCGGTGGCGGAGTTTGAGGCGCCTCACAACCCACCTCCAGCTGGAAAGGATCCTTGCCCACTGTCACGTACGCCAGGGGAACCAGGAAACATAGGGACAGGGGAACCTGGGGAGAGGGGGACACAGGAAATTGGTTGAGTTGAGAGTAAAGATCGACTAGAAAAAACAGCATATACAAAGCCCAGCGCAATTCGACCCAACCCAACCCAACCCAACCCAACCCAACCCAACCCAACCCAACCCAACCCAACAGAACCCATTCCAAGAGAACACGCACAGTAGGGGGGGCGCGCAGCACAGAGCGTTGCTCCTCCAGGTGCTGCTGCAGCTCCGCCTCCACTGCCCAGTCAAACGCCCGCTCAAACCCAACCCAAACCAGCCGAGCCGAGCCCAACCCAGCCCAAATCAACCCGGTGCAACGCAGCCCAGCCCATCCCAACCCAGGGAGCACACTCACAGTGAATGGGGCGCGCAGCACAGAGCGTTGCTCCTCCAGGTGCTGCTGCAGCTCCGCCTCCACTGCCCAGTCAAACGCCCGCTCAAACCCAACCCAAACCAGCCGAGCCGAGCCCAACCCAGCCCAAATCAACCCGGTGCAACGCAGCCCAGCCCATCCCAACCCAGGGAGCACACTCACAGTGAATGGGGCGCGCAGCACAGAGCGTTGCTCCTCCAGGTGCTGCTGCAGCTCCGCCTCCACTGCCCAGTCAAACGCCCGCTCAAACCCAACCCAAACCAGCCGAGCCGAGCCCAACCCAGCCCAAATCAACCCGGTGCAACGCAGCCCAGCCCATCCCAACCCAGGGAGCACACTCACAGTGGGTGGGGCGCGCAGCACAGAGCGTTGCTCCTCCAGGTGCTGCTGCAGCTCCGCCTCCACTGCCCAGTCAAACGCCCGCTCAAACCCAACCCAAACCAGCCGAGCCGAGCCCAACCCAGCCCAAATCAACCCGGTGCAACGCAGCCCAGCCCATCCCAACCCAGGGAGCACACTCACAGTGAATGGGGCGCGCAGCACAGAGCGTTGCTCCTCCAGGTGCTGCTGCAGCTCCGCCTCCACTGCCCAGTCAAACGCCCGCTCAAACCCAACCCAAACCAGCCGAGCCGAGCCCAACCCAGCCCAAATCAACCCGGTGCAACGCAGCCCAGCCCATCCCAACCCAGGGAGCACACTCACAGTGAATGGGGCGCGCAGCACAGAGCGTTGCTCCTCCAGGTGCTGCTGCAGCTCCGCCTCCACTGCCCAGTCAAACGCCCGCTCAAACCCAACCCAAACCAGCCGAGCCGAGCCCAACCCAGCCCAAATCAACCCGGTGCAACGCAGCCCAGCCCATCCCAACCCAGGGAGCACACTCACAGTGGGTGGGGCGCGCAGCACAGAGCGTTGCTCCTCCAGGTGCTGCTGCAGCTCCGCCTCCACTGCCCAGTCAAACGCCCGCTCAAACCCAACCCAAACCAGCCGAGCCGAGCCCAACCCAGCCCAAATCAACCCGGTGCAACGCAGCCCAGCCCATCCCAACCCAGGGAGCACACTCACAGTGAATGGGGCGCGCAGCACAGAGCGTTGCTCCTCCAGGTGCTGCTGCAGCTCCGCCTCCACTGCCCAGTCAAACGCCCGCTCAAACCCAACCCAAACCAGCCGAGCCGAGCCCAACCCAGCCCAAATCAACCCGGTGCAACGCAGCCCAGCCCATCCCAACCCAGGGAGCACACTCACAGTGAATGGGGCGCGCAGCACAGAGCGTTGCTCCTCCAGGTGCTGCTGCAGCTCCGCCTCCACTGCCCAGTCAAACGCCCGCTCAAACCCAACCCAAACCAGCCGAGCCGAGCCCAACCCAGCCCAAATCAACCCGGTGCAACGCAGCCCAGCCCATCCCAACCCAGGGAGCACACTCACAGTGGGTGGGGCGCGCAGCACAGAGCGTTGCTCCTCCAGGTGCTGCTGCAGCTCCGCCTCCACTGCCCAGTCAAACGCCCGCTCAAACCCAACCCAAACCAGCCGAGCCGAGCCCAACCCAGCCCAAATCAACCCGGTGCAACGCAGCCCAGCCCATCCCAACCCAGGGAGCACACTCACAGTGGGTGGGGCGCGCAGCACAGAGCGTTGCTCCTCCAGGTGCTGCTGCAGCTCCGCCTCCACTGCCCAGTCAAACGCCCGCTCAAACCCAACCCAAACCAGCCGAGCCGAGCCCAACCCAGCCCAAATCAACCCGGTGCAACGCAGCCCAGCCCATCCCAACCCAGGGAGCACACTCACAGTGAATGGGGCGCGCAGCACAGAGCGTTGCTCCTCCAGGTGCTGCTGCAGCTCCGCCTCCACTGCCCAGTCAAACGCCCGCTCAAACCCAACCCAAACCAGCCGAGCCGAGCCCAACCCAGCCCAAATCAACCCGGTGCAACGCAGCCCAGCCCATCCCAACCCAGGGAGCACACTCACAGTGAATGGGGCGCGCAGCACAGAGCGTTGCTCCTCCAGGTGCTGCTGCAGCTCCGCCTCCACTGCCCAGTCAAACGCCCGCTCAAACCCAACCCAAACCAGCCGAGCCGAGCCCAACCCAGCCCAAATCAACCCGGTGCAACGCAGCCCAGCCCATCCCAACCCAGGGAGCACACTCACAGTGGGTGGGGCGCGCAGCACAGAGCGTTGCTCCTCCAGGTGCTGCTGCAGCTCCGCCTCCACTGCCCAGTCAAACGCCCGCTCAAACCCAACCCAAACCAGCCGAGCCGAGCCCAACCCAGCCCAAATCAACCCGGTGCAACGCAGCCCAGCCCATCCCAACCCAGGGAGCACACTCACAGTGAATGGGGCGCGCAGCACAGAGCGTTGCTCCTCCAGGTGCTGCTGCAGCTCCGCCTCCACTGCCCAGTCAAACGCCCGCTCAAACCCAACCCAAACCAGCCGAGCCGAGCCCAACCCAGCCCAAATCAACCCGGTGCAACGCAGCCCAGCCCATCCCAACCCAAGGAGCACACTCACAGTGGGTGGGGCGCGCAGCACAGAGCGTTGCTCCTCCAGGTGCTGCTGCAGCTCCGCCTCCACAGCCCTCACTCGCGCTGCAGCAGCATCATACGCCTTATCTACCCCGGGCGATGACGGTAAGATGTGCCCACATGCGTCTGCCTGCGCCCAGTCAAAAGCCCGCTCAAACGCCCGCAACCGCTCCTCTATCGGCGGAAACGTCCCCTTTTCAGCTCCTCTTGCCCCCCGTTCTCCCCCTCCCCCTCCCCCTCCCCCTCCCCCTCCCCCTCCCCCTCCCCCTCCCCCTCCCCCTCCCCCTCCCCTCCCCTCTTCCTCCGTCTCCTCTTCCTTCTCCTCCTGGAGTGGCGGGAGAGAGCAGGTTGCGCAGCAGAGAGCTGGAGAGGCGGGGCAGCAGAGGGGCGAAGGCGTGAGCGGCAGCAAGGAGAGCCTGACAGCCGCGCAGGGCAGAGGTGAACTCTCTCACGCGCGCTAGAGCCACGTTCTCGTATAGCACCACCTGACTCGCGTTGCGCCCCATCTGCTGCTGCTGCTGGTGGTGCCGGTGTTGACTGTGCTTGCCGGCCTTTGCGTCTGCTGCCTCTGCCGCTGCTGCTGGGAAGGCCTTTGCCCTGGAGGGGGTGTGGCAGAGGGGCGGGAGGGTGGGCGGGAGGGGGGGTGGGAGGAGCGTGCAGGAAGAGAATGAACGAGGAAGATATTTGTGGCAGCAAGGAGGGCTTGGCAGCCGCGCAGGCGGACGTGAACTCGCGCACGCGCGCTAGCGCCACGTGATCATATAGCCCTATCTGCTGCTGCTGGTGTTGCTGTTGGTGGTGTTTGCCTGCTTTCGCTTCTGCTGCCTCTGCTGCTGCTGCTGGAAAGGCCTTTGCCCTGAAGCAGGGGTTGCAGAGCAGGCGGGGGGGTGGGTGTGAGGGAGGGAGCAGTGCGCAGCATGGGAGAAGGAAGGGGAGTTGTGGCAACAAGGAGGGGAGCAGAAACGAGCAAAGTTGGCATAAAGCGCCAGAAGCAGCCAGCAACGAGCAGCATGCTTACCACCACTGCCAGCCCCCTCAGCATCCCCAAACACCAACGCCCACACCCCAGCAGCCCTCCAGCACCCCCTGTAGACCCCAGCAACCCCAGAATTTTCTTTCCCCCTTTCCCTTTTCAAGATAGAACTCACCTGTGGGAGTGTATTCTGGGTAGCAGTCGGTCCAAGTCCGCCACTCCCCCCAGCACCTTCACTGCCCTCAGAAGCAGCCCCCCCACAAGCACCCCCCCGTAGTCCCTAGCAACCCCCGCACCCTTCCCCACCCCATTCCAAAACAAATCTCACCAGTGTGAGTGGATCCTGGGTAGCAGCCGGTCCAAGTCCGCCACTCCCCCCAGCGCCTTCACGGCCTTCCCTGCAGCCTCCGCCCCCACGCCCATGAGATCCCCCACCGCCCTCTGCCTCCCTCTGATCGCCTCGGGTCGCAGCAGCGGGCGCACGAGCCACTGCCGCAGCAGGCGGCGGCCAAACGGCGTGACGGTGCGGTCCAGGAGAGCGAAGAGCGAGTACCTCCCAGTGGACCCAAACACGCCCAGCACCCTCCCCATTTCCAAAAAACAACTCACCAGTGGGAGTGTATCCTGGGTAGCAGCCGATCTAGATCTGCGACTCCCCCCAGCGCCTTGACCGCCTTCCCCGCAGCCTCCGCCCCCACGCCCATCAAATCTTCTACCGCCCGCTGCCTCTCTCTGATCGCCCTGGGCCTCAGCAGCGGGCGCACGAGCCACTGCCGCAGCAGGCGGCGGCCAAACGGCGTCACGGTGCGGTCCAGGAGAGCGAACAGAGAGCCTGCGCTCGTGCCGTCACGGCTGTTTTCGAGGATCTCCAGATTCTCCAGCGCACAGCTGTCCAGGACCATAAAGGGTTCCTCTTCTGGCTCCTCTTCCTGCTCCTCCTGTTCCTCTTCCTCCCACTCACCCTCCACTTCCGCCTCCACCTCTTCCTTCTCGCCCATCTCTGAATCTATTTTTTCCTCCTTTTGCCCTTCCCCTTGCCCCTCCACCAGCATGGGATCGCCCCTCTGTCCCCCCACCTGAGCGCGCCCCTTGCCGGCCGTGGCAGCGTTGGCTCTCCTGCCGCAGCCCGGGGGCAGTGCGGCAGGGAGGAAGGAGAAGCGGCGCAGGGCGAGCAGCCGGGACTCTAGCAGGCACGCGCGTAGGTATGCCAGGAGACCCCCCAGCGCACTCAGCACCGGTGCTAACCCTGCTGCTGCCCCTGCTGCTGCTCCTGCTGCTGCTGCTCCAACTAGCTGAGAAATCACGTGCGGCATACCTCCCCTCCTCCTCTCGCCGCTTCCCTCTTCCTCTTCCTCCTCCACCTCTTCTCCATAGTCTCTACCCTCAGCGCCCTCGTGTTCCGGAGCATAGAATCGCTGCAGCCATGCGGCTGTGGCGTCAGGCGCCCAGCAGTCGTCCACCCGCTCCCTCCAGTTCCACAGGGGCTGCCGACACGTGTCTGAGAGCGCCCGCAGCGTGGCAGGCGAGGGGCACGGCAAGGGGGTAACCGCAGCAGCAGGTTTATCAGCGGAAGGCACGGAAGAGGAGGCGAGAGAGGAGGCGAGAGAGGAGGCGTGGGAGGAGGCAGGGACTCGTGGCAGCACGAGCTCTACAGGACGGAGCTCGGCAGTGAGGGAGCGCAGGCGCGTGCGAGCTGAGTCGTCTGGGAACTGACCCAGGGAGAACTGCCCTGTCGCTGCATCCACCACCGCCACTCCTATCACCACCGCTGCTGTCTCCCCCTTCTCCTCCCCCTCCTCCCTCTCCTCCCGCGCGCGAGGAGCAGCAGCAGCAGCGGCGGCGGCAGCAGCAGCAGCAGCAGCAGCAGCAGGAGCGGCGGCAGCGGGCCATTCAGTGAGGGCGAGGATGAGAGACGAGTCAGGGGAGGCGGAGAGCATGCCAGCGTCCACGAGGGTACCGCGGGACACCATAGCACACACAGCCCGCCGAACCACCTTGTCCTTGCTCCCTGTGGCGCGCCTCCTCTGCTCCAGCTGCTCGGGGGTTTCCACTTGTTCCACCACCACCACTCGATACCCCTGGTGGGACAGGTATGTGGCATGTGCAGTGCGAACGGAGGGAAAGTTCAAGATGAGGTTTATGTGATGGATGTAGGTGACATGCCGCCGCTGTTTCATCTGCTTGGGAGTTTCTACCTGCTCCACCACCACCACTCGATAGCCCTGGTGGGGTGGGTGCGTGCTGCATGGCATGGCACGCCGTGCCGTGCCAACTCTCAAAGTCCCTAGACGCCCCAAAACTGCACGTACAACGCTTCCCTCGTTGCGTATAACAATGCAGTTTGCCTCTCACGACACTTCAAAATCATAACATTCATCATAACCAGTGTTCAAGGTGAGCGCTCACCTTGCGTGCCAGTCTCTCTGCATTCTCCGCATAGTTCTTCTCTGGAAAGCCACAGTGCGGCTGATCGCCCTGCAGAGACGAGAAATAGAGAGGGCAGACGGAGGGGCAGAGGCGGCAGGAGGGGAGAAAGGGCATCTTTGAGTCGACTCAAAAGGCATTCTCCGCATAGTTCTTCTCTGGAAAGCCCCAGTGCGGCTGATCGCCCTGCGGAGACGAAAAAAATGAGAGGGCGGAGGAGCAGAGGGTGCACAAGGGATAGAGGGGAAGAGAGGCCGTATTGCAGGCTGAGTGGGTTTGGAACGTGCAGAGGAGGAGTAAGCAGAATGCACACAGGCAGGAACCAGACAGAATTCACATTTCAACATATTCAACAGTGCCCCAGCGCAGCTCATTTTCGAGAGTTCTAAAAATATAGCATGTTCAACACTGCCCCAGCGCAGCGCCCATATTTCCTCAGCCCCCCGCTGGCGCCAGCCCACCTTCATACACATGTGCCCACTTGAGTTGGTGCTGCAGGTAGAGCGGAACTGAGACAGTGAGCGATAAGTGTTCCATACCGCCCTAGCACCCACCCTGTCCTCCAGCACCCACTCACCAAGCCACCCACCCCAGCAGGCAGCGTGTCCCGCCTTCATGTACTGCAGGTCGAGCTCCTTGGCTCCCACATGCGCGTCCATCTCAAAGAGAAAGTGAGCACTATCGCCCACCACCCAGCCTGCCCCCAGCACTCCCCCAGCCCAACACCCAAACAGCCTGGTAGGAAGCAGCGTGGCCCACCTTCATGTACTGCAGGTCGAGCTCCTTGGCTCCCACATGCGCGTCCATCTCAAAGAGCTCGTAGAACTTGCCCATCTGCCCCAGGTGAAGGGAGGGACAACAGCAGCAGGCGTAAGAGCAGGAGCAGGAGCAGGAGCAGGAGCAGGAGCAGGAGCAGGAGCAGCGGTAGCAGCATGAGAGAAAGCGGATCTACAGAATGAGACTTATCGAATGAAGGAAGTGGAGAAGAGGGGAGAGGGGTTCAGCAGCTGGGGTTGTTGAACATGGAAAGCTGGTGATGCAGAGAACGGTAAACGAAAATGGGGTTCAGGGCAAATTGGTTGCATTGCGATTGCAGGGTGCAGAGCGGCTATTTGTGTGTGCAGACACGTGGGTGGGTGGGCGCTTGCTTGTCGTGTGTGTGGGTGTATGTGCGCGGCAGAGAGGAGGGTAGTGGGGGGGAGAGCGCACCTTAAATAGAAGCACTTTGTCAAGATGCATTGCTTTGAACTGCCACCATTGCCGCTGTTTACGGGAGTGCAGCATGGGATAAGGGAACAAGGGGGGGGAGAGAAAGGGCTGAAAAGAGGCATAAGAAACAAGAAGGTAGAAAAGTGGGGAAAGGGGGCTGCAGGTATGGTGCAAGTGACTTTTGAGTCGACTCAGAATTCACCTTGGTATGGTGCAAGTGACTTTTGAGTCGACTCAGAATTCACCTTGGTATGGTGCAAGTGACTTTTGAGTCGACTCAGAATTCACCTTGGTATGGTGCAAGTGACTTTTGAGTCGACTCAGAATTCACCTTGGTATGGTGCAAGTGACTTTTGAGTCGACTCAGAATTCACCTTGGTATGGTGCAAGTGACTTTTGAGTCGACTCAGAATTCGCCTTGGTATGGTGCAAGTGACTTTTGAGTCGACTCAGAATTCACCTTGGTATGGTGCAAGTGACTTTTGAGCCGACTCAGAATTCACCTTGGTATGGTGCAAGTTCACAGGGCAAGAGATGGAGATTAGATGGATAGCAAACAGTTGGTACATGCTGACTAGGAATGGGTGCATATTTTAGGTGCATGAATGCCACGTGCATGCCACGTGCATGCCACGTGCATGCCATGTGCATGCACCATGTGCATGCCACAAAAATGGCACGCGCATGCTGCATAAGCTCGTACCTGCCCCTCGGATAGGGTCTTGAGAAACGAGTCTGGCAGGAAGAGAGTGGTGCGGTCGTAGTCCGGATGGGAAGGCGGCCTTCTCTTGCTATCCCTGCGGTTCCTGGTGAGTGCAGACGGATAGAGGGATGGAGAGATAGAGGGACAGAGAGGGGCAGACAAACAGACCGGAAAGAGTAGAAAAGAGAGAGTGGTTGAGGGAGCGCTGGGAAGATGGAGAGTGAGAGGGGGGGTGAAGGTGGTGAGGAAACGTGGAGGATGCAGGGGAGGAAATGAGAGCAAGGAGAAATGCTACAGAGCAGTTTGACTCCCTCATGCACGGCTCTGCACGATCGGCCCTGCATATATAGATCGCATGTGGGGGGCGGAATCGAAAACAAGGAGAAATGCTCCAGATCAGTTTGACTCCCTTATGCACGGCCCTGCACGCTTGACTTTGTATGTATGAAGCGCATGTGGGGGGTGGAACAGCAGCGAGGGACGCACCGGAAGAGGAAGTCGAACTTGGCCTCCATGCGCCCACTGAACCGCTGTGCCGCCTCGCCTGCTAGCTCGGGGAACAGACCTGGGGGCAGGGGGGCAGGGGGGCAGGGGGGCAGGGGGGCAGGGGGGCAGGGGGGCAGGGGGGCAGGGGGGCAGGGGGGCAAGGGGGCGGGGGCAGGGGGCAGGGAGCAGGGGGCAGGGGGCAAGGGGACCAGCGGGAAAGGGGAAAAGGCCAGGGGGAAAGGGGAGGTGGGGCGCGGGCGGGGGCAGTGAGCAGGGGGCGGGGAGCAGCGATTTGAGGAACGGAGAGGGCAGACTGTTACAGCATAGGAAAACACTTTTGAATGGATAAATCTTCTTTGCAAAAAGCCCACAGTTGCCAGGAGTGCAACGTTGGTGTAAAACAGCGTCTTTCTCTGCATTGCTTGCTCGTATGCCTGTGCTGTACCCCGTTCCACTTACTGTCCAGAGCAGCTTCCATGCCCGCGCTCCTGCTGCCTCCACCCGCACCACCAGCAGCACCCTTGGCAGCAGCAGGCGCCGCTGCGGTAGGAGTGTTGGCAGCAGCTGCAGCCCCGCCAGCAGTCGCACCAGCAGTCACACCTGCTCCAAGCATAGCCTTGCGAATGGCTGATCGTTCTGCATCCGTCACGCCCCCTGCTGCTCCTCCCAGCCCCTCACATCCACCTTCCCCTTGGCTCCCCTGATTCCTCCTCCCCGCCACCGCCACTTTCTCCTTGCCCTCGCCTGCAGCACTCCCCCCACGGCCACTCTGCGAGCTGCCCTTCTTTCCACCTCCTGAACCTGCCTTCTTGCCCCGCCTCCCACCCTCCATTTCCTCATCCTCATCCTCCTCATCATCCTCATCGCTTGCAGTTCCATCCACAGACCCTCCTTCCTCGTCTTCCTCCTCCACCTCCTCCTCATCATCCTCGTCATCATCGTCTTCCTCTTCCTCTACCTTCTTGCCCTTCCTTTTGACTTCTTCCAGCCAGTCCTCTTCCTCGCTATCTCCATCCTCATCCTCCTCCTCTTCCTCTTCATCCTCCTCCTCATCATCTTCATCTTCATCAGAAGACTCGACTGCTGTCTCCTCCTGTTTCTTCTTCCCCTTCGCTGCTTGCGCCCATACCTTTTTCCCCACCGTGCTGCCCACGCATTTCGCCCCCATCTCATCACCCATAACACGCCCCTTTCCAGCCGTCCGCTCGCCACCACCCTTCTCCCGCTTGCTTACCCCCCGACCTCCTTCCCCACCATTCCCTCTATCTCCTTCCTCTCCACCCTCCGCCTCCGCCTCCGCCTCCGCCTCCGCATCCTCCGCCCCCCGTCTCCCTCCCACCCCCTTCTTCCGCGCACCAAGTGTCGTCGCCACGGCATCACCAGCACCGCCCACCCACCTCACCTTTTCCTTCGCCAGCACCACCAACTCCCTCTCTCCATCATCATATAGAACCTCATGCCTGCCCGTCTCCTCCTCATAGCCCGCCACCATGCCCGCATACCACGCCGCATCATCCGGCCAGTACACCTCCACCCTCCTCCCCACTGCACGCGCTCCTTCCTTGCCCTTCCCATCCTCGTTATTAGCCTCCTCCCGTCCCCGCTTCCGAGTCCCCTTGCCTCGTGTTCCCTTACTGCTCCAACCGGCCGGCAAACTCGCGGTGTTTCCACTCGTTTCCTTCACTATCTCGTCTCTTCTTTCGCCTCCTCCGCCTCCTCTCACCCCCTCTTCCGCCAAATCTCCCCCGTGCATCACCGCATCTTTCTCCGACCTTCCGTCACCATTTCGCATCGCTTGCTCTACCAGGTCGCCACCGCTCTCCTGGGAGCCCCTAACGCCACTCCTTCCCCCTGGCCGCCGCCGCAGACTCCGCAACCTGCCCGCGGGGAGCAGCGAACCAGACAAGTCCGAACCTAAAGAGCCCATAGAGAGCGAACCTTCCCCGCCCGCCACATCAGCCCCTCCTTGCGCATTCTCCTCCGCCGCCCCCTCCGCCAGCCTCTCCGCCTTCACGGCGGCTTTTCCACCAGGGACTTCCGCCGCCGGAGCAACGACGTCGTCCGCTCCTGCATTGCCCTGTCCGTCCGCCATCGGAGGGATTTGAAGCGCCACCTTGCGCGGATTGGCTGCGCGCTCCTCTCCGAGTCGCTTGATTTCTTCAGTTGGGTCGTCGTCAGCCCACAGAAGCTCGTCATCCTTCGATTCTCCGGAGTTGCTTCTCCGCGCATCCGCACGCACGAAAGTTCCTCTGTGACCTCCGCCCTTTCCTCCTACCGCAGATTTTAAAACGCGACGGGTGTTCCGATTAGCCGCCAAACCGGGCGATGCCTTAGAATTGCGTGCACGCGCATTCGTCGAATCAGGGTTGCTACCATCATTCTTATCAATTGGTTGGACGTCCTCTGCGGCTGTTGCTGGAACTGACTCATGCGTTTGTTTTGACGCCCTTGCGGGCGAGAAGAATGATGCAATAGAGCGCTGCTGATGGCGCCGCTGCTTCTGGAGTTCTTGCGGCGAGAGGAGCAAGCCAGAAGGCCGAGCACCTCCAGAAAGGCGGCGGGAGGGGCCCATGGCTGCCGAGATTTCTGCGTTGAGAGTCGCTATGAATGGTAAGGAAAAAGCATATGATACTAGAAGTCGTCCGAGTGTGCGGTGAAAAAGCGTCTCAATCAAGTGACCTGACCACGGTGGTTCAGCAGCATCGCTTGAGGGGGATGGGTGGCTTTCGCGCCAAAGGCTTGAGCGTTCAAATTTGTGAACTCAAATTAAGTGTTTCTGCTGCTCCACTTTCTAGCCTTATAGCGGAATGGAACAAAAGTTGCAAACGGTCAAAGTGCATAGCCTGGGGAAATAGGCTTGGAATGGGGTGAACCGCAAAATCACTGACCCGCGTACCATAAACAATCAACGTCTGGTAGGAGAGATGGGACGTCTGGTAGGGGATTTTGTTTGGGTTTTTTCTTTATGGAGTATTTTTATGGGGCTTTTTATGGGTGTTGCGTTTGAGTTGTTTCTGGTGTCTTTCTTTCCCTTTTCCTTCTCCCTCTTTCCCTTTTCCTCTTTCAAAAGCGTGAAGCCAGTTTCTGGGACTTAATATGAAAAAAAAAAAAAAAAAAAAAAAATAAACAATCAACATAAATAAGGTTGCAACAAAATTCTGCATTGATTCTTGATTGTTTTCTAAACACTTCATATGAAAGCGAATTCCAGGGGGCGGGCCGAAGGAAAACAACTAGGTTTTTGTTCCAACTATCTTCCGAGTCCAGTCATTTGGTACGGACAAGATTAGGGTTTCGCGCGGCGAAACAAACCAATCACAGTTACGCCACCAGCTCACGTCGCACGAGCCGCGTTTGTTTCCAATTGGACATGTCCTCCAAAACCACAATATTCATCCCCCCGAACGAATGTTCCAGCTGTGGAAGAAAACTTCAGAAGCCACTTAGCAGCCCAACACCCAGAATCCCGAGGTTCTACATGCTCCCAACCAAGGCTGTCCGTTCGATCGATTTCCTCGCAAGCTTCGAGAGCCCCTGCAATGCGCATCTCAAGATGACTTCGCGGAAGCGCGCACGTGAGCCAAACCGAGAGAGGAGGTAACGGGGAAACAAAATTCCTTCTCCCCATTCTCCCCCTATTCCCAAGCAATCCCCCGCACCCCCTTCTCCCGTCTTTCGACGTGAATTCGAGCAGGAGCAGTGTGGGGGGGCCTCTTCGGTTCACCCCTTCTCTCGCTCCCTCCTCCTGGAAGCCCGCAACGCAACTCTCGGTGCTGCAACCTTGCGCCACATCCGCTCGCCTCGGCTCCTCTCCACTCTCTCCTCCTGCCCCCTTTTCATACTCCCTGACCTGCGCTTCGGCTCTCCTCTCTTTTCCCCTCCCTCGTATCCCTCCCCCCCTCTTCTTCCTCTGGGTCATCCGTCCCCCACCACATCCGCCTTTGTTCCACGCCACGACGCGAAATTTCTGACCAGCGAAATCTCGACACGGGAAATTGAATTCAGGATCTCTCCCTCCCCTCACGTTGCTGCTGCTCCACCCCCCCTCTCGCCCTTCGTCCATCAGCAACACGCGTTTCCGCAACGCTCTGTCTCAACTCGTTTCGGATCCGTCACTCACTTTCGATCCCACCTCTCCTCACACACTCGATCGGGCAGTACCTACGTTCGTTTTTTCTTCAAAGAACCAAGATGGCAGCCTACTGGCGCCTCGGGCGTGCCTTGTGAGCTATGCGCGCTTTGTCCCTTCCACGACCACTTTGCGCGCTGTCGATTTCTCCTGGCGTGCGTCGAGGTTGCGACTCTGTCTTCAGAGGAACTCCCGCCGTCGCGGCCATCACGACATCAAGGGCAACTTTCCGAAGCATAGTATCATCCACAAGGGGTTTTCATTCATCCGGGATCTCCATGGCGACTCGACGCTCGCTTTCCTGCTGCCCATCCCCTTCCGCCGCGTCGCACTGACCGCTGCCTCCGCCCGTCTACGCTTCCGCCTCTCTCCCGCACTTCGGCCGGATTCGCCACCTGGTGCTCGCCCGTTCCCCCGCGCGGGCTCATTTCCCCCTGCAGCTTCCCGCCACTTCTGTCCGTCGGATTTCCGCGCGGGCTCCTCCCGCCGATCCGCGCGCTCCGACCGCTGGTTTCCCCTCTCTGATCTGAAATCGCGGGGGCAGCGGCGGGCGGCACATGGGTCGAGCTGAGTTGCTCCGCGCGATCGTCTCGCAGCGGGGCGGATGCGCTGGATGCCATGTCCGGTGCCCGCCAACCTAATAACTTCCCCGCTTCCGCTTCCGCGGCCGCGCCCGCTTCCCCTTTTGCGCCAGCCTCCGCCCCCGTTTCCGCTTTCCCCACCGCATCTGCTAACAAAGCCCACAAAGCCTCCGCCACGGGGCCCCCCGCCTCCGCCGCTCCGCCCCCGGCCTTCGACCCGCCCGCGATCCCCCTCGCCCCTACTCTCGCCCTTGCGCCCGCGTCCGCGCCGCCTTCCGCCGCGCTCCCCGGAAGCTCTCTCGTCGCCTCCGCCGCCGCCGCCGCTTCTTCTGGTGGCGCGCCGTCATCCGCGGCGACGCCTGGCGCCTTGGCCGCCCTGGTGGCGCGGCGCGAGAAGCTGGAGGAGCAAGTGGCGAGCGCGGAAAGACAGGTCCGTGCGCGCGCGCGAGCGCTAAACCCTCTAAAGCCCGTGCTTGGAATATTGGGGCTGCTGGGGTGTATGAAAGCACTGGGATGGTTACGGCAGCGCCTGTTGCGAGTCGTCGGTAGATCTTTTGTGATGCGCGATCCGTATAACTGGACCGGAGCGGAAAGGAGCTGAGCGGAGCCGAGCCGCGAGAGCGGAGCAGCGCAACTGAGAGTGCGGAAACCCTAGATTTCCCCTGCGTTCGCGCCATTCACCCTCACTCGTTTTCCCTCCTTGCTGTGTGGCCCCCTCCATTCTCCCCCCCCCCCCACGTGCCCAGCTCCGTTCCCCCCGCCACGTGTTTCCGCCCTGTTCTCTCCCCCACGCCGTGTTGCGAGTGCATCTGTTCGACCTGGAGATAGCATACCTGCACGACTCGGCGCACACGGGCAGCGGTCCCCACACGCCCCCCTCCCTTTCCCCCTCCGCGCGCCCCTCCCCCCTCCCCCTCTTTGTGCCGTGTGGCAACCCCAGCTGTTCGACCTGGAGACAGCATACCTGCACGACTCGGCGCACACCGGCAGCGTCCTCAGAGGCTTCGACTCCCTTCTTGCCGCTCCTCGAGCCGCCAGCAGGTGCCGCGCCCTCCGCTTCCTCTGCTTCCTCCCCTTCCTCCATATCCTCCACTTCCCCCCTTAGTTGGCACTTTACTCTATTTCAGGTCGCGTAAACGTAAACCTACGCGTAAACGTACGTAAACGAAAACCTATGCCTAAATTTACGTAGACTCAGCCGGGCAGACCAGAAAAAAAAAAAACTGAAATTGAAATTATTTTAGCCGATGACCCTATGTCGACCTAACGCAGGTAAGGGGTGGGAAGACGTGTTTCGTACTGTGGGTGGGTGGAAACGGAGAGAAGGTTGCTACTAGCTGCACTACAAAATGGCCGTCCAATGGAAGATTCGTGGTCGGCCATTCGAAACTTGAGATTCGTCGAAGGTGCCGAAAGACGAATACATGGGTTGGAGGGACACACGGAAGTTTTTTTTTCGGTTTGGGCAGCCTGGAAAACTTTTTTTGCTGACCGTAAACGTAAACTCGATTTCCAAAGAGCGTACGTAAACGTACACGTAAACGTAAACGTACACGTACGTAAACGTAGATTGCCAACTAAGCTTCCCCCTCCCCTTTCCCCTTCCCTCCCCCGTTTCCCTTCCCCTTCCCCTTCCCCCCCAACTTCTTCCCTCTCTCCTTTTTTCACTCCCTCACACATGCGTGCCAACCCTACGCTCACGCACATGCTATATTTGCTGCATGCCCCCTCCACCCCCCACCTGTCCTCGCCTTTCCTCCTGCATGCTCACTCCTTCCACTCTCCTTTTCCCAAGTCAACTCAAACAGCGCCTGTCCTCACATCCCTTCCGCATGCACCCACACCCCTCCTCCCCCTACCCGCCCTTCCCATCCTTCCTCCCTTCCTTCCCTCCACATCAGCAGCATGAAGCGACCGAGAAAGTTCCTGGCAGAGGATCGCCTCTTTTCGTTGTCATCATGCACATCGTCTGCTGTACGTCACTCACATGGCCCTTTTGAGAATTCTCGAAAGCAACTCTCGAAAGCAACTCTTATGCCACCTGGTGTGCTGCCATCCCATCCCACTGATTCCTCGTTAAGTCGGCCTCCATGCCTTTTCTCCACTCTCCATGTAATCTCCTGTTCACTAAACGCCTGCTCTCACCATTATTCTCACCCCTGCTCTCACCCCTGCGTTCACCCCCTGCGCTCTCCCCACGTGTGGCTGTGCCAGGCTGAGGAGCAAGCGACAGGGAGAGACGCAGGTGTGCTACCCTTTCCTTTGCCTTGCCCCCATGTGTTTTCTGTTCGCCACATCCGCTGATCGCCACCGCGCTGAATACCACCGCACTCAACATCACCACTTAGCACACATACGCCCCTCTGTTTGCATCTTGCCGTCCTTCCCAACCCTGTTTTTCCAGCTGCTTCCGTTTCCTGCCATTCCCATCTGCTTCTCCTTCCAACCCTTCACCTCCCTCACTGCCTGCACGCCTCATCGTTTTCTGTCTCCCCATCCCCTGCGTCATTCCCTGCATCCCCACCAGACGGCCGCTCTGACCTGCATGCGCTCTTCTCCTCTCGTTCCAAGTCCAGTGGCGCGCCTGGTAACGGTCCAACGTGAGTCCCCATGCTCTCTGCTGCTGTCTCTGCATTGGTCACTGTTTTCCCTCCTCCCATCGCCTCTCTCCCCACCTCCCTAACGCAGTCCCCTTCCTGCAACCCCCATTTTTGCTGCTCCCCTGGCCCCACTCCCCATGCTTGTCCCCTCCCATCCTCTCCTGCCCTCACTCCATCTACTGCCTTCCGTTTGCTGCGCCGTCACTCTCACTAACCTCCGTCTGCATTCATGTGCATGCAGGCCGAGGAGAGGGCGAGGGGCAACGCCTCGGGAAGGCAAGAGGCTGAGGCAGCAGGTGGAGCAGGTGGAGCCGGAGGAGGAGGAGGAGGACTCCGTGCTCTGACTGCTGACGTGCCATGCCACGCCGTGCCATGCAGTGGCACGCCGTGCCGTGCAGTGTATTTCTTAGGCGCCAAAAAATGGAAGGCAGGAAGCCAAGAGGCTGAGGCAGCAAGTGGAGCTGAAGGAGGAGGAGGAGGACTGCGTGCTCTGACTGCTGACATGCCATGCCATGCCACGCCGTGTCATGCAGTGCTATGCCGTCCCATGCTGTGCCATTCCCATGCCATGCCGTGACATGCCGTGGTGTGCCATGTGGGATTACGATAGGTGCTGCTGCAAGTGGGCGTTTGTGACTCGGCTGTGTCTTGAGCTGTCTCGTGCACCCCATGCCGTGCTGTGGATTAGCTGTGTGCGCACCATGCTGCATCCTCGGGGCCATGTTGTTTCCTAGTCGCTTACAGGTTTAGTGAGGAGCAGGAGGAGGGCCGAGAATTGCACAATAGATTTGCATGGTGTTGGGTCACCAACAGGAGGAGGTGCTGGGGCTTCATGCTGAGTCAAACCTACAGTCAATCATGGAGCAGCAGAGTCAAGTAACAAGGCACTGGGCTGAAAGTGATTCGACCTAACCTGGCAAGCACCAGCAAGTGAGCACTGCATGAGCTGGCAAGCATGGCATGGGAAGGGAGGAGGGGAAGAGGAACGGATGGAGAAAGGGAGAGGTAGAGGAAGGGAAAAGTGGGACTAGAAGGGGAACAAACAAGGGAGGAGCAACGGGTTTGCAGGGCGTGGATGAGATGGGATGGATGGGTAGTGAAGTGACAGCTAAGGGGAAGAGCTGCAGTGATAGTTGCGGCCTTCCTGAGAAGGACTTTGGGAGAGGGGAGAACTGAGAGTGGCCTGGCGGCGGTGGCAAGCAGCGCGGAAAGCAAGGACGGTGGAAGCACGTGTCTGTTTCCCAGTCAGTGGGAGGATGGCAAGATCACCTGGCATGGCAGCACTAGATCATCTTCACTTGACGACACCCAGTTCTTACAAGCCAGTACCTGTAGATGACAGCTTCAATTCAAGCTCCAATTTCCAACTCTCTACCATGCGCACATACGGTAGTGGCACATATCGTACGAAGCAGATCGCTTGCCACGTCCTTTAGCTTAGGTTGGGTACATTCCGCTGTGGACATGCGTCCCAATCGATGTGTCCCAATCGATTCTACCGCACTGAATCTTATTACACCGAATTACACCCTAGTTTCAAAATTTTCGCTTCTCTGGTTTAGTGCGGTTCGGAGCGGTACACCCGATTGGGACACATCGATTGGGACGCATGTCCACAGCGGAATGTACCCTTAGTGGTAGTCATATCTGAAGTTGCTGTGGTCTCATCTCTCTTGTGTCAGCCAGCTTACCAAACAAAAATGATAAAAGTGATGATTGTACTAATGCTTCATTGGGAACACTATCATTCAGTGTCTTCCATTCATTTGGTTGTGTTGGCACAACAAAGGCAATACTGGTGGTACGTACGTATAGTGCTCCACCGACCATACTCCGCTAAAAATTTCAATGCCATAGTATGGTGCTCAGCTTTATGGGGATGACAATCATTATTAGATACCGTACTATATAACTGGGTATATACAAGAAATTGGCAACAGAGGGCAACCTAGGTGACCTGGATGAAACATTTCAACACCAACTTGCTACCCTAGGACCGGGCCAAGAGAACAAAACGAAGCAAAACACACGGTATGCCATCAGGGTGCGGACTGGAAATTGGAGCAGGCGACAGAAACTTCAGGAGGGAAAAGGGGCTGGCAGCGGCACTACTGCTAAAACTTATCACTTGGCCATCCAGAGGCTTCTGCAGCTGCTACTGAATGGGACACAGACCCACCCTGATGTGGCGCGATGTGCCATGTCGATGAGATGATAACGACATGCTGCTGAGTGCCTTCACTCTATGCGATGACAAAATGTACAATCGGATGAGATGTCATGAGATGGCATGACGGAACATGGGAAGGGATGGTGTCGATGAGATGAAGTAACGTGCATGCGCTTTACAGCAACGCCATGCCATGAGAGACGACCCTGCATGACGTTACGCCGTGCCACAGCATCGCGTTGGCAGTGGGTGAGAGGAGCGGCTTGTGAATGGAATCTTTACATATCAGAATGAAGGTCTTGGCAGCGCGCCATTGCAGATGGACAGCAAGCGGTTGTCCAGGTGAGAATGAGAAAACAAAAATGGAGGGAATAGCTCGTCGAGGGAAGCAGTCTTGGCAATTGTCAGTTTCAACAATTAAGCGGCCTGCTCAACACAATAACAGAAGGGATTGAAGAGCCGGGAAAAAGAAAGGTTAGCGAACACAGCTGGTGAGAAAAAAATAGATAAGTAGCATATGCTGCAGGCTGACTATTGAAAACTAAAAATGGCGAGAAATGAAAAACGAGTACCTTAGACTAACCTGCATAGAAACAGCAGATAACCTGCTGAGCCTGGGTGTTCTTGCGACACGGTCTCTGCAATCGCTTCTTCCGGTCGCTTTGGGCTCATACGATGCGACTTTTTGCGAGGAGATTGCGCGGGCACGGTGGAAACGGCAACGGAAAGATCCGGGGTGGTTTGTAGGAGCACACATGCACACCGCACGAGGAGAATTCTTAGCAGTTCGGTCGGACGACGGCGATGTCGCTGACTTTGTTGACTTGGCAGCAGACTTGGCAGAAATCGTCGGCTGCCCTTGCTTCATTTTCTTGGCGGGGCTTGCGGGAGAAGGCGCTACGCTGGGAGTGATGTTATCAGTTGCTCTCATATTACCACCACTTGAAGCGAGGTTGTTTTGCTTCAACACGGATTTGAGCAGGCTGGAATGCATGGTGAACACGACGGTATGGCTTAAATATCTTGAACAAGGATATGTTTCTGAGTTATCCGTTTCGTGAGCAGTCTAATCAGGTCTCACTACCTCGTGGATATTGCAACTACGGGGCGCAATAAGCTGCTGGGTTATGGGAGTAGGTCCAGCTTTTCTAGGTTCATCCGCTCAGCTCAACTGTGGGCGAATCGCGGGGCTTCGCCTTCCCTGAGACGCCACAGCGAAGGCAACCCGCGACCCCATCATGTGGTGTGGGCGGAAATCGACACTGCAGCGGTCAGTTCCAAAAGAAGGGGACTCCGCGGGAAGAACTGAGGTTTTGCGGGGGAGGGACTGGGGGAAGATAGAGGGGAAGGGGACACCTGCGGGCGTTGTTCCCCTGTTTTTTGGCGCAACTGGCAACGGCCCTCAAGGGGGAAGGCGCACGGGTAGCGCCGCATAAAGAATTACTCGCGGTGCGAAAGCTTCCTGCATGGCGGAGTTTCAGCTGTTCAGAGCAGCAACCGAGCAAGAAAGGCGGTCAGATAGGCTCCAGCCCGCGAAAAAAGTTGAAAGTAGGCTGGGGTTCTGACTGGATAATTGCGGACAGTAGAACGCAGTGGACGAATGGTGGGCTTCTGATGGAATTAGCGGGCATCGTTTCGCAAACCGTGAACGTCACGTTATGGACGGAGCGAACCACTTCAGACACCATTGTCGCGTCACTTTTGCCGGTCTGCCGTGGCTGATCGGTTTTGCATCGGCCAACTTCATTGATACTCAAATTATGCCTGACGCGGTTTGCAAGCGTACTCATCTTTGATTTCTCATCGCTGATTGGTTCTCGCTTTTCAATCACACTTTTCAGGCTCAAAACACCTCCGAAATGTGATAGAAACAGAACGCGATAACTGAACTTCATTAGACAACATTGTGTGGAGGTGCTACCTTACAATAGACAAAAAAGCATTGAATATCAACCCTTTACAAAGAAAATTTGTATAACGCGCGAATTTCGTAAAGATAAAAACCCAGTGGAAAAATTGCAGATTTGGAATAAATTAACGGAATAGGATCGACGACATCATGCGACAAGGTGTTAAGGGTTGATGCCATCCTTACTGGATGCCTTTCAGTAGCAGGGTTGTTTTTAATTGCCCTTCGGGTAGCAAGCTCCGCTGGGCGGTGTTGTTTGTTGTAGCATAAAAATCTAAACACTATAGAACATCCCGTATTTACGGTTAACATTACCATATTATTTCTTGGTTATCCAAGCGTTTTAGTATGTCTCTTTTTGGTTGGGTATGTGTGGTCCTGATGGTGGCGACTTTGTTTCAGTATTGTGCTTATAATAGTTTGAATACGTATTTGTACTGACTATACTGCGAAATTGTCGGTTGAGTACGTTTGCAAACCGCGTCAGGAGTATCAATGAAGTTGGCCGGTTTTGCATCAGTGCGCAATGAAGCAGGTGGTCATTGGTGGTTAAGAGCTTCTGCCATTTGGCACGCGATAATTGGTTTTCGGTCGAAAGCAACTAGTCACCCAGAATCACCGCGTTCGTGGGAGACGAAGCCTCGAGAGGTTGTGAAGCCCGCAAATCACGGATTGCACACCCACAAAAACAGCAACTCAATTTTCACCTGGCTTCTAGAGATCTCTCCAGAGAGTTCGCACGTTTTCCACAGATCCGGAAAGGCAGCGTGTACGGATAAGAGCACACACCACATCTCATGGAATTGGATAAAGCGATAAGGACGTTGAGGTGTATTTTGCTGGATGGAGTATAAGCTAATTTCGAGATACATACTTTACCCAAACTCATAAAAAGGCTGGCAAGTGTTATAGAGTATTGAATAGCACAATCTCATACCTGTGTGATACTCCATGTGTTCAAATTATGACTAGTACGGTATACCTTTATCATGGATGACTATTGCGCCAAGTATCAATGCTGGTATGAAATAGTACCAAATCTCTCCATCCCTCTTCTCCATCTTTTTTAATCAATTACCGCCATTAAGGAGCACTAGTATTAGTGATCAAACGCATCAAAACACTTACAAAGTAAAAACACCTGATATAGCGGCCTCTCTGGTGATTGGCTTATTGTACGCGTTATAGAGGCCCATACTCGGCTGTCCGCTTTCACGAATCCAGTAACAATTTCCACAACTGAACTTGGTCCCAAGTGTCGCGCAAAGACCACGTCGTTCACTAATAGTGAAATGACGTCACGGACGTCCGCCCCGTTTGTGCTGTGTGTTACTGAGATGAATTAGCTCGTCGGGACCGCGCTAGACACACTGTTGCACGCTAGAAACTCACTGCTACATCCTCCTTGAGCTAGTATACTGTTCTAACCCGCGGCTGTCTTCGGTGCCTCGTGCAGGATCCAAGAAAGAAATAAGTAGTATTGACGGCGTATGTTCACTGCCGTGCAGCATTTCATATCTCCCTCTTCAGCGAAGCCGCGCTCTGGATACACCAGCCTCTTGCTTCACTCCATTAGCCCTAAGTCGCAAAACGGAACGACAAGGCTGGTCGAACACGCTCTTAAACCCGTCGACTACTATTCGACGTGCGTATTGCGATAATCCACCTCATGTCGGCGCTGCCAGTGGTTGAGTCCCTTCTTCCTTCACGTGTTTTACAAGCCACTCAGTGCTGTACGTGCTGTATTCTGAATCCTCTGCTCACTTCAGGCAAGTCTTATTGTTAGTATACTACCGCTTGGTGTTGTTACTCTGCTTAGGTTTATGGCCGCGTGTCCCGCCGAACCTCCTGCTGCAGGGGTGACAGGAATCGTTTACCTATTATGAAAAAAAATCTTATCCGTGTTTTATATTGGAATGAGCGTGTGCGTCGGTCCTCAGCTATCCGTACCGTGCCATACAATTTCCCTTATTCCCATCACAGTACCAAATGACACGACAGCACGAGGCCGGCAATAACACCCGTGGGAGAGCTGGCTGGCGGCTGAAGAGCTACCGGACCGGCATCTGACTGGCAAAATAATCCGTCAGCAGTAACCTTGGACGTTTCCAGCAGCGTTGGGTTAATCCGCCTGGTCAGGTTTTCCTGTTGCTGCAGCTGTGTGTCTCCGCTACAATGATTCCCAGCCCGCCTTTCTCCGCCTCTTCCATCCCCGCCGGCTCAGTGGGCGCGGCGCTAGCGTACAGCAATAATGGCTCCGCGGAGGTGAGCGTTGACTCGTCTGAGATCTTCGCCGCTTCTAGATGAATATTCTCGCGGTTTTCATGCGAAGAAGCTAGCTCAGTGGGTGCTGTGCTCGCGAACAGCAATAATGGGTCTATGGGTCCGCGGAGGTGAGGCTGGGAAGGGGAGAGGCGACGCGTTATTGTCATTAGCTTGCCGCACGTGCTTCCTCATCCCTACATCCCCTTCCGCTTCCGCCCCCCATCGTTCTCTCACTTGCCCTCTCACCACCGCCAGGGGTCCCCACCGTCAGCGTCATGGCAGTGGGATCCCATTGGCTTCTGGGACGACCCTCCTGCTCCGCTTCTGCAGCCTCCCCTACACTCTTCGCTTGCCGCCTTCCCGTCCTCTGGCCCTGCGCCGCTCCCATCATCACTCGAATCAGCTGCAGCTTTCTCCTCAGCCTCAGGCATACCGTCCGCTGCAGCTGCAGCTTCCGCCGCTTTCACACCACCTGCCGCCCCTGCTCCTAACCCCCTACTGTCTCTCGAAGGGAATGCCCCATCCCCGTTAATAGCCTCTCAAATAAGCGGCCTTGCCGGCCAGTCGCCTCACTTTGACCCCGTGCAGTTCCCTGCGGGCAATGCATCCGCTGCCGCTCCTGCCACTGCCGCCTTTGCTGCTGCATCTGCTCCCGCCGGAGGGGGTAGTGGCGGCTACAGCGCACTGTTGTCCGATATGTCGTTTCTGGACTCGGTTCCGGGACCAGGGAACGCGGCTGGGCCAGAGGCGGCGGCTTTGGCAGTGTCCGGACTGCCCTGGGGGGCCCTGGCGCCGGACAGCGACTGGTGGCTGCATATGGCGGATAGGGCAGCAGCAGTGCTGTCGCATGCGGATGGGGGAGTGGGAGGAGGAGGAGGAGCAGGAGGAGGAGGAGGAGGAGGAGGAGGAGGAGGAGGAGGAGGAGGAGGAGGAGGAGGAGGAGGAGGAGGAGGAGGAGGAGGAGGAGGAGGGAGGAGGAGGAGGAGGAGGAGGAGGAGGAGGAGGAGGAGGAGGAGGAGGAGGAGGAGGAGGAGGAGGAGGAGGAGGAGGAGGAGGAGGAGGAGGAGGAGAGGGAGGGCAGTGTGTGGGCTTTGAGGCGGGCGAGGGTGCAGGGATAGCTGCTGTAGATCCTGGAGCTTGTATAGGGCCCGCGGGCATGGCACAGCAGCAGCAGCAGCAGCAGCAGCAGCAGCAGCAGCAGCAGCATCCGTTGCTTCAGCAGCAGATAGTGCAGGAGGGATCAGCGGCTGCTGTCATAACCACAGACCCCACCGCAGTGCAGGGTGGTGGTGCGTGCAGCATGGCGGCGTTTGGCAGTATGGACTCGTTCTCAGGAGAGGCGCGAGTGGTGGCGCGCTTCAGTCAGCTGTGCAACGAGTCAGGGGGCAGTGCAGGAGTGTGCGGAATAGAAGGGGCAGAGGCGGGAATGCGGGGAGAGGGAGAGGTGCAGCAAATGCAGGTGAATGAAATACCTCCACAACCACAACAGGCATGGCGTGTGCCGTTGCAAGGGCAAGTGCATTTGCAGGTGCAAGGGCAAGCGGTGCAGGCGGCAATGGTGCAGTATCAGCAGGAGGCAGCGCAGGCAGCGCCAAGCGGTGAGTGGGAGCGCGGCGCTCCACAGAGGGCAAGCTTCGACGCGGCTAATGTCGCAGGACACCCGTCACCCATACCTGCTGCTGCTCCCGCTGCTGCTCCCGCTGCTGCTCCTTCTGCTGCTCCTGCTGTTGCTCCTGCTATGCCTCCTCCTCCAGCTGCTCCTGCTCCTGCGGCTGCTGCTGCTGCTGCTGCTGCTGTTGTCGTTGGTGGTGGTGGTAGTGGTGCGGGTGGGGATGATGGACAGGTGGGGAGTGAGCACCCTATGGGGAGTGCACCCGCCGCTGATGCATGTGCGCGTTGCAGGTGCCAGGTGGGAGGAGGAGGAGCGGGCGGCGTTGGTGGTGGTGATGGCGGAGGAAGAGCAGGAGCAAGAGGAGGAGGAGGAGTAGGAGTAGGAGGAGGAGGAGGAGGTGAAGGAGGAGCAACGGCCATTGACACTCAGAATAAGCCAAAGCTGTCTCTGGCAGAACGGCTGGCAGCAGCACTGGGGGAGGAGTTTGGCGCAGCAGACACAGGGGAGAAAGAGGAGCCACCGAAACCAGAGGAGGATGCGGGGAAGAAAGGCAGGGGGCGAGGCAGGGGCAGAAAGCGGGAGAGAAGCAAACCCGTGGCTGTTAGTATTGGCCCTATGGCGGGCTTTTGGCCTGGGGCTGGGGCTTTCGAGCAGGACGGAAGGGGGAGGCAGGGAAAGAGGTCGGCTGAGGAGAGTGCGGGTGGATGGAGAGGGGGAGGGTTAGGGGAGGAGTGGAGAGGGGTGATGGGGCGTGCAGGCGTGAGCACAGGGGGTGGCTGTGGGGTGACTGGGGCGGCAGGGGTGGCGGGTGCAAAGGGGGCGACAGGCACAGGGGGACTTGCGAGTGATTCTCATGGTGAGGGTGTGTTGGGGGTAGGAGAGAGAAGTGCAGTGGGGTGTGGTGGGGTGTGCGGGGGTAATGAGGTCAAGGTGGAGAAGCAGGAGGCTGTGGTTGGTGTATCTATCTTGGGGGGGGGGGATCGGATTAAACCAGGGGAGGTGCATGGGCCATTCTCCGGTGTTTTCAACCCTGCTTTGGATCATTCTCCGCTGTCCCCTGGCCCGCTGCTTCCGCATGCGTCGTATGGGAATATGGTGTCGACCAAGGGAGGTGAGGCAGCAGGAGGGAAGCAAGGGGAAGGGAGTGGCAAGGACAGGCGCAGCAGCAGTGGAAGCAGCAGCGGAGGCACCAGCAGTATGGGGAACCCTGAGGAAGAAATTCGCCATGGTGACGCGTCTGCCTCTCATCCTGCTAGTTCGCCAGCGCCTGCTGCTTTTGCCGCAACTCCTACCACCACTTCTGGTGTGAACCCTACTGCTCCCGATGCCACTCCTGCTGGGGCGCCTTCCGCTTCTGCTGCTGCTGCTCCTTCTGCAGTCACTGCGAGTGGTTCGCACAAATGGAAAGGAGGGGAAACAGGGGTGCAAGGCGTGAGTGATGGGGCACTGACTGAAGTCACCGCTCCTGCTGCTGCTGCTGCTGCTGCTGCTGCTGCTGCTGCTGCTGCTGCTGCTGCTGCTGCTGCTGCTGCTGCTGCTGCTGCTGCTGCTGCTGCTGCTGCTGCTGCTGCTGCTACTGTTGTTGCTGCTGGCGCTGCTGGCGGGTCGTCTGAGGGAGCAAAGGGCGGGGCGGGCAAGGCAGGCAGCAGAGCACGGGCCATGGAGCACCCGTTGCTGGCACGCATATGGCAGCTGGCGGAGCTCGTAGCCACAGCTGAGGACGAGGTGAGCTTTTTGAGCCCGACTAAACAATCAGCTGGCGGAGCTAGTAGCCACAGCTGAAGACGAGGTGAGGCAGGCAAGGACCGTGCATGCATTCATGCAGCCGAGCTTTACGGCGCCTCGTTGCTGGCACGTGTATGGCAGCTGGCAGAGCTCGTAGCCACAGCTGAGGACGAGGTGAGCTTTTTGAGCCGACGAAACATTTTGCTGGCAGAGCTAGTAGCCACAGCTGAGGTCGAGGTGAAGCCGGCAAGGGCCGTGCATGCATGCATGCATGCAGCGGTCAGGCTTGGCAATCATATCTGGAATGAGAGGAATCTGGGGTTGGTTGGGGTTGAGGTTAAGGGACAAGAACTTTGACATTCTCCGCTCCACCGTGTTTGTTTTTTTATATTCACCTGCCCATGCTTCTTCACGTTCGCACAGCAACTTTTCTGCGAGTAATCCTCCCACCCCATCCTCCTCCTCAACCACTACCCATCACCTCCTACACCTCACAACCCCCCCTCCCCTGGCCCTCCCCCCACCCACCTGCATCTCCTCTTGTTATCTCCCACTGCGCGCGCTCAACCGCGTGCCCGGGCAGGCCACGATCCGGCAGAAGTGTGAGGAGCTGCTGCCGCTGGTGAGTGCGCGCGGCAGTGCGGAGCAGCGCGTGGCGCAGTACTTTCTCGAGGGGCTCATGGCGCGCATCAACGGCGAAGGCGCGCTGCACTGGAACTCCCCCAACGTGCCGCCCCACGATGTATGTCTCTCCGTCTGTCCGCCTGTGTCTGTGTCTGTACGTCTTTTTGAGGTGCATTAACGGCGAAGGCGCCCTGCACTGGAACTCCCCCAACGTGCCGCTCCACGATGTATGTATTTTCCTTTTTTTTTTTTTTTTTTTATACGTCTCAAAAGTAGTTGAGTTTTGAGTGTTGGGACGTTTCAAAACTGCACTGTAACTCCCCCAACGTGCCGCCCCACGATGTATGCCTTCTCCATCCGCCTTTGTCTCTGTCTGTACTTCTTCTTGAGGCGCCTCAAAAGTCGAAGGGGCCCTGCACTGGAACTCCCTCAATGTGCCGCCCCACGATGTATGTGTGTTCTCCATCCGTCCGTCCGCCCGTGTCTCTGTGTCTCTGTATCTTGTCGTCAAAAGGGCCATGTCGGACATATCAGCGTGCATGCCGCACCACCAGAGCCGCGTGTGATGGCACAATTCTTGAGGTGCCTCAGAAGCTCTCTCTCCCTTCCTCTCCCGTTCCCTCTCCCCAAATCCCCCGCTCGCGCAGGGCTTCACAAGGGCCACTATCGGACGTTTCAGCAGTGCATGCTGCACCCCCACTGCCGCGTGAAGTGAGTGACATGATTCTTGAAGCGCCTCAAAAAATCTATTCCGCCTCCCTCTCCTCTCTCCCCACATGCCCCACCTGCGCAGGAATTCATGAGGGCCATGTTGGACATATCAGTGTGCCCATACTTGCACGTGAGTGACAATTCTTGAGGCGCCTCAATCAAATCAAACACCCTGTTTCCCCTTCCCCCACTCGTATAGGAATTCATGCGGGCCATATCGGACATATCAGCGTGCATGCCGCACCACCACTTCCTGCTGTCCGCATGCAATGCAGCGCTGCTGTCCGCCATCTCGCCCACCGATACCGTCGTGCATGTCGTCGACTTTGGCTGGTGGATCGGCGCGCAATGGCCCGACTTCATCGCCTCTCTTGCTGCCCGCCCCGGCCCCAAGCCCCTCCTCCGATACACCAAGGTGTGTCGCATGGTGCCGCTTGTTTGTGCTGCTCGCTCTGCTCACTGCTGCTGGGTGTGCTCCCTTGTGTGCGTGCGCGGTGTTTTTCTCGTTTTCCTGGCTTTTTCTCGTGCCCAGCTGTTGCACCAGATGTGTGCAGAACGCCACACCGCATGTGCCTCTCCCATCGCTGCGCTTCTCTCTCCTAACCCCTTTCCCTCTCCACTTCCCCACCCTCTGCCCCCATCTGCATTCCCTGCCCATTCCCGCTCCTGCCACCACGGCCCAGATCGAGTCGCCAATAACTCAGTGTCCATGGCGAGTGCTACCGCAAGTACCGCTAGCAGACTGCAAGGCCATTCTCACGCGTGCAGCAGCCAACGCGGGCATCCGCCTAGACTTTGCCGTGGTGGAGTGCTCTCTAGAGTCTATCGACTCTCATATCTCTCAGCACCGCCCGCCCCTTAACTCTGCCTCCGCCTCGACTGCACCTGCCATTGCTGCCGCGTTCTCTGGGTTCGGAGACGGCCAGAATCCGTCTGCGTCTGCCTCTGCTGGTGGTGGCGCCGGTGGTGCTGATGGTGCTGTGGTGCCGTGGAGTATGGTGCGCAGCGGTACAGAGGATAGTCCCAGCAGCAGGAGCAGCAGCGACCCGGGCCAGGGAGATGCAGCGGGCAGGGGGGAACAGAGGCGCTCCTCGTGCACGGCATCATGCGTCTGCATCTGCTCCCGGGGGGCTCTGTCGTCCGCCACTCCCCCGCGACGCTGCGCTGCGCGCCCTGCGCCGCCTCTCCCCGCGCGTGGCTGTTCTCGGAGAGAGGCACGTGGATCATGATGGGCCGTTCTTTCTCAGGCGATTGGGGGAAGCCCTACCCTTCTACCTCTCTGTGTTTGAATCCATGGAAGCAGGGCTTGCACCGCCGCGGCTGCATTCGTCAAGGGATTTTATCGAAAAGGCGATCCTAGGGAGGGACATTGTGAATGTGGTGGCCTGTGAGGGTTCTCTGCGGGTCGTTCGGTCGGAGCCGCTTGGCAAGTGGATGAGCCGAATGAGGGAGGCGTCGTTTGCTGCTCTGCCGTTTTCAGACCATGCCCGGCATAAAGTGGCGGCGGCCATGTCCCAGTTCCCGAGGGAGTTTGGGGTGCAGGAACAGGATGATGGGGGGCTTCTGATGACTTTCAAGGGGCAGCCGATGCTGGCTGTCGGCATGTGGAGGATTGCCTGTTGATGTACCAGCTTTTTATGATCTGAGAGGTGTCGGAGGTCTGTCCTGCCTAGATTGGCGAATGTGTGCTGTGTGTGATGATGCGTGGGGTTATCTTATGTTTTATGTTTGGTGCACAACAGGAAGGTGACCGATGGGTAACTGCTGTCTGGCAAGTATTACCAGAACCAACCACAACAAGAGTCACATGTTGGGTGATGTCTTATTTGGTAGTGAAGTGAGCTGAAGAATACACCTATAACGCTGTTGCCTCTCAAATACGTTTCGGGGCGTGCTGCCGAGCCTGAGGTTGGGTATCAATTTGTTGAACTTATCCCACTAGGTGTGCCGCCGCTTTCCCTGGTCAAGGTGCAAGTGTTGCGTGGTTATTGGCTACTTTCTCGATCAACCAATTAACCCCTGACGTACCTCCTTGAAACCTCCACCAGTCAAATTTGAAAGTTATACATATTGTAAGTTTGCATACGTGGCATTGCAAATAAATACACGTACGTCCTAAACTGCGTCATGGGCAGTATGCAAATAATTTCACCAGCCCGAGGCAGACAACCGCGTCTCGATCTCCAATCACCGAGGTCCGAGTGGTCTGGGGGAATAAGTTCGGGTTAGGAAATTGCGCCACACAGTCCCACACCCAATTGCCCATCCCCTGGATCTGCGCAATACCCCGAAGGTGGATGCGGTTTTACCCGACATCCCCCCCTGCACGGAATCTCGGGACCTCCGCCACAAGAGATGCGCCACAGCACCCTTCCGCGCAGAATGCCCGCCTCCCTCCCTTTCTTGGCCCTTGCCCTTGGTCACCCTTCCGCGCAGAATACCGCATTCTTCCATCTCACCTAACCCAGCTTCCCCCCCCCCGTTCTATCGCAACAGCCATGCAGGGCTTTCTCCACAACCCAACCCAACCCAAACCAACCCAACCCAAACCAATCCCACCCCTCTAGTGCAGCGCGTTTCTTCCAATGCAGCGCGGCTGCCCAAACCAAACCCCAGGGGGAAAAGCATGTGCACACTCTAGTCTAGAACACCATGTGTACACCTGTTCTCCGGTATTTCCACACCCCCTACCCTCGTTTTTGCCAGACACCCTATACGGCTTGAGGATCGATGAGACGGACACCCTGACACTACGGGTCTATCAGTAAAGAACCGCCAGGTTCTGGCCATTCGAAACTCAAATTTGTAATTAGAGTGAGCGGGAAAATTTCCAGTGCCATAATGTTAGAGTGTTAAACTCGCATTGAGGTCGTGTCTTATTACCTTCGAAACTCCCGCGTTCGTTTCTAACTACCTTTGAAATCAGATTGTTTTGAGGGTAGGTACCCCAGGGCGTCAAGATAGGGGGCGTGGAATTATCGCAGGATAGGTGTACCATGTGTGTTGCTCACTGGGCGCCAGCTCCCGCTCGCACCTCATACACAGCCCTTGCTGTCTGTCCCAGTGTCCCAGTGTCCCCAGTGTTCCAGTGTCCACCCCACCCACGCATCCATCATGTCTGGTGAGGTGATCATCAAACGACCCTTGCACTCAGCTGCTCCTTCCCTTGCCCATCCCAACCGTGGTAAGAAAGTCACCAGTTTGTCTCACTGGTGTGCTGAGCTTAGGATGTGCTAGTTTGCTGGTGTTTTGTAGCGGCCGAGAGGCTTAGTTTCTGACTATCTTCCACGACCTAGAAACTCTAGTGAAGCCCGACAGTCGATTGGGCTAGGGTGGCGGGGTGGTTTGGGCTGTTGGGCCCGAAACCCCTTAGCCATCAGGAAACGTTTTCAATGGAGGTAAACAATAATCTGTTAATTTCTGCAGATCATTCTTCGCCCTCCACTAGACCGTCGTAACCCGTCGCTGGTCCAATCCCATCCTCGTTTCTGCACGTATGCGTTTCCCGCGCGGACGCTGCATCGTCGGCTGCAGCCTCGCTCTGGTTTCCCCCGCGTCGTCAGCTCGCGCCTTATATTTCTTAATCTACTAATTCCGACTCGGGCATCAGCATGCCGACCAGCTCGAGTTCAGCAGGAGGAGACGCGCCAGGCGGTGGGAAGGAGTATCCTCGAACCGCGTCGTCTTATCGTCTTTTAGAGGAGATCGGCCATGGTATCAGCGCGGTGGTCTTTAAGGCCATGTGCATTCCGTTCAAGGAGATCGTCGCGATTAAGCGGCTCGACTTGGAGCAATGCAACAGTAGCCTCGTAAGTTTCGCGTTTTGGATTGGGGAGCAGAAGGGGGAAAAGGACATGCGTACCGCTGATGTAGTGCCTGGTTTGCGTGTGTTTGCTTCCCCGCGTCGTTGTCGGAACGAGAGACGAAAGTCCAGTCGGCATCACCCGTCGCTCCCCTCTCGTCACTCTCTCCGCCACCATCTCCTCCCCCCCTGCCTCATCCGCGGATCCCCCCGCGCCCCTCTCCCTACGCCTGTTCCGCTTCTCCCCACCCATCCCGCCCGTCCCGCCCGTTCCGCGCGCGCCGTCATCAGGAGGACATCCGGCGGGAGGCGCAGACGATGACGATGATCGGGCACCCGAACCTGGTGCGCGCGTACTGCTCGTTCGTGGGCGAGCAGTACCTCTGGGTGGTCATGCCCTTCATGGACGGCGGATCGTGCCTGCACATCATGAAGTCGTGCCACATGGACGGCCTGGATGAGCCCATCATCGCCACGGTGCTGCGCGAGACGCTCAAGGGCCTGGATTACCTGCACCGCAACGGTCATATCCATCGCGATGTGAAGGTGTGCGGGGACCCGGGGGTGGGGGGATGGGGAAAGTTGGGGAGGGGGAGGGGAAGGAGGGAGGGGGGGGGAGAAGGGGAGGGGAGGGGAACGGATGGGCGGGTCGGGGAAGATGGGGAAGGGGAAGGGGAGAATGTAGGGTGCGTGTATGAAAAGGAGCGATAGAGTGAACGGATCTGTTTGTAAAAAGGGATTATGGGGGAGCATACGGGGGCGTTGGTGTGGGAGGGAGCTGGGAGGGAGCATGAATGGGCGGTTTCTGTCAGGATTGCGGTGGTACCTGCGTCGCTTCTGCTTTCTTTCCACCCACTCCCCCTTCCCGTTCCATTTTCCCTCCCCCACCTTCCCCCTCCTTTCCCCCCGCCCAAGCTCCCGCTTTGCGCTCCTTTCCTCCCCGCCTGCCATGAGCATAGCCATTATCCCCTTTCCCCTCCCCGCCGTCCCCCGCCCCCCATGCCACACCCCATCCGACATCTGTCGCATCTCAAATCAATCCGCGCTGATATCCTCCCCACCGCATTCGACCTGATCCCACCACATTTGGCCTATCTGACTGCATGGGCGCGATGACGCGGCACGGCAGGCGGGCAACATTCTGATCGACGCGGTGGGGAACGTGCGGCTGGCGGACTTCGGCGTGTCCGCGTGCATGTTCGACACTGGCGACCGCCTCTTGTCGCGCAAGACCTTCGTCGGCACGCCCTGCTGGTGCGTGCGTGCGTGCGTGCGCGCCGCTGCTCCGCTCCGCTCTGCTCTGCTCTGCTCTGCTCCCCGCGCGGGCCGCTCCCCGTGCGCCCGCTCCCCGCGCGTGCCCCGCCTACCGCGCGCGCGCGCCCCCACGTGCGCGTGCACGTGCTCGCGCGACTGGTGCTGTTCTCGTGCTGGTGCTGTTCTTGTGAGTGCTGCGTATGTTATCTCTCGCTCATGCGCCCTTGCCCCGCCCCTTGAATGCGCCCTCTGTGTTTTCCATGCATGCCCGTGCGCATGGCCTTCCTCTGCTCGTGCCCCATCAAAATCTCCGCCTGTTGCTACCGCCTGCCTCCCGCCTGCCTTCCGCCTGCCTCCCGCTTCCCCCGCCCTCCCCTCGCGCCTGCCGCCTTATTTCCCCCGCCTCCACCTCCGCTCCGCCTCCCCTCCGCCTCTCCTCCGCCTCCCGCGTGCGTGTCCCATGGCAGGATGGCACCCGAGGTGCTGGAGCAGCTGCACGGATACGACTACAAGTACGCGCCCCTGCCGCACGACCCCCCTCTTGCATTTCGTCGCCTCTCGCCTCTCGCCTCTCGCCTCTCGCCTCTCGCTTCTCCGCTTTCCGCTCTCCACTGCCCGCCCACCTCGCCTTCCTCCTGCCGGTTCCTCCATTTGGTCTAGCTCGTCATTCCCCCCCCCCCCCCCCTCCCTCCCTCCCCCTCCCCCCTGGGTCCTGCCGTTCGCTACGCCCTTCTGTCCTCCCGTTACCCCCCCAACGTCCTTCCGCTACCTTTTTCGCGCCCGTCCCTGAACCCAGCACCTTGAATGCGCTGCGTTGAGTTGCTCTGTCTGTCCCTCCCCGTGCTGCTCCACGCGCTCACACCCCCTTCCTTCCCCGCTCTCCGCTCCCAACCACCCGCCAGTCTCCCCCTCCCCCATTTCCCCAACACCTCCTCCCTCCCCCCGCCACCCTTCTCCCCTCTCCCCCCCCTCCAGGGCGGACATATGGTCGCTTGGCATCACGGCTCTGGAGCTAGCGCACGGCCACGCGCCTTTCTCCAAGTACCCGCCCATGAAGGTGCGCACGCCCCTCCCCCTTCCCTTCCCCCTTCCCCTCCCCCTTCCCTTCCCCCTTCCCCTCCCCATCCCCTCCCCCTTCCCCTCCCCCTTCCCCCCCTTCCCCTCCCCCTTCCCTTCCCGTTCCCCTCCCCCTTCCCCTCCCCCTCCCCTTCCCCTTTCCCTTCCCTCCTGCTTCCCCTTGCCCTCAGCTCCCCCTCCACCTCGTTTTGTCCGCTCATACACCTGCACGTACCGCCCAATCCCCATTTCCACCGCTTTGACTTTCACCATAACTTCCTTCTCCACCTTCCACTCGCTCCACTCCCCCTCAACCTCTCCCCCCTTTCCTGCTCCCCCCCCTGTCCACGCCCTCCCTCCTGTTCCGTCCCTCCCTCTTCCCCTCGCGTCCTCCTCACCTTTTAAACCCTCTTCTTCACACACATCCTCAACTGTGGCGTGTCGTCCGCTCTCCCCACTACACCCACCGCCGTACTGCTCTCGTATGCTGGCCGCAGGTGCTGCTGATGACGCTGCAGGGAGCACCTCCGGGGCTGGACCTTGAGAGGGACCGCCGCTTCTCCAAGGTGCCTGCCCTGCTCTGCTCTGCTCTGCTCTGCTCTGCTCTGCTCCGCTCCGCCGCCCACCCGCCCGCCCGCCCGCCCACCCGCCCGCCCGCCGCCCGCCCGCCCGCCCGCCCGCCCGCCCGCCCGCCCGCCCGCCTGCCTGCCTGCCTGCCTGCCTCACTCCCTCGTTGTGGCTGCTCCGCCTCTCTGCCGCTTGTTTTCTGGCCTGTAATAGTAGTTAGACACATCTTCCCCTTTCCGTAACCCTCCCTCTCTTCCCTCTCACCCGCACCCTATTTCCCGCACCCCTCCTTCCCACACCCCTCTTTCACTCCTCCTCCCCGTACCCTTCTATGCTTCCCCTTCCGCGCGCTGACCCCCCTCTGGCTTTTCTTTTGCCCTCTAGCGCTCCCTCTGCTCATTTGCCACGACCCTCCGTTCTCCATTAATGGTCTTTGCAATGGGAAATATATGCGTTGGATCTTACGTTTACGGTTCCTTACGTTTTCGTAAAATTACGACAATTTTTACGTTTACGAACGGTGGCCCTGATTCGGCCTTACGTTTACGGTCACCTCAAAACTTTTTTGAGCTGCCCAAGGGAAAAGAAATGACCAGAGTATTAGGGGGATTCATTGGGTAAACCATGAATCTGAATTCTCGATTCAGATCCAAGTTCGACAAGGGTGGTGTCAACCTAGCAGCTCGTTCGTAATCTATCGTGTTTCTCTCCTACTAACCAGGTCAACGCTGAATCTGAAACTTTCACGGACTCAAAAGGCCCTCCATACGTAGTAAAGTCGCTATTCTAGAAAAACACACGTCGGATTAGTAGTAAGGATCTAGTACACGTACATAATCCTGGAAAAAAAAGCTCTAAACTTTTTTTTTCCTGCCCGCCTCATACTTACGCGTAATTTACGTTTTCGTTTACGTTTACGCGAAATTTACGTTTACGTGACCTCCAAAAACGTAAGAGCCCAACTTGTGGTGGGTGCGGCTGGTATGCCTTGTTCTCTCCCTCCTTGTGTGCGCGTGCGCATGTGCCTTCGTGTGCGAGCGGGTGTGCACGAGCGGTCATGCGTATGTTATGCATCCATCCATCCATCCATCCATCCATCCACGCATGCATGCATGCGTGCGTGCGTGCGTGCGCTGGCAGTCGTTCAAGGAGATCATAGCCATGTGTCTGGTGAAGGAGCCGTCCAAGCGCCCTACAGCGAATCATTTCTGAGACGTCTCTAAAGCACCCTTTATTACGTTGCATGCGGCCATCTGTGCATGCGGCCATCTGTGCGTGCGGCCATCTGTGCATGCGGCCATCTGTGCATGCGGCCATCTGTGCATCTGTGCATGAGTGCTGGCAGTCGTTCAAGGAGATCATAGCCATGTGTCTGGTGAAGGAGCCGTCCAAGCGCCCTACAGCGGAGAAGCTCATGAAGCACGCCTTCTTCAAGCAGGCGCGCGACGCCGACTACGTCTACCACCACCTGCTGCACGGGCTGCCCACGCTGGGCGAGCGAGTGCAGATGCTCAAGGTGAGCCTGTTTCTGAGGCGCCTAAAAAAATATAATAGTAGAAGAGACGCCGACTACGTATACCACCACCTGCTGCACGGGCTTCCCACTCTTGGAGAAAGAGTGCAGATGCTCAAGGTGAGTGAGCCCCTCCCTTCATCCGTTAACAGCTTCTTCAAGCAGGCATGTGACGCCGACTACGTATACCACCACCTGCTGCACGGGCTGCCCACGCTGGGCGAGCGAGTGCAGATGCTCAAGGAGAGTGCCCCCCCTCCCTCCCCCCCCTCTTACTCAACCCCCTTTCGCCCCCCCCACTCCTCCCCCTTCGCATCCCTCCTCCTTCCTCTCACCATCCCCTCTCCTTACTCACGCCTTCCTCCCGCTGCACCCTCCCCTTCCTCCTCCCCTCCTCCTCCTCCTCCTCCTCCTCCTCCTCCTCCTCCTCCTCCTCCTCCTCCTCCTCCTCCTCCTCCTCCTCCTCCTCCTCCTCCTCCTCCTCCTCCTCCTCCTCCTCTCCTCCTCCTCCTCCTCCTTCTCCTCCACTCAAGCTCTAATCACCACTTTCCTCCTCGTTCTGTTCTCCGCGCCACATCCCTCTGCTTGGACTGCCGCCTGCCATTCTCACAAGCTCACTCAGCGCACCAGCACATGCTCATGCCCTTAGCCCCCCGTGCTCCCCAACTCCCTGCTGAATGCCCTCACACTTGCCGTGCCTTGTGCCCTGTGCCTCGTCGGCCGGCCTGTGCTGTGTGCTGTGTGCTGTGTGCTGTGTGCGTGCGCGTGCACTGCCTGTCCATGCGAGCAGGAGAAGGAGCTGGCGCGCCTGGCAGCCAACAAGGACCCCATGAACGTGCAGGAGGAGCGCTCGCAGGTCAGTCAGTCTGCCACTCAATATCAAATCCGCGTGTAAGTAGACGACTTTTGAGACGTCTCAAAAGCTGGCGCGCCTGGCAGCCAACAAGGACCCCATGAACGTGCAGGAGGTGCGCTCGCAGGTCACACTCCCCCCCCCCCCCCCCCCCCCCCCCCCCCCCCCCCCCCCCTCTCTCTCTCTCTCTCACTCTCTCGCTGTCTGTCCCACTCCTACCACTCACTCTGCCCTTGCAACCCTTGAGTGTCTTTCTGCCGAACTTCCCCATTCCAGTCTTACACGCACGCGCCACCCTGTTCAACTTGAGACTCGTCTCCTGGTTTCCTGCTGTAGCTAGTTCCAAATTCTCACTGCAACTTGAGCTCGGAACTCTACTTACCACAGTGAAACCATGGCAGCGATACCCATTGGCTTGCTTGTAGCACTCACGTGCGCGCCCACGCGTTTCTCCTTCTCTCCTCTCCTCCTCCTCCTCCTCCTCCTCCTCCTCCTCTCCCTCCTCCTCCTCCTCCTCCTCCTCCTCCTCCTCCTCCTCCTCCTCCTCCTCCTCCTCCTCCTCCTCCTCCTCCTCCTCCTCCTCCTCCTCCTCCTCCTCCTCCTCCACCTCCACCTCCTCCTCCTCCACCTCCTCCTCCTCCACCTCCTCCTCCTCCACCTCCACCTCCTCCTCCTCCTCCTCCTCCTCCTCCTCTTCCTCTTCCTCCTCTTCCGCGCCCTTGTCCTCCCGCTCGTGGCTGCCATGCGGGCTGAACGTGCGTGCATGCATGCAGAGTCAATACCGCCTGGGCGTCAGCGGGTGGAGCTTCAATGTGCAACAACTCAAACATGAAGCATCCACGGTCCGTACCCCCGCACACCCTCTCCTCTCCCGCTGCGTTTTCCTTCTCCCTCTCCGCCTTGTGTTTCCCCGCGCTGGCATGGCACCAGCTGTATTAGCCTCTTTGCAATCACGCTCGTTAGTAGCAGCCCGTGGTCCAGCTTCCAGCTTCAACCCTGAAAGCCCATCCTTTCTCAAAGCGCTCGCTCCCTCTTCCTGTGGCCCCTGGGCTGTCTGTCTGTCTGTCTTGCTCCCTGCCACAACTGCCACCTCCCTTGCCATGCCACCACCACTACCACAAGCAATTCTGGGACACCACGGACCAGCCGCCTACGATTCCCGAGGACCGAGCCCTTGCCTTTTGAGTCGACTCAGAAGTTAATCCCGTGCTGCTTGTGTTTCCCCTCTCCACCGCCACTACCATCACGATTAGATCTGGGACACGGACCAGCAGCCGCCTATGATTCCCGAGGAGTAGCCGCTTCCTTAGGAGTCGACTCAAAATCCCATGTCCCGTGCTGCCCCCTTGCCACCGCCACCACTGCCAAGCAGATCTAAGACCCGGACGAGCAGCCGCCTACGATTCCCGAGAACGAGCCGCTGCTGCTCCCAGGGGGCTCAATAACCCGTGTCCACTGCTGCATGTGCTGTGCTGTGCTGCATGTGTTTACCCCTCGATCCCACCACCACGAGCAGATCTGGGACCCGGACGAGCAGCCGCCTACGATTCCCGAGAACGAGCCGCTGCTGCTCCCAGGGGGCTCCGCGCCAAGCTCTGCAGGGCCTTCGTCTCGCAGGGGGAGTGACAACGCGGAGGGCGGGAAGCAGGGAGCAGGGACGGGAGCAGGGGCAAAGGCACCGCTTCAGGGACAGGCACAGGGACAAGGGCAGGGACAGGGACCGGTGCAGATTCAGGGGCAGGTTCAAGCTCAGAGGGCGGAGTCTGGGCGGGAGAAAAGGGAGCTGGGTGATCAGCAGCAACGGAATGAGGCTCGGCGTGAGGATCGGCATGAGAGCCGTGAGCGGGCGATGTCGCAGCAGCAGGCTGTGCAGCAGCAGCAGCAGCAGCAGCAGAGGCAGGAGATGCAGGAGAAGCAGGAGGAGCAGGAGAAGCAGGAGAAGCAGGAGAAGCAGGAGAAGCAGGAGAGGCATGAGAAGATTTTTTCGGACAGTGAGGGAGAGGTGGTGAAGGTTACGGGAAGGGGACCCGAGGAGAAGCAGGCTGGGAGGGTTGGAGAGGGGGATGGCGTGAGGGAGAAGAAGGTGGTGGAGGAGCGAAAGGCGAAGGAGGCAATGGGAGTGCCTGATGATCGTAAGCACGAGGAGCATTTACATCAGGAGCGGCAGCAGCAGCAGGAGCAGGTGGAGCAGGAGCGTAGACGCGTGAGTGGGGAGAAAGAAGGGGTGGGACAGTTGGTGGGGAGTGCTGGGGACGCAGAGGGAAGACGTGGGAGTGAGGAGGTGGAGGCAGGGAAGCAGAGTCAGGCAGAAAGGGAGAGAGATGACGGAATGGGGGTTGGAACGAGGAGGGATGAGGAGGAGAGGGTTGTTGACACTGGGAAGAAGCAGCAGCAGCAGGAGCAGGAGGTGGGGGGGCGAGAGAGAGCTGATGCATTTGTGGTCACGGAGGGAAGGGGAAGCAGGGAGGAGTGGAGGTTAGGGGAGGAGCGCGGAGGGAAAGGGCAGGAGCAAGTTGATTGGAGGGAAGGAGCTGTGGCAGGTGCCGACTTTGCTCCCTTAGCTCAACGGGACAGGGTAGTGGAACAGCGTCAGCTGCACGCTCAGCAGCAGCAGCAGCAGCAGCAGCAGCAGTTGCAAAGGAAGAAACAGGACCTTGCAATGCTCATGGATCGGGATTCAGACAAGGAAGCAGCAGCTGTGCGGCTGAGAGAAGCGGACGAGGCGGCACAACGCACGCGCAACAGCACGAGAGGGCGGGCCTAGAGGGAGTAACGAGGCGGATAGTACCGGGGACGGACGCGAGCGGGAGGGGTCTGGTGGTGCAGGGGTGTTGGATCAGCAGTCAGGAGGGACAAGGCAGAGGGTGGGTGCGAGGCAGGAGGGAGGGGTAGGTGGTGTGGGTGCGGGTGAGTTTTACGCAACCCATAGGGATGAGCTGTGGGACTGGCAGCAGCAGCAGCAGCAGTGGGAGTGGCAGCAGCAGGAGTGGCATTGGCAGCAGCAGCAGCAGCAGCGGCAGCGGCAGCAGCAGCTGGCACTCCAGGACCCAGCAGCAACAGCAGCGGTCATTGCAGCAGCAGCCGCAGCAGCAGCAGGGGGGGGACCGAGGGCCGGCGTGGGAGGAGTAGGCACGTGGTGGGAGGGGGAGGTTCCGCCTGCACATGCAGGAGCGAGCTGGTTGGCTTGGCAGGCTATGCAGGCAGGGCAGCATGTGGAAGGGGTGCCGGCGTCAGTGTCCGCTGCGCGGGTGGAGGGAGCAGAAGCAGCGCTGGTAGAGCAATGGAGGCACGCTCAGGCTGTGGCTATAGCAGCTGCTGCTGCATCGGACGGGCATGGGGGAATCCTCCCCCCGTGCACGTCTCCGACTGCTACTGCTGCTGCCAGTACTGCCGGTACTGCCGCAGCTGCTAGTGCTGCTGCTGCTCCTGCTTCTGCTGCTGCTCCTGCTGGTGCCACCGCTGTGGCTGCAGCTGGTGGTGCAGCGACAGGGGCATTGGTTCCGGCTGCCTCTGGTATCGCAGCGCCTGCTGTGTCTGCTGAGGCTGGGTCTGGTACACAAGATGGCGGAACAGAGCTTGAGGTGAGTCTCTTGTGTTACTCATTCGCGCTCGTGCTAACCCGCTTTGGTTCCGTTCCTATGCTCTCTCGTTTTGGATGGTCGGTGTGCATAACGTAACAGCTTACTCATTGTCACTCTTTTTCCCGCTCTTTGGTTCGAATTCCTGTGCCATCGTCTCTACCAGCCGTCACTCTCGTGTGAGCAACCGCCATCGCTGAACGACACATCACGCCTGGACTACCATCCGGGCAGGTAAGTCAAGTCAAGTCCAGCCTCACACGCCCGCATGCCCACGTGCCCAGCACACACGCTCACTCTCTCTCGTTGTCAGTTGTGCCCCTGCTTCTGAAACTCTTCACCTTTCTTACCGTATGACTCCTGAGTAGGAACCAAAAAAAAAAAAAAAAAAAAAAAAAAAGAGCGCGCTCGTTCTTCTAGTGTAGCTCTCTTTTCCTGACTGGTCGTTGCACACACTGAAAACGCGAATGCAGCCTTTTCCAGGTGGAATGCGTCCATGCCTCTGAACCGGTTCTGCGAGCCCATGATGGATCCCTCCACGTCGCTGCTAACACCAACGTCCCCTTACGCCCCCTTCCTTCCCACCCCACTTCCTTTTCCGTGGCTGCCAGGTGGAATGCGTCCATGCCTCTGAATTGGTTCGGAGAGCCCATGATGGATCCCTCCACGTCGCTGCTAACACCAACGTCCCCTCACGCCCCCTTCCTTCCCACCCCACTTCCTTTTCCGTGGCTGCCAGGTGGAATGCGTCCATGCCTCTGAATTGGTTCGGAGAGCCCATGATGGATCCCATTAGTCGCTGCTAACCCCAGTGTCCCGTCTCTTTTCCGCTTACCCCCTTCCCACCCCCTCTCCCCCACTTCCTTTCCATTGCCCCGCCAGGTGGAATGCGTCCATGCCGCTGAACCGGTTCGGAGAGCCCATGATGGATCCCACCACGTCGCTGCTGTTGACAACCCCAATGTCCCCTCTCTCCCCCCCTTACCCCCCCACTTCTCCCCCCACTCCCGTTCCCACCTATGATGGCTGTCAGGTGGAATGCGTCCATGCCGCTGAACCGGTTCGGAGAGCCCATGATGGATCCCACCACGTCGCTGCTGCTCGCGTCCTCGCTGCACCCCCACGCCTCGCACGGCGCACGCTCCGCGCTCCTGCACTCCCTGCACTCCCTGCACTCTCTGCCAGGCCCAGGTATGCGTATGCATGTGTGACCTGCACTGGGGTGTATGCTGGGGTGCGTGCTTGGGAGTGTGCTGGGAGGGATCCGTGCTGGTTTGCGTGGTGGGGTGGGGCGTGGATGGGACGACGTTTTTTAGGCGCCTCAAAATCCGTGCTGGTTTGTGTGCTGGGGCGACGTGTAAAGATGTTATTTTTGAGACGTCTTGAAAATAACCTCCTTACACATGATGGGATCCGTGCTGGTTTGCGTGCTAGGGCGTGGGTGGGGGTGCATTTTAAGCTGCCTGCCTTTCCTGCCTCCAGGCCTCCTCTCCCGTTTCCCTCTTCCCGTCCCCACCTCCCTCTCACCCTCCGCACCACGGTGCGTGCAGACAAGGCAGGCCCGAGGCAATCTCTGGAGGACGCGGGGTCTCAGGGCCACATGGACCCGCGGTACTCCAGCTCCTCCTACGACCTCGAATCCACCGAGGTGAGTCTTGTCTTGAGTCGCCCCCTTGGTTGGTTCGATATCTTGCCACATGCCAAATGGACCCGCTTTTGAGAATTCTCAAAAGTGATTCCCACATGCCACATGGACCCGCGGTACTCCACTCCTCCTCCTCCTCCTCCTCCTCCTCCTCCTCCTCCTCCTCCTCCTCCTCCTCCTCCTCCTCCTCCTCCTCCTCCTCCTCCTCCTCCTCCTCCTCTCCCTCCTCCTCCTCCTCCTCCTCCTCCTCCTCCTCCTCCTCCTCCTCCACCTCCACCTCCTCCTCCTCCACCTCCTCCTCCTCCACCTCCTCCTCCTCCACCTCCACCTCCTCCTCCTCCTCCTCCTCCTCCTCCTCCTCCTCCTCCTCCTCCTCCTCCTCCTCCTCCTCCTCCTCCTCCTCCTCCTCCTCCTCCTCCTCCTCCTCCTCCTCCTCCTCCTCCTCCTCCTCCTCCTCCTCCTCCTCCTCCTCCTCCTCCTCCTCCTCCTCCTCCTCCTCCTCCTCCTCCTCCTCCACCTCCTCCTACGACCTCGAATTCACTGATGTGCGTTGCTTCACCCCCTCTCCCCGCTCCGTTCCTCCATTTTCCCAAACGCTCCCCCTTCCCCCCCCCTACCCTACCCTACCCCCACCCCCCCACACAACCCTCCCATCACCCTCGCATTGTGAGCGTTTTGTTTATCCCCGTCTTCGTTCTCTTTAATCCCGACCCTTTTCCCGTGAATTATTCTTATTTCTGTAACCCCGCTGTGCTCCTCTTTCAGCTGTGACTCAACTCAAGAATCCCTCAACGCACCTGCATTCCCCTCCCCTTTTCTCGAGATCCTTTCGTTCTCCCGCTCTTGAGTCGACTCAAAAGTCACCTCCTCCCCTCTTCTGGGGATCCTTTCGTTCTCCCGCTCGCGCTCACTCCGTGCAGGGCGGGTCGCTGCCCCCCACGCCCCTGGCAATGCATGACGTGCGTCACGTGGCGGTGGAGGCGAGTTTTGAGACGTCTTAAAACCTCTCCTCTCTCGCCCTCTCCCTCCTCACTTTCTACAGGGCGGGTCGCTGCCCCCCACGCCCCTGGCAATGCATGACGTGCGTCACGTGGTGGTGGAAACACCTCTTGCAGGCATCATGCTGCACCTCGGTTCGCTGCTGCGCCAGGCCACTGAGCAACAGGTGTGCCCTCGTTAACGCTGCCGCCGCCGCTGCTGCTGCTGCTGCTGCTGCTGCTGGTTGTGCTCCTTCTCTTGGTGCTGCTGCCTGCATGTGTTTAGACAGGCAATTTTTCTGCTTCCAACTGTTTCAAACAGACCACCAGTTTCCATGCACGCCACTTCCCCCTCTGCTCACTCTTCCCCCTTACCCACGCCCCTCCCCCCTGTATTCCCATTTCAGGAGGTGATCTACAGCCTGCTTCACTTCCTCTCCCCTGGCTATGGCGATACAGGTATGCATGCATGCATTTGTGCATGAATTACGTCTTTTGCACAGAAAGTCAGTTAAGCAGCAGACTCTGTTGCATAAGAGTCAGAGGCACCGAAGGGATCTTGTCATGTCTCCTTGCTTCCCATCCTCCTCCACCTGTCCCCTCTCATCCCATCCCACCCCCTCCCACAGGTGTCGTAGATGCATGCACCAGAGTCCGCCTGTGCCCGAGATATCAGAAACTGCCGCTGCAGCGCTTTCAAACCTCTCAATAGCCCCTCGCCCTCCCACCCCCCTCCCACCCGCCTCCCACCCCTCTCCCACCCCTCTCCCATCCGCCTCCCACCCGCCTCCCACCCCCCTCTCACAGGTGACATTACACCTGAATCCGTGCCTGAGATATCAGAATCCTCGGCAGGCAGCAGAGGAGATCTTTGAGACGGCTCACAAGTCGCCTTCTCGCCCTTCCACCCCCCTCCCACAGGAGTCGATGCACCTGAATCCGTGCCCGAGATATCAGAATCCTCTGCAGCGCTTTCAAGGCGTCTCAAGAGTCGCCTTCTCGCCCTCCTATTCCCCTCCCACAGGTGTCATCGCACCTGAATCCGTGCCCGAGATATCAGAATCCTCTGCAGCGGCTGAGGCTGCCACTGGGACAAGCGAGGGGGAGGGCGGAGGTAGGGGGGAGGAGCAGCAGGGGGCGGATGCAGCAGGGGAGGGTGGCGGCGGCGGTGGTGGTGAGGGGAGCAAGGAGCGGTCCGTACGCTTTCAGGATAGCAACGCTGCTGCTGGCAATGCGAGTGCTGCTGCTGCTGGCAATGCGAGTGCTGCTGCTAATGCTGGTGCCAGTGCTGCCAATGCTGCCAGTGCTGCGAATGCTGCTGCTAATGCTGCTCACGCTGCAAACGGGGCTGCAGATAACACGTCTGCTGCTGCTACTCTTGCTGATACCGCTGCTCCCGGTGCCACTGTGGGGGGGTCTGGGGGAAAAGGAGAGAGCAGGGAGGGGGACGGGCAGAGGTATGGTTCTGGGGATGGCACTGCAGCGGGGGGCGGTGATTCAGGCAAGGGAGGGCGAGGCGAGGGCGAAAGGAGAGAGTCAGGTTCAAGTGAGGAGGGCGTGGGGACGGCTGATGCAGCAGCGAGAGTCGGAGGAGAGAGAAAAGGGGAAAGTGGAAAGCGGGTGGATGGGCGGGTGGTTGATAGGGGTGAGGAGAAGGGGGAGGAGGGGAGCGAGAGGGGAATGGAGGAGGAGGGTGAGGGGAAAGCGGCGGATGGGGAGGGGGAGAATGAAGGGGAGGATGGGAGATTCGTTGCTGCTGCGTCGTCCAGGGATAGCCTCGGCTCGTATGACGACTCTATTGTAAGTTCACTTGTTTTCTTAGGCGCTTTACAAAGAAACAGGGATAGCAGGGATAGCCTCGCCTCATATGACTGACGAATCTATTGTACGTTCAAGCCCACCTCACTGCTCCCTACCACCTCACACCCCGCCCCCCCTCGTATGACGACTCTATTGTACTTTGACACTCATTGAGGCTCTTGAAAATATACAGGGATAGACTCGCTTCGTATGACGACTCCATTCTACGTTTTACCCCACCTCACTGCTCCCCACCACCCTATCACCCCACACCCCACCTGGCCGCTACCCACTCCTCACCACCCCTCTCCCCACTTCCCACCATCCACTCGCCGCTTGGCCACGTTCCCTTGCCACGCGCTTTTCAGTGTCCTGCTTCTTACCCATTTCCCTGCAATGCAATCTATATGCTGCTGACCACTTGCGGCAAAGCGTTTCATAGCATTTTGTTGCATCTCCAGCAGAATTTTAAAAGGGGTGGTGGTGTTGACAAGTGGGTGGTGACATGCAGTTGACTTTTGAGTCAACTCAAAAGTCAAACGGGTGGTGTTGACAAGTGGGTGATGACTTGCAGTTTTCAAGCTGCTCTGTATCCCTCTGTTAAGTCTGCTACGGATGCTTCTCCTTTTGGGCGCATGCCACGCCATGCCATGCCACGCCATGCCATGCCACGCCATGCCATGCCACGCCATGCCATGCCACGCCATGCCACGCCATGCCATGCCACGCCATGCCATGCCACGCCATGCCATGCCACGCCATGCCATGCCACGCCATGCCATGCCATGCCATGCCACGCCACGTGTGCTGCGAGCAGGTGGAGGTGGCTGCGGACAGGGAGAAGGACCTGAGTCAGCAGGTGGGGGAGCTGGACTCGCGGATCATCTTTCTGCAAAACGAACTCGCTGCTCTTAGGAATCAGAATGCCCAGGTGCGCACGGCGGCATGTTTTGAGGTGCCTCAAAACAAGACTTTCAGGAACCCGAATGCCCAGGTTAGCACTGCACGGCTGTGAAGCATGGACTAGATGAGTGAAGCCTGTAAGGCTGTCGCACCAACACTGGTGAAGCCGCGCTGTCGTTTCTTCTGCACACTCACACACACACACAGAGTCAAGCACGCACATCCGTGCACGCCCGTGCGCACACGCAATCACTCTCCTTCCTGCGTGTTTGCCCTTGTTCCCTCGTTCCCTGTGTGGTGGGCATCAGCTGGAGCGGCAGCTGAATGCGTTTCACAACAAGGAGGAGGAGGGCGTGCGTGCACGCACACGCACACGCACACGCACAGACCTAACTGTTCTCGTTTCCTGCCTGTGTGTTTGCCGGCGTATCTTCTTTCCCTCGTTCCTCTGTGTGGTGGGCTGGGCATCAGCTGGAGAGGCAGCTGAATGCGTTTTACAACGAGGAGGAGGAGGAAGCCGACGAGGGCGACAACATGAGTGACGATGACAACTCGCGCAATGGAGACGACGACGACGACGATGACGATGACGACCCGCACATGGATGCCTGATTTCTGCATCTTGGCCTTCTGCAACCAGGTAATTCCATCGTTGAGACGTCTCAGAAGTCATGAGTGACGACGACAACTCGCGCAATGGAGCCGCCGACGACGACGACGACGACTCGCACATGGATGCCTGATTCCCACGGCACCCGCCGGCCTTCTGCAACCAGGTAACTCCACTTCTGAGACGCCTCAATAGTCATGAGTGACGATGACAACTCGCGCAATGGAGACGATGACGACCCGCACATGGATGCCTGATTCGCACAGGCGAGCAGGTGATTCCAGGCTCTGTGATTCATGCCGCTGCTGCCGCTGCTGCTGCTGCTGCTGCTGCCGCCGCCGCCGCCGCCGCCACTGGTGACGTTGCTCTTGCTGCTATTGCTGCTGTTACATCTATGGCTTCTCTAGGCTCGGTTCATTGCGAGTGCACATACGATATTTGTTCAAGTGCTTGTGTTCATCACCGTCTGATCTCCTTTTACCTCTCTATGTACAGGGACTCATGTCACTGCTGCCGCTGCTGTTGCTGCTGCTGCTGCCGCCGCCACTGTTGCTGCCGCTGTGCTGTCTCTCGCTCCCATCTCAACATCGGTCCCTCCTCCTTTTCTCGCCTCCGCTTTCCATTTCCAACCCCCGTGGGCTTGCTGGCTTTGCCATGTAGTGGCAATGCCGAGCCTTCCCGTGACCAACCCCACCACTCGGTGTGTCAGCGATAAGTTCGGAGTTTAAGCAGAATGGTTAGCCTGGTGGGCGTCACACGTTGAAACAGCTGGAAATGGAGTCTAGGTCTGGTTTGCAAGGGCACTTGGACTTTCGGGCGGGCAGGGAATGACAAGGTTACTGGGTTTGATCTGACCCAGTGGAAGGCGAGGGGTGGGGTTGGTACATTGCAAGGCAAGTGATCTGTTGGGGTTGGTATTGGTATGTGCCAACTGACACTCTGAATGGTGTTGTGCTGGTGGTGGTGGCGACAAGAGAAGAGAAGAGCAGAGGGGCATGGAAGGGTAGCAGCAATGCCTAGCAGGCATTGCTTTGGCGGGTGCTTCGAGAATGAGGATCACGTGTCAAGCTTCCACAGAAATTGCGTCAACCCTGACATGGGCCATGGGCCATGGCCCATGGGTCTCATCTCATGGGTCATGGGTCATGGGTCATGGGTCATGGGACGTAGGCCATGTATCATGGGATGTGGGTCATGACAGGGCCCTGACCATGTTGTCTGCAGCTCTGCCTGCTTCCAGGCTCTTCTCTTGCTCTGCAGAGCAGGTGAAGTGATGGCAGGGCGCGGTTGTTGGGACATGTCCTGCGCTCCCTGTGGTGCATCTGCAGCACATCCTGCCATGCCGTGCCATGCTATGTCATGGCATGTCATGTATGTCGTGTGCGTCAAGGGCCCGAGGATGCAAGCACGAGTACTGGTGGTACGGTCACCTGGCACTTCCCTTGGTGCTGGTGTGAGTCGCTCGCTCATTGGACTAGAGGACCTCGGATCGGATAGCTCCCAGGCCAGATGTGCAATGTTGGTGACTAGCGCGTTTCATTGCATGGCCGAGATTGTGGATCGGTAGATAGTGCATTGAGTTGCTTGCCGCTGCAATGCGGCAGTTACATTACGCGACGAGGATTACTGTAGGTTACCAGTGATTTTAGGATACCAGTGATTTTAGGAGCTTACATGGTCTAGGCACCAAAGTGTTTTCGTGATCTGATCGTAAAACAGACACCTACAGATGCTCTCTGATCGTGCTGCAGCACGTACACTAGTTCCTGTTCTTGGACCCGTCTCCAATGATAAGCCCCCCAACCTGGATGTTGGGGTTGCAAGCAGCACAGGATAGGCAAAAGCCGGCCAAGAAGTGCAAAACAGAGAAGCAATAAGCTGATGGGCAAGGGAGCGACAGAGACTAAAAACTATCGCAAGCAGTGAGCAAATGGGGACAGGCTGAATTAGGTACGTGCACTGCGCTTTTCGGCACCGCATAGGATACTACTAACATACAGAAACGCCAGCTGGCTATGTCAAGCCTAGGCCTTGTGTAGGGCGGCTGCCGCTGGGGCCTCACCTGAGGGTCAGCCCTTGGCGCTACCTTCTCCGCATATCTCTCTGACTCCCCACTCTCCCTCCATCTCCTCATCGCCTCCTGCTCGCAAACATGCCATCTCACCACCATACCATGCCATGCCGTGCCATGCCATGCCATGCCATGCCACCACCATGCCACCATTCCATGCGATGCAGCACGTTTGGTTGGGGAAACAAGACACGCGAGTGGAAAGAAAGCACTCCAATCAACCTGCTCCCCATGTCACTAACGTTCATTGCCACTGGCATGGCAACCTCACTGCCATATCATCCCGCAGACACATCTTTCAATCAAGGCTATTTTCCCCGAATATCCATCTCGCCCCCACCCTCCGCACCAAGAAAATCCCCATCCACGTCACATCAACCTACCCGCACCCGTTTGCCTTCCCTCCGCCTCCTCTCCTCTCCCTCCTCACCTCTCGCTCTCGTTGCTTCTCCCACTCGGGGCGCACCCACAGAAAGTACGCCGCTGTTCCCGCCACTAGCCATGCCGCGGCGTTCTGCCGCCCGCGCACGCCGCCCAGAGTGTTCCGCAGAACCTCCGCCGCGCGACCGCTCACAGTTCCGCGGGCCATCGAGGACGACGGACGCAAGGGGAACAACTGGGGGAGATGCAGAAAAAACGGCGGAAGAGGGGCGAGGTTGGCGGGAGAAGCACGTCACGCGGGGTGTGCCCCACTGGCGACGACAGAACCCACGGACACGAGGTGACAATCGAAGCTGTGTTGCGGAGAATCGAGGGATCGTTACAACGCTTGCCTGCTAACACTGCGTGTACTGTATGACATGTAAGAACTTCCGATTATCTGTACTTGTTCTTTTAGTGGACGTAACACTCGGACCCTCCAGATAAAAAGATGATTCATGAGTCATAAAAAAAATGCCCGTGCTGAAAACAAAGAATAATACAATACATGGCTATGTACATTGCTTGCCAGGCAACAGCATGAAAAGAGAGCAGTCAATCCAAAGAATTCATCAGCTTGGCTGATTGGCGTGCCTCGGTCCCATCTGAGGGTTAACCCTAGACGGAAACCAACACACGGAAGCTCCAGCAGCTCGCATGGGTAGGGTCGCACCAGAGATGCAAACATGGGCCGCTTAAGTAGCAGCACTAGCAAAACCCAGCAGCAGCAGGAGGAGGGGGACGAGCTGAAGATGTGGACTGTCTGGCTAGGAAGATGGGAAAGCTGATGCATGCATCCACCAAGGCCGAGCACCGAAGGGCGAGCACCAAGGTGCTGCCCTGCTGGATGCTTCTTGAAGTGAAAGTAGCGCTCCAAAGCCCCACTGGGGAAAAAAAGGCGGCAGGAACCCTAAGGAAAAGCGAGAGTGACTACCACTGTGCCTCGATCCATGAACAAAGGCAATCAGAACGTGTTGATGTAGGAGTTGAAGTCACATCAGCGATGTTGTTAATGGCTGGGCACATCTGAGTCTTGCACCATCCATGGGTGACCTGGAGTACAAAAAAAAAATGCGATAAACAAAAAACGGAACAAAGAAACAGGAATAAGAATCGGAACGATAAGCAGCAGAGCCATGCCATGCCAGAGGAAGGACCCCAGGAAACCAAGTGTTGCAAGAGATGCATTGGAAAACAAGACATTGCAATGTGGCGAGAGGAAGCATTGCAGCAGATGCAAGGCGAGTAGCGGGTACGCACGGAGGACGTCGTGAGCCGAGGGCCGCTTGCTGACATCGCGGCAGAGCATGAGCGTGAGTAGATCCTTGGCCTCTGGTGACAGCGACTGCAGAGGGGGAGACGCCAGGTCCAGAGGGGCAGACGCCACAGCCCTGAACACGTCCATGATCGTAACTGCCATGTCATCATGGGGTTGTGGAGGGGGGAGAAGGTTTAGGACGGCGAGTCAGGGGACACAGCAAGTGCTGTGCTGCTGGTTACACGTGCACAGGAGGGGGCACAGGAACAGTCGAAAGTGCATATTCCTAGCATGCGATTGCGCTCGCGCTCACCTCCATCGAAGGGCACTCTGCCAGCGAGAAGCAGGTGCAGCAGCGCGCCTGCACTCCACACATCCGCCTCAGGCCCGTACCCTCCTCCCCCGCGCACCCTCAGCACCTCAGGCGCCACAAAGCACGGACTTCCTGCCACCTCGTGCAACCGCTTGTCTGGGGGGGGAGGAGAGGGGGGAGACACGGCAAGGAGACGATGCGGAATTGAGGAAGAGATGAAATGTGGGAGGGGTTTAAGAGCAGGACACACACTGCGGAGCATCTGTTAAACTGGCAGGAGTTCCTCCCAAGCTAATGAAGCGCGCAAAAATGTTGGAACTGATTCCAATCATGTCAAGAGCGGAGCAGGCAATACCTGGCGAACAGAAGGTGGCAAGGCCGAAGTCGATGGCGACGAGGGGAGACGCAGGGTCGTTGGAGAGAAAGATGAAGTTGCAGTCCTGCACACACAACATAACCGGCAGCAGATGCGACAGGCGAAGAGTGAGCTAGTTAAGTGCAGCGGCAACATGAAGGCCATTGGCTGGCGTGGGCATTAACCCTCAGCTTCCCTCAGCTTCCCCGAACCATGACCAGTTCGAGCCCAAGTGTAACCCCTGAAACCCCTGCGACCCCGTGCGAGTGTACAGGAAGTGTTGGTAGCACTGACCTTGACATCGCGATGCACGATGCCGCGGTCGTGGCAGTACGCCAGAACGCTCACCACCGAGCGCATCACCCGCGCCGCCTCCCGTTCGCTCATGGGACCCTGAGACAACGAGGCGAGGAGCACGATCAGCACCGCGACCTAAAACTGAGATAGCACGTATGCGGCCATGACGCAAATTCGAGCCAAGATTCGCGCAGCACGAGAAACTCTGGACACTTCCGGAATCGACTCCCGATGTGAAACGTGAAGCGTGGAATGTCAGCCAGTTATTCGCCTCGCTCGGGGCATCAAAGAGCATGAACGTAATTCTTATCAGCTAATCGAAGGCAATCTACAAGCTTTGTGGTCCTTCACCAGAACGAAGGCTTGAAGACATGGAACGCGCGATTCGCACACACACCTGCTGCGCGATTCGGTCCTTAAGGCTGGGTCCCTCGCAGAGCTGCATGACGATGTGCGTGTACTGCGCGTCGTCCACCACGTCGTACAGCCGCACCACGCTCGGATGTCCCTGCATCCGCGTCAGCACATCCACCTGCACCGCACAGCACCGAACCGAACCGAACCGCACACACACATACGGAGAGCAGATGATGTGAGTCAGTCGGACACGAATAGGGGAGGTGCAACATGGATGTTGTACAGACAAGGCTTTAGAAAAAGGAAGTCCGTATTGTACCTCCTTTTTTGCCGTCGCGGATCGATCCAGGTTTGAGGGAACTCCACCTCCCTCGCTGCTGCGGCTGCTGTTGCCGCTGCCTCGGCTGATGCTTCTGCTGTTGGCCGTGCTGCTGCTGCCGTTGCTGCTGCTGCTGCCTCCAGCCGATACGAGTCGTGGCAGGTCGTCCTTGAGGATCGACTTGCATGCAAATCGTTTCGCGACAGTCTCGAGACCGCCAGCGATCACCCCCTGCGACTGCGACGGCGACGACGCTGGCGAGGGAGAGGAAACGCCGCTGCTGAGGCCAGACGACAATGACTCGAATCCGAAAGGAGACGAGGGAGAGGATGCAAAGGATAAGGGAGACTCCGACGAGCACGGAAGCGGCGAGGAGAAGGAGACGGATTGCCCGGGTTGCTCTTTAAAGAACTTCTCCCTCGGCCAGCAAACACGCACAGCGCCGTGCTTCCCTGATCCCAGCAACTTCCCGACGTGGTATTTCGCCTCCAGCGAGCCTTCCATTTCCGTCGCTTTCGCCGCCTCGGCCATCTTAGCATAAGCACCCCTCATGAACAGCTTCTGCTCGATCTTGCGAGGTTTACTGTGAGGCCTGGGCTTCACATTTCGGTCCTTTGCCGCCAAATCAGCCGCACCCGACGCATCAGAACCGTGACCCGCTTCCGCGGTATTGGGAGCTTCGGTGTCGGCTTTCTTAGCCCGGCGATCCGCAGTCTTGCCATGGAGCTGCGCGAAGCGAGTGACGCGATGGTGCGAGTATCTGGTCCGCGACGCGTCAATCCCGAGGTTGTCATCGGTCGCCCATACGGGGGAGGCCGAGGAGCAGGTGTTCCCCATCGCGGCAAACGGCAAGGCAACAGCGATTGCTAACGGTAGGAGCGGTCGTGTCAGGAGGGTAAGACCAAGCCAGCCGCCATTTTGGGAGGTATGACGGCTATACTTAGACTCATCAATATCGCCAATGGCGTTGTGCCGTGGCGAGCAAGGTGGGAAAATAAGCCAATGAACTAAGGATAAGAGCTCCTGATTGCAAAGCACGATCAACTAAGTAACCTCACGTGTCACGTGACTCACTTGTCTCGCACTTGACGTAACCCTGTCTCTGCCCTGGTCACTGACTCTCCTTCAGTCGAGTCACTTGGCTGTTGCTGGTTGGTTTCTCGCATGGTTGGTGGGGTTGTCCGTAAGGGCGGCGCGCTCTCCGCCAGTTTCAGTGATTGCGCCGTGCTGCACATGGGGAAATGCTGGGAGGAGCGCGCGCAAAGGGTGTTCTGTATGTGCTGCGCTGGGGCCAGGCGGGCCAACCTGGTGAAGCCGTGTCGGGTTTTATCCGATTTTTTTTTTTCATAAACCAGAGTACTTACTGTATGACGTTGACCTTTTTAGGGTGGCTTTGCACGATCACTAACTCACATTATCGGAGAAAACGTTTGAATATCGGTATAGAAAAGGGCAGAACAAGGCCACTGGTTGCCACTGCCGTTCGGGAGAAGGGTTTTCAGATATCGAAGGACAACTTTGGCCAATTCTGTGCTTTCAGGGAACTTCATCGGTAGTTGAGGAGACTTTCCGCAATTATGCCCGTAAGGCAGGAAACTTAGTGCTACAACTCAGGAATTCGCTCCACATTATCCCACGTGTCAAAAACTCTCAACATTGAAAATATATATCCCACCAGACCTGACCAAATTAACTAAAACCCAATCGGGAAGAATTGCGACTCGGGGAGGCATCAACCCTAAAAACAATGTCCTTTCCCGTGTTTAGGGTTGATCCCTCCCGAAAATGCGTCCAGGTCCCTATGGGTTTTATTTTTTCTGCCCAGTCGTTTTAAAACTTCTATAAATTTGGGACACGTGGGTGAATGTGGAGCGAATTCCTGAGTTGTAGCACTAAGTTTCCTGCCTTACGGGCATAATTGCGGAAAGTGTCCTCAACTACGGATGAAATTCCCCTGAAAGCACAGGATCGACCAAAGTCCTCCCTCAATATCTGAAAACCCTCGGGAGAACCGCCTCAGCCCCCAGACCAATCGCGCGCTGCCTCCCCTCATCCGAGGTGTTTCTTTGAGCCTTCGCGGAGAAGTACAGCACGACCCCTGATGAGTCGCACTCTCGGCATCTCGGGAGAATTTTCTGTTGTAGCGCAGCCCAACTGTTGCTTTTTGGGGCACCCCACGTTGGCATTTTTTGCCACAGGTATCTGCCCAAAGCGTAATTGAGCCCCCCAACAAAGAATATTCCTAGCCGCACCGTTCTACTGGTTGGGAATGGGCGGGAGAAGGGCTAGCAGACCTCGAAAGTGCGCGCAGTCGTGGACGGATTTCAGCCTGACTAGGGATGACGCAGCACTTTTCTCCGCGTCACCCACAGCAATCCACGTGTTGCGGACGTTGTCAGACAGGGAAAAGGTCGCCAGGTTCAGCGACCAAAATGATTCCACCCAGCAACTAATGGGGCCTACCAATGGATAAGCCGCCTGGGATATGAGGTGTCGGAAACCCAAACCTGAGGTCCCAAGAAGAATCTGACCTGGCCCGGGAATCGCTGCTGTGACTTATAAGGGAGAACCCGAGAATACAACAGTACCATGCTTGCGCGCCTCGCTCACACAGCACAACCGATGAAGCGTTGCAAAGTAGACTCGGCATCCTCTTTATTCTACAGCAGGCTAAATTAAAGCGACGGTGCACATTTGCCACCCAAAACCCAGAACCCTGGCGAACTGTTACTGCAGATGAAAAGTGTCTGCACGAAATCCTGGTTTTCGCCAGCCAACACTTTCGCGCTGGCAAGCCTGGTTCAAAAAAAAAAACTTCTGAACCCAACACTGCCAAAAGTTGCCCGTCGCTTTAAGGCTTCACCTCGTTAAAGCTAAATCTACTATTTAGTATCTCATTGGTCTCACAAGTCAGCTGGTTACCGCAATGTCTGACTACCCTCCTCTTCATCCGCATCATCTACGTCAGGCACAAACAAGACATGGTCTATGGGGTTGTTGGCTGCATCATAAGCTGACCACGACAACAAATGGGCACTCAAATCCACCCTTACATAGTGGTGCCCCAAGTGTGTCACCTGAGATTTGGGGAAAGAAAGGGGATAATGAATCATAAATAAACGCCTCATACTAACGGGATACATCCAGCTCTTCTCTGGCCCAACATACACAACAAAAAGGCACAGGGGACACACACAAAATATCAGCATCACTTGCCAATTCTGATTCAGCTGACAAAAACCCCGACGAAGCGAACGAGCGGCACTCACCTTATACATCCCCCAGTCAGCAACTCGGTGCTTGTCAATGCGCTCCCCACCTCCCCCTAAAATGGCGTACATAACTCCGTTCCTCTCGCCCCTTTGGTACGCATGTGAGTGCCCACTAACCACCAGATCCACACGATACTTCTCAAACAGAGGAACCCACTCCAGCCTCACCCATTCCGTCCGCCTCCGCTCTCCTCCACCCCCATCCTCTCCACTCCCATCCCCACCTCCACTCCCCCCGAAACCACTTCCCGCCCCACCACCACCACTGCCGCCCCCTCCACTGCCGCCCCCTCCACCACTACTGTGAGTCCCGTGCCATGACACGGCATCCCAGTAGTCTATAAACGGAGGGACGTGCAACAGGACGGCTACGAACGGCGGTGCTATTCTGCGCTCCCTCGCTGCTGCCACCGCCTCTAGCGTGGCCCGCAGCCAAGCAGTCTGTACAGCAATGGAGGAAGAATTCACGTTGGAGTCAAGGCCTATCCACAGGCATTCCCCTAGCAGCATTGACCACCACCGAACATCTCCACTGGTAGGCATGGCAGAGGGGTGTGTGGTGGTGGTGGTGGTGGTGGTGGGAGTGGGAGTGGCAGTGGTGGCGGTGGTATGTGGTGTGGTGGAGGCAGAGGGAACCGTCCATAGGGACGAAGCAGGAGAGGAGGTTGATGTGGGTGAGAGGAGTGAGGAGGAGGAAGGAAGAGGGGCAAACAGATCCGCAAGCTGATGAGCATCAATCAGCGCATCAACACTCCCACTGATGCTACCATTGCTTCTGCTGCCGCTGCCACTGCTGCCCCTACCGCTGCTACTGCTGCTGCCACGGCCCCCCACCCAACCTCCCCCATGCACTGCTGCTGCTGCTGCTCCTGCACCTGACCCACTCGCATGCCCCACAGCCACATCGAGATCCCCATGCACGCCCAAGGAAGGAATCGACGCTGCCACGTGGCTCGCTTCCAACGGCTGTGTCCACATGCGCTGCCACTGCAACACTGCAGCGCCCTCTCCCCCCCCGCCAGCACCACCACCACCACCACTGCCACCACCACCCGCCGCCGCTGCTGCCGCCGCCGCAGCCGCAGCCTCAGCAGCAGCAGCGGCGGCAGCAGCTCCAGGAACCCGGTCACCCAGGTGTAGAATCAGGTCTGCGGAGGGTTTATGTGCTCGGATGTGCGTCAGGTGGCGCCGAAACACTGAGCTGCCCCCCTGCGTGTCTGATATGATCGCCAGGTGGAAAAACTCGTCATCTACATTGTTGTCATCCTCATACCCCTCCCCTTCATCCTCCTCTGCTCCTGCTCCTGTGCCTGCCCCTGTTCCTCCTGTATCCGCACCTGACCCACCAGCACCAGCACCCGCGCCCGTACCGCCACCAGACCCTTCTCCCCCACCCTCACTCTCCCCGGTCTTGCTCAGACCTAATGACACGCCCACAGGTGCCCTCTCATGCGCCTTGCGCCCCCACATGCCCTTCTTCCCCACTCGAGACTCAAACTTGGGAGACGCCCCTCCCCCCCATAGTCCTTCAACCCAGCTGATTTCCTCAGCATCGCCGCCCGGGTTTTCAGGTAATGCCGCCTCTTGTTGTGCCGCTCAAACCAGGACACGCGGTGGCCGCCCGTGTGGTTGGAGAGGGCGGCGGAGCGGTGGGCAGCAAGGGCGCCGTAGGGCGTGGGACCAAGGAAGTGGAAGGAGAAGACGGGGGAGCATTGGGACCCGGAAAGCACGCGGTAGTTGTAGTGGCCGGTGGGGATCGAGGCGGGAAGTTGCGCTGTGTGTACCCAATGGGATGACGACACCTGGACACGAAAGAGTGTGTGAGAGCGAGAGAACAAGAGGAGGAGGTGGTGTCAAGAAGCGCAATGGGGGAGCAATGGGACGAGACAAGGCACCATCGGAAGAATATCGACGTCTTAACTTAAACAGAGCAGGCAGGCAGCAAAAGCAGGCAGAGAAGGGGGACAGGCAGGCTGGCGGAGCAGGCAGGCAGGAGAGTGGCACTGACCTGCACGGAGCTAGTAGCCGGAACCACCCAGCTGCCATGATGACTTACTGCTCCTTGCACATCTCCACCCTCCCTTCCTCCCCACCTCCCCGCCCACTCATTTCCCCAACCCTCTCTGCTCGCGCTAGCTTCTGCCCCCCTCCCTACACCATCAGCGCCCACTTCTGTTCCTCCACCTCCACCTCCTTCCCCTCCTCCTCCCGGTGCCACAGACGCATTACCCACACTGCCACTACCGGAACCTGCGTCAGAGGCAGATACATAACCAGCAGCTCTTCTCCCAAGCGGTTCACTGCCCCACCCTGCCCTTCCACCCACATGCTGCTGCTGCTGCTGCTGCTGCTGGTGATGCTGCTGCTGTTTGTCCTGCTGCTGCTGTTTGTCCTGCTGCTGCTTGTGCTGGCCTTGTGCGGCCGAGCAGGCATCTTGAAGGATCGCGCACGCAGGGGAGGTTGCCCCTGCTTTCATGACTCGATGCTTCTGCCGCACTCTGGAGACGGGGAGGAGGAGAGAGCACGTGCCGCGGTGAGGGAGTGGGACGTGGAAACGTGGGACAGGGCAAGCGAAGTGGGGGAAAAAAAGGGGAGGAACGAGGGCGAACAGGGACGAGTCAAAGAGGGTAGTAGCTAGCTGCAACTGCCCTGCCGCACTGTGTGAAATCTCACCCCGACCAGCTTTCAATCCCTTCTTATCCGTCAACCCCTGAACTCCCAACCCCTGACCCCTCAATGCGAAACCCCTGAACCCTCAACCCCTGAACTACCCTCAACCCGTACCCCTCAACCCTGAACCCCTCCTGTGGTGTGGTGGATGTGGAGAGTGTGCCGTGCACAAGCTGTGCCGCACCAGATTAAAGACTCCGGTGTAGGTCATTTTTGGAAACTCTCAAAATCGACCTACAGGTTCCAGTTGCTGTCCCGCTGCACAGATTCTTGAGGTACTTTGAGCAGCCGTCTCAGTTTTGAAAGAGGCGCCTAAAAAGGTATAGAAAAAAAAATGTGGTGGTGGTGGTGGTGGTGGTGGTGGTGGTGGTGGTGGTGGTGGTGGTGGTGGTGGTGGTGGTGGTGGTGGTGGTGGTGGTGGTGGTGGTGGTGGTGGTGGTGGTGGTGGTGGTGGTGGTGGTGGTGGTGGTGGTGGTGGTGGTGGTGGTGGTGGTGGTGGTGGTGGTGGTGGTGGTGGAGGAGGAGGAGTAAGTGTGTGTAGGAAAATCCGAACCTGCACATGACCACGCTGTGCTGCACCACGTTGCAGTTGCTGTCCCACTGCACTGACAGCTTTTGAGACGTCTCGAAAATCAGTAATCCGCTTCCCCCCCCCCCCCCCCCCCCTCCCTCCCTCCCCCTTCTGCACGCACCTGCACATGACCACGCTGTGCTGCACCACGTTGCAGTTGCTGTCCCACTGCACTGACAGCTTTTGAGACGTCTCGAAAATCAGTAATCCGCTTCCCCCCCCCCCCCCCTCCCTCCCTCCCCCTTCTGCACGCACCTGCACATGACCACGCTGTGCTGCACCACGTTGCAGTTGCTGTCCCACTGCACCGACAGCTGCGCCACTCCAAACGTATGGCCTTGCCCCGCCGATGCAGCAGCAGCAGATGAGGACGAGGAGGGGGAGGAGGAGGAGTGAGAAGAGGCAAGGGGCACGGAGATGTTGCCCCATATCTCCTCCCTCTCCTCCCCTTTTGGTTGCCGGGCAGTGTAAAACAACCGTGGACCTGCCCGTATCAAACATGTTGGTAAAATGGGGGCTGAAGCTGCTGCTGCTGTTGTGGCGGCTGTTGTTGTTGTTGCTGCTGCTGCTGCTGCTGCTGCTGTAGAGTCCTTGGGAGAAGACGCGTTTCCTATTCAAGGGAAAAGGGAGGGAAAGAAGCGGAGGGGGGAGGGAAGCGGAAAGCTGTCATGAAGGTGCAATGAACGTGTCACGAAGGTGAGAGCGGCGAGAGGGGAGAGGGGCGAGGGGCGAGGGGCGAGGGGCGAGGGGCGAGGGGCGAGGGGCGAGGGGCGAGGGGCGAGGGGCGAGGGGCGAGGGGCGAGGGGCGAGGGGCGAGGGGCGAGGGGCGAGGGGCGAGGGGCGAGGGGCGAGGGGCGAGGAGAGAGGGGAAGAGGACAGAGGGTAGATGCAAGAGGAGAGCGAGGGAGCATGCGTGCCCATGGACCCCCAAAGCTCGTACCTTGGTCCCTGCTGCTGGGCACAGCAGGTGAGTCTTGGCCCAGGAGGGATGCATGAGTGGGGTACATGAGAGAAAGCTTCACAGCCACGCCCCCTGCTGCCACTGCCACACGGGACTCGTTCCTAACTCCATTCCCAGCAGCACCGGCACCGCCCGTGCCAGTTTCTGCTGTCTCTGCTGCTGCTGCTGCTGCTGCTGACGCAACAGGGGGCATGTCGCCAAGAATAGGGAAGGATGGTGGTGCGCAGAGGTCTACGGAGAGGTAACGGGCCGATGGAGGCACCTGGTGCAGGGCAGTGCAGAGGGGTGGGGTGCGGTGGAAAGGAGAGACAGAAGTGATGCACAGGGCATGATACACACGGGGTTGAAGCGGGATAACATGTGCGCCATGCCATTTGCATTATAGTTCCTTGAACAGACCATGCACGCAATGTGGAGTGCTGATTGCGTTCTACTCTGCTACATCCGGATCCTCACAACCCATGCTCCCCTGCCCCATGCGCCCATGCTCACACACTCCCCCTCTCCCCACCGACTCACTCACCAGCGCCACCAGCGGACCCACATCGCGTTGCCTCGTGATGCTCTGCCCCACCGCTCCCACCCGCACCATCTCCTCCCCTGCCTCCCCTCCCTCCCCTGTACGAAACCTCCCAAAGCTTCCCTTCTCCTGCTGCAAGCCCCCCACCCGCCCACTCTCCCCATTCCCCCCTTCCCCCTGCCGTTCCCCTTGTCCTTCCCCCCACAGCGCCAGCGACAGCACCACTCGCTGGGTCTCCACCAAGCCCCGCTCAATCGCCCCTGAATCCTTCCGCCATCCCTCTCTTGGCGCCTCCTCCCCTGCCACCCCCCCTGCTCCCGCTCCTGCCACACCTCCTGCTCCTGCTCCAGTTCCCTCTCCCGATCCCGCTCCTCCTGCTGCTGCTCCTGTTGTTCCTCCTGTCACTGCTGCTCCAGCCCCCGTCCTCCCTTCCTCTCTTCTCTCGCCACCTTCCGCCCCGCTTCGTTCCACGCCCTCTTGCGCCTTCCCTTCTATCCCCTGCCCTTCACCCGCTTCTGCAGTTCCATTGCCACCGATGCCCCCACCTGCTCCCACGCCCCCTCCCACGCCCCCTCCCACGCCCGCTCCAAGTCCCGCTTTCAGTCCCGCTCGCAATCCCTCCCCCACCTGCAGCAGCACAGACACGTAGACTGCGCCGCTTCCGCCAGTGCCCCTCATCTCCGCCACCTCCCGTATCCGCGCGCGCACGTCTGTGGCCCACCGCCGGCACACCAGCCCGTGCGCCCCCCGCCACAGCAGCGTGAACTCCCCCGAGCCGTTCCCCACAGAGCCCGCGGAGGCGGAAGCGGAAGCGGAGGGGAGAACTAGGGTAGCGGGGTCAGGTGAGTCCGTGCGGATGCGCTGGGAGCGGGGGAACTGGCGCATGGCTGCTGAGGCGGAATGGGACGGTTCTGCAGCATCCGGAAGGGACGAGGATGGAGGTGGGCGGAGGAGTATGGAGCGGTCGAGAGGGAGCAGGTAGGTGGCGGCGGGGAAGAGATCAGTGTCCACGTGGATGCATGGCGGCACCGCCTTGTCCTGTTGCGGCTGTGCCTGCTCGTGCGAGTGCCAAGCACGCGTGAGAGGCGCAGCAGGGAAAGGGGAGGGGGTGAGTTGGTGGGGGGGAGGGTGGGAGGGTGGGGAAATAAGTGGGTTTGGGGTGCTGTTGTGTACGAAAGTGTGTTGCTTTTCAACCCCCCTTGAAAAGTGTCAAAGGCTGCATCGAATTGAGGAGAAATTATTGAGGCGCGGTGCTCAGAGTGGATGTGTGAAGACAAGGAGGAGGTGTGCGAGGAACGGAGGAACGAAGCGCAGGCGGGGACGCGAAGGGGAACTAAGTAAATTGACGGACTCGTTCAGATTCTCGGGAGTCGCGGGAAACAAAAAGGGGCAAGCAGAATGAGAAAGAAGGTGAGGGAGGTGTAGGGAGGGGGGAGAGGTGGCACGGAGGGAGGTGCGCGCAAGAGCTAAGCATGCAGCTTCCCACGAACCCATGCTTCATGCATGATGGGTCATACTACGTATGCTACCCATGTTTGCCACACACGCACCTCCCCGAATCCAGTGACCATGGCAAGCGACCGCGCTTGCTGCAGCACGTGCAGCGCGCGGATGGACAGCGACGGCAGCTGCTGCCGCGCGGCGTTCTCCAGCAGCAGATCCGCGGACGAGCCCCCCGCGCCCGCAGTCCCCGCCGCCGCCGCCGCGTCGAGCAGCTGCGAGGGATCCATGGGCGCATCGACGCTGTATAGAAGGCGCATGAGGCAGATCACCGACGTGAAACACGCCAACCCGCCGCCCACCAGCAGCACCGCCATAACTCGCCGCATGTTGAAGATTCCCCGCCATCCGCAGCCGCCGCCGCCGCCCCCTCCACCCCGCCGCCGCCACCGAAGGCGGTGGATCGTGGCGGCTTCCGCGGGGAGTGGTTGGGGAGAATAGGCTTGCGCTGCTTGCTGGGCGTGTTCTTGATGGGGAGTCCGCGCATGGTGGAGCGCGCGACGGGCGGTGAGAGTGGACTATGGGGAAAAGATTAGGGTTTGGTTGCAGGCGGAGATCATGGTGGGGAGGATGGAGACGAGCGTAAGAGGACTCGCAGTGATGGAATTTAGAACGGCAGGGTGTGAGTGAAGGGACGAGCGCGGGCCACCCGCACCGCCGTCTTTGGATTGACGCGTGGAGCAGGACAGGTATGACGCTGCGCGCGATCCGCTGATAGATTCTATGTTGGCAAATGGTTACGGTATGACTAGAACGGAGCAGCGTCTCTGTCCAGTAGGTGGTATTCGACAGGTCGTTCCGAAATTAAGGAAAAACTTCAGGCTACCTTTTGTCCTTGAGACCCAATAATGCCTGTATGTTAATCCTGACGTTGCCGTTCTTGCATAGCGATCGGACTGAATTTCAAGAAGGCGTCAGAAGAAGCTACTAGAAGGGTATTTCTGCTCGTCGCGTTGAGAGCTATCATATCAGGGTTTATCTGAGCCGTTCCAGCGGTCGGATTGGACGGTCGCGAGTGGTGGCGCACGCAGTCAGATCGGAGCGAGGAGAAAAAGCAGCAGTAAGAAGCAGTATGAAGAAGACGGTGACGCTTCTCTCGCCAGCCTGGCCATGCGATCCCGATTCCTAAGAACGAAATAGCTGATCCATGGAACCTATTTCGCCAAGCGTGCTTCTGCTCTACTAGCGGAAACTAGACCAATTGGCCAAAGAAGCAGAGGCCAGACAGGGAATTCTAGAGACAGAAAGTTAGAGCTTCGAGAGAGAGCTCACCAAAGCGCAGTTGTTTATCGAGTTATGAGATGCGGTGCCATGGATACTGTAACATGACAGTGCAGCAAAAGCTGCGCACTAAGGTGCGCGGGGAGAATCTGTAGCTCCGCACGTTGAGTGCATTCTAGAGCTTGGTGAGTGGAGCGACAGATTTGTACGGTGGTGATGGGGCACACACTAGCGGGAATATTCTTCGGTGTATCCGCTATAAGCGACAGAATTTGGATTACTAACGGGAGATCTCTCCTCACACGTTCATCCATGTACATAGAAAACATACTTTCTTCTCATGCTTGATTGATCATGTCAAATTTCATTTGGCGTGTGTGGTGCCGGTGGATCCAATCACAAGCCAGCCGATGTGACTCTGTCGAGGGAGCTGGTCCCCACAGTCCCCACTTCAGCTCCCTACCAAACCTCCTAACCCAACCAAACCTCGATATTTCCGTGGCAGCCCAGCCTACTTTCCTGCTCTGCACTGCACTGCCCCCAGCCTTCACCGACGTGTCCTCCTGTCCCCCCATCGGGCTTGGATTCAATCCCACGGTCCCTGTTCGCTTATCCAGCCAGCGGATTTGCCTGCTTTCATTTCACACCACGCCGCCACGGCCATCCACCGCCATAACTCCACGTCATCTGATCAGCAAACCGCGAGCTCGCATCTAGGATTCTAGGGCCGCTTAGCCAAGGCCAGAGCTGAAAATGCGCATCGCAAGTATAGCTTTTCCTACCATTGTTCTTCTTGAGTGGTAGCAAAGGAGCATTTTTCCGTAGTTGAGTCAATGCCTCTTCCGTCGCCGTCGCCGTTGCCGTCGCCGTCGTCGTTGCCGCTGCCGTCGCGATCGTCGTCGCCGTGTTGCGCGTGGGTCCGTTTGACTCAGAGGCAGCTCCGGAGCGTTTAGGCCGAATCCCTGTGAAGCCGCCTTAGATTCGCCAACCAGACACCTCACCTTGAGTCCCGCTAGTCGCACGCGCGTCAGAATTGTAAAAGCCACGCGCGGCGACATTACCGTCAGAATCGTACGCGCCGTCGTTGCTCGTATACAATCTCACACATTCGCGCAGCGTCGAGCGGCCATGGGGTTGTACGACGCGGTAGCAGGCATTGCGGTGCGCCTGCTAGATATCATCAGCACGTACCTGCAGGTCCCCTTCTTTCGAGTCAATTTCCTCGACCTAACCGTTGACGGTACGCGCATCCTCTCTCCTGTCCCATCCCGATCCCAATCCCTCCCGATCCGTCACTTAGGCCGCGTGAAATTACGGCCAGCACGCGTCAGATCCACGCGCGCATGTGCGCCTGGCATGATTGGAGCTGAGGAAACCTCCCTGGCATTGCCGTGCTGTTACGCTCCTCACATCTGTCTTCCTCTGCGTAGCATTCCCTTCCCTTTCGTCACTCCGCTTGCTCAATTGCTAACCTGGTGGCATGCTTTCTTGATACGCGCATGTGCGTCTGGCTGTTCTGTGCTGTCCCGCGCTGTGCCGTGCTGTGCCGTGCGGTGCTGCCCGCGTACTCGCGATGTATGGCTGTGTGCGAGGCAGGCCATCTGATCCTGGAGACCATTCTGCTGGTGGCCATCATATTCCTCATGTCGCAGAAGAGTTACAAACCAGACAAACGATTGCTCACTGAAACGGTCAGTTCGCCACCCCACCCTCGCCTCTACCGTCTACCCGCTCTTTCTCCACTCCTCAGCTCGACTCGTGCCTTAAATTTCCTGCACGTTCTGTGTGCATCATTGCATCATCTCCAGCCGCCCCGCCCCTCTTCCCTGTCCTCTCCTGTTGCAGCCTGCTTCGTTTATTCTTGCAATCCCTGTCTGATTTAAACATGACGTGTGCTTCACTCCTCTGCACTCCACCCCTCTGCACTCCACCCCTCTGCACTCCACCACTCTGCACTCCACCCCTCTGCACTCCACCCCTCTGCACTCCACCCCTCTGCACTCCACCCCTCTGCACTCCACTTCTCTGCATTGCACCCCTCTGCACCGCACTCTGTGTCCGCTGGTGCGTGGGCGAGCAGGAGATCGACAATCTGTGTGAGGAGTGGGTGCCTGAGCCGCTGCACCCGCCCGCTCCCCCCCATGCCCTCGCCCGCCACGTGCCCGTGCTGGACAAGTGAGTCAGGGACGGGGAACGAGAACTCTGGGGGTGCCTTGTCCTGAAGAGCTAAACAGCAGAGCGGGACCGTGGGAGGGATAGTACAGGTAGCTATGGGGGGGGGGCGCGTGTGGTAGTGAGACTTAAAGTTCGGGATTCATACTTTTGAGGAATCTCACAAGGTTTGTTTGCTATGTCTCTCTCGTGCATGCCCTTACCTTTCAATCTCCCATCTTCCCCTTTCTTCCCCGACCTTTATCGTCCCTCCACCACGGCCCGTCCCTCGCTTCTCGCTCTGCGCAGGGCGGGGGAGCCGTGGACGGTGGCGGACGGGCGCAAGATGCTCAATCTGGCGTCCATGAACTTCCTGGGTCTCATAGGCAACACTCATGTGCAGGTCAGCTCAGCGCGCTCTGCCATGATGACCATAGGTGAATAGCATGTGCAATCTTTCATGTGCCATACGCCATGTGTCATGTGTCATGTGTCATGTGCGCCACATGTCCTCTCCTCCAATATCACCCTTTTGTATTATCTCACTGTGGCTCCCCACCCCATCCCATCCCCTCCTATCCCCTCTCATCCCCTGACACTCTGCCCTGCATGCATCACCCCAGGATGCGGCCACAGCAGCCCTGCACAAGTACGGAGTGGGTTCCTGTGGCCCGCGTGGATTCTACGGGACCATAGGTATGCTTTGTGCGCCACGTGGACATACTGTGTGTGCCACGTGGACATACTGTGTGTGCCATGTGTACGTACTGTGTGTGCCACGTGGACATGCTGTGTGTGCCACGTGTACATACTGTGTGTGCCACGTGGACATGCTGTGCGCCATGTGGACATGCTGTGGCACATTGGCCACTCTGTGCCATACGCTGTGGCACATGACGTCACCACCTTCCACCTCCTGCAATCTGCTGCACATCCATGTCCCTGCCTCCGGCACTCCGCTAGCGCACACTTCTCTCCCCTCACGTCTCCTCCTCCATCGCCCCTCTTCACCCTTTCCCCCTTACCACCATTCCCTCATCCCGCCTTCCCCCCTTTCTCCCCTTCCCCGCTGGCCCCCACGGCTCCCTCCCGGGGTGGCCATGCCGCTGGTGGCACGGGCAGACGTGCATCTGGATTTGGAGGAGCGCATAGCGGCGTTCATGGGTGTGGAGGGGTGCATTCTCTACTCCTACGGCCTCGCCACTGTCGCCTCCACCATCCCCGCCTTCTGCAAGCGCGGGGACCTCATCATTGCGTGCGTGCACCGCTTCCCCCCCGGCTTCCCTTCTTCTCCGTTCCCGCTCTCCTCCTCTGCCCCTGTCTCCTCCGCTCCGCTGCTTTTGAAGTCTGCTACTTTGTGCCTCATCTTCCTTATTCACGTCACAGCACATCATGAGATCAAATCCCCCTCCCTCGACCGTCATTCCGCCGCATGGTAGCTATCCCTTACCCCCCCCTCCCACCCGCTCGCTGCCCACGCACTCCCCTGTCCCTCCCCACACCTTCCATCCTCCCTCATCCTCTTCCCGCCCCCCTTCTCCCGGTCTGTCCCGTCCCTTGCGACTGTGTGCGGTCTTATGTCGGGGCAGTGACGAGGGAGTGGGGTGGGCGATGCAGAACGGCATGACATTGGCGCGCAGCACGGTGCGCTACTTCCGCCACAACGACATGAACCATCTCGAGCAGCTGCCTCGTTCTCATCCCTCCCCTCCTTGTCTCCCTGCCTCTCAACCCTACTGTCCTCCCCACGCCTTCCATCCTCCCCCGTCCTCTTCTCCCTACGCCTCCCCTCCCCTCCCTCGCGGTTCTGTGCGTTGTATGCGGTTACAGTGACGAGGGCGTGGGGTGGGCGATGCAGAACGGCATGACATTGGCGCGCAGCACGGTGCGCTACTTCCGCCACAACGACATGAGCCACCTCGAGGAGCTTCTGCAGCAGCATGCCGCCGCCGACCGCAAGAGCAACAAGACCGACATTCGCCGCTTCATCGCTGTTGAAGCCCTCTACCAGGTGAGGATGGGGGACAGGGGATGGTGGGTGAGGGGGGAGGGGTGGGAGAGGGAGAATTGGTTCGGGGCGAGGGACGGAGGGAGAGGGAAGGGAGAGCAAGAGCAACAAGACCGACATACGCCGCTTCATCGCTGTTGAGGCCCTCTACCAGGTGACTGACAGGGGGACGGGGGGGGGACGCGGGTGCGGGATTGGGAGGGCCCACTCTCTCCTTAACACACTCTCCTTCACTCTATCCCTCCGTGCTCGTCCTCCCGCTCTCTCCCCTTCAATTTCTCCTCTCACGCCCGCTCTCTCCCACTCGCCTCAGTGCTCTGGCGCTGCCGGAGTGCCTCTCGTTTTTTCTGACCACTCGAGAATCCCTTCCTTCACGCCCGTGCTCCCCCCCTCACGGCAGTGCTCAAGAGAGCTGCTGCCCTTTCCGGAGTTGGAGCGGTTGAAGGAGAAGTACAAGTTCCGCGTCATCGTGGAGAGCCTCTCGTTTTCTGAACCGTCTCAAAAATGTCCCCCCACACCCGCTCTCTCCCACTCACCGCAGTGCTCTGGCGAGCTGCTGCCCTTACCAGAGCTGGTGCGGCTGAAGGAGAAGTACAAGTTCCGTATCATAGTAGAGGAGAGCCTGTCCTTTGGCGTGCTGGGGGCCACGGGGCGCGGCATATCGGAGCACTACGGCATGCCCGTGACCAACATTGACATCATCGTCGCTGCCATGGGCACCTCGCTGGCTTCTGTTGGGGGGTTCTGCTGTGGTAGCGCCAAGGTGGTGGATCACCAGGTGAGAGATGTTATGTGTGTGTGCGCGCGCGTGCTCCCTGTGCTCGTGCTGCTTGCTTCCATGCCTATTTCACATCCCCATCCCATCCGCATCCCCTCCTCTCCTGCCCCATCTCCCATGCTCCATCCTCCTCTGCTCATGCTCCCCCATCACACGCGTCCTCTCCCACCTGCTTGTGCCTCTTACCCTCCCGGCAGCGGCTGGGCGGCATGGGGTACTGTTTCTCAGCGTCACTGCCGCCGTTCCTGGCGTCAGCAGCCATGGCAGCGTTGGACGAGATGGAGGCCCGCCCCGCCTCACGCTCCCTCCTGCACGCCAACGCCACCGCCTTTCGGGAAGGTCAGTTGATGGAGCTGTGTGCGTGGTGGCGCGGTGTGTTGAGTGCTGTGAGTGTGGACACGGGAGAAGAGGGGCTGCAAGAGGGGCATTAGGAGGGGAGAAGATGGCTTGTTACTGGGTTGAGAGGAGAGCGTGTGGTTCATGGGAGGGTGTGCTTTTACGATGCTGCTTCAGAACCCCTCCCTGCCTTGATGATACATGAGAACCACCACTCCCATATGCCATGGGGAAGCATGCTTATACCACGTAGCTTATACCCCTTCCTGCATCCCATGACTTCTTGCCCCGTAATCCTCCATGATCCCTCCTCCCCAATCCTGCAGCCATGGCGACCCACTGCCCTGATCTGGAGGTGCATGGCCATGCGGTCTCGCCTGTGGTGCTGCTGCGGGTGCGCAAGGGAGCAGGCGCAGGGGGTGCGGTGGGGGATGGGAAGGAGGAGCCTGTGGTGCTGCAGAGGATAGTGGATGAGGTGAGTGCTGTGCTGCTGAACCATTGAGGAAACAAGGAACTGTTAGTCTTTTGAATCTGCATGAATCATGTTCATGTGCTGTCTGGGACCCAAACTGTTATGTTTCAACCAGTCTCATGCTGCCACCCTCATGCTCTACCGCACTCCCCCTTTCTCTTACACGGCGCACCCTTTTCTCCCTGTCTCTGCACTGCGCCTGATGCCCCCCCCCCCCCCCCCCCCTTCTCCTCCGTGCTTCTGCACGCCGTTCCGTGCTTGCCCCTCGCCTGTGTCAGATGCGGGAGGGAGAGAACGTGCTGGTGAGTGTTCCGCTGCGCTCGCCTCTGGACATATGCCCCTTGCCGGCGGGCATTCGGGTGTGCATCTCAGCAGGGCATTCACAGGACGACATGCTGCTGGCAGCTAAGGCCTTTGGCCGGGCAACTGCTCGTGTGCTCGGCTCAGAGGCGTCTAGCTAATCACGTGGCCGCTAGCTAGGGTTTGCGTTGGTTGGTTCTATCAGCTGGCACCGTAGGTTTGGGTCTGGTTCGTTCCATGTGCGTTGTAATTGTGGGGATGGCACCGTGCTGTTTAAATTCTTGGCCGGGAGGAAGCACATTTGTTCATACACGGACACACCCGATTGCTGTGTGACGGTTGTAGAGTAAGGTCACAATAATGTGGAGTCAAGCCAAATGGCATGAGCGTTTATTTCCCCTTCAGCCTTCAACTTTTGGAATTGTACATCTCTGTGTGACGAAATGGTATTTTTATGGTCCTTACATATCAGGAATACGTTTAGTTACATCGCGCACCTCTGCGAAAACTGCTCTCTCATCTGGTCACATCATCCCTCCCTCCCATTCTTCCTTCCGTAGCGCCTGGCTGCGAGCCAATCATCACCGTCGGTTCATTTCATTTGTTGCCGAGGCCCAGTTATTGGTAAGTAACGCTGGTTTACCTTCCCGCGCTCGCCAACACGGCGCGCGCGCTGAGGCGCCTTCCGATGGCCACAATTTCCGCCTTTGCGCCCACCCTTTCCCCCGCGCACTGCCTGCACCGCTCCGCCGCAGCCTCTTCCGCGACGCCGTTGCGCCAGGCCCGCGCGCTCATGGCGGGGGCTATGGGCGTATTGCGGAATGCGGCCGCTCCCCGCGGAGCTGGTATCAGCGGAACAGCGCGGCAAGGGGTAGGGATACTGGAACGAGAAACCACGGCGCAGGGACGCGAAAGCGGGGACGCGAGACTCAATGGCGGTTTCAACCTTGAGAGAAGAATGCGATTGGTCAGCGTAAATTGCGGCAGCAGCAGCCCCAGCCGCCAATGCAGCGCCGTATCGCGCCAAGCGCAAAGATCGGCGCCCTTGTTCCGCCATCGTTGCTTCGGATTAACGGTAGGTCCACTGCCAGGCAGCAACCACCCGCAACGCAGCCTCCTCTCACTCCCCCAAACCGCTCTGCCAGTCTCCGGCCCCACGCTCCCCGGCGACAGCAGCGGCAGCAGCAGAAGTTCCTGCGGCGGATTCAACCAGGGGAGTGGTTCTAGAGGGGTCTGCGCGCGCGCTGGCGCGAATGTGGACACGAGCGCGACGGCAACGGAGGAGCAGACGGGAGGTGCGGGCGTGGACACGGGGGAGGAGGCAGCCGGCAGAAGGGCAGTGGTGAATGGCGATGAGTCAGGGCAGCAGGCCAGCAGAACGGGCAAGGGAAAGCTCAAGGGGGATGTGAAGGCGAGTGAGAAGAGGAAAGGGAAGGGGAAGGAGAAGGGAGAGGTGGTGAAGCTGATGCTGCACAACACGATGAGCCGGAGCAAGGAGGAGTTTGTGCCTCTACGGGCGGGGCACGTGGGCATGTATGTGTGCGGTGTGACTGTATATGACTACAGTCACATCGGGCATGCCCGCGTGTACGTCTCGTTCGACGTGCTCTACAGGTGGGTGGGTGTGTGCATATGCCGGTGTGTCTCTCTCTCTCTCTCTTTTCTTCTCTTTCTTCCTCTGCCCCTCTGTTTTTCCCTAGTTGCCCTGTGAGTTGCTTCTTCTGTTCCTGATAATGGTGATTGTTCGTGACTGGTAACACCCATCTGGTATATCATGCCGTCTGTGTCCTATCTGCCCCTATTCGCGTCCATGTGCCCTTATGCACGCGTGGCTCTCTCTGTGTTGTGTTGCCATGGCACCAGGTACCTGCAGCACATGGGGTATGACGTCACATATGTGCGCAACTTCACTGATGTCGATGACAAGGTCCATTCCCATCCCATGCACTCACCTGCTCTGCTGCTGCTGCTGCTGCTGCTGCTGCTGCTGCTGCCACCTCTGCAGCAGCATCGCTTCTTTCAAACCCTTCCATTGCTTGTCCATCCGTCTGTGTCCATCCATGCATGCGCCTCAGCAAATCACACGTTCCTCCCTCTCCACCTTTTCTCTCCACCCCCTAATGCCTCAGATCATCAAGCGTGCGTTGGATCTGGGCGAGGATCCGCTGCATCTGAGCCGTCGGTTCATCAGGGAGTTCCATGCGGACATGCATGCACTGGGGTGCCTGCCCCCCACGCATGAGCCCAAGGTGTCCGAGCACATCCCCGACATCATCCACATGATCCAACAGGTGCGCTGCTCTGCTCTGCTCTGCTCTGCTCTGCCCTGCCCTGCCCTGCCCTGCCCTGCCCTGCCCTGCCCTGCCCTGCCCTGCCCTGCCCCTCATCATACCATTCCATACTTAACTGTTTTTGAGTCGACTCAAAAAGTGCTTGCCCCCCACGCATGAGTCCCGAGGTGCACATCCACATGATCCAACAGGTGTGCTTCCATGGTCATCATCATGCCATGAAATGCCGTGCCATGCCATCCCGCACCATTCCATGCTATATCATACCATTACTCATAATACCATAGCATAGCTTACCTATGCCATGCCATTTTGTTTCATCCCCATGCATCAATCAACCACTTATGCTGTGCCATCCTCACCTCCCATGCTCACCTCGTGCGCTCTCCCTTTCCAGATAGTGGATTCGGGCGCTGGCTATGTTGTGGACGGCGGAGATGTCTTTTTCGATGTGGACAAAGCGGAGGGGTACGGCCAGCTGTCGGGGCGGCGGCAGGAGGAGAACCGGGCGGGCGAGCGAGTGGCAGTGGACGAGAGGAAGAGGAACCCGGCTGACTTCGCCCTCTGGAAGGTGCGTGCTGCTTGCTACTTGCTGCGCTGGCTTGATATTCGACACGTTTCAAAACTGCAACAGATGAGAGGATTTTCCGGGCGCCTCAGAAATCCACTGGAAGGTTCGGTGCATCTTGTGCTGACTGCCGATCAGCACACTCCACTCCTTCCCCACACTCCACTCCTTCCCCACACTCCACTCCTTCCCCACACTCCACTCCTTCCCCACACTCCACTCCTTCCCCACACTCCACTCCCACATCCCATCTTCTTCCCAAGCTCCCACCGTACCGTGCCCCAACATCCACCCTAAGCCCTTAAACCTCATGCCACGCCATGCCCTCATGCACTCTTTGAGCCTCTACTCCCACCACACAACCCCTTGCAGAGTGCTAAGCCAGGCGAGGTGTCGTGGGCGAGTCCGTGGGGCGAGGGGCGGCCGGGATGGCACATAGAATGCAGCGCCATGAGCAAGCGCTACCTGGGGTTCCGGTTTGACATCCACGGGGGTGGGCGCGACCTCATCTTCCCCCACCATGAGAACGAGCTTGCACAGAGCAAAGCCGCAGCGGCAGCAGCGGCGGCGGCGGCGGCGGCGGCGGCTGGTGATGGTGATGGTGCTGCCCTGGCGCAGCAGCATGTGGATGAGCAGCAGCGACAGCAGGAGCAGGAGCAGGAGCAGGAGCAGGAGCAGGAGCAGCAGGAGGGGTGTTTGCACTGCGCAGCGGAGCATGGCGGCGAGGGAGGGGAGGCGTGTGGAGTGTCGGTGTGGCTGCACAACGGCTTTGTGAACGTGGACTCGGAGAAGATGTCCAAGTCCCTTGGGAACTTCTTCACCATCCGCGAGGTCAGTCAGTTAGCTGACTCTTTCTTGAGACGCCTCAACGCGTTTGAGGTTTGACACACCTTTTGAGGCGTCGTCTTACTAGTTGTGAACGTGGAACAGGAGAAGATGTCCAATTCCCTTGGGAACTTCTTCACCATCCGCGAGGTCAGTCCGCTGACTGACTCCTGAGACGCCTCAAGACGTCTGAGCTTTTGTAGACATCTTCTGAGACGTCTTAAGAGTCGTGAATGTGGACTCGGAGATGTGATTGTGTTCGAGTCCCACATGTGGACTCGCGGATGGGGAACTTCTTCACCATCCCGAGGTCTGCTCTCGTCTGATGGACTGCGGGACGGGAGTAAGGGAATGTGTATGAAGTGTGGAGAGAAGGGGGATTCGGAGAACGGGAACATTGGCACGACGTTACCTTAACCCCGAACCCTGAAACGCTCAATATTCTACCCCCTCATGCTCCCTTCTGAATGGGGACATTGTACCTCATTCCCTCACAAGATGTCAATGTACCGCCCCGCCCTCCTCCTCGTAGCAACGTCAGGTGCTGGCTCGATTCCACGCTGTGGCGGTGTGGTGGTTCTTGCTCTTCTGAGATGCTTCAAAAGCCGGCTCTCCATGCGCCACTTTTTAACTCGACTTACAAGTCCAACCCCCACACTCCTTGCACGGCAGGTGCTGGATCGCTTTCACGCGGTGGCGGTGCGGTGGTTCCTGCTGTCGACGCACTACCGCTCGCCCATCAACTACAGCGACCGCCAGCTCGACCACGCCTCTGACCGCGTCTTCTACCTCTACCAGGTGTGCTGCCGTAGTCGTCACACACACACACAGACTCGCACTCGACGTTTGAGGCGCCTCAAAAGCCGCGCCTCTGACCGCGCCTTCTACCTCTAGAGTCACCTTGAGACTTCTCAAATGTGTCGTCCACCTCTACCAGGTTCGTCCCATTGCCATCCTCAATGTCATGTCAGACTGACTGTTGAATTGAGACGTCTCAAACATCGTCTATATGGTGTGGGTTGTGATCCATCCTCAGACTGCCGTTCATTTCAACACCAACGCACCAAACCCGTTGCGGAATTTTCCTTGGGCTTCATTCCTTTCCTCATCTCGCTCACACACTGATCTTCCCTCTCTCCCACTTTATCTCATCACCAAACCTCCCTGCACTCTCCATCTCAACCCGTCCAGCTCCTGGCCGACTGTGAAGCCGCCAACTGTCAACACCAGCAGCAGGTATCAACTGGTGCAGGCGCATCCAAGCAGCCTCCTGCGCCAGCCAAGGCGGCGGTAACAGCAGCAGCGCAGGTGCGAGCAGCGGCAGCAGCAGCGCTGGCGGACGATCTCCACACGGCTCAGGCAGTGGCGAGCCTCTCAGAGCCCCTCAAGCTCATGGCAGACCTGCTGGGGGCCAAGAAGGTCCGTGCCGGGGCCACACACACACACACACACACACGCACACACACACACACACACACACACACACACGCGCGCGCGCACGCACGCACGCACGCACGCACGCACACACACACACACACACACACACACACACACACACACACGCATACAATGGCCAGTTTTTGAGGCGCCTTTAGAGGCGATTTTTGGGGCGCCTCAAAACTCTCAGAGCCCCTCAAGCTCATGGCAGACCTGCTGGGGGCCAAGAAGGTCGGTCAGTGCACACACACACACACACGCATGCAATGGCCAGTGGCACTTCATGGGTGGAGATTGGGGAGGGGGTTGGGGGAGAGGGTGGTGTGGGAAAGGGGAGTGGTTGGTGGGTGCATGAGGGGTAGGCGTGTGGTGGAATCAGCTTGCTTGTTCAGTTGGTCCATATGCCAGCGGTCCACTCTGTTGTTTGTTTTCACGCTTTCACTCATCAACACAGTTCCCAAGCTCATGTTGTGCCTGTTGTATCCATTCTTCTGCTTTCCCTCGTGTCCTTTCTGCCCTCTCTGCCCTCTCTGCCCTCTCTGCCCTCTCTGCCCTCTCTGCCCACTCTGCCCGCTCTGCCCGCTCTGACCGCGCTGCACGTGGTGTGGGCATGGCAGTACAAGAAGGACCCCAGCAGGGTGCCATCGCTCATGGTGCTGCAGGAAGCAGTGCTCTCCGTGCTCGCCCTCTTGGGCCTTCCCACCTCTGGATTCTCCCCGGTGAGTCTGCACCGCCTTCCTCCACCTCCTCCCTCCACCATTAATCCCTGGAACCTGGCTCCTGCACTTACGTCTACTGCACTTACTATCTGTCTTGAACAGCAGTCTCCAGCTCCTGCATCTAACACGTGTAAGAGATCACAGGCAACAACCCTATCAGCCATCTCCCGTGTCCCTCGACCGCTAGTTCCCTTTCTTTGCTAACTGAACCTTCCTATTCCCTCTGCGTGTCTCCCTTCCCCGCTTTCCCCACCACCACAGCTGCTGGAGGAGCTGAGACAGCTGGCGCTGAAACGGGCGGGTATGAGTGCGGAGCAGGTGCAGGGGATGCTGGAGCAGCGCGACGAGGCGAGGAAGGCCAAGGACTTTGCGCGGTCGGATGCGATTCGCGATGAGCTGGCGCAGGTGGGGATCATGCTCATGGACACGCCTGCTGGTACTGCCTGGCGGCCTGCTGCCGTTGCTGCGCAGGATGATGCTGATGATTCTGCCGGGCTGGTGTGATGATAATAAGATGGCGATATGTTGAGATGGCGACTGTCAAGAAGCTAGGCTAGGTTAGGAACCTAGGAGAGTGGCGAGAGAGTGGAATGTCGAGAAAGAAGGGGGGTTCACTATAGGCTCGAGGGTACAAATAGGAGACAAAGGAGGTGCACCACCAATACAAAGAGTTTATAACTACACTAAAGCTACAGCTACAGGCAGGTACATAAATATATATTCTAACAGCGACGTGGTGAGAGATATGGAGATGGAAGGGAGTTGGAGATATGGTGGTGGATGGAGCAAAAAGGAAGGTCGAGTCAAATGATTTAGATCCGCCTATGGGGTGATTCTAGGATGATTCTTGGATGTGATTGTGTGTGAGTTCTAGGGAAAGTGAAATGATAAGAATGATTAGCTGGTGATTGTTGGATATCTGTGAATAATGGTGGTGTAACATTTACGAAGTCGTGCGTCAGCAAATTGCCGTCCTTCACTCATCGCCGTGAGGTGTCATCTGCGAGGTTCGTTCGTTCACATTCGCACCGTTCATTGCGGCTGCGTCAGCAAGAGCAGCTGCAGCAGCATGCTCGTTCCCTCGCTCCCACCTGTTTAGTTGCGCCTGGCCTCGTATCTCGCATCCCGTTCCGAGTCTTCTCATTTCTCTCTTCTTTCTCGTCTCTACCATCCCTGCGCCGGAGGGACAACGAAAATCTACGTAGCCGCTGACTTACGATTCAAGGATTCGCTGAGCGAACAGGTCCGATTACTATACCTTCCGCCAACGATTATCCCCCTCCAAGTTCCAACTCTTTCCCAACTCCGCCGCTCCTTCCGCCATGTGTCGGCCGCAAGTGGACCGGCCGCTAGCGGCGCTATCGCTGCTGCACCACCAGCTGCAGCAGCGCCGGCAGCCGTGGCTTGCGCCCGACTGGTCGCCGCCGGAATCCGTGCCGGACGAGGCGGAGGCCGCCGCGGCGTGGCTGCGCTTCCAGCGGCGCCGCGTGCGGCTGCTGACGCGGCGAATGCGCTTCCTGCTGCTGCTGCTGCTGACGCTGGGCGTGCTGCAGATCTTCCTGGGTGCCTATGTGTCGTTCTGCTTCCACGTGGCAGTCGCTAAGCACCGCGCGAGGTGACTATTGGCGGGTGGGACGCAGGAATGGGAGCGGTGGGTTGGGTGGGGGTTGAAGGGGGGGGTGAGGGGGTGGTACGGGGAAGGAAGGCGGGGATCATGGGGGGAGGGGAGGGGAACAGTGGGAGACGAATTTTGAGGCGCCTCAGAAAGGGGAGGGGAATGGCGGGAAACACGCTCGGTCACGGGCGTAAGCAATCAAGGGCGGGACAAGTTACAGCCCACATATATCTTTTCTTAAGAGCCTCAAGAATTTATATCTGGTCAAGTGAACAAGGACTATCATGGAACGAGATAGACAGACAACAGCACACATCCAGAACCCATCCTCTTGCCATCAGATCATCCCCTCCCCATGCTTCTTTTTTTTCCGCTCGGTGCCATGGTTCCCATCATCCCGTCCGTTCAGTTCACATCATGCCCACGGCTCTCGACTGTCTTTTGAGGTGCCTCAAAAGTCAGTTCACATTATGTTTATAGCTCTCGACGGTGCGTGTGTGCGTCCCCTTGCAGGAATCAGGAGCTACAGCAGGGGTGCTGGAGCGAGCAGGCACGGGGAGGTTTTTGAGGCGCCTGGAAAATCCCGTCCAATCTCTTCATGCCCACGGTTGTCGCCTCGCCTGTGCATGCATGTGTGTGCGCTGCCCTGCAGGAACCAGGAGCTACAGCAGGCGCTGGAGCGGGCAGGGGAGGCGTGGCAGTGGCAGCAGCAGTGGTGGGCACGGAGCAAGCGGGAGAGGGCGAGGGGGAGAGGGGCAGGGCAGGCCATGGATCGGGGTGAGGAGGCGCTGGGACTACCTACTGCCCCCCGCCCTGGCAGGTCCCTGCTTGCTATAGAATCCGCTCTCAATGCCGTGCAAATGACGCTACCTGGGGATTATGCTGCTGCTGCGACTGCTGATGGTGATGTTTTTCAAGACGATGCTGATGCCGCCGCCACCTCCGCCACCCCCACCCCCACCACCACCACCACCACCACCACCATCACCACCACCACCACCACCACCACCAGCAGCAGCAGCAGCAGTTGCAGTGCGAGCAGCACGGTTCAGACCGTTCACATGCATTGTCAATCCCTAGCAACATGCCCTGTACCTGCCAAACCGACTCTCACCTCTCTCCTCTTCCCGTCTCCTCCTCAACTGCCGTACACCCTATCGTGATGCACACTTGCACTGAGCCTGCGGCACGAGCCATTGCACATGAGCCATGTGCATGAGCCATGTACCATGTGCATGAGCCATGTGCATGAGCCTTGTGCATGAGCCATGTGTAAATTCCACGTGCATGTTCCCTTGTCGCAACACATACTGGTAGGCTATAGATGATAAGGCTGGTTCATTACCCATGTACTTTAGGCTAGGGAGCACAGTCCTGCACCGGGATTCGCATACGGTTATAGTGTATGTTGTACCACCGTACGTGAAAGCAAGCAGGTACTTTTACCTGTAGTGTGATCAAGCAAACAGGTGCCCCACGCTATTTCCAACTCATACACGGTAAAAGCAGTAGAGAAATGAGACCAATACATACACCCCTGCCATGAACCATCAGAGCCTCGATTCTACACCGCCTGCCATGGTAGTGCAATGAGCAGCGCCTTTCATTGATAAGCCGCCACCAACAACCCTCCGTGCTCAGTGCTGTCTGTGCTCTTCCCTGCCCACCCCCACTAGATGCGCCCCGCCCCGCCCCGCCCCGCTCCGCTCCACCCCACCCTGCCCCACCCCGCTCCGGTCCGCTCCACGTCTAGCTGCTGCCATTCTCGACCCCAGCTTCTCCATTCCTTTCCTGCCGTCAATTCCCTTCAAGAGCTTGTGCCAGAGCTGCGCGCTTGAAGTGACTTTTGAGTCGATTCAAAAGTCAACCCTTCCCGTGTTCCCGCTGCCGTCAAGTCTCCTTGGGAGCTTGTGCCAGAGCTGCGCGTTCAAAATCAGCAGCAGCTGTTTCCGTTTCCGGGACGTGCAGCATGCGGGCCACTATGGCCGGGGGCAGGGCGAATGTGTCCACGCCTGCTGCTGCCAACGCTGACACCTCTTCTGGTGCTCTCACACTCGCCACCAGGACTCGTGTTGCACTGCCTGCTGCGTTCACCGCTTGCTGGGAGGGACGGTAGTGGGAGGGGGGAATGGGATGTGGGGAGAGCGGAGCTTTGTGTGGGGTGGCAGGGCTGGTGGCAGGGCTGGTGGCAAGAGGATTGATCTGTGTGCTGTGAAGTATCACTGCATGCTGTGGCTCATGGCATGGCATGGCATGGCATGGCATGGTATGGCATGGCATGGTATGGCATGGCATGGCATGGCATGGCATGGCAAGGCATGGCATGGCATGGCATGGCATGGCATGGCAAGGCATGGCATGGCATGGCATGGCATGGCATGGCACATACTTGCATGGCGATGATTTCAGCCTTGCCGTCTTTACCCAGAGCGTCCATTCGCCCAAGGTACGGTGCTGCGTACTGTGCCCCCACTCCCTGCGCTAGCAGCACCTGGTGTATGATGGGGTAAGGGAGGAAGGGAGCGGGAGTGGAGGGGGTGGCAGGGGATGAGTGCATGTGCTCATGAATGCGTGCATACACATGTGCATGGAGTGACGACGTATGGGGAGGAGAAGGCGTGGATAGTAGACCCAAGGCTGGTGAGTGTGAGTGTGAGAGTGAGTGTGTCGGTGGTGGTGGTGGTGGTGGTGATGGTGCAGTGTGTGTTGGATCAAGTTTCCAACACACATGCTGGATGATGAGCAGCAAGCCAAGGCTTGCTCGTGATCATCAAGAGTGTGTGTTGGATCAAGTCGCCGGCGCGCAGTCTTGTTGATAAGCAGCAAGCCGATAGCAGAGAGCAGTGTGCGGCCGTACAAGAGGGGTGAGTGGAGAAGACACAATTTGACAGGAGGTGCATGCGAGTATGTGCATGCGGGAATGTACATGTGGGTATGTGCACGTGTGCATGCACGACATGGAACCTGGTGAGAGGCATAGAGAGCAGTGAGTGTGACTCGGAAGCCCCATGTGGAGATGAGCTGACGTGATGCCTGGATGCCAGTGACCGTGGCTGGAATCTTGATCTGCCACCCAATCATCCCCACAAACATGAAAGCCACACAAACACAGAGCCATGGCACCAGCACTCAAGTGAAGGAAATCCGCCCAGGCGAATGACGAGTTCAGATCGAACCATGCTGTGCTGCTGCCTGGATGCCAGTCACCGTGGCTGGATTCTTGATCTGCCTTCTATCCATCCCCACAAACATCAACCAACGCTGCCGTCATGCACAGAGCCACGCGGCGTTCGCAATTGAGTAGCGTAGACTTTCCCAAGGCGCATAAAGACTTCAGACGGAGAACATTGTTGGCAGGGAGGACAAGAAAAGCATCCCATTAGGATGAAATGCCAGATATTGCAGTACAAGGCCGGCCGAACGATAGTGTCAAAACAGCAGCCAGAAGGCCAGAAGGCGGTGAAGTGAAGTGAAGCCAGACAACAAAAATGTCACAGCTGCAGGGCGGCAAGGGGCAGGGTGGCAGGAGAGCAGGAAGGACAGGGTGGGCAGGGAGGCAGGGAGGCAGGGCAGCAGTGGGGATGCGTGGAAGGCTCACCACGACGCGGGGATCGATGATGCCGAGGCGTTTCCCCGTTTCCACCATTTCGTCCACCGTGGATCCCCATGTCTGTAGCTGTATCTCCTGCGCTCCCTGCTCTCCCCCCACCCGGGCCCCCCCACACACACACAAAAGCCACATGCAGGGCGCCGAGCGGGCGAAATAGGGAGAAGGGCGGTGGGGAGAAGGTGGAGAGATGGAGGCGTGGGGGGTGGGCAATGAGCGAATGAGGATGAGGGAGGGATGTGGGGTGGGTGGGGGATAGAACAGTGAAGAGTGCGGCGTGCAATGAGCGTCACTCTTCACAGTTCTGCGATGAAGCATGGCGTGCGGAAGACGACGCACGTATTCGACAAGGTGGAGAGGGCAGACCGTAAAGAAGCGAACGGGAGAGGCGGCGGGGGCGAAGGAGGGGTCAGGATCTAGAATTAAATATTACGATAGAAAGAGAGCGAGAGAGCAAGTGAGAGAGGGGAGTGAGGGAGCGAGGGAGGCGGGGTGGTGAAGAGAGGAGAAGAGCGGGGTGGGATTGCACGGTTTGCTTGCGTGTGACTAACCAGGCCAAATGCGGTGTGAGCCAGCTCCGCTAGTGCGTCCACAGAGCATTCCCTCCCTGCCCGCTCCAGAAGCAGCGGATTCGTTGTCACTCCTGAGTGGGGGCGGAGAGGAGCGAGCGCATTGGATTCGGATTACGGGGAAGGAGACGGCAAGTTGATGGGAAGGGGAGAGGTAGTGGGGGAGAGGGAGGAGCGGGGGAAGAGCAGGGGAAGGAGAGGGGCGAGGGGGGAGAGGGGAGGGAGAAAGGGGGAGGTATGAGAGGAGAGGGGACACGACAAGCCCCATTCTTCACTGATCGGAGTGGGACCAACCAACAGAAGAGAGAGAAAAAAGCAACAGAACAGAACAGCACAGCACGAAACGGAACAGAGTGATGTGTGACCACTCTCGCCACTCCAGCCGGAACACAGTGACATGCGTCACTCACCCTCGCCTTTCAGCCCACGGCTCACCGTGGAAGATGCCCGTCGGGAGCCATTTCTCCCATTCCGCCACGTCAGCAGTGTCCAGGAACAATCTCAGCCGCCCCCTGCCCAGCGCCAGCAGTCTCTGCCCTAGAACCGACCGATCATTCGCGATTCCGCCGCCGCCAGGCGCAGCAGCGGCGGAGGCGGAAACGTCGAGGGTGGTGCGGCGGTCAGCAGGGGGGGAGTCCGCCATGAGTGCGGGAGGAGCGGTGGGGATGAGCGGGCGGGAATTGCGGAGGCGGATGCGGGTCAGCCTCCCTCGTGGGCCGAAATCCTGCTGGTATTGCTGTGTCCGCTGATGAGAAGCGAACGGCGCTGCAGCTTTCGGAAGGGAGCGGTGCGCAACAGCAACAATGGCAGCTCCGGGAAGCACGGCCATTGATGGGCGAGCAGGAGTGAAAGGGAAACGTGGGACGGAGCGGCAGACAATCGGATCGGATAACATCAAGGCGAGAAGAAAATGATTGGTTAGGCAGTGAGGCAGTGCCCGTTAAAGCCCAAGACCTGAATTACAAAAAAAGGAAGGCAAACTGTGCACAGTTTGCCTTCCGAGCCCACAGTTGACTTCCCGAGCCTCTCTGGTTACCAAATGACGCCCCGCAAAGAACCAGAGAGTCGTAGAGCAGCACAAAATTGGTTTGCGAGAGTCCCAACCGCTCCCTCTTGAAGGGAGTAGGGGAAGGCAAGCTGTGCGCAGTTTGGAAATTGTGGTAATTCAGGTCATGCTCGACCACATAGTATCCACGTGAAACTCCTAGGTAGAACAGAAAGCCAATAGAGCCCGAGCCCAATAGTTTGGTAGGAAAAAAAACACCAAACAGATTCTATGCGATGGCGCCACTTTTCACTCAGCGTCGTCGTCGAAACCCTGCGCGACCGCGAAAACGTCAGTTTGCGGCGCATGCATCTCCTCTCCGAGGTCGATATTAGGTAATCGTACGGTCGATCGCTGCCATTTCCCGCGCATTCGCCCTATGTTTGCCTCAGCTATGTTCCCCCACCGTCCTTCCTTGTCGGCGTCACACCCTGCCACACACGCTTCCCCTCGTCGACGTCGCCGTCCCCCACGCTTCCCCCCACCGTCGCCCGCGCTTCTTCCCGCTGTCGATCACACTTCACTCCGTCGTTGACCACGCTCTTCCTCCCGTCACCCACGCTTCCCCCCACTGTCGCTTACGCTCCCACCCACCGTCGCTTTTACACTTTCCCCCACCGTCGCCCTCGCTTTCCGCAACCGTCGCTCACGCTTTCCCTTACCGCTGCTCACGCTCCCTCCTGCCTTCCCCCACGCTTCCCCACACCGTCGCTCGCGCCCTCCCCCACCTTCCCTCACGCTTTCCCGCACATCACCCACGCTTTCCCCCACCGTCGCGCTCGCTTCCTCCCACCGTCGCCCACGCTTTCCCCCACCGTCGCGCTCGCTTCCTCCCACCGTCGCCCACGCTTTCCCCCACCGTCGCGCTCGCTTCCTCCCACCGTCGCCCACGCTTTCCCCCACCGTCGCCCACGCTTCATCTCACCGTCGCCCACGCTTCCTCTCACCGTCGCCCACGCTTTCCCCACCGTCGCCCACGCTTCCTCTCACCGTCGCCCACGCTTCCCCTCACTGTCGCCCATGGCAGGTGGTGGTGCGGCTTTGGAGCAGAGTGTTGGGCGCACAGCCAGGGCAGCGCGTGCAGGCGGGCAGCAAGGAGTGCAGTGCTGCAGGGGGCTGGTTAGGGGAGGCGGAGTGGGGGAGGGGTTAGGGAGAGAGGGTGCAGGGATCCTCCTATCCCCCTTACCTCCTGCCACACTCTTACCTCCTGCCCTCCTCCCTTACTCCGTTCCGTGGGGCCCCCACAGTCGTCCTCCTCTCCCTCTCTCTTCCTCCCTTCCTCCATCTATCCCACACTCTCTGCCTCACTACCCTCTTTCCCCTTTCTGTTGCCCGTTCTCCCTCCCTTCCTCCCGCCCTCCCTTCCTGCCATTCTCCCTCTCCTCATCCTCCCTCGATCCAGTCCCCCTTTCCCTTTCCATCTCCCTCTCGCCCACTCCCTTCCTCACGCCAACCCTGCTCCTCCGTTCCACCCATCCTCTCATCCGCCCATCCTCTCATCCGCCCATCCTCACTCCGTCGCCCTCACTGCCTCCCACTCTCCCTACACTCCCTCCCACCGTCACCCACGCTCCCCCCACACCCTTGTACCCTTCTTTCGTTCTCTCTGATTCTCCATTCTCCCCGTTCCTCCCTTATACCCTGCCACACTTTTACCTCCCTCACTTTCTCCCATCCGCCCTTCCTCCAAGCCTCCCTCCTCCCTACCACTCTCCCACCCACTCTTTCTTTCATCCTCCTGCCTCTCCACCCTGCTGCCCTTTTTTTCAAGCTGCCATCTTCCGATATTCCTATCCTCCGCCTTTCTGTCTGACCCACTTGCCTACTCCCTCGAATTTCTCACATCCTCCCATCCACCCTTTCCCTTCCAAGCCTGTACACTCCTAGCCTGTTTGTATATTCAAGGGGATTGCCCTTTGATTGTTATTGTTTTGTACGGTCTCCTTCCCAGCTGCTCCAACATATGACACACAAAATTTTGTGGTTCGTGTTTGTGCAGGTCTGCCATGCACCCAGATGTGAGGTGTTCGTTGTTTGATGATAGTGGTATGACAAATAGGTTGCCATGCCATGTATTGACGCTTATGCTTTTATTAATAAAACCTTCTCTGCTTCAGAGCAGCCATGCACATGGCCACTACAAAGAAGTGGAACAAAGCATAATATTGTTTATGTAAAAGTTGTCATCAATAGACTACAGGAACACATTCATCACATTCCTGTTGGGACTCATGGTGCTGGGCACCTGTAACCTGTTCAAGCATGGTTCCGTGATAGAACGGGAAGGGAAGAGGGGGTATGGCAGATAAGCGAGGGTTGGATGTGGACGGGGCAGAGGGGTGAGCAAAAGGGGAAAGAGAGTGAGCAGGGGGGAGAAGGGGGTGAGCAGGGAGGAAAGCCAGTAAGCAGGGGAAACCGAGGGGTCTGAACAGGGGAAATAAGAGTAGTGTGGGGAAAAAAGGTTAAACGAAGGGGAATCGAGAGTAAACAGGGAGGAAAGGCGGGTGAGTCCAGAGGGAGAGAGTGAGCAGAGGGGGAAAGAGTAAGCAGGGGGGGAAAGAGTGAGCAGGGGGGGAGAGAGTGAGCGGGGGGGGAGGGAGTGAGCAGGAGGGAAGAGAGTGAGAGAGTGAGCAGCGGAAAGAGATCGAGGGGGGGAGGGATTGAGCAGGGGGGTAGAGAGTGAGGCGAGGGGGAAAGAGAGGAGTGAGAACAGGGGGAAAGGGAGTGTACATGAGAGAAGAGAGTGAAGGGTGGGGAAGAGAGTGAGTGGAGGGCAGAGCGTGAGCTGGAGAGAGTGAACGGCAATGGGAGGGGTAGTGAAGGCGACGGGCGGGAAGTGAGTGCGACTGGCGGGAAGCGAGTGCGACGGGCGGGAAGCGTGTGCGACTGGCGCGGTGTGCGACGAGCGGGGGAAGCGAGAGCGACGGGCGGGGGAAGCGAGTGCGACGGGCGGGGGAACGGAAGGCGCCGTTCGGGAGAAGCGAAGGCGACGGGCGGGAAAAGCGACGGGAGGGGGAATTGAGCGCGACGGGGTCGGGGGAAAGAGAAGGCGACGGGGGAGGGGAAGTGAAGGCGACAGGCGTGGAAAGCGAGGGCAACGGGCGGAGCGAAGGCGACGGGCTGGGGTCGCGAAGGCATCGGAAGGAGGTCTTGAAGGCGACGAGCTGGGGAAGCGATGGCGAAAGAGATTGAAATCGTGGGGCCTTGGGAAAGGAAAACGACGGCAAGGAGAGGTTCATGCTTTGGCGAAGGGTCACGCTACGATATTCCGTGCGAGTATACGCATCAGTTGCACTAAACCTGCATTTCGACACCAACGAACACTATCTTTGCGCGTCGTCATCGAAATCCGCGCCACACACATTCGTAAGGCGCCTCTGATTCCCCGCTATCTCTACAGGTACGCTCCCTGCCTAGTTATCTGCGTGCTATCTCAGACTGTGCACAGTTTGGGATCTACGCCCTTTTCAGGTTGTGGGAAGGACCCCACCTAGCACTCGTATTCTTGTACGCGAGAAACTTTTGTCGCAAATTGGTTTCGCGAGTGAAAGTGCTTCGCACCCCAACCGAACCTCTGTCTGGTTGCCTTCCGAACCTATTTTTTTCCGTTGACTTGCGTTGAGTAATTCAGGTCTTGGGCTTTAAGAAAGGCTCTGCCAATGAGTATTCGTCACGCACACATGAGCCGTATATGCAATGTAAACCGCAGTAGCACATATGTCAAAATAAAAGAGAACGACTTCGTCACGCACACGTGAGATGATTAAAATCAACCATAAACATATGCTCATGATCATTACATATATCTTGCTATATCTGTGGGAATTTTCACTGGAGTTAACCTAACATTGTATCGATTTATTAGTGAATGCAAATCGGCATTGTTACAAACGAGATTTGTTGCGAAAGCTTGATGGGAATATGAGATCGACCACCGTGAGAGCTGAATGAGATCGCGTCATACGTATCAAATTCCTATCAGGTCGATGGCATGGCGTCCAGCGAGGCATAGGCCAGCTGGAGGTTGACAGAAGATGGCACGCAAGGTGAGTGGGCGCCGTGAAAGGTTTACGCACGTAGCGCATGCCGATTGGGGAAGTCCCCGGCCGACCAATCGACGCAGATTTTGGAACCGTCGATTGCGATCTTTTCCTCTCCATATCAAAGCGCACCTGATTTGAACTTGTAAATATGTTGCACTTCAATCGAGATACATCAATCTTTTCTTGAGGTTGTCAGCTACGTTTCTTGGAAAGTAGCTGCCCCTGTTTGCAATTTGTCTAACCCAAAACTCGAGGAGCACTGCACAATAGAATTCCACCGGAAAAAAAAAAAAAAAAAAATATATATATATATATATATTAAAAAGAAAACAACAACAACAACAACAACAACAACAACAACAACAACAACAACAACAACAACAACAACAACCAAATGAGCGCCATGTTAGGCATATACCCTGCACACTCGACTCGTCTCCCAACACTATGCTCATCGGCCTCATGATATGATAATTCTATAGAATTACCGCTGGTGAGTCACAGTTTTAGTAGACACTTAATTCATTCATGAATCTCATCTAATGCATCATAAAATATATGTATTGTAGAGGAAAAATGCACACCATTGTGTCACCTTGTTATATGTTCCATGTTATTTAATGTTTCCTTCCTCCTTCCTACAAGTATAAGTATAAATCAACGTGGTTATTATGTAATCGATATATTGTACAATATTTTAATTTCAAATATTTGTGCATTTATAGGCGTGAATAACGAAAACAGAAAAAGCCAGAATGCTGGATGTTCTTGCGTGATTCAGCCTTTCTAATACCAAAATGTACTTCTATGTTTGTGAGATCTGATGTGCTGAACATATAGTACAAGAATTATTTCGCAGGCTCACACTGAACTACAGATGTTCCGGGTTAAAGGCCATTGCTAGATGAGTCCATTTTCCATCTTGAGTAGAATTTTCCGATATTGCCTAGGGTTGTCCCGACCCCTATAGTCACATTTTTGGTGGGAAATTTTGAGGCTTGACCGAATCATTGCACGAATCAGCTCCGCAGCCAATCAGAGGCTCCAAATTGAACCATCCCAACATTCGGGGAAAACGATCAAGAAGGGATCATCGATTCGATGAATAACTTCAAAAATGTGAGTAATTGTTTTTCTTGACCATGATTAGTCCTCAATTCTGTTGCGAGGTCTCCAGTGCGCTCGAGGATGACATCACATTTATCTCGTTTACAGGGTAAAACAGAAGTTATTTCCTTCTATTCGATCTTCCAACCATAATTGATTTTGTTTTTTATGCCCGTTGGTCATGCGAAAGTTCTCAGCGCGTTGAACCGTTGCGACGAGAAGTTGAAGCAAGCGCGGTCCAAATCTAAGCAAAAGACAAAAGGCGAAAACTAGTAGAAAACAAACCACTGTGTATGCATTTTTCCTGAAAGGGACTATAAGTATCTCGTTTTGCCTGGGGTTTGAAGGTTTCTGCATACAGTCCGCGCGCGGCGGCTCAACCCGTAGGACTACAGATGTTCTGGCTTAAAAGCCCTTCCTAAAAGAGGCCCATTTTTTCCTTGAGTAGCTTTTTCCCATAAGTCCTAGGTGTATCCCCTCCTCTACAGTCCCATTTTTGGCGGGAAATTTTGTATCTTGACTGAATCTTTGCGCGAATCGGTTCTGTAGCCAATCAGAGGACGCAAATCGAACCAGCCGAAAATTGACGGAGAATGATCGGGAAAGAAGTTTTGTTTTAAGATTTACACATGCAACTGTATTAATTTTTTCTGCTTGACCGAACTTGCGCCTAAATCCTGTCGCACGGATTCGAGGGAGATCAACGATAAACGATCGAACAATTTTTTTTTTGCTATTGTTAAGGCCTAAAAATAATCAGTTTGTATATTTTTCTGCCCGTCAATCATGCGACATTGATCAACTCGGTGAACCGTGCTTCGGGAAGTTGAAGCAAGCGCAGTCCAAATGTACGTGGAAAACCGTTTCTTATGCAAATTTCTTGAATTTGGGACTGTAAGGTCGCATTTGCCCGGGGTTTTGGAATTTTGACACATAGTCCGAGCGCGGCGTGTTTTCCCGTCGGACTATAAACGAGAACATCTGTATAACCCGAAACACTTGAAAATGCAGATCGTGTTGTAGACGGTTAGATACGATCTGGATTAGATTCTATGCTGGATAGGGTTGCTGGTCTTATGCGAGAAGCAGTTGCCCGTGCGGTAGTCAATCCACACGATGCCATCCTACACGATTCCCTAATCTCTAGCCTCTGCTAAACTGTTGCATCTGTACACTCCCCCGTCAAACCCCGAGACACGACATCGGCGGCATTCCGCCTTGTGCATGAATTTATTCCTCCTCCTCCTCCTCAACCCTTGAAGATTCGCAATCAGAACAAGGGTTCTCGAACCAGCAAGAAAAGTTCTTCGGGTCTATTCAATCCGCTTACGAAAGTTTGAGGTCACGTTTTTCTTGTCTTCCCACGATTTTACTTCTACCTTCCTAAACAGAGAGAAGGTATCGTAAACTTTGGGCGGTAATTACATGATACAACCACCAAGTTTTTTTTTTCGTGGGTTGGTGACTGCTTGGCATACGCAAGTTCACCACCATTGTGTCAGAATCACGTACTGTATCAATCGCGTTTGTGAATTTCTTTTGTGAAGCACCCTCGGTCCTTTTTTGCGCCACCTCTGAAGTGCTCTGCTCCATAATTCTGGATCTCCTTCCACAAATCCACTATGTCAGCGGCAGTTGCCCTCATTGGTCCCGTCCCGCCCCCGCATGGACCACAACACACCACACCACACCACCGCATTTCTCTCCATCCACATCAAGTTCGGTTCGGGAAAACCAGCGTTGCCAGTGCCACCCACTCAACTCAGTGAAACGCAACCCTTACCTCACCTCCTTTCTCCGCGGCCCCTCTGTACCCCCCAACACTGTGTTCTCCTGCCACCACTCTGCGTCCACGCTATCTTCTCCAGGAGCGGGGTAGGGCAGAGCATTCCTCCTCACCTCACTTCTGCTCACAGCTTTCTCAACAACCCGCATGAGCTCTCCTTGGCTTTCTGGCGGATTCCATTCATGCCTTCAGGCCAGACTCTCTTTGCTCTGTGAAGCTCATTTTCCTCTCGTGGAGCTACTAGTAAAAATCGAAGATTCTTCTGCTGGTACTAGTACCAGTGGACATATCCCTATTCGTGACCAAGCTAAGCTACTTCGCAGCGTTTTGAGCGAATCACCGCGCCAACATAATATTTAACCTAGTTACTTTTCTTGTGGCGTTACACATTTCGTTCAGCCCAGAGTGTATGAGTGTTGCCACGCACCTACAACTTAGGTATAGCGTGCCGTGGCTCCCTATTAGTAAGCACATCGCGCCGTCACGCCTCTAACAACGTCTTCCATTTCGTTTCAATTAGTAACCCGTCAGGTTTTGCCACCAGCGTAAATTGATTGTTGCCAGCCACATCGCGAAAGGTCTCCGCACACCGATATACACGAGCACTGCCATCCGGCACCTTAAAAGTCCGTCGTGCCATCAGTGCGAGCACTGGTAGTAGCAGGCCGTCCGTGGCCACCAACTGGCGGCGGCGGCGGCGGCGGTAGCAGAATCAGCGGCAGGAGCGATGGCTGACTACTAGGGATCTGCCCGCCCGCGGCCGCAAAATCATGAGTTGTCGTTGGCCCACCTGCAGCATCATCCGTATTGATATTATTACTGGTAACGCGGAATACTGACGCGGTTTAGGGTGCGACGGCACGCATGACGAAGTCAGCGCCGCAGTCGCCGGCGAGCGGCATTGCCGCGATCGCCCATTGATCTGACGCCGCATTGTCTCTACTGCCACTGGCGAAAGCGCTCTTAGGTTTCCGTCTGTGGGGCCACCTGGAAGGGCAATGACTTATTGCCGCCTAGTCGGCCGCCCTAATTCAGTTTCAGTCGGAATAGGAATACCAGAACGTACCAGGTCGCGGCGGTAGTACCAAGGGTGCTAGATCGCGGTAGTCACAGTAAGCGTTCTAGACCGAGAAACTGCGACCTAATACAAAGGCAATGAAAATAGCGACGTTACTCGATACTACACGGCAACCCTAACCGCGAGAAAGCGCCGCGCCGAGAAGGGGCCGCGCGATAATGGCGGTGTCGCGGGCGGAGATGGAGCGGCTGTCGAAGGAGCAATTGGTGGAGGAGGTGCTGAGGCTGTCCGCTCTAGTGGAGGAGCGCGAGAGGCACCAGAAGCAGGAAGGTACGCGCCCCACGGCAAGGCACTGCATTGGCAGGAGGGCGGGGCACTGATAGTAGTAGTAACTCCCATGAATATGAAACAGTTCTTTCCTTCTGGATGCTTCCGAGGGAACCGGAACGGCTTGTTGTTGGAGGGATGATTGTACGCTAGGAGGAAGGAATAACTCGGGGTGCTTAGGCTTGCTTCCCGGCTCATTATCCCCCTGTCAACGTTGATGCCCTTTTCCCTTCCCGTTTTCCTATCCCCCTCTCCTTGGCTTTCTCAATTGACCACGCACCGCCACCATCCAAGTCTGCCCGCCAAGGCTGTCGCTCTGCACGCACGCTTTACACATACAATTTCTCACTCTTTCTCAGCCCCGCTTCCCTCACCCCTTCTCCTCTCTCGGCGTGTGCGTGTGTGTGTGCATGTGTGTGTGCGTGCGTGTGTGTGTGCAGTGGATTTCCAGCGTGATTTACTCAAGTCTGTGGGTCAATCCATCATAGTCACAGATCTAGAAGGCCACATCACCTATTGGTACGCCATGCCAAGTCGCCCACCGGAATTCACGCTGGCTAGAAGTCCGTCATTGCACCTCTTGTTCTCTCACGTCGCTTACAAATGCGCCGTGGCGTCCCTTTTCCCATACCACATTACCTGCTGCTAGGCCAATGGCTGTTATGATGGTGCACGACGCAATGCACATACCACAGGATCCAGAGGGGAGTAATTAGGAATTAGCTGCCCTTCCACTTGCCGCGGACAACCACAACACCACCAGATCAGATCAGATCAGATCAGATCAGATCAGATCAGATCAGATCAGATCATCTGCTCTTACACGGGCCACTGTCCTTGCCCCTCCCACTCCTACTCTCCTCTGTCTCTCGTCTCTTTCACTCCTTTCATCGCCGTCTCTTCGACATACCTCACCTCTTCCTTCGCCCGTCCGCTCACCTCCTCTTCCCTCCCTTTGCTCCCCTTGCTCCCCTTCCTCCTCCCCTTCCTCCCTTCCTTCCCGTTCTCCTCCTCCTTTTCGCCCCGTTACTGCTTCCTCCCCTTCCTCCCGTTTCTCCCCTCCTCCCCGTTTTCCTCCTCCCCTTTCCATTTTTCTCCTCTTCCTCTCCTTTCTCCCCTTCCTCCTTTCCCGCCCCTCACCTTCCCTTCCCCTCCTTCGTCCCCTTCCTCTCCTTCCTCCCCTTAATCTGTCACTCCCTTCCTTTCCCTCCCTCCCCTCGCCTCCCCTCCCCCCCGTCCTCCCCCCACTCCCCCCCTGCGCCCCGCAGGAACCGTGCGGCGACGGAGATATACGGGTGGGAGCCGGAGGAGGTGCTGGGGCGGCTACTGGGGCGCCTCAGAAGTCAACCCAACCCCCCCCCCCCCCCCCCCCCCCCCCCCTCACTTCCCCTCCCGTCCCCAGGAACCGTGCGGCGACGGAGATATACGGGTGGGAGCCGGAGGAGGTGCTGGGGCGGCTGGTGTTCGAGGTGATGGCCCTGCCCGCTGAGGACATGAGCGAGTGCGGCGTGCAGATCTTCGCCGCCCTCTCGCGCGGCGACAAGTGGTCGGGCGAGTGGTCCGTGCGCACCAAGGCGGGGGACGTCATTGACATCATGGTGTGTGTGTGTGGGGGGGGGGGGGGGGGAGGAGGAGGGAAGGGGGGGCCGGCGGGGCGTGGGGCATGGGGGGTGCCCAGGCGTGGGGTAGTGGGGGGAGCAGGGCGAGTGGTCTGTGCGCACCAAGGCGGGGGACGTCATTGACATCATGGTGTGTGCGTGTGCAGGGGGTGTGTGTGTGTGGGGAGGGGGGGGGGGAGAGATGGGGTGGGGAGCAGGTGGGGGCGCGGGGCGTGGGGCAGCTAGGAATTGGGGGAACAGGGCGAGTGGTCTGTGCGCACCAAGGCGGGGGACGTCATTGACATCATGGTATGTGCAGGGAGGGGGCCGCCGGGGGAAGCGGGGAAGGTGGGGAGCGGGCAAGCGGGGAAAGGGGGAAGCGGGGAAGAGGGGGAGCGGGCAAGCGGGGAAAGGGGGAAGCGGGGAAGAGGGGGAGCGGGCAAGCGGGGAAAGGGGGAAGCGGGGAAGGGGGGGAGCGGGCAAGCGGGGCAAGGGGGAAGCGATGAACGGAGCGAGCAGGGAAGCGGGGAGCAGGCGGCTGGAGGTGCTGCTTGGTGGAGAACTGGCCTGTGGGATTGGTGACTGCGGTAGAGAGGTAGAGAGGGAGGGAGGGAGGGAGTACTGGCAGGGGGGGGTGCTTCCATTCTCCCTCACCTCACCATGCCATGGCGTCATGCGCTGTGGTCTTCCCTCACCTGCTCACTTGTTACTTACTCGCCACCTTCCCCACAACCCCCTTCTCATGCCTTTCCACAAGTGGCGGTGGTGGACTCGCCAGGGCTTCACTCATCATCTTCCCGCCCCTCTCCCTCCCCGCCCCTCCCCTCTCCCTCCCGTCTCCCTCTCCTCTCTCCTCCCCTCTCCCACTCCTCTCCACTTCCCTTCACTCACCTCCCTCGCCCCTCTCCCCCCTCTCCCCTCCCGCGCCCTGCGCTCCCCTCCCTCTCCTCCTCTTCCCCCCCACCCCCCCACCCCCACAGGTGGTGGACACGCCAGTGATGGACGAGGCGAAACAGCTGGTGGGGGTGATCGGCGTGAGCACGGACATCAGCGAGCTGAAGCCCTCCCACTGTGCTTCATCCCCCCTCTCCCTGCCCTCTCCCTGCCCTTTCCCTGCCCTCTCCTCCTCTTCCCCCTTCCCCCCCTCCAGGTGGTGGACACGCCAGTGATGGACGAGGCGAACCAGCTGGTGGGGGTGATAGGCGTGAGCACGGACATCAGCGAGCTGAAGCGCAAGGAGGCCGAGATCCTGCGGCTGAACGCGGAGCTGGAGCAGCGCGTGGCGGAGCGCACGCAGCAGCTGCAGGAGAGCAACCGCCTGCTGCAGGAGGAGGTGCAGGAGCACCTGCGCGCACGCGAGCACCTGCACCGCGTCGCACGGGTGCGTGTGGCTTTTAGGCGTGTTCTGAGACGTCTCATAAGGCGCCTAGAAAATAGACGCCTGCTGCAGGAGGAGGTGCAGGGGCACCTGCACCGCGTCGCACGGGTGCGTGTAGTTTTGTAACTTTCTAGGCGCCTCGAACATAGACGCCTGCTGCAGGAGGAGGTGCAGGTGCTCCCGCGCGCACAGGAGCACCTGCACCGCGGCGTCGCACGGGTGCGTGCTTTGATCTGTCTGGATGCACCGATTTGCTTGCACGGGTACGCGGGAGGGAGGGAGGGATAGACGATGGGAACCCGACTGCCCACCCGCAGTGAGAAACGGACTGCACCGCACGGCTTTCCTGCGCTTGCCGTTCCCTACTCCAACATCCCACCCAACCCCTTCCCCACCCATCCGTTCCCGACTTCCTTTTTCTCCCCCCCTTCCCTCTCCATGCCAGCAGGATCACGGTCCAAGGTCCTAATGAAGGCAAACCGCCCTTCACTCACACCTGCGCTTGCCCTTTCCCACTTCATCCCTCTCCCCTCCACTCCCCTTCCTCTCCCCCCTCTCTCTCGTCCATGCTTCAGGACATGGAGGCATCGCGCTGGAGCAGGCGAACCAAACGGCACAGCAGCCTTGCGCTTGCCCATCCCTAATCCAGCATCCCTCACCTTTCCCCTCCCCTCCACTCCCCTTCCTCTCCCCCTTCTCTCTCGTCCATGCGTCAGGACATGGAGGCATCGCGGTCCAAGATCTTGGAGCAGGCGAACCGGCTGGAGAAGCTCGTGGTGGAGCTCAGGGCCGCCCGCCTCGAGGCGGAGTCCGCCAGCCGCCTCAAGAGCCAGTTCCTCGTCAGTTCCCCGCACTCCCCGCTCGCTGCTCCCTGTTGCCCGCTGCCCGCTGCCTGCCCATAGTTCCATGCCAACTGCTCCCTGCTCCTCTTTCCCTCTGCTCCTCATTCTGCTTCCCGTCCTCACTCCTGCAACATACTCCCACCTTCTTCCACCATCTCCCTTCCTCACCCCCCCTGCTCCCGCTTCCTCTCTCCGCCTGCCCCCCGTTCCCCTTACCCCTGCTGCCTCCCCCCCTTTCCCCAGGCATGCATGAGCCACGAGATCCGCACGCCCATGAACGCGGTCATCGGCATGACGAACCTCATCCTCTCAACGCCCCTCACGGACGAGCAGCAGCAGTACGTGCACACCATCCGCACGAGCGGCGACGCGCTGCTGGCCATCATCGACGACATCCTCGACTTCAGCAAGATCGAGGCGGGGGAGCTAGCGCTCGAGCGCTGCCCCTTCTCCCTCATGATGTGCCTCGAAGAGGCCGTCGACATGTTCGCTGTGAGTGGGATGGCCCCTGTGTGCAGCTTCTGTACAGTGCCCCCCCCCATGCCATCTACCCCCCCCATGCCCCCATGCACTTGTGAGCTCGCGCTCGAGCGCTGCCCCTGCCCCTTCTCCCTCATGATGTGCCTCGAAGAAGCCGTTGACATGTTCGCTGCGAGTCACCGAAACACGCTCCTCTGTCCCATGCTCACTCCCATCCCATCCCATCCCATCCCATCCCATCCCATGCCATCCCATCCCATCCCATCCCATCCCATCCCATCCCATCCCATCCCATCCCATCCCATCCCATGCCCTGTCCAGCGTCTCCTCCCGCCGCCCCTCCCCGACTCCTCCCCCGTCCCCCCGTCCCCCTCCCTGAACCACCCCTCCCCTCCCCTCCCCTCGCCTCACCTCCTGCGCCCCCCCACCACCCCCCTCTCCTTGTGTGCAGCTGAAGGCGCTGGACAAGCGGCTGGAGCTGGTGTCGTTTGTAGACCCCTCAAAGTCTCACCGCCCCTTCCTCCTCTCCACCTCCCGCCCCCTCCGTGAACCCTCTCCCGCCACCACCCCCCTTTCTGCGTGTGCAGCTGAAGTCGCTGGACAAGCGGCTGGAGCTGGTGTCGTTTGTAGACCCCTCAAAGTCTCACCGCCCCTTCCTCCTCTCCACCTCCCGCCCCCTCCGTGAACCCTCTCCCCCCACCACCCCCCTTTCTGCGTGTGCAGCTGAAGGCGCTGGACAAGCGGCTGGAGCTGGTGTCGTTTGTAGACCCCTCCGTGCCGCCCATTGCCCAGACCGACCCCGCTCGCGTCCGACAGGTGCGTGCGTGCGCTCTGTGGCTGTTGGGGGGGCGTGGGGGGCCGTGGCGGGCCGTGGGGTGAGGGACCATGGGAATGATGAGTGCATGTGCATGTGCATGTGCATGTGCACGATGCATGTAGGCTAGGGGCGCGCTGATGTTGACATAAAGCCTGACTCTGTTACCGTCGCGTCTGCATGTTGCCCACTTTCCCCATCCTCGTCCGTTTGCCCCTTTTGACAAGTCTCAAAAGTCCCCCCTGTCCGTCCCATTGCGCCTTCCTTTCCCTTCCGCCCCCACTTCCGCCCCCACTTCCTCTCCCACCTCCCTTTACCGCCCATGTGTCCTCCCATCACCATGTCCTCCCCCCCACACAGATCCTGGTGAATCTCATATCAAACGCCCTCAAGTTCACGCACCAAGGGGAGATTGTTATCCGTGCCCGTGCCTCCCCCTGGCCCTCCTCCCGCTCCTCCGCGCACCCTCCCTCTGCCCTCTGCTCCACCGCTGCCCCAGCAACCGCAGCTGCCGCTGCCGCTGCCGCTGCCGCTGCCGCTGGCGCTGATACTGGTACTGGCACTGGCACTGCCACCATGGGTCACCAGCCAGGGCTCTTCCCTTTTAACCTTTCCGCACCACCCCACACCGCAGCAGCCGCACCCGTCTCCATCTTCTCCTCCTCGTCCTCCTCCTCCTCCTCAACCACCTCCCTCTCCACGCTCGCGCCCAGCTCGCCCTACCTCTACACCTCCTCCTCGCTCCTCTCCGACTCAGCCCTGCCGAGCCACGAGCTACACGTAACAGTCACAGACACGGGCATCGGTATTCCCCCCGATCGCATGTCAAGGCTTTTCCGCCCGTTTAGCCAGGGGGATGCAAGCACCACGCGGAGGTTTGGGGGCACGGGGCTGGGACTGGTGATTTCGAAGCAGCTGGCGGAGCTGCTGGGAGGGCGCATGTGGGTGGAGAGCGCAGGGGAGGACAGAGGCTCCACGTTTCATTTCACTATTGCGCTCTACCCCCCTCCGCCTACTGAGCCTGTATTAGCAACGCCTGCCCCCGTTGCTGCTCCTGCTCCTGCTCCTGCTCCTGCTCCTGCTCCTAGCCCTTCTATTGTCGCTGCTCCTGCTGCTGCTGCTGCTGCTCCTGCTGCGTGTGCCTCTTCTGCTCTTCCGCCTCTGCCTGTTCGCGCTCCTGCGGTCGCTGCTTCTCTCGTTGCTGTGCCCACCGCTGTCCCTGCCACAGCTAGTGGTGCTACAGCTACTGCCACAGTCTCTCCGCTGTGTTCCTCTTATCCATCAGCAGTACCATCCCAGCTTCCCCCTCCTGCATCCACACCCACCACACCCACCACACCTGGCACAGCAGCTATAGCACCAAGCTTTGCGGCCATGAGCACTGTTATCACCACCACCATCGCCACCACCACCACAAGCACTTCTGCTCCCGCTGCTCCCGGTGCTCCCGCTGCTGCTGTTGCTGCTGCTGCTGCTGTTCCTCCAGGTGTTACGCTGGCAGGAAGCAGCACTGGTGCTGCTGCTGCGGCGGCTGCTGGTGCAGCTGGGGCGGACAGACGAGGTGCAGGGGGAGCGTGGGGAGGGCGAGGGCTGCGAGGGGACAGAGGCTTGGGAGGAGTGGGTTCAGCAGCTGCAGCAGCAGCAGGAGCAGCAGGAACGGCGGCAGCAGCAGGGACGGTGGCGGTGATAGGTTCTCATGCGAGGGTGGAAGCAGAGTGGGAGGAGAGGCAGAAGCTACGGTCGTCGCTGTACCGGCAGCGGCTCATGGAGGGTGCTGGGCTGGTGGCGGTGGCAGGCGCGGCACAGGGCACTGCTGCGGAGGGGGGTGTGGGGAACTGGGAGGTGCGGGAGGGTGCGACTGCAGTGATGGATGCAGGGGTGGGGCGAGAACGAGACGTGGGAATACGGGCAGGAGCAAGGGAAGGGGCTGGGGCAGGGGCAGGGGCAGGGGCAAGGGAAGGGGTGGGAGCAGGGGCAGGGGAAGGGGCAGGGGCAGGGGCAAGAGAGAGCGAGCAGGGTGGGGTTGGTGATGGCAAGGCAGGGGAGGTGGTGGGGGGAGAGAGGCGGGGTAGCAAGAGGCCTAGGGAGGCGAGTGGGGAAGGGGAGAGGGGCGAGGATGATGGAGGGGCAAGGCGAAGGCCAGTGGAGGAGAGTGAACGGGCCGTGGTGGGAGCTGTGGGGAGAGAATCTGGTGAGGCGGTGGTGGTGGTGGCACGTGGGAGAGACGGTGGGGGAGACGGTGAAAACGAGAGAGCGTTGCAGCGCAGCCAGGCAGAAGGCTCTGCTGCGTCTGACATGGATACCGAATTGGGGGGACAGCAAGCAGGGGGACAGCCACGGGAAGGGCCAGATCCCAGCAACCCCCATCGCTTCACTTTTCCACCCGCGGCTTCCATGCCTTTGCCACATACCTCCTCCCAACAACCCCCACAACCCATTGGTCACCACCACCCCCACCACCCGCACGACACTCAACCCGTCCCCCAACCTTGCCCCTCTCCCTCTCCCTCGCCCTCGCCCTCTCCCTCGCCCTCACCCTCGCCCTGCCCCTGCCCCTCCCCACGCGTTACCCACGCCGCTCCGCGCTCCTCCTCCCAACAAACCACCCCTCGCACGTCCCCACCCCCCGCTCCCCGCTCCTCACGGCACATCACACCCCCCTTCCCCCTCTCCACAGAACCCCCCACAGAAACCCCACCTACATACCACCCGACAGACGCCCGCACACTCGCCCTCACAGACCCACCACCAACCTCCCCTGCGCGCTCGCCAAAGCAGTCCCTGCGAGGGGGAGAACATATAATGGATCCTGCAGTGAACCCCGCAGCTGTGGTGACCCTCCGCCCGATCCGGGCCGTGCAGGGGCGGACAGCCCTAGTAGTGGATGATAGTGCGGCGGTGCGAGCTATGGTATCGGCGCACCTGCAGGCGCTGGGGTTTGCAACGAGGGAGCTCACGAGTGGGGAGCAGCTGCTGGAGGAGGTGGCTGCGTGCGATGTCACCCGCGCTCCCAGCCTCGTGGTCGTCGATACTGAGGTGAGGTGGGGGATGCCGAGGCGAGGGAGGGGAGATACCGAGGCGAGGTCAGGGCCTGAATATGAGTCTATTCGATTCTTGTATTTCTTTGTCTGTCCTTCATTTGTCCATGTAAGAATCTTTTTTGGGGGGGGAGGAGAGCGGGAAGGTGTCTGATTTTGCTCCGTCCCTTTCCTTCCTTCAGTTCCCTCCCTTCCCTTCCCCGTGCCCCCCACTGCCCTCTCCCACGTATGAAACGTCAGATGCCGGGAATGGATGGGCTGACAGCGGTGAACAGGCTCAGCGCCTTGCCACAGGCAGAAGGGCTGCGCGTGCTGCTGCTCTGCCCCTACGGCACCGCCAACCAGGTGCGCTGCGCTATGCGCGTCTCACACCGATATCGCGCAAATACATCTCGCACATGCCTCGGATCATCTCGTCAAATCGGGACATTGCTCGCTCCGCACATGCCCATATGGTTCGAGAGGTTCGAGTGGTTCGAGTCGCATAGGGTTCGAGTTCTTACTTCCTCTGCCTCCTCTCCTCTCCTCCTCTTGGGCGCTCAAGTTCTTTGTATTTACACACGCCCTTCCCTCCCACTCCTCCCCCACCAGGTGCGGGTGACAGCGCCCAGCATCAGCATGGCGGCACTAACCAAGCCCCTGCGCCAGTCCCTCTTCACCCGCGCACTGCTCCTCGCCTTCCCTCCCCTCGCCACGCCTCCGTCCCCATCTCCCCTTACCGACCTGCACCAACTTACAGCAGCTGCCTCCCCCTCTCCCGCTCCTACCACTACTGCCTCTGCTCCTGCGTCTGCTCCTGCTGCTCTCAGCCTTACCCGGTCCAGTCATCACGGCGTCGTGCCTCAGCCTCTCTCCGTGCCTGCTTCCTCTGCCGCTGTCTCTGCCTCTGCCTCTGCCTCTGCTGCTCTAACGTCGGTTGCGATTAGAACCGGCGGCAGCGATGGCGGTGGTGGAGAGAATGCCGCGATCACCTCCTGTGGTGGTGACGGGTCAAATGGTAGGGCTGCTGTGGATGGTGGTGGTGCCGCCGCCGCTGGTGCTGCTGCTGGTGATGCTGCTGCTGATGGTAGCGGCAGCAACGTCAGCAGCATTGGTGTTGTCAGCCCTCGAACGCGAGCAGGGCGAGGAGGAGGAGGGAGAGGAGGAGGAGGGAGAGAAGGAGGAGGGAGAGAAGGAGGACTAGGGCGGGGAACGGCGGAGCAAGTTGGAGCTGTAGAAAGGCCTAAGAGGAACAACAGCTGGCAGAATCTGATCGCCGTGGGGGTGGCGAATGAGCGCACGACACCTGGCGGGTTCATAGTGGGCCTGGCAGACAAGCACCCGCTTAAGATACTTCTTGTGTGAGTTGAGACGTGCAGTGGCTTGGGGGGTGCGAGGAGAAGTGTGGGGGCTCCGGGAATGGAGAGGAAAGTCAGGTTGCGGTGGGGTGGGGGCGTTTGGTTTCCCGGAGTGGGAGGTGAATAGAAAGCGGGGTTTACAGGTTGCTCGCGCAGCCAGTGAAATTGCAGCTGCTTGTGGAAGAACACTTTTCACACATGCCCCCGTCAACTGACACTTGTTCCCGGTTTGACCAGCAATAACCTGGCCCCGACTACCCTTCCTGTTGTGCTCGCTGCTCCGTCGTCCATCTAATCTCGCTTGCCTCGTTGTCCTTCCCCTACTCCCACCGCCATCCCCACGCCCGCCCGCACCCGCACCCCGCACACACACCCCCGGTCGACGCTGTGCGTTGCGCAGCAAGGACAGCCTGGTTAACCAGTGCGTGGCGACGACGCGCATGTTGAGCAACATGGGTGGGGTACACGCCGAGGACCTGGTGTGCTCGCTTGCCCTGTTGTCCTTTCCCCCTGACCCCACCCCTACCCCCACTCCCACCTTCACACATTCCCCCGCCCGCGCGCGTGCTCTGTGCAGCGAGGACAACTTGGTGAACCAGCGCGTGACGACGACGTGCATGTTGAGCAACATGGGGTACACGGTGGATCTGGTGTGCTTGCTTTTGAGGCGCCTCAAAAGTAGCAACGTGGGGTACACAGTGGATCTGGTGTGCTTGCTTGCCCTGTTGTCCCTTCCCCGACCCCAACCCCACCTTCTTCACGCCCACACTGCTCGTGCTCTGTGCGTTGTGCAGCGAGGATAACCTGGTGAACCAGCGCGTGGCGACGCGCATGTTGAGCAACATGGGGTACACGGTGGATCTGGCGGCCAACGGGCTGGATGCTGTCAACGCGCTCGCCACCAAGACATACGACCTCGTCTTCATGGACATACAGGTGCGCGCGACTGTGTGTGTGTGTGTATGTGTGTATGGCTCTGCAGATTCGGCTTGTATGTGGGGTTACCCTCATGGGGTTACCTTTGTGGCTGGATGCTGTGAACGCGCTCGCCACCAAGACATACGACCTCGTCTTCATGGACATACAGGTGCGCGCGCGCGTGTATGTGTGGGTATGACTGTGCGGAGTGGGCTTGTATGTAAGCTTGACCATTCAGGTGCGTGCATGTACAGTTATGTACTCCCGCATGTGCACACACACACACACACACACACACACACACACACACACACACACACACACACACACACACACAGGAAGGCATACACGATCTCTGTTGCAAACTGTTGCTCCAGAGTAAGCTTCATCGTTTTCCTCTGCCGATCATTCCTCCTCTCTCCATCTAACCCCCGAAAATTCTCCCTCTTCCTTACTGCACCCATCCCCCGTCCCCTTCCCCTCCGACCATCTCTCCCCCCTGCCCCCCCCACGCAGATGCCAGTGATGGATGGCATAGAAGCAACGCAACGGATCCACCTCATGGCACAGCAGGAGGGGCGGGTGCGGCCGCGCATAGTGGCAATGACAGCCAACGTGCTGCACTCAGACAGGCAGCAGTGCCTCAATGCGGGCATGGACGGCTTTCTTTCCAAGCCTATCCGCGTTGCAGACCTTGTTGCTGTGCTCGAACGCACCCCCTCCGCCACCTCCTCTCTCCCTGCTGCTTCTCCAGCTGTTCCTGCCCCCGCTGCTACTCCTGCTGCTGCTGCTGCTCCTGCTCCTGCCGCTCCTCCCGTTTCTGCTGTTGGTGATTCCGCTGCTGCTGCTGCTGCTGCTGCTCCTGCTCCTGCTCCTGCTGCTGGTAGCGCAGATGGCAAGTCAGGGAGTGAGAGATGGGTGAAGGGAGGCAGTTCTTTAAGCATGGAGAACAACCACTGGTCCACGACCAGTAACAGCACAGGGCAATCACCTGATGGCTTGAGTAAGCAAGAATAAGCAACTGGTCTTCTTTCCACATAGGAGGTGCTGTGCTGCAAGTGGTGGCGTGATCCACACTTCATTCAGCGGTTTTCTTGGCCGCAGTTTTGGTTAGGTGAGGAAAGAGGCACGCTCACTTGATGGCAAAGCGCGACTCACCTTTCAGAAGAACAGCAATTGTTGGGGCAGGAGGGGGTGCACCAGTAGCAAGTTCCAGTCCAGTGTCCAGTAACCATCTGTACTGCACTGATGTCTAGGTATTTTTCACAAATTTACACATGAAGTCATTTCTCCTTCCTGGCCTCTACATGAGAGTTCCAACCAATCCAACCAAGCTGTGCCGGGTTGCAGCTGTCGACAGTGTTCTCTTAACCTAATAAAGACACAGCAGCCCGCAAGCTACGGTACCGTACCGGTCCGGTGGTACTGTATGACTTTCGGTGCTCGAATACAACTGGTGCACTGTGGATTTGCAAATCTGACATCTGAAACTGTATCACGTCCCTGAGAGACCTTGACCCAGCCTCTTACCACATACTAGTATTGGTTGGTATCAGTGTACGGTATACAATCGCTTGAGTATATACTTTATCCTGTCCAATGGCAGAACTTCCAGGTGGCTAACTTCCTGGGAAGTTAACTCCATGCTATTCCCAGGTGGCTAACTTGCTATAGTTGATTGAATTAACTGTACGTAGCTACCGTCATCGCCCGGATATAAGACATATATGTCTTATCTCGTACACGGGAAAAAATGCTTGAGTTATCTTGTAAACGGGATGCTTTAGGGTGTCTTATAAATCTTATAAATGGAAACTTTTTAAACTACTTAGAAATATTTTCCGTACTCCTTGAAAAAGAGTTCCTCATAATGAGTGTGGATGTTGCGAAGGTGCCACTTCGGCAACCACTGCCCGGGACGTCATGGAGAACACCTGCAGAGGCAAATTTGGTAGGTCCTGGGTCAGCGCGTGGAGAAATTCGCGCTTCGCAAGGGTAAAAATGTACGCGTTATTTCAACTTTCGCTATAATATATTGAAGTTTCGATTATAAGACATATATGTCTTATCTCGTACACACAAATAGGTGTCTTATAATGAGGCTAGCCTGTTTATAAGAGACACCCGTATAGTAGACAACCCCTGTCTACTATTCAACACTGTCTTATATCCGGGCGTTTACGGTAACGTTTTCCATGGAATTATACAAAAGAAGTTTCAGTTCGAGGATTTTCATCATCTAGCCCGCTTTTCTGCCTCATAGCGCATTTGCCACTCGTCGCCAAGGGCAGATCGGGATTGTTTGCACTGTAGTTTAGTGGTAGTTACACTTTATTGCTTGCATCGATGATGGATGAGTAGTGAGTTTACTGTCAAAAGTCTGGTGAAAGGGCATAGAGTGCTTATTAGTGATTTCATGAGACTAGGAAGATTAGAATGGACTGATATGGAGTGGAGAGTAAAGGTGGATATAAAGTCAGGAAGTCTGGCGTTTTCCATTTTGACGGAATATGTCCTCTCCTTTAACGAGGATAATGTGTACTCCATGTGCTTCCCCCCCAGCTGTGTCTTGGACCACCAAGAGGCCATCGTAACCTGCCGTCTACAGCTCTCACGTTGTCGTCTAGGAACCACTGCTTGGGTTACATCCAGGCTGTGCCACGCCTCCCGCTGCAAACGAGAAAAATAACGATGAATTGCCAGTGAGGGTGCCGTTAGAAGTGTGTGCACAGTTGTAGGTTACAAATCTGGTTCCTGTCAAGGCCATCATGCTTCGCAACCACGTTCCACGCATCCTTCGAATCGCGTACCCTTCCCCAGCAGTCTGCTGCTGGAGCGAAGGGGATCTTCGGATTCGAATTGTTGGTGCTGTTTCAGACCTCGAAAAGACTTTTCGAGACAAGGCGAGCTGGTGGGAGGGTATCCGCGGGACTTCTAGCAGAACTCAGGCAAAGAAATTTGCTGTTCCGTACACAGGAATCCCGAGTCCTGGTCACCCATCTCTTCACAGAAAGCTGGACCAGGATTACACTCCTCCCCCTATGCCCAGTTTTCGCCTTCATTCGGTTTGGATTTACACCTAGCCCGCGCTATTTTCACGCCCTGCAACTTGTTTCGGCAAGCACCCTGAACCCGATTTTGGCTTTTACCAGTAAACTCCCAGAATTTGAAGATTACAAACCACTCAGCCAAGTGTCGAGATATTAAAAACAAACCGCACTCTTACCAGGGCGACTCGACCATTGTTTATTGTGACCCGTTTTCACTCCCTCTAACTCGTCAGAGATGTCTGAAACGTACCCTCTTTAAAACGAAAGCATTCGGAACAGCCCTTTAATATCGGGTAAATCAGAAATAATTACACAGGGGGGTGAAAATGGCCCTAGTGAATTTGGCGCGGGCTAGGTGTACGATCTGAGGCTTCGCTTTGATGAGCTGTTGCGCCTCCGCTCTATCCGCCGCCTGCTGCTAAAACTGTCAAACAGCTCGCACCGTCGTTTCTGCCGGATAAGCTAAGGGCTTTGCTTCGCAGTAACGTCGAGGCGACTTTGACTTTCGCACCACCCTACTACGGTAGTTGTCTTATAGAATCCATTTTTTTGCGTCGAATCATGCGTTCATTGGTTGCATTTCACCGCCATAGCGTCGACTTCTTCTATCTGAGACAATGCGAGCGGCGTTTTGTTTTGAGGCTACTACATGCGATAGCCCATGCAGAAAGGTAGCGGATGGGTCGAGGCCAATATTTGATGATCCCTTCACTGGTCCTGCTGTGATTACACCCGTGAATATGCTTCCTCCTCGGATAACCGATAGAGGTACTACGTTGGACAGAGCAACGATTGCTATCGGCCTGTGTGAAAGCACTGGCATCGCCGCTCAGGTCGGTCTCACAATCTCTCCAACAACCACCGTGACATCTATCCGCTTCTGCAGCGACGGTCGGATTGTCGACGAGTCATCAGCGGACGACGCAGATTTAACGCCCCCTAGCATGATTCGCACAATCATAATCACCAAATCGGCCGTCAGCGCCGGCAGCACCTCAGCCGGCTCAGGGTCTGCGCACGGCGACATCGAGGACATGGTGAAGATGCGCCGTGGCGCGCTGGTTTCCTCGCGAACCCTCCCCGTGGCGATTATGAACGGCGGGTTCTACAAGCGCTACGCCGTGCGCGAAGTGCTGGGCGTGGGCGGGTACGGGGTGGTGCGCCGGTGCTGGGACAGGAAGTCGCGCACGGAGTTTGCGTGCAAGAGCATCGCCAAGAGCAAGGCGCTGCGCTGCAGCAGCGGGTGGCTGGGACGCAGTCGCTGCGCGCTGCGGCGGCAGGCGGAAGGCGCGAGCGGCGTGTGGAAATGGCACACGGAAGTGGCGGCTCTGCTGCGACTGAGAGGCCATCCGAACATTGTGCAGCTGTACGGGGTGTGCGACGACGCGTACTCCTTGCACTTGCTCCTCGAGCTTTGCTCTGGCGGAGAGCTCCATGCCGCGCTTCACCGATACACCTTAGAAAATCCCGTTGCCTCCACTGCCGGTGGGGTGAACTACACCCGGAAGGTCCGCGTGGATCGCGGAGACATGATCTTTCCCAACGCCTTGAGTTTGGGTGATGAGTACGAGGACGTGATGGAAGACGAGGAGGATATGGAGAGCTTCAAAGCTCTGCCTGAGGCTGTTGCTCTTGGTATCTTCTGGCAGCTGGTGTCAGCTGTGCACTCGTGTCACGCATGCGACATCGTGCACTGCGACATCAAATTGGAAAACATTTTGCTGTCACAACCTGCAGCATCAAGTGTGCCCGGAGGCTTGCGCCTAGACGAGCAGGTCCCCTTGGTGAAGCTTGGCGACTTTGGCTCTGCGCTCTGCCTCGACCAGACTCAGCCCGGCAGTATCTTGATGGCATTCCGGAAGGCGGATTGCTATAGAGAGGCGACGAGCTTGCACAGCATGTACTTCCAAGCCCCGGAGGTGGTACGAGGCGGAACTGCTGCGTGCAGCAAGGAGTCGGACATGTGGAGTGTCGGCGTCATTCTTCACGTCTTGCTGACTGGCCAGCTTCCGTTTGTTGCTGGATCCACGTCTTTGTTGTGGAAAAGAATCAGGAGGGGACATTTGGATTATACGATCTCATGGTGGGACGGGGTCTCACCCGAAGCAATGAAGCTTGTACAGAGACTGCTGGTAGTAAACCCTGCAGCAAGAGCAACTAGCAGCGAGCTCATGGCGTGCAGAATGAAGTGATACATTCTTTCTGAGGTCCGAGTTCCACAAAGGGTTCCCTTGACCAATAGAATAATTATTGTATTTCAGTGCAAATAAGGGATATATTGTGTAGCAGCTGTACAGTCTGCATTGGCATCGGTGATATCAAAAGAAATGTTTAAACGAGAATCTTGGCGGGAAAGAAACCAATTCCCTGTGAAGCACACTTCCGTGTGAGTCAGAGGCCCATTACCGCTGAACACCGTAACCAAACTCTAGGTATTCTTGATACACCACCGTAACACTTTCTGAACCGCACACCGAAACCAACTTCTAGGGTACGCTGTGAACCCACAGCGCAGATGCTCGCCTCGGCCCTAGCCAATGACGCCCAGCAATGTTTCCTGAAACCTCCCTCCCAACTATGCGGGTGAGTGATCCCCACAGGGTAGCGTGCCCCATACTACCATTGCTTTCTCACGAACACCTCGTTCCTACACGAAGAGCAACGCGGCTGTCATAGCGACGCAGTTCCATATCGACGTCCGTAGCTTGCGATGGACTTCACACTGGTAGAAGAGCCTGTGCATTTGAGGTGACGTTTGTTCACGGCACAGGATGGCGGTCCCTCAGAGAAGCAATCCCAACAACGGGAATCACAATGGAAATGCAGCGTGTTCAGTGGCCATCCGAAGCTGGCAGGGTCTATCGGACGATGATTACGAGGAGGCCTTTCACGAGTTCATTGTGGAATCACACACTCGCGACCTCCCTCGCGTACCGTCTGCCGGTCCTTTCGCCCTCGTCGTCGAGTAAGGCAAACGACGACGCCAAAATCCTGCCGAAATCGCCTGACATGTTCCTATTAGTTCGTTTCATGGCTATCCCTGACATGCTTGTGTTTCCCCCTGCTACTGACCTCTTTCCCCTTGTGGTCCCTTATCAGGTCCGCCGAGGTACTGAATTCTAACCCTTCACTGGCACTGGAGCTCCAAGCCAACGCCAGGCGCCTGTTACCCCTGTTTGACCTCGCACTTGCTCGAGCCATGGTCAGTGGAGCGGCGATTGCGAAGGTCCTTCGGGAGTCATGATTCTTAATTGAGCATCTGAGATCTTATGTGGCTGACATCTCAAAAGGTTTACTGACACGGTTCATGCGTTACATTCGTTGCGTGGCCAACGTTTCTTCAGGAAGAGCTATGGGTGAAACAGGCTGAGCAGGAAGAAGCAGCTCAAGCGTCAAAGTCAAGAGCAGCTGGTGCTGCGCCACCATCATCATCAACAGCAGCAGCAGAAGCAGCAGCAGGAGCAGGCGGCAGAAGCGGAGGTAAACGAGCTCGTCAGCATCTACAGTACGCAGTGAACGCATGTGTGCGCGTGAACACGCTGGGATCCGCGTTTGCTTGCGGAGAGGCTTCCCCAGGCATAGGGGCTCTGCGAGTGAGGCACGAGGGGCAGCTGCTGACAGTCACAGGCACGGTTGTGCGCACAGGGACTGTGCAGATGCTGGAAGGGCTGCGCGCATTCACCTGCACCACATGCAAGAGAACGTAAGACTAAGACATATGATCATCTTTCTTGTGTTGGCACTCCATGAAGCTTTTCTGTCCGTCTCCCTGTCGCATGCGTAAGCCAGTGCCACCATCCTTTCCCAGCTTCCTTGTCCTCCTCCCATTCCCCTGTGCTTTTGCTTCCCACTTTTCTTGCCGATTTTCGCGTTCAGATTTACATGCTCGCCAGAACCAGAGGAGGGGTATGCAGTGGAGGTGCCATCTGCCTGTCCGTATGTTGACAGCAAGGTACGCATGCAGGCTCCATGCCTGTGAGCATGGACCCATCCACAGGTGACAAATTAGCGTTGTGGTTGTCTCAGAAACGACTTCCGCTTTTGGTGAATGTCCTGTACTTTTGGCACAGCATACCCTCTGTTGGACCTAATTTTCTTCTGCTTTTTGACAAAACTCATGTGTGTCATGTAATGTCATTTCATAGTAAGCAGACTTACACTTGCATCGCGTGCCACTGAACGGGAACACCAGTCCCCATTGGCACATTTGCCATCATTCCCTTCCCCTGTTCTTCCATCACTTATCCGTCGCTACAGAGGCGAAAGCGGTGCAAAGGGCGGGTGTTTGTGCCAGCTGACAGTCAGCGCAGCAGCAACAGCAGCAGCGGCGTAGCTGGTGTGGGCCGCGGTGCATGCATGGACTTCCAGGAGGTGAAGCTGCAGGAGCACGTTCACGACCTGCCTGCAGGCCGCCTGCCTCGCTCCGTGCGGGTTGTGCTGTCCAAAGACCTTGTCGACACTGTGCTGCCTGGCGGTGAGATGCCATGCATGCGTTGTTCTGCGTCCCGTGTGCACTCATTGCAGTGTCCTTTGCTATCCTTTCAATCTGTCCTTTGGATAATATCAACCTTACGTACATACAAGTCGAAGGCTTCTTTTTTCATTTGTCACGCTGTGCCCTCCTTTACTGCGCCATTCGCTCATTCACTAAACCTTGTTTCCGTAAATCCAAACCCCCTGCGCTCCCTTTGACCGTTTCGTGACATGCCTTGATGCAACCAACCAAGAGGACGTGGTGGTGGTGGGTGTGATGGCTTGTCGCTGGCGCTCTGTTGCTCCTGGCGCCCGTTGCCTGCTTGAGCCCATCCTGTGCGCCAACAACCTCTGGTAGGTCGGAGAGATTGCATCCCTTGATCCCCGTTCATCCCTGCTCTGGGGTTCGGACATTGTGTCTGGATTTTCTCAGAGTAGGTGCGTATTCACCATGTGTGTGTTGTGTTGTGCTTCCCTGCTGTGCATGCAGCCGGAGCAACGCTCAGGAGTTGGACGAGCAGGGGGAGGAGGACGAGGGGGAATTCGAGGATTTCTGGTGCGCCCATGCTAGCAATCCCCTCGCAGGTCCGCACGTGTTTCAGGGCGAGAGGGGGAGAATGGGGAGAGGAGAGTGGGGAGGGGGGAAAGGTGGGCTTAGGAGGACAATTGTGTGTATAAGCTGTATGTATGGCGTGTGTGCATGCATGCACAACCTGAGTGAACCCTCATACCCTATCTACATGGTCCCGTATCTACCTGTGCGTGTATGTATCTATCTCCCAGGCAGAGACATCATCCTGCGTAGCATCTGCCCCCAGGTGTACGGCCTTGCTGCTGTCAAGCTCGCAGGTATGTACGCTCACAACCTCAGGCTGCCTCCCCCACTCGTCCTCCCAACCAACCCTAACCCTCATCCCGCCTTCACTTCACCCCTTTGATGTTCGCAATCTCCTATGCTCCCCTGCCCCCATACACGAGAAGATCCAGATTGCGAAGCAGCCTGTGTTTCTTCCTTTCTTGCGCGTCCTCCATACCTCTCCTCCTTACCCCCTCCTCCCTCTCACATCATGCTCCCTCCTCACGTCCCTCAGTGGCACTGATGCTGATAGGAGGAGTGCCACACACAGATCCATCTGGCACCCGTGTGCGTGGGGAGATGCACCTGCTACTCGTTGGGGACCCAGGTACCTCATTGCACACATGCAACAATGCGTTGAACTGAGATCCTATCCTAGTGTGCGAATGCTGTGTGCGTGCATCCAATTGCCGCAATTTCGTGCCTTTCAAATCACCTCCCCCATTCACTCCCCTCCACCTTTCTTATCCTCCCTCGCACCCCTCACCTCCTCCCCGTCCTCCACACCCCTCTGTTTCCCTCTGCACCATGCCTCCTCACCCACGCATCCCAGGCACGGGCAAGTCTCAGTTCCTCAAGTATGCATCGAGGCTGTGCCATCGTGCTGTGCTCACCACTGGCCTGGGAAGCAGCTCCGCAGGTCTCACTGTCACGGCTGTCAAGGACGCAGGTGAGGAGGGGTGCGGCGCTGTTGCACCATGTGTGCATGCTTAGATGGATCAGGGAGGCGGAAGCATGCTGGGGTCGGCTTTGAGGTTGGAATGCGCCCAATGGTGGAACAGTGTGGGAAGAGGTTTGGGTCTGTGGAAAAGGAAGTGATCTGGATGGAGAGTGCATTCTGGTACAGCTGAACCTGTATACACCCGAGGACCATTCCTACCATTCCTCCACCTCCCTTTTACACTGCGCCCCTCACCCTTTCCCCCACCCCCTCCCAACCTCGTCCTACTGCTGTGTTGCTCTTCCCGTTGGTGTACTGCTTTGTAGGTCAGTGGATGCTGGAGCCAGGCGCTCTTGTGCTGGCAGATGGTGGGCTCTGCTGCATCGATGAATTCAGCAGGTCAGGCTTTCCCTCACTCTCTCCTGCACACTCTCACTTTTTCTCACTCACTCTCTCACTCACACTCTCCCTCGCCGCTGCACTGTCTATCTGTTTGGCGCTTTGTAGCTATGCTGTGGCACCAACCCTACACCTCTGAGTGTCCCCTCTCAACAAATCGTCCGCATAATCCCACGTCATGCTGCTTCTCTGTCTCATACCATTCCTGCATGGCACGTGTATGTGTGCACGTGTGTGGTGGTGCAGCATTCAGAAGGACGATCAAGCAGCAGTGCATGAAGCCATGGAGCAACAGACAATAAGCATTGCGAAGGTCCGCCTCTCCTCTCTCTTCGTCCATTTCTCACACTTGCCCGCACCCATGTATGCATGTTCAGAAAATCACATTAGAGACGCCTCCACCCAACCTCCCCTCTTCTCCCTCCTCCACTCCCGTTTCTGCACCTGACAGGCTGGCATAGTCACCACTCTACCTTCCCGTTGCAGCGTCTTTGCAGTCACAAATCCCAAGGGTGCATACGACGCTGACACTTGTACGTTCTTCCTCTCTTTGTTAGCACCGTCAATCACACCTGCAGTCACGCTTAACCCTATAGCTCTGACAATCCAATCACATACAGAAATACATTGAACAGCCAGGGCACAGTGCGCAGCTCAATCTGTTGTGTATTCTCGTATCCCAACCCGCCCACACCCGTCCCACCCTATTCTAGCTTCCTGCATAACCTTTCCCTCGCACTTTCCTTTCCCACTACCTTCTTGCCTCCCTGCTCCCTGTGTTCCTGTCTCCCGTGCTGCACGTGCAGCTCTGGTGGTGTACACAGGGATTGCCAGCCCCCTGCTGAGCCGCTTTGACCTCGTGCTGCTGCTTCCAGACACCTCCGAAGCCTCGTGGGATGAGCGCGTGGCTCAACACATCCTTGCTGAGGTATGCTGCATACCGCGCACTGCTCTTGCACTCTGCACCCTGCACACCACTACTCACCTGCCGTCCCAGTCCCAGCTGCCATCTACCTTGCCATGCCTCCGTTGCTCCACTTTTTCCCATTGTCACTCTCCTCGTCCACTTCCTCTCTTGCTTGCATTGCGCCGCACCATCTCCTCCTCATCGCCATTGCCTCTCCACCTTCCTCTCTCTCTCTCTCTCTCTCTCTCTCTCTCTCTCTCTCTCTCTCTCTCTCTCTCTCTCTCTCTCTCTCTCTCTCTCTCTCTCTTTCTGTCCCTCTCCTTCCCCACCACAGCACACAATCGTCTCCTCGACTCCACCCACTGACCTCTGGTCAATACAAAAGCTCCGAAGGTCTGTCCACCCGCCCTACTGCAATTTTTCATAATTCGAATGTTGCATCACTTGAATGCTTCGCTACTTCAATGCTTCATCACTTCAACCACTTCGCCCCTCCCTGCCCGTCTCAACCTCTGCCCTCCTCCTGTCACTCAAGTGGCCGTGTTTCCCTTCTACCATTATTTACGCTCTCCGCATCAGTCTGACCCTGCATCCCAACTATCACCCTTTCTGCTCCTCAACCCTATCATCAATCCCCTCTGCTACCTCCGTCCACTACCCGATACCCCTCAACCTCAAACTCCAATCCTGGTGTGGCACTCTCCTACCCCCAGCTACATCCGGCGTGTGCGCCAGTCATTCTCCCCCATGGTATCAGAGGAGGCGCAGGCTGTCATTAGCGCCTACTACCGCCAGCAGCGGCGCGACGCAGAGGACAATGCAGGTGCGCAACGGAGGGATGGGTGGCCTTTTGCCTCTGAGTTGTGGGAGTGTTGATGAGGGGGACCTGTTGGGGAGGGACGTGAGTAAGATTTGGAAATAAAGGAGAGGAAAAAAAGGGTCAAAGAAAGAGGGGCTGAGAGGTGAGGGTCAGGTGGCCATTTACCTTTGCAACCATTGCATCTCTGTTGTTGCATCACCACTGCACCATCTCCACTGCTTCACATCCACTGCACTGCCACAATCGCTTCACCAACGCACCACATGCTGTCTCAGCCTTTATTGACAGCCGTTGCAATGTGCGCTGGCCCTGGCTCTCTGTGTTCCCTACCTACGTGTTTGCTGCTTGGCTTGGCTCCCTTGCAGCACGCACAACACTCCGCATGCTCGAAAGCTGCATACGCATAGCTCAAGGTGAGCTCTAAAACCTCCCTCCGTCTTCATCCACTTCTTTTGTGCGTTCACCCTCCTTCCCCTCCTTCCCTCCCCTCACCCTCCTCCTCCCTTGTCTCCTCGTCAATCAATCACTCCTCTTTCTCCCATTCCCTTGGCTTTCCCTAACTTCATGCCTCTTGTCGCCTGTGACATTGACTCCCGCCCGGTCCATCCCACCAGCGCACGCGAGGCTCATGTACCGCACGACAGTGCTGCGACAGGATGCAGTGGTGGCAGTCACAGCAATGGATGCTTCCATGTCTACCTCGCGCCTATTCCCCTCCCATGCCCCCACCAACGCTGCCTTTCCCGACGACCCTGCTGCTTCTTGTAAGCTTCCATTCTGACTTAAATGTGACTGCCATTACGCACTAAATGTTTGCCGTCTCTCCCTCTCTCATCCGCGCTTGTCTCGCCTTGTTTGTGAACCTTCCATTTGCTGTATTTCGACGCTCCTTTGCACTTGCAAGGTTCTTCCACAATCTCTCCCCATCATGTATCTGCACATATGTTCGTGCGTGTATGCTCGAATGTGTGTTGTTCGCATGTGTGCTCGTGCGTGTGTGCCACCCACAGACTGTGACATGGAAGCAATAGTGCTGCAGCAGTTGGGCCTCTCAACCATAGACTCTGACACGCCCACTCAGCCCCCCTTCTCATCCACCCCCTCACCTGGAGTTCCCCCCAACACGCCTCTCACCGCCAACCAACACCACCCGAACGCATACTCCATTCCACGTGCTACGGCACGTGGGGGGTTTGCACCAGGCCAAAGGCACAAGGCCCCACCAGCAGCAGCGGCAGCAGCGGCAGCGGCACCAGAGCCAGGGATGCGGGCAGGAGTACGTGGGCATAGTGTGGGTGGGCCCAGGTTGCAGCCGTGCTCGAGAGGGAGAGCGAAGTGGTCGGCACGGCGAGAGCCGGGTGAGGATGAGGGAGGCGTGTAGGCGGCCAGTGCATGTGCAGCGACGACAAGCAATGTCCTGGTTGAGCCTTGCTGAATGAGGACTACCTACCGCTCTGCAATTGGGACCAGAGAGGAACCTGCACATGGAGAGAGGAGATGTTAGGTTCGGATGTTTCCAGCACTGTTTGTCGTTGCTATGTTGAGAATTTGCCACCACCCTGTTGTGTGCGTCTTTCAGGCTCTTGATTGGCTTCTGCTCGTTGAAGGCTCACCGCAGGGATACATAGTTGGGTGTGTATATAGTCCCAGAAATCCCACAACTAGTGCAGGCAAACGGGTTGATCCATGTCTTTGTCATTCACAAACAAATGCCTATCACACGTCTGTACTTGCATGTACCGGTAGCAGTGATCGAGGCAGAAAAGCAGAAAAACGACCAAAGAAAGCTTGGAATTAAAGCACAGGTGGCGGGTGGAATAGATGGAAGGTACAAGCCTGACAAGGCACATACTAGCAATGTGCACATTAAAGCTCGTCGTTCATCCCTTGAGCACCTTCCACAGGTGAAGCCAGGCCCATAGACTCCGCATCGCCACTACCACCCCTTCCGACCGGGAAATCCTGCTGCTTCTTCTGGAGCCGGGTCAGCAGCAGCTGAGCGACGTTTTTCGCCGCCACGGCGGCAGTTTCGAGGGCGCTGGCGGCACTCTCGAACGTGCTGGTGTAGTACAGATGGTGGTCGTCCAGGAGGAAGGGCGCAAAGGCATCGGGCGGCACGTAGTGCGGGTATGCAGGCCAGTCAATGCTCCTCGTGAACGAGCGGTTCCTGAGACGCAAGGCATGTTGCCGATGGGTTGTTGAGGCGGTTGGGGAGGAGTGAAGCAGTGAGCAGTGGATAGGAAGGAGCAAAGTAGCGGTGGTAGGCACGGTCTCAGGAACCAGATGGAGAAAGATCAGACATCATAAAAGCCCCAAGCCCCGTGCCCCGTGCTCTGTTCCCAGTGCCCCATGCCCCGTGCCCCGTGCCCTGTGCCCGTGCCCATGCCCCGTGCCCCGTGTCCGGTGCCCCCTGCCCCATGCCCCGTGTCCTGTGCTCGGAAGAGCATTGAGCCATTGACAGCTGACCTGAAAAGCATGTCGAGGGTGGTGTCGGATAGGCGTTGCCGTGAGAACACCTTGAACACACTGCTGCCATCTGGTGCCCCGGGGGCCACTCGGCTGATGCTGCTGAAGGGAATGCCTTCATTCTCCAACGTCCCTATCAGCCCTGGCAGGGACGGTTGGTCTGCTGCTCCGAAGTAGGTCTGGCAGGGGAAAAGACAGCAGCATTAAGAGCAAAGAAGCTTTCGGGGAGGGGTTGGAGGGTCAGGCATTAGGGGAGGAGGAGGGGGGAAAGGGAGCAAGTCATCAAAAGAAAGACACAGGTGGCAAATCATCTATCTCTTCCTCTTACGTGGTTGAGTGTTGCACGCACAAAGGTCACGTGCGTGTGCTGGTATGTGCGCAGAGGCAGGACAGTCGGCACAGGGTGAATGGCAATGCCGCTCTGCTCCATTGGGGTTGCGACGATCACAGAATCACAATACACCCCCTCATCTCCACCACCACCACCACCATCGGCACCATCAGCACCATCAGAAGCACCACTACCGCCAGCACCATCACCTCGTCCTTCACCTCTATGCTCCCCTCCAGCCGCCTTGCCCTGCTTCCCGTCCTTTGGCTGCATGTGAAGCACATAACCACCACCCGCTGCGCCCTCCGTGCGCTGTGTAATGCGGGCAACGCGCGAGTGCAGGTGCAGCGATGCGTTTGCCAGGCGGATTGCGCCCTCAGCCAGCTGCCAGTTGCCTCCTCGCACTTTCCACAGCTCGCTGCCCGTCCCGCACAGCCCCACTGCTCCGGGCAGCCCTGAAATTGTTGCGTTCTGCCCGTACTGCACTCGAGTGATCATCTGGTGCGTGATTGCACGGAGCGGAGCCAGGCAGGGAGGGAGGGAGGCAGGGAGTGAGAGAGGGAGAGAAGGAGGGAAGAGGTGAGTCCATGAAACAGAGGATTCGATATGATAAGACCGCAACACGTACGCCATGCCATGCCCTTATGCAGCCCACCCCATCCCATCCCATCCCATCCCATCCCATCCCATCCCATCCGGCCCAACACCACCCAGCAGTCACCGTGACAAGCTCGGTAACGAGCACGGCAGGCAGCCCCTTCTCCAGCAGAGCATCGCTCAGCGTCACCGTAGTCAGCTCCAGCAGCCCCAGCGACCGCAGCAGCTCCTCCGGCCTCTCAAACGCCTCTCCGCCCTCCTTTTCTTCATCGTACAGCCGCATCCACCGCGCCAGCATGTCCGCCACGAACGCGCGCATGCCTATCAGCCCCGCCAGCGAGTAGCGCACCGCCATGCGCGCGCCGTTCACCAGGTCCGCCACCCACCGCATCACCGCCCCGTCGCCCAGCCTCCACTCCTGGAACACGAACCCTCCCCCGCTGCACCCGCTGGCCCCGCTGTTTGAGCCGCCGCCGCCCCCGCCGCCGCCGCCGCCGCCGCTGCTGCTGCTGCTGCTACTGACCGGCCCAGATGCCAAAGTCCATGTCAGCGGGAGGCGCAGTTTCCAGCCCCAGCTGCTCCGCCAGTCGCACCAGGTGCAGGTTCTTCCCGTGGATAATGCTCGCACCAGCTTCCACCTCCACCACATCGCCCTCCGCCTGCTCTCCCTTTGAATTTTCCCCCAACGGCACCTTCAACAGCAGCGCCCGCCCGCCCACCCTCCCCGCGCGCTCAAACACGTGAATGTCGAGTTCCGGAAGGGAAGGCTGAGCGGTTGATTCAAGCGCGCGGGAGACATTACGGAGAAAATACGCGGCCGAGGCGCCGCCAATCCCGGCGCCCACGATGCAGACCCTGAACGGGCTGCCCTGCGCCGGCGGCGGGGGAGGAGGCGAAGTACTGGCGGAGGCTAGGGGGAATAGGAGAATGATGGAAACGAGGAGGCCAAGGAGAAGAACAAAAGGGAAACAAGAGCGATGACGCAGCCATTGGTGCCACTGGGAGGGAGACATGTTGGCAGGACAGAGCTTGAATCTATTAATGCTTGGGGCTGGATTGAGAAGGGCAAGTAGAAGGAATATTGGCATTCATGATCTGTTATAAACGGCCAGCATATTATCGCAATCGTTTGCATGCTATGACAATCCAAATTACCCACACTCACATGAAAAAGCCCCCACCCCACCCATGCTTACCGACTCATCAATCTAGACGTGAAAATGCAGAATAATTGCAAACATACGGGTATTTTTTCAGAAGAAATTATAATTTCCTATTTAGGCTTCACTGTGAAAACAGTACCATGTACACAAGCCTTGTTTATGTTATGAAAGGACTCCTTCAGAAGCGGGATATTATATCGTTGTGTCATTCCATAAGTAAAACAACCAGCTAAGGAGAATGTTGCATCGCGTATAACATTTCCAAGGTTGCTTCTTCTCCGGATAATTTCGGATGAAGTACCTCGAACTTTTCGGCAGGAAGACTTGTAAAATCGACGAGTTGCCTGCACCTCCGACAAGCCCAAGGTTTCATCCTAAGACCAGCTTGAGGAGGATTCTCAGATATACAAATTCATAAGATTTCACGCCGTCAATTCCCGGTGGCGTCGAAATGTCGAGCGTAAGAACAGCTCCGGTACCATCGTGCACACTGCTCCTGGTCTTGCTCTTGCTGTCGAGTAAGCACACACACTCGTTTTCCTGGTTCTCGTCGACTCTTCGCGCGACGTCCCCACCAGCACCTTCAACGCAGTCAGCCGTACCGCCATCTCCCACAGACGACGGAACGCGGCAGAGTAGCGGTGAACGATCAGATGCGTTCAAGGAGCAGCGAGCAGCAGCACGGCGAGGGAGAGTAGAACGAAACGCAGTCGCACCGTTCGATGCGGAGAGTCTGAGCATCACGGCGAGAGGCGGCGAGCGGAAAGGCCGCGAACTGCAGGAGCGCGCGGAGGGGGTTCGGCGCGCGGACGGCAGTGTCGAGGCGTACGAGCCGGGCAAGGGGGAGGGGGATAACTGCTGGATGACGGCGTATCAGCAGCTGATGGGTTCGTGTAAAGAGGTACTCCGTAACGAAGCATGGAAAGCACAGCTGGCGCTTAGACTCACCAACTGCTTCCTCGCCTCGTCTGGTCGCGCGCCCGTTGACTGTCGCTCCAGCAGCAGCAGCAGGAGGAGAAGCAGCGGATTGCAAGTGTACATGCAGGGACGAGCGGAAGGGAGTGAGAACCAGGAGCAGGGGATGGAAGAGGAGGAATGCATAAAAAGCATGAGCGATCACGAGCACTCAGTGTTTCTTGCGTTTTTCATTGACGCACCCAACATGTGCCACTTCCTGCAGTGAGTTTCCACGCCCGAAAGCGACGCCGTTCCAACTTAAACATGACGCGCGCGTGCAATTCTGGCAGTGGTTGTTATCACCGTCAATGCGTTTGTGCGACGTTTCCGAAGGCCCTTTTCTGCGATTCCCTGACACGCGCGCCTCGACTGTGCTGTGCGTGTGTCTGTGTGTGTTCATGGCTATGGCTGATGCAGGAGCGAGCTGTTCAAGAACGAAGTCGAGACGTCCGTCAACTCCCTCAAGGTCAAACCTAACCCCACTGTCATGTACCTTGCACGAATCTCCGCTAACGTTCGCCTTCATTTCCCTTTCATTCCCCCTTCCTCCCCCGTCCCGTCCCATCCCCTTCCCCTCCCCTTCTCTTCCCTGCGAACCTTTTTCTGGCCTTGTCGTCCTTCCTTCCAACGTCCCTCTGACATTATCATTCTCACTATTCCTCCCGCGCGCCACCGCTCCCCGCTCATTTCCCTCAGCGCACGGCGCACTGGTTGGAGGAGCAGCTGGGGGATCTCTCCGGAAACGCGGAGGACATGCAGGCAACGGCGCAGGCCTCTTTGCACCTGCAGCAGCGCATAGCAGAGGAGCAAGGCGCAGTGCAGCAGCAAGTTGCAGCCCTGTCAGAATCCGCGCACCACGCACAGGCAGTACTGGAGAGCCTCACAGGGCAGCAAGCGGCCATGGCGGCTGAAATCACTCAAGGGGTGAGTCACTTAGAGGATCAGGTGCTGGCTGTTGATGCTGCTCTGCAGCAGTCGCTGCTGCAGCAGCAGGCGGCTGCAGCGGAGCAAGCAGCAGCGACGCAGCAGATGGAGGTGATTTGGCAGCAGCAGGCGGCGGCACTAGACCAGCACAGGCGCGTGCTGCAGGAGCTGTCGGAAATGGCGAGTGCGGAGCAGCACAGCACGGGGAAATGGCAGGCGGAGATGGCACAGCTGCAGGAGGAGTTACTCGCAGGTCAGAGGCAAGCAGCAGGGGAGATGAAATGGATTGCAGAGGAGCAGACAGAGGTGGCTGAGCGGCAGAACGAGGTGATGGGCGAGCTGGCAGCACGCACGGTGGCGTATCATATGAGCTCACAGCGGTGGCAGGCTCGCATGTCGGAGGAGCAGCAGGTGCTGCTGGCGGTGCAGCAGCAGGTGGCAGGGCAGCTAAGTGCTGTGGCTGTGGAGGCGCAGCGGCAGCATAAGGTGCTGGCGACGTGGAACGAGCGCATGGAGGCCACTCAGGAGCAGCTGCTGGGGAATGCTGAGAGAATGCTGGCTGTGCAGGTAATTTGGCGGGATGGGTTGAGGAGTGTGGGAATCGGTGGGGTGGTGCTGTGTGGTTGTGCACGAGGGGCTGTGGAAGTGGGGGTGGTGATTGTGGATTGGATGATTTGGGGTGGGCGGGGTTGTGTGATGATTGCAGCATTGCTATGTGTCAAACTCTAGCAATGCCTCTCTGTTTTTGCATTTCCTCACCTCTGCGTGTATGTTTGTATACGTGTCTCTCCGTGTGTGTGTATAATTGTGTGCGTTGTGTGTGCGTGGGGGGCGAATGTGCGTGAGTGTGCATCTGTGTGTGTGTGTGTGTGTGTGTTTGTGTGTGTGTGTGTGTGTGTGTGTGTGTGTGTGTGTGTGTGTGTGTGTGTGCGCCCTTTTATGTGCGCAGAATGACCTGTCACGGAAGCAGGGCAGCATGGTGCGAACAGTGGAGCAATTTGTCTCGCTCGTGACTGCCGTCAGGAGCTACGCCTCCACCATATCCACCTTCCTCCTTTACCTCCTGCTCCTGCCCTTCTCACTGCTGCTCACCTGCTCCAGCCTCACCAGCCCCGCCCGACGGCCCCTCCTCGCATGTCAGTTCCCACCCTCTTGCCCTCCTCTATCCTCTTTACCTCCTCTTCCTTCTCCCCCTCGCCCCACAGCTTTTTCGCTGCCCGTATCCTCTCTCTGCCTCTGTCTTCTCTCTCTTCTCGTCCCTCCTCTTGTCACCATGTCCCTTCATTCTTCGTGAATGTCTCGTATCATTCCACCATTTATCCAACAACCACCTCATCTTGTTCCCCCCTGCACCATCCTCAGAAGCCACCTGCACACAACCCTTGTCCAATCGCTTAGCTCCTCAACCCTCATCCCGCCCCTCCAACTGCCATAATCTCGTGCTGTAGTGGTGCTTGCAGGGCTGGTTCTGGAGCTCGGGCTGCTGTCAGCCCTCTCCTCCGTTCCTGTGTCTCAAGGCCCAACGCTCAATGTGGTGCGCAGCTTGCTGGCTGGAGCTGCACTGCTTGTGCTCTGCCTTGCGCCTCTCTTCCCCATGTAAGTGGTCTTGGAAATCTCTCGCACCTTTTCATCAGTAGCACTTTTCCTTCCTATCAATCTGTGTTTTTCACATCCCCCTTCCCCCCTCTCTTGCTCACTCTGTAAACTCTTCCTCTATTCCCCTCTTACCTTGCTAATCTCTGTACCTCTGCATTGTTTGTTTGTGTGTGCCTCTGTGTGTGTGTGTGTGTGTGTGTGTGTGTGTGTGGTGCCCTTCCTCCCTCCTTTGCAGGTTCTCCCTGTCATCATCAGCATCACATCCCCACCACTCAGCCTCCATCCCTGCAACAACCTACAACCACGCCCCATTCCCAACCGCCCCCCCTTTCATGCCACCGCATGCACAACACGCAGCACATGCACCACATGCACCAACACACGCCGGTCTTGCTGCTGCTGCCACGGCCTGTTCCCCATCCTCCTTCCACCCACACTGCTCCTGCGCCACTCCTCACCACCCACTTCCCCATAGCTCCTCCCTCTCGCACTGCACTCCCGCCCACCTTGCAACAGCCAGCCCCAACAGCCAAGGCACGTGCCTGGGTGCTCCTCAGTGCATGTCTCTAGACGAAGAGGACAGGGAGTGTGAGGGGCAGGGGGAGGTAGGCGCAGCAGATGCAGGTGTGGCAGGCCGGATATGGGGAGGGGAAGCGGATAAAGACGACAGACTGCCTGAGCTTCAGCCGGATAGACACGCGACGACAGGGGCAAGGGGTGATGGGTGGGAGGGTGGGCTTGAGGGACAGAGTGAGGGGCGCCAGCAGCGGAGGGGAAGTGGAAGGGGGAGCGAAGGGGAGGTTGATAAAGGGGAGAGGGGAAGGCGAGGAGCAGTGACGTGGGCTATGGCACGGCAAGTTGTGGAGAGGAGCTTGGCGCGACAAAGGGCCCGCATGCAAGCAGCTGCTTCAGGTATGGCAGTCAGTGGGCATGGCCTCATGGTTGCATGGAGCAGTCGACGGGTTGATGCTGTGAGCGATTGGTAGGGTGGGGATTTGCTGAACTGTAAATATGTTTGATGGAGCATGCTGTTTTTGTCATCTCACCTGTACGTGTGCTTCCTCCCGTCCACCCCTTCCCGTGTGGTACCTGTATTGTGGTCCCACGTCGCCAGCAGCAAGGCGGTCACAGGAGAATGTGGCCGATCTGCTGGCCTCATGTGATGCAGCAGAGAGTGATGATGAGGCGGATCCAGATTATACGCCGCCTGCTCACATCGGCAACATGCAGCTGACCAGGCAGTACTGCCTCAGAAGCAGGACAGGAGGGTCTACTTGAAGCTGCCCATCACATCAAAACCCCAATCTTCTGGTGGAGTGCAGTGCAGAAGACTGACGAGCTGCAGGGACCATGCTAAGGGCTTGAGACATGGTGCAAGATTCAGAGGTGCTAGCCAGGTTCTGCATTTCAAGCTCGTCAGAGCAGATTCTTTTGTAGATACCGAATGCTTTTAATTGTGCTCTGATGTCAAGTATCCATTGGTGCAATAAGGAACGCACATGCTTTGGCCTTCCCTTGTCAGCATGGTTATCTGATCCGTATGGTGAGGATCGTTGAAGGGAGCGATGATTCGTTCTGCACATACATCGCATTGGTTAATTAGTAATGGCATTTGACGTTTAAAAAGGCCATCCAGCTGCCATCAGGCAATTTAGGAGCTACAATGCCCATTTGATGCCAGAGTGCATAAAGTCCATACTAAAAATTGGAGCTGTAGCAGCAATTTTACCGTACATGTTATTACGCGTTACATATCGATAGCACGTAAGGCGAGGCGAGGTGAGGTAGGGTTGAGTTGAGCGGTGAACCCTCTCGCTTCGCCCTCTCGCTTCGCTTCCTCGTCACGAACCATTTGTTCATTCATCACTCGAGCCTCACCTTCCCTGCTCCTTTTCCCCATCTCATTTCACTCGTCATCGTTCTGCTGTCCTGGGCTGTCCAGGTTTTGTTGCTTCGCATATCTCCGCGATGCTCGATCGTTGATAGACCTATTTGTAAATTTCCTCTGTCGTTTGTCTGCAATTTTGACGGAGCGTTTCGTTTCGATGATTTGGTGTTGGTAGCCCTTGTTGACGACAGGGGGAACGGGAAGCAAGAGCTGCGACCATGATTCCCATTTCCGACTTGGATCAACATGCGAGGCGGTTCCTTGATCCGGATCAGAGTACGTCGCGTCGTAGGCACTAGATTGCTTGAAAGCCGTTGTGATGCAGGCACGGCGTTGCGGCGCTGCTCTGCTCGTTAAAGTTAGATCATAGACCCTCACGCTCGCTGTTTCATTCAAGCTTGTTGTGGTTGGTCAGGAAAGTAGGATCCGTGCTTCCTTGTTTTACCTCAATTTGTTCCAGTTTCATGCGTTTCCCGCGTCATCTTTTCAGTTACGACAGTGTCTCGTGAAAAGCCCTAGCGAGCTTGTCCCTATCGCTCTCCGTCTCCCATTCCCACCCTAATACCCTCCTGCTCCCCCCCTGTGCTCATCCTACACTAATCCCGCGCGCATCCCGCCGTTCGTGTCGACTCGCTGGCATCACAGCGCCGCTGCAGCGCCTGCAGCTGGCGACGGAGGTGCGCGACAGCATCGAGATTGCGCACACGGCGGAGTATGGCAACTTCCTGCGCGCGTACTTCCATGTCTTCGTCGCCGTCCTCCGCCAGCTCACCACGCCGCAGGTACCGTTCTGCGCTCTGCGCTCCCCGCTCTGCGCTCCGCGCTCCCCGCTCTGCGCTCTGCGCTTGTTTTGTCCATGTCGTCTGCTATTCCATCCAATCGTCACTTCAACTCGTTTTTTTCTCCCCTTCTCCGTTGCTCCCTCTCCCTTCCTTTCCCTTCCCCCCACTCTCCCCCCTCCCTTTACCCCCCGTTCCCGCTCCCCCTGTCCCCCGGTCCCCCGTCCCCGCGCTGCCCCGCCCGCGCGCGCGCGCGCAGTTCGCGGACAATCTCGAGCACAAGTCTTTGAGTCGACTCAAATTACCCCGCCACCCTGCTTCCCTCCCTCCCCATGCGCGCAGTTCACGGACAATCTCGAGCACAAGTTCCGCAACGTAGTTCTCGAGGTCCTCAACCGCCTCCCCCACAGCGAGGCCCTACAGCCCTACGTTTTCGACCTCCTACGCGTGGCGCTCACAGTGCTCGCCTCGGACAACGAGGACAACGCCATGGTGGCGCTGCGCATCATCTTCGACCTGCACAAGAACTTCCGCCCCAAGCTTGAGCACGACGTGCAGCCGTTCCTCGACTTCGTCTGCAAGATCTACCAGTCCTTCCCCACCACCGTCAGCTTCTTTTTCGATGAGGGCGGCGGCGGGGAGCAGATGCGCCGAGCAGCGGGGATGGGGGACGGCGCAGCAGGGGGGCCCGCCAGTGCTGGCGCTGGGGCAGGGGGGCTGGGGGGAGGGCCTGGGGGGGTTGGCGGCGTCAGTGGTGCTGGGCTGGCGGTGCCGAGTCATCTGAATGCGTCCATCCGGTCGTTCCGGGTGGTGACGGAGTGTCCGCTGATAGTGATGTTTCTGTTCCAGGTGTATCCACGGTACGCGGGGCACAGCATCTCCGTGCTGCTGCCGCTCATGATGCAGTGCATTGCCATTGTGGGGCCCTCGCCGCACCACCACGTGCCGCCGCGCCTCAAAGCCGCGTATGCTGACCTCAAGGCAGCTCAGATCAAGGTGCGTGGTGGGGGTGGCACGTCGTGCCATGGAGTGGTGGCGGTGTTGTGTGCCGTGGCGTGGCATCACGTGGCTTGTCATGGCCTGCTGTGTGCATGTGTGCATGTAACTCTGCTCCCATCCCCCTCTCTCTTCTCTCCCTCCCTCCCCCATCTCTCGCCCATGCCACTCCCTCCCGCCCCTTTCAGACGGTGTCGTTTCTGACGTATCTGCTGAGGGGCTATGCGGACATAATCCGCCCGCACGAGGCGAATATCGCCAAGAGCATCGTCAACCTCCTCCTCACATGCCCCGACGTCGTTGCCACTCGCAAGGTGCACCCTCCTTCCTTCCCTCCCGGCCTGCCTGCCTACTGCTGCGTGCTACCTGACCTCGCCTCCTGCTGTCCCTCCACTCCATATGCTTGTGTTGAGTACGTGTGGCTCTCGCTCACCTCTCCACTGCATGATGCACCTTCCTCCTTACCACGACACGACCCCTCCTCTCTCCCATCTCGCTCGTCTCCCTCTTTCTGCTCCTCTCGCCTCGTTGCCCGGCTGACAGGAGTTACTAGTGGCAACGCGCCATGTACTGGCCACGGACTTCAAGAGAGGCTTCTTTCCGCAGCTCGACACTCTGCTCGACGAAAGGTGCTGCTCTCTCTGCTGCTCTCTCTGCTGCTCTCTCTGCTGCTCTCTCTGCTGCTCTCTCTGCTGCTCTCTCTGCTGCTCTCTCTGCTGCTCTCTCTGCTGCTTCTTGCTGCTCTGTGCTGCTATGCTCTGTGCTGATTCTTTTCCAGTCCCTCCCCCCCCCCCCCTTTCTCCCTCACAATGTAGCCTGCACCACCAGCATCTTTCGTGCCAACGACCCTTACCAGCCCCCATCTCCCTTCCACCTGCCTGCCATAACGCCACTGCCTGTTCACACCGCATCTTGCATCATCCCCCTTCTTCCCCACCTGCCCTCGGTTCCAGAGTCCTGGTGGGCACGGGCAGGGCGTGTTATGACACGCTGCGCCCCCTCGCCTACTCTCTGCTTGCGGAGCTCATTCACCATCTCAGGGACGAGCTCTCCCTCATCCAGGCAAGCCGCATGCTCTCTCTTCACTTCTCTCCGCCCACGGCATGGCACCGCACTGCACCCCGTGTTTTGATTCGATTTAAAACACAACCTCTCGCCTACTCGCTGCTGCGGAGCTTCACCATCTCAGGGACGAGCTCTCCCTCATCCAGGCAAGCGGCAGCATGCTTTCTCTTCTCCCCGTCCAACGCACCGCGCCGCATTGCACTGCACCCGTGGATTGCAATGTCCGTTGTTATGCTGCTGGCTTTCGTAAAGGCGTTGTTGAGTGCTGCTGATGTGTTGGAGATGATTTGCACCGCTGAATTCTCAATTGAGCACTATTACGACCCGCTTCTTGCTCCACCACACTTACCACCCGTCCATTCTCCTGTGTGCTGCCCTCCTCACCCGCCCTTCCCTTCCCGGCCGCTTCCCCCCTCCCTTCCGTTCCTGCTCGTGCCGTACGTTGCAGCTTTCGCGCATTGTGTACTTGTTTTCGCGCAATGTGCACGATGCATCGCTGCATCTGTCGGTGCAGACAACATGTGTTCGGCTTATGCTCAACTTGGTGAGTAAACTGCGCTCTTTGCACTTTACTCAGCCATCCATTCATCATTGCCTCGCCACACGCCACACGCCACCGCCGTGCCTTGGCCCTCCTTAAAGCGTTCACTGCCTCGGCGGCATTCTCCCTTTTCTAAAAGTTACACAGGCTTTCCATTGATGCCCCCCTATACATGCCACTGCCCTGCTCTGCGCCTCATGCCTCTGTCCCTGTGTGTTACCCTGCGTTCATCAGGTGGAAACCATCTTCAAACGCCGCCTTGCCCATGAGGATGGCCGCGTGCTGCTGGTCAGTGCCCCTTCCCCCTCCCTCCCACACCCCCCAACCCCCGTTTCCCCCCCCCCCCCCCCCCTGCCTGCCTCCCTCCTTTGCGCTTCCTCGCCTCTCGTTGTCGCGTTCCCCTGATTCCTCTCTCACCTGTCTCTTGCTGCACTTTGGCTTGTATTCCGTCCGTTCCTTCCTGCTACGAGCGCTGGCAGCTTGTGGTAGCATGCAGATTCTCTCACACCGGGTACGAGGCCTGTTTGTTTCCCAACATAAGGATCATTCAAGCCGTAGTTACCGCAGCACTTGGTTTGTATCATGCATGCACCACCACCATGGGACCGCTCCTGCATGTGGATTCTCTCTTCTCAACCGCCCGTTATCCTCTGTGCCGTCCCCACCCCCACCCACCCACCTCCCGCTTCCTCCTCCTGCTCGCTCTCCACTGTGTTACTGCATGCATACCACATCATTGGTTGCTGGCCGTGGCAGGATCGCATTCTGGATGCGTTTGTGAGCCGCTTTGGCACCCTCAAGGAGAGCGTTGAGTCGGTGAGCTTGCATGCACCCGTGCTCACGCACACGCACTCACACCCACCCACCACACATACAGACACGCCTCTCTGCTTGCCTCGTTCTCCCTACTCTGCTGCGTTGCTGAGGCTCTTATGTCACTGTTTTGTGTGTGTGTGTGTGTGTGTGTGTGTGTGTGTGTGTGTGTGTGTGTGTGTGTGTGTGTTTGTGTGTGTGTGTGTGTGTGTGTGTGCGTGCGCATGTGTGAGTGTGTGCGTGTATGTGTGTGTGTTTGTGAGTGTGTGTGGGTGTGCATGAGCGCGTGCGTGCGCGAGTGTGTGCATGTGCATGGCAGCAGTTGATGGAAGAGGGAGGGGCGCCGGATGCAGCACCAGAAGAGCGCCGTAGTCTCAGAGCCCGGCTGGAACTGCCAGTGCAGGTCCGTGTGTGTGTGTGCCATAGCCCATGGCCCATAGCCCAGGGCCACTGCTCGCTCCGACTGCGCATCAGCCCATAGTTACCCACCCAACTGCCCTCTCTCCTTAGTCTAATTCTGCTCCTCTTCTGCCCACCTTTTCTATCTCTGGTGCTGCCTGTCCTGCTCCTTGTAAACCACTGGCGTCGGTGGTGTGCGATGATGTGTGGCAGAGTGCGTTGGCAGGCCATGTGGCCATGGACCATGCCAAGGAGGTGGCGGACTTCAAGCAGCTCATTCGCACACTCATCATCTGTAAGGCCAGGCCCAGCCCAGCCCAGCTTAGCTTAGCCACTTCACTGAATGTGCCCCAGCTGGTGCTGCTGTGGTACCACAGCATCTTGAGACCTCGATCCTTTGTTGCTAGTCGTCCTTGGGATCTGTCCGTTCCTTGTTGCCACGGAAGTCATTGTTAAAAATTTTCATTCCCGCATTGCCGTGCTCTCACCATAATCCCTGCCGCTCTGTATCCACGTGCCACCCCCCGTTGCGTCACCAGCTATGAAGAGTCTGCTGTGGAGCATAACGCACTTCTCGAATGCAGCACCGCAGCAGACACACCCAGCCATGCCCAACACGCCCCAGCTGTCAGGCAGCAAGGGCATGCGCCAGGAGGAGGTATGTGCCTCTTTGGGATTTGTTTGTCTTTTTAATAATAAATAATCGTTCACAAGGGCTTGCACAAGGAGGTGATGTTGAAAGGACCTCCAGGCACTGCTGCGGGCCTGGGTAACTAGGGTTTGCCATGCTTGGCTGGTTTTCATTCTGGTGTGAGCTGGGAGATATGATGCAGCGTATGTTTTTTGAGAATTCTAAAAAAAAAATTAGCTGGGGTTCTCTTGCCTCTCTCCCAAGCCATCAATGGAGGATCACAAATCTCTCAAGCCTCGTTATTTGTCGAGCTACCGCCTTTCTCTCTTGTACAACTCCCCCCGCTGTTCTTAAACCATTTCATTCTATCCAACACAACACTCCGCGTGCCGTGCGTGCGGGTCCGTGCGGCGCGGCCACCAGGTGCTGCTGGCGAGTGCGATGCTGCGCAGTGGAGTGCAGTGCCTGGCGGTGTTCAAGGAGAAGGAGGACGATGACACGTTCCTGCACTTCGCGTCCGTGTTCACAGTCATGGAGCCAAGGGACCTCATGGATATCTTCTCCCTCACCATGCCCTCGCTCTTCCAAGCGCTGCTCAACAACTCGCAGCTACTGCAGGTGGGTGGGTGGGTAGGGTGGGGGTAGGGGAGGCACTGCCTGCCTGCCTGCCTGCACTGCTCTGCAGCACCTCACTGACTCTTCGCTCGTCGCTGCTCCTTGTGTTCATGTGTAACAGTGGCCACACGCGGCTGTTGCTATAAGGTCTTGGTTCCCTGTGTTGTGATGTTCTGTGGTGTATACTCGCCTGTGTTGTGTAATATTCTCTCCTTTCCCCCCTTCCCGTTCCTATTTCCCGGCCCCTGCCTCCTTCCCTGCCTCTCTCCATTCGTCTGTCCATTCTGTCCGTCTCCCCCTCCGCCCGTTCCCTTCCTCCCTTACAGGTCTTTGCAGCGCTCCTACAGAACCACAAGGAGTGCCGCCACTTTGCCGAGGTACCTTTCCTGAGATGTCTCAAAAGTAGTAAGAAATCCTCTCCGGCTCTCCCCCCCCCCCCCCACACGCAGGTCTTTGCAGCGCTCCTGCAGAACCACAAGGCGTGCCGGCACTTTGCGGAGGTGCTCGCCAGCTTCCTCGTCACCTCGCGTCTGGACGCCCTCCGCACGCCCGACACGCCTGTAGCCGGCCTCGTGCAGCAGCTCTTCCGCCTGCTCTTTGGCGCCGTCGCCAAGTACCCCAACGACTGCGAGCGCGTGCTGCAGCCCCACATATCCGCCATAATGGACGCCTCGCTAAAAGCCGCCACGGACCTCGAGCGCCCGCACGCGTACCTGCAGCTGCTGCGCATGATGTTCCGAGCGCTCTCGGGGGGGCGATTCGAGCTGCTGTATCGGGAATTCGTGCCGTATCTCCTCCCCTGCACCAACACCATTCTCTCGCTGCTCGACGGGCCGTCCGGTCCGCAGCTGAACGACCTCCTGCTGGAGCTCAGCCTCTCTCTCCCTGCGCGCCTCTCCTCGCTGCTCTCCCACCTCCCGCGCCTCATGAAACCCCTGCTGATGGCCCTGCGAGGATCTGAAGAGCTGGTGGGGCTTGGGTTACGCACACTTGAGGTCTGGGTTGACTCGGTCAATCCAGACTTTCTCGAACCAGCCATGGCTCGTGTGCTTCCGGACCTGCTGCTCTGCCTCTGGTCGCATTTACGCCCGAAGCCGTACCCGTATGGCAGCAAGGCGCTGCAGCTGCTTGGGAAGCTGGGCGGGCGAAACCGGAGGTTGAAAGACCCGTTGGTGTTAGAGGCAAAGGAAAATCCGGAGCATGGGCTGCGGCTGATTCTCACGTTTGAGCCCAGCACGTCGTTCCTCGTGCCTCTTGACCGCTGCGTTCAGCTGGCGTACACTGCTGTCATGGCCGGCCCGCTTCCCCCCCCGCTGCCATCCCCAGGAGTTACAACAGCAGGAACTGGTGGTGCGGGCAGCGGAGGAGGAGGAGCAGCAGCCGCAGGAGGTGCAGGAGGAGGAGGAGGAGGAGGAGCAGCAGGGGGTGGTAGCGGTGCAGCTGGTGCTGCAGGGCCAGGCACGATGGGTGGGCAACCGCAGCAGGGGCAGGGGCAGCAAGGGCAGCAGGGGCAGCAGGAGCAGCGAGGCGTGCAGGCAAAGGCAGAACCGCAGGAAGGGAAGGCCGTGGAGGTGAAAACAGAACCAGGGCAGGCAGGGAGCACAGGCGGCCCCAGCAGTGGGCAGGGCGCTGCTGCTAGCGGCCCTGCTGGCCAATCCACCACCTCAGCATCCTCCCGTTCGTCCTCCAGCCCCTCCTCCTCTGGTGCTATTCCCACGCCTCTCGGGACCTTTTCCTCCTCCTCGCCCTCCTCCTTCTCCAACCCGACCCTCTCGCTGCACCTGAGGCGACAGTCGCTGCGGTTCCTGCGAGTGTGCCTGCTGTCGGTGCTGAACCTGCGGGGGAATGTGGATCATGAGACGGGGATCAGCGCGCAGCAGCTGGCCTCTCTGCTGCTGTCTCCTGCTGATCGCAGCAGGCACCGGGTGGAGTTTGCTGCTCCGAAGGTCAGTTGCAGTCAGTAATCTTTATCACTAATCAATCGGTATTTTGTTTTTAGGCGCCTTAGAAATGGTGTTATTAGGCCTGCTGCTCTTTATCCTTTGCTGTTGGGCGATTGGTGGATGAAAATTTTGCTGGGCTATCTGTAAGTGAAGCTGAGTGAAAGCACACAGCACACAGCAATGGCCATTGGCGCTGGTGGTGCTGCTGTGTCATGTCAGCAATACCGTCACTACTGCTGCTTTTGAAACTTCTGCTATTGGGTTTTTCTTCTTGTGTCGCCAACAGGTTGACATTGGGGCGAAGACAAAGACTCAGCTGCAGGCGGAGCGAGCACTGTTCAAGCAGCTGCTCTGTGCTGTCATCGCTTCCTCCTCTCAACCAGAGCTCCAGGTGTGAGAGTTTGCAAGTCTCATAGTCGCAGTAATTGCAGTTGCAGTCATATTCACAATCACAGTCACTGTCAAAATCACAACCAGCCAGCACACGTGTCTCAACTCACCTTGTCATGATGTCCCTTGGGATGGGATGGGATGGGACTTGTTCGTTTGTTGTTGTGTGTTATGCCCCCAGGATCCGGACGAGGAACTGGTTATCAACATCTGCCGCCACTTCGCCATTCTCTCCCACCTTGACAACAACCAAGCCAACACACCCCTTGCAGCCCCCAGTGCCACCACTGGCACCACACCTCCTCCTGCTGCCTCTCCCGCCGCCACTGTTACTGCTGGGCCTAGTTCTGCAGGCAGGGCAGGGGGTGGAGCAGGGAGTGTGTGGCAAAGAGGAGATGCGAGCGCTACTGATGAGGTGATGGGGGATGCCACAGCGAACCAGAGCGGACAGCAGCAGCAGGGAGGCATGGCGAGGAAGAGAGGCAGGGAGGAGGAGGAGGCAGGCAAGGTGAAGCAGGAAGCGATGGAGGTGGATGGGAGGGGTCCGGTAGCGGGAAGGGCCGTGGCAGTGGGGAAACCTGCTGATGGAGAGGGCGGGGAGCAGGATGGGCCTGATAGGAAGCGGCGCTTGGTAGGGCAGCAAGGGGGTGCGGAGGGTGCGCAGCAGCAGGTGGCTGTTCGGCCAGCTGCTGCTGCTGTTGCTGTGCCAGCAGCAGCGCCAGGAGCAGCACCAGTGGCGGTGGCAGTACCAGCAGCAGCAGCACCAGCAGCACCAGCAGTACCAGCGGCGGCGGCTGCGGCGGCGGCAGTGGCAGTGGCAGTGGCAGCAGGGAAGGCGTCACCGTCAGGCATTGCTGTGCCAGCAGCGGCACAGAGCAAAGGTGTGGCTGCCTCGCCCCAGAAAGGCCCAGCAATGGCACCCCCGAGAACAGGACTAGCTCTTGGCCAGCAACAACCACTGCAGCAGCAGCAGCAGCAAAGACAAGCACCGACACAGGCACAGGCACCGGCACAGGGACCGGCACAGGGACCGGCACAGGGAGCGGCACAGGCATCGGCACAGGGACAGGGGCAGGGGGTTCTTCCACCAGGAGTGGTGGTGGCGAGGCCACAGGGGGTGTTGCCTCATGCACAGCCGGCAGTGGGGCAAGCTCAGCCTGTGCAGCAGGGAGCAGTGAGACAGACGATTCAGGGGCAGGCTCAAATGCCTGGTGTTGCACAGGCAGCTGTAGCGCAGCCAGCTGCAGGGCAGGCAGCTGTGGCAGGTAAAGCAGCACCGGTAGCACCAGCTTTAGCGGCACCAGCAGCGAAGGCAGCCATAGCAACACCAACAACTTCAACTGCTTTAGCAGCACCTGCGGCTGTAGCAGCACCTGCGGCTGTAGCATCACCTGCAGCTGTAGCAGCTCGTGCAGCTGTAGCATCACCTGCAGCTGTAGCAGCTCGTGCGGCTGTAGCATCACCTGCGGCTGTAGCAGCCCCTGCGGCTGTAGCATCACCTGCAGCTGTAGCAGCTCCTGCAGCTACAGCATCGCCAGCCACAGCAAGTAGGGCAGCGGTGGCAGGTATACCAGCTCTGGCTGTCCTTCAACTGGGGCAGGCTGCAGTAGCAGTGGCAAGCGCACAAGTGGCTAGACCCTCACAGGTGAAACCAGCAACGGCCCCAGGGAAAGGTGCTGGTGTGGTGGCAGCTCCAGTGGCCGCTCCTGTGCAAGCATCAGCACAGGGACAGGCGCAGATTCAGACACAGGCACAGGCACAGACACCGCAGGCACAAACACCAAGTACAAAGGTACAAGAGGAGGGACAGTCCGGACAGAGCAGACAGAGCACAGGAGCTGAGACCAAGGGAAGTGAGTCCAGTGAACATTTGGCCGCACAGGGGACCCAGGTGCAAGTGAGCAAGGCCACTCAGTCAACGGCTGAGGAGAAACCCAAGGAAAGCGTGGTGGTGGAAGAAAAGGGTAAATCTGCAGGGGAAGCAGATATAGCAGGGCAGAGCAAAGAGGGAGGTGGAGGGGTTGAGGAGGGGAAGAAGACGAGTGGAGTCAGTGAGGTTGGGCAAGGGAAAACTAATGCTGAGGGTGAGGAGAAGGAGAAGGTGGACGAGGGAGGTAAGGACAAAGTAGAGAAGATGGAGGAGGGCAAAAGTGAAGGGAAAGGAGGGCAAGGTGATGGAGAGAAAAAGGAGACGGTGGATGGTGGTACGTCTGATAAAGAGGAGCGGGAAAAGGCTGTGGCAGGGGATGTGAAGCAGAGTGGAGAGAAGGCAGGGGAGGGTGGTGCTGCAACAGCGGCGGTAGCTGCTGAAGTGAAGCTGGAAGATGGCCAGGACAAAAAGGAGGAGGAGGAGAAGGAGAAGAAGGAGAAGGACGAGAAGGAGGAGAAGGAGGAGAAGGAGAAGGAGAAAGAAACGGAGAAGGTGAAGGAGGAGGGGGATAAGGAGAAGGAAAAGAAGGAGGACAAGGAGGGCGCAACGAAAGGTACTGGTGGGGCAGTGGAAGATGCAGAAGTGACGGTGGAAGGAGAGGGTGCTGAAAAGGGCTCTTATGCTGCTGCCACTGCTGCATCTGCCGCAGCTGACTCAAATGTTGAAGGAAAGGAGACAGGGGCAGGAGATGCGAAGGACGGAGGGGTTGGTACGACGGATAGTGTGAAAGTTGAAGGGACGGGAGAAGGTAGGGATGGTGCAGGAGGAGAGGCTGTGGCAGGAAAGGTGGTGGCAGGTGAAGCTGTTGCAGGAAGGAAGAAGCAGGAAGGGGAGGTGGAGGAGGGACGCGAGGGCACAGAGCGCATGGCAGTAGATGCGAAGGACGCTAAGGGTGAGAATGAGGGTAGGGACCAGGTGGGAGGGGAGGTGAGGAAAACTGGTGATGAAAAGGAGGGTGGGGGAGGCGTGGGAGAGGTGAAAGGAGAGGCGGGCAAGGGGGGTGGAGGAGGAGAGAGCGGGACGGAGAGGGGAGAGGAGCAGGCAGGGAAGGAGGTTGAGGAGGTGAAGTTGAGTACAGAAGAGGCTACTGTTGAAGGAGTGAGTGGGGCGGGTGGTGAAACAAGGGAAGCTGGTACAGGAGAGAAGGGAGACGTGGAGATGGAGGAAGGGAAGAATGAAGTAGTAGAAGGTGAGGGGGGGAAGGGCGAGGGGGATAAGGTGGAAGAGGGTACTGGGGAGGGGGGAGAGAAGGGGGGTAAGGAGGAGGAGGCTGTTGCTATGGATGTAGAGACAGAGGGGAATGCGGTGAGTGGAGCTGAGGATGCTGGGACGGCTCCAGTGGAAGTGAATGAGACAGGGAAGGAGGAGAAAGAGGAGAAGGAGAAGGGGGAGAAGGCGGAGAAGGCGGAGAAGGCGGAGGTAACACAGGAGATTGGAGCAGAAGCTATGGAAGTGGAAGTCGAGAATGTGGAGGCAGGTGAAGTGAGGAATAAGAAGGCGGAGGAAGGGAAGGAGGAGGGGGAAGAGGAGAAGGAGGGGGAAAATGAGAAGGAGGGAGAAGGGGAGAAAAAGGGGGAAGGAGAGAAGGAGGCTGTTGTAGAAGGAGAGTGCGAAGCAGGGGATGGGAAAGCTGGTGGGGAGGCTGAGAAGGTTGAGATGAAGCAGCAGGGTTGTGATGAGGGAAAGGATGAGAAAGCAGAGGAGGAAAAAGATGGGAAAGAGGGAAATGAGGGGAAGGAGGAGAAAGAGGAGAAAGCAGAGAGAGAGGAACAGGGGAAGGGGGGTCAAGGAAAGGAGACAGAGGATGGAGAGAGAGTGAAGAGCTCAGAGGAGGAGGAGAAACATGGAGAGGAGGGGGCGAGAGGTGGTATTGCGACAGGGCAAGAGGAGGCAGCTGCAGGCATGCAGGTGGAAGGGGAGGGTGAGGGGGATGGGGCGGGGAAGGCAGGCAAGGGGGATGCAGAGGGAGAGGCAGGTGAGGAGGGGATAGTGCAGGAAGAGAAAGTTGAAGCGAAGATGGTAGTTGAAGAGGAGAAGGCAGAGGAGGGTGCAGGGGAAGAGGAGAAGGCTGGTGAGCCGAAGGCTGAGGGGGTTGTGGAGGGCGAAGGAGAGGAGAAGGGCAATGAGAAAGAGAGTGAGGTAGAGGCACAGGGAGGGGATGCGCGGCAAGAGGAGGAGAGAGGAGGAGAGGCGGCAGTGGAGGGTGGTGCAGGCGAGGAGCACACACATGGTACAGAGGCAGCAAAGCAGGAACCGGAGGAAGGTGGAGGAGAAGCGAGAGCAGAGAAGTTGGAGGGAGAGGGGAAGGGAGAGGAGGGTGATGCGGAAATGGGGAAGGGTGAGGAGGGCGATGGAGAAGTTGCTGCAGTGGAGGCAGGGGGGGATAAGGCGGAGGGAGGGAAGGAGGGCGAGATGGAGGTGGAGGAGGGAGGGCGGCGTGGGCCTGAGGGGCGGGAGAAGGGAGAGGGAGGCCGGGAGGAGGAAGGTGTGGAAGTGGGAGAGAGGCAAGGTGATCCTGTGGGTGCTGCGGATGAGAAGGAAGAGAAAGTGTTGGAGGAGCAAGGGATGGAAAAGGAGGAGGGGAAGGAAAAGGAGGGGGGGGATGCTGAGGGGGAAAAGAAGGATAGTGCGGATGGTGGTGTGGTCGAAGTAGAGACAGGTAAGTCGGGCGAGCAGCAGGAACAGGAGGAGCAGGGCGGACAGGGGGAGCAGGGAGAGGAGCAGGGTGGAGTTGATGGTAAGGAGGGGTTTGAGGAGGGGCACGAGGGTGGGAGTGAAGGGAGCGGGAAGGAGAAGAAGGAAGGTGAAGAGGGTGCAGGTGCTGAGGGGATGGGTGAAGAAAGCAAGGCGGAGGGGGGTGATGAAGGTGGTGCAGAGAAGATGGGTGATGTGGAGAAGGACGGTGTTGAGGGGGGAGAGGTGGGAGAGGGTGGGGCAGGAGATGGCGAGGAGAAAGGCGAGCATGAGGAAGAGAAGGGAGGTGAGGGTGTAGCTATGGAGGTGGATGCGGCTGGAGGGGAGAAGGAGGATGGTGGAGAAGAGAAGACAAAGGATGCTGTTCCTGCTGCTGCTGCTGCTGGAGGAGCAAGGTAAGGTGGAGCAGGAGGAGGAGGGGAGAGACGATGGAGGACAGCAGGACGATAGTGTGACAGGAAAGGAGGTGGCAGAGGTGAAGGCGGGAGGAGCAGCTGATGAGACAACTGGTGCCGCAGCTCCTGATAAGGCGAACGAGGTCGAAGAGAAGACAGAAGGGACAGGGAAAGAAGGGACAGCAGAGCTGAAGGAGGTGAAAAAAGGGGAAACGGCAGAGGGGGAGGAGCCAGCGCAGGGTGCAACGAGGTTGGAGAAGGGAGAGGAGGGAGTGGAGAAGAGAGTGGAAGCAGAGGCGAAGGGGAGTGAGGAGGCGGAGGCTCGTGAGGAGGACAAGGGTGTGGCGAAGGGCACGGGTGATGAGGGTGCAACGGGAGAGGGTGCAGCAGAAGGTGTTAAGGACAAGGAAGGCCCTGATGCACAAGGGTCCGTAAAAGGAGAGAGTACGAAGGAAGGGGCAGCCGTTACAACAGATGCAGCTGTTGCAGAGGTGGGAGTGGTTGCAGAGGTTGCAGCGACAGGGGATGGGAAGGGTGACGGGAAGAAAGACGAGGGGAGTGCAGAGGGTGGAAGGAAGGAAGGTGAGGGACTGGACGGTGGAAAGGGGGAAAGCGGCCAAGCAAGGGGAGAGGAGAGCAAGGAAGTGAAGGGCGGTCAGGTGGAAGAGGTGGAGGGTAAACGGCTCCAGGAGGAGGGAGAGAAGAATGTAGGAGAGGAGGCTGAGGAGCAGCGTAGGGATGGGCCAGATGGTAAGGCGGATTCAGAGAAGCAAGTAGCTGATGGAGGGGCTGGTGGTGGTGGGGGTGAGTCAGGTGGTGGTGGGGGAGAGGCAGATGGTGGGAAGCAGAAGGAGTCTGCGGGGGAGGAAGGGAGCGTGGTGGGTAAGGGTGGAGAGCAAGAGGGGGTGGCGGAGGGGAAGGAGGTGAAGGAGGAGGTGGGTGTAAAGGGAGAAGAGAAAGACAGTCCTGCAGGTGCATCAGGAGACAGCGGTGGGAAGGAGAAGGCTGCAGTAGAGGCGAACAAGAAAGGTGCGGATGAGGGGAGAGTAGTGGCTGAGGTGAAGGAGGAAGAGAAGGGCCAGCAGATACAGGCAGCAGCGGTTCAGTGCAAGCCAGAGGAGACAGGCGCTGCTGCAGGCACGGTGGCAGAGGAAAAGGCGGGAGTGGTGAAGGCAGGAAAGGAACAAGAGGCGGGAGCAGGTGGGGTTGCAGGAGAGAAGGAAGTTATTGATAAGATGGAAGTGGATTCAACAGGTGCTGGGGCAAAGGTGGAGGCAGCAGAAGGGAAGGCGGGTGGAGAGGGAGAGGGGCAAGATGTGAAGATGGAAGATGTAGGAGAGGGAAGTAAGGAGGTGAAAGCTGAGCAGGTGGTTGCGCCGCAGCAATCACCTGTCAAACCTGTGCAAGGCCAGCGGCAGCCGGCACAAGCACAGCAGCCTGTGCAGCCGCCATCGGCAACACCTGTGGCACCCACACCGTCACCGCCATCGGTACCAACCCCAGCAGCATCCGCAGTGCAGCCAGCGCAAATCGTGCAGAAAGCACAGCTAGCATCAGAGGGGCCTAAACAGCCGCCGCCACAGCAGCAGCAGCAGCAGCAGCAGCATGGTGGCACAGCAAGGTACGGTGGTGCAGCAAGGTGGAGGCGCAGCAGGGGCACAAGGTGCAGTGCAGCAAGCGGCAGGGGCACTAGTTTCTCCTTTGCAACAGCCCACTCCGGTTGTGACAGCACAGCCACGGCCACCACCAGCACTGCAGCAGCAGCAGCAGCAGCAGCAGCAGCAGCAGCAGCAGCAGCAGCAGCAACAGCAGCGGGTGACCCAGGCACAGCAGCAGGCGCAAGCAGGGGTAACACAAGGTGCAGCAGGGGAGAAGAAGGTGTTAAGCACACAGCCGGCAGGGGCCCATGCGGCAGGCGCAGCGAAAGCAGAAGCAGTGCAGACTAGCCCTGGGACAGTGGGGCCGCAAACCACTGCAGTAGGCCAAGCACAGACGCAAGCACAGGCGCAAGCACATGCGCAAGCTCAGGCGCAGGGACGGGGACTGGCACAGGCACAGGGACCGGCACCGGCACAGACACCGGCACCTCCGCAAGGCGTGAGTCGGCAGATACAGCAGGGCCTAGCAACTCAGGCTCCTGGTTCTGGCCAAAGCCCCTCACAGTCCACCCAAAGCCCCGCACAACAACAACCCACTCAAAGCGCTGCACAGCCCACGCAAGGTGCTGCTCCGGTTGATTCGCGGGTGGCAGTGCCTGGGCGGCAAGCAACGCAAGGAGGGCAAGGAGTGCAAGGAGCACAGCAACGAGCAGCTGTGCAGGTTCAGCCAGCACCGCAGCAGCTTGCCGGTCGGCCTTCTCAGGGCCAGTTGGTGCCAGCTCAGCAGCAACAGCAGAGACAGCAGCCACAGGCGCAGCCGCAGCTTCAGCATCAGCAGCAGCAGCAGCAGCAGCAGCAGGCCTCGCAGCAGCAGCAGCAGACGCAGCAAACGCAGCAGACACAGCAAACACAACAGCAGCAGCAGCAGTCCTCGCTACGAGTCCTAGACCCCATCATCTTCATAGACGCACTCGTATCCGTGCTCATATCAGAAAACAGAGCGCACGCCCGCGCTGCCGTCGCCGCCCTCACCTCCTTCACGGACTCAGTCATTCTCATGGCGCGCTGCCGCCAGGCTGGCACCGCTATCCCTGCCGTGCTCCCCACGCCGGGCACCCCGGGAATGGTTTCGTCCCCGTCCATGAATGTGGTGGCGCCGGCGCCTCCGGGTTTGAGTGTGCCGGTGCTGGAGGAGCTGCTGTCGCGCCTGCTGCACTGTTGTTATGGGCTGACGTGGCACGAGCAGATTGGCGGGGTGATGGGGCTGGGTGCGCTCGTGGGCAAGGTGCCTGTTGACATGCTGAGCCTCTTTCAGGTGATCCGGGAGTGATGCGTGCTTTCGTGCCTGCCTTTCTTGCTTTGCCTGCCCGCCTGCCTGCACGTTGCACCCCTTGCACCGCTCTTTGTTCGGCGCGGTACGCCTTGCGTTATTATTGACGAGAATGCAGCACAGCGTCTCGCGTGTAATGTCCCCACTTGGCCCAGTTACCCCACCCATCTGTGTGCCCCTCCTCATCTCCCCACCGCCCTCCCCTTCCCTCCCGCCTCCCCCGTCCAGTCCCGCATAGTGCGTGCTCTTCTCTTTGTGCTTCGAAGATTACCCCAGCACTCGGTCCGGGAGCACGAGGAGACAACCCACGTGCTCACCCAAGTACTACGAGTGGCCAACAGCATGGACGACACGGCATCAGAGGAGCGCACAGCAAGCTTCCGCTCCGTGCTGGAAGTGCTAGCAGTGGAGCTGTTCAACCCCAACTCGCCCGCCATTGTGCGCAAGAACGTGCAGGCCAGCCTGGCGCTGCTGGCGTCACGCAGGGGCTCTGAGGTGTCGGAGCTGCTGGAGCCCACGTACCAGCCGCTGCTTGCTCCGCTGCTCAGCCGTCCGCTGCGGTCCCGTCACGTGGAGCAGCAGGTATGTGCATGCGTGGGTGCGTGCATGTGTGCACTTGTGTGTGAATATGTGCGTCGATGTGTACGTACGCGTGTGAGTGTGTGCTGCCTGCAAGCAGAGTGTCGCTTTGACCTGCATAGCGGCCTGCCTTCCTGTATATGCTTACACATCTCGGGTGCTGTATGGCAACAGATCGTACACGTCTTCCCCCCACAACCACTCCTCTTTCCCCTCTTTGCGCAACCCCCCTCGCCCCCACCCTCCTCCTCATCTCTCCTCTCTCCCCTCTCCTCCCCCCTCACCCCCTAATCCCAGGTGGGCACGGTCATGTGTGCCAATTTCTGCCTGGCCCTCCGCCCGCCGCTCCTGCGCCTCACCCCGGAGCTCCTCACGCTCCTCCAAGACGCCCTCAGCGTAGCAGAGGCAGACGAGGCGGTGCTCCACGCCAAGTTCCTCACAGGCCGGCAAGCCGCCGTGCTCACGCGCCTCCGCTCCGCGTGCATCGAACTCCTCTGCACCGCCATGGCGTGGGACGAGTGCAAGGCGCCCGGCCACGCGGACATGCGGTCGCGCATCATTGCCATGTTCTTCAAGTCGCTCACGCTGCGCACGCCCGAGATTGTCAGTGCGGCCAAGGAGGGTCTGCGGCAGGTGATCATGCAGCAGCGTCTGCCCAAGGAGCTGCTGCAGTCCAGCCTGCGCCCCATCCTCGTGCACTTCGCCCATTACAAGTCCCTCAACCTCCCGCTGCTCCAGGTATGATATGATATGCCTCCTTCCGTCCCCTCTACTTCACCCGCTTCTCTTTGTTTTCCAGTTTGACCCCCTGCGCCACAAATTCTTCCGAATGTTTGCCAGTTTGACTAGTTCCTTCTCACCCTCCTTCCACCTGTGACTCGCACGCACAGGGCGGCTGCTGGAGCTGCTGTCCAACAACTCTGGGCGACAAGCTCAAGATCTCTTGAAAGACGTCTCAAACGGCCCCCTTCACTGCCCCTTCCCCATCTGCTTTCTCCGTCCACCCATGTCTTGCACAGGGCCTGGCGCGGCTGCTGGAGCTGCTGTCCAACTGGTTCAACGTGACCCTGGGCGACAAGCTCAAGGACTACCTGGCGAAGATGCTGGAGCCTGACAGAGGCCCCGCGCAGGGGCAGAGAGCGTGGCGGCCAGGGGAAGAGCCCAAGATTGCTGCTGGTGAGCGTGCCGTGCACTGCCTTGCTTTGTATTGTGCAGCAGTAGGCCCCGCCCCGGTGCTATCCCTTGGCCGGTTCTTCCCAAAACCCTTCTGTCTCCTGCCTCCCATCTCCTGCCTCCCATCTCCTGCCTCCTATCTCCTGCCTCCCATCTCCTGCCTCCCATCGCCTGTCTCCTGTCCCTGCTATCCAGCTTTATTCCCCTTGCTGCTGTCCCTGCCTCACGCGTACCTGTAACCCTCCTCTCCCACACACCCTTCCCTCCGTTTTCCCCACTCCATCTATCATCCCCTTCTGCCATCCACAGCGATCCTGGAGCTATTCCACCTGCTGCCATCGCAAGCCGTGAAGTTCCTAGACGACTTGGTCCACCTCTGCATGCAGCTGGAGGCCGCGCTCCCGCCAACCTCCCTGCTGTCCGACCTCAACTCGCCGTACCTGCAGCCGCTCACCAAGTTCCTCAACCGCTACGCGCACGAGTCCGTGGATTATTTCCTCGCGCGCCTCAGCCAGCCGGCCCTCTTCCGCCGCTTCCTCGCCATTATCCGGTCGGACACAGGCGTGCCGCTAAGGGAGGAGCTAGCGCGCTCGCCCAATAAGATCATTGCTGCTGCTTTCCGGTCCGTTGCGCCGTCGCTGGGGCTCACAGACCTGCCTCAGCCCGCCCACCCGCTCACTCCCGCCCAAGGTGGGTGAGATCGTAGCCATCTTTTGAGAATTCTCAAGGACGCAGTCTCCAGTCCTGTCTATGGCCATGCCATCGCCTGCGCTTCTTCCCTCCCTCCCCCTTCCCTTTCCCCCCTCCCCCTTGCCTTTCCCCCCTCCCACCTCCCCTAACCCCATTTTCCCTCCTCCTCCCCATCCCCTTTTTCCTCCCATCCCATGTACTGCTTTTCTTTTCCTCCTGCTTGCACTTCCTTTCCTGCCACTGCCCTCTTCCATCCCTGACCACCAACCCACCCCCCTCTCCTCCCTCCCTCATCTCTCTCCCTTCCCCCTCCCCACCCGCATCCATCCACTGCTTTCCTCTCTTCCCACTTGCTCCCATGTGGTGGTTGGTGCGTGCAGAGGTGGAGGTGCAGATGAACGGGATAGCGCTGGTGCGAGCGCTGGTGAAGCTGCTGCCGGACTGGCTGGGAGGGCAGCGGCAGATCTTTGAGGCGCTGCTGCACCTCTGGCACTCGCCCGCACGCAAGCAGAGGCTCATGCGCGAACAGGACCTGCCGCTGCACATGGTGGGCTATGGGCATGCCTGGGTGCATGCTGCATTTTCTGTTGTGTGTGGCGCATGCTGCATGCTGCATTTTGTGTTATTCTTGATGCATAGTGGATGGTGTGTGTACGGTGCATTACGCATTGTGTGTGGTGCATGGTGCATGGCGCTTGGTGTGCATGGGTTGTCATCTCGTGCTGGCGATTGCGCCTGTTGCTTGGTAGGGAATGCTCGTATCAAAGACTCCAAGTCCTCTTATCTAAGCACATGCGTGCATCTGCTGGTGCTGCATGTCATGTCATGTCCTGGAAACATAAGGCAGGCTGAACTGAAGTCTGTTTGGTGTGTGCGTGGGCATGGCGTTGCTTGGTGAATGTGCGAGGCCCCCATGTGTGTGGATTGCACATGCGTATGTGCGGGAGGGAGAGGGGGAAGGGGGGCGGGGGAGGGAGGGGGTTCTGAACTGCGGGACTGGGGGGCTGGGGGGGTTGGGGATGGGTGGAAGCGAGTGGTCATGTATGTGGGGGTGTGTGTGTGTGTGGCTGAGTGACTGTGTGCTGAGCAGGTGAAGGAGAGCAAGTGGCTGGCCAAGTGTTTTCTCAACTACGTGAAGCACAACCGGGAGGAGGTGGACGTGTTGTTTGCGCTGCTCGCCATCTTCCGCCAGCGCACGCGCATCGACTACACCTTCCTCAAGCGCTTCTTCATGCTCCAGGTCCGCTCCGCCACTCCTGCTCCCATCCCATGATCTGCCTCGTGACTTTTCAGAAGTTGCACAACGCCTCAGCGCATTCAGTATTGCCACTTGCGCAAGTAGGACGGCATGCATCATGTGTTGGTGCTGCGGTGGCTTGTATTATCAGCAGTATGACGCCGTCTCTGTGTGTGTGCTTCGGTGGGACGGCTCCATATGGAAAGCATCCCACCCTGATGCTTACTCCACTCCTCTTCATCCCCCTCCTTCTTCTCTTGAATTCGCGACTCCTCCTCCCAACCCCTCCCCTCCCCGGTCCACCCCCTCAGCTCCCAGAGACGTACACACCGCAGCAGCGCAAGCTGGTTCTCCTGCGCTTCCTCGTGCTGTACCAGGGCGGAATCCTCACTAACCCCGCACAGCCGCCAGCAGGCCAGGCAGGGGGGCAGGCAGCAGGAGCAGCAGGGGCAGCAGGGGCGGGGGCAGCAGGAGGAGCGGTGAGCCAGGTGATGCCGGCAGCGCACCAGGAGGCGATGGTGACGGCGCTGCAGCTGCTCATCATACCCATGCTCTCGCACTCCCTCAGTCACGGGCAAGGCCCTGAGCTGCTGGATGCTACTGTCATCCGCACCATTGTCGACCGCTTGCTCGACCCGCCAGAAGAGGTGAGGGCCCGAGGGGTTACACGGGGTAGAATGGATGGAGAGGAGGGAGGAGGGTGGGCGGGTGGGATGAGAATGATTGGGTTTTGGAAGAAGAGAAAGGTGGGTTTGGGAGAGATTGATCATAAGCTGGGGGGTGGGGTTTGAGGGGTGTTCTGTGTTGTGGTTTAGGGTTTAGGGTTTAGGGTTGGCTTTGTGTTCTCTCTCTCCGCTCTTTCTGTATCCCTCACACGCGCACGCAAGCACACAGACACACACACACACACCAACGTCACACACCTGATTACCCTACCCCTGCCTCCTCCCGCTTTCTCCCCTTTCCACCCCCCCGGCTCACGCCTTCTTTCTCCCTCGTCCCCATTCCAGCTGAGCGCGCAGTACGACGAGCCGCTGCGGATCGAGCTGTTGCAGCTGGCGACTCTCCTCATCCGCCATACGCCCAACGAGCTCAAACTGCACCGGCGCGAGCTGATCAAGTTCGGGTGGAACCACCTGAAGCGCGAGGACAGCAGCAGCAAGCAGTGGGCCTTTGTGAACGTCTGCCACTTCCTCGACGCGTACCAGGCACCGGAGAAAATAATCCTGCAGGTGTTTGTTGCGCTGCTGCGCGCGTGCCAGCCGGAAACCCGGCTTCTCGTGAAGCAGTCGCTCGACGTGCTCATGCCGGCTCTCCCCAACCGGCTGCCTCAGGGGGATCAGAAGATGCCGCTGTGGATTCGCTACACCAAGAAAATCCTGGTGGAAGAGGGATACTCAATCGCGCACCTGGTGCATATTTTCCAGCTGATTGTGCGCCATGCAGATCTCTTCTACCCCTCGCGCGCCCAGTTCCTGCCCCAGATGGTGCACTCGCTGCAGCGCCTCGCGCTGCCGCTCAACAGCTCTCTGGAGAATCGGCGCCTGGCAGTGGACCTTGCTGGGCTCGTGGTGAACTGGGAGAAGAAGCGCCGCGGCAACGAAGCTGCTGCCACCGCCGCTGCCGCCGCCGCTGCTGCTGCTGCTGCTGGTGCTGGTGGTGGGGCAGCGGGTGCTGGTGGCGCGGGTGGCGAGGGCGGCCAAGGGGGAGCAGGAGCCAAGATGGTGCTAGGGGGGGGTGAAGAGAAGGAGGAGGGAGGTGGTGGTGGTAAGCGGATGAAGGTGGAGGAGGGGCATGTGGTGAGGCCAGGTGCTGCAGCAGCAGGCAGTGCACCCGGTGCAAATGCAGCAGCAGGAGCAGCAGGGGACGATGATTTCCGGCTGCACACGGGCATGGAGGACATGGTGCTCAATTTCTTAATCCGCTTCGCATTCGTGTCGGAGCCCAAGGACAAGGACACCACGGCGCTGCACCAGCAGGCGCTGCAGCTGCTGGAAGAGGCGCTGGAGCTCTGGCCCTGGGCGACCATCCGCGTGAATTACATCGAGCGCCTGCTCGCGCTACACCAGCAGCAGACAGCAGCCCAGCAGAAGGCCCAGCAGTCTGCTGCAGGAGAGGTGCGCACCGTGCCTCCCAGCAGTCTGAAGATTCTCTCGGAAAATGCCTACTCCACATGTCTCGTCCGTGCTCTTTTCTTTTCATGTGTTGTTCAAGCTTTTTTCTCTCCATGCTTTGTACAAGCTCGTTTCTTCTCAGGCCCTCTCCTTGCTGTCTCCACCTGCGCATGCCTTGTTCAAGTTCCCTGCCCATGCGGTGTCACCCGGCGTGATGTGATCTCCCCATGCCTCCTTTTTTCTCGGTCTGTGTGCCTCAGGGTGGGGACGGCAGTCAGCAGGGGCAGGTAGGAACAGGCAAAGCAGCGCAGGGCGCAGGAGCAGGGGCAACCAAGGACCTGTCACTGGCACTGCTGACAGGCATGGGGGTCATTGAGACGTGCTTGCGCAAGAGCCCCCTCTCCTTCCTCCGCCACAACTCCGTGCATGTGCTTCAGGTGCGGTTTCTCCACATGCTCTCTGCCAAGTTGCCAACCTCTCTCTCACCCTACCTTGAGGGTCCATAGGTGCTATGTTTTTTGCCTTCTCCATCTGCATTCATTGTGTGCCCTTCGCTGCCACCTACCATTATGTTCTGTTCACACACACAGCCTTTTCTGCTGCACTGGAGAAAAAGGTGTTGCCCTTTTCGTTGTTGCCTGCCTGCATGCTCGACTCGACTCTGCTCTCCCCCCGTGCAGATCATAGAGCCATGCATGAGGAGTCGCTCCAAGGAGGTCATTGCCTGCCTGTGCCGCATTCTCCGCACGCTCTTCTCTACCGCTGCCTCCCTCTCCCCTCCATCCGCCGCTCGTGGTGCTGCTGCCGCCGCTGCCGGGGGCACTGGCGCTTCCGCTTCCCCTGCTGCTCCCTCTCCTGCTGCTCCTGCTCCAGCTGCCGCTGCTGCAGCAGCAGCAGCAGCAGCAGCGGGGGGGGGGGAGGGGGCTAAGGGGCGAGAGGACGACCCAGCAGCAAAGGAGGTATATCTGGAGCAGGTAGCAGCAGTGGCGCAGAGGGTGGAGGAAGTGACACAGAAGCTTCTCATGTCCATTGTTTCCCCTCAGCCCTCCGCCTCAGGCGCTGCTGCTGCAGCACCTGGGCAAACTCCTGGTGCTGCTGGCCCAGGTGGTTCTGCTGCTGGCGCAGCAGGATCAGGAGCCATGCCACCGCCTCAGCAGCAGCAGCAACAGCAGGGAAGAGCGGGAACACCAGGTCTCCCTCCCTTGGCCTCCCGTCCTGGTGCTGCTGGCGCTGCTGGCATTGCACACGCGGCAGGTGCTGCCACACCCCAGGGAGGTGCACCTGGTGCAGGTACACCTGCTGGAGCGGCAGCTGGCATGGCCCGAAGTGCCACTCCCACTCTGCCTTCGGCTCCTTCTGCTCCGGCCGTTCTATCTGCCGCCAACAATGCGGCTATAAGAGCGTCGCTGGCAGTGCTGCACACACTGGCAGCAACGGAGCAGCAGCAGATAGTGGACCGGCTGCTGCCTGTGCTCGTGCCCACGGCCCTCCACCTCTCTCGCAGCATTGCTGCTGCAAGCCCCTCTGCCGGCTTGGTGCGTGCCAAATGCCGGCTGCCCGCCCGTCACACTGCTGGCTTGCCATCGCATTTGCTATCGTTGCCTTCTTTCGTGCAGCGCATGCTGATTCCTTCACATTCTCTATCGGGGCCCTTCCCTCTATCGCATGCGCATTCCTTCACACGCTTTCCTTCCTCTATCTGTTCCGTGTCTCCTGTCCGCGCTCCACTCATTTCCTCCCATTCCCATTCGTCATCCCCCACCCATCCCCATACTATCATGCTTCCAGACGGGAGATCCACAGGCGGATGAAGCAGCAGCGGGCGGGCGAGGGAAGCCACCCTCCCCAGGCCTGGCAGCCCTGGCAGGAGCAGGATCCGGCAGCTTCAGTGCCGCAGCAGCAGGAAGCGCAGCTGCGGGTGCAACTGCTGCTGGCAGTGGGGGTGCTGGTGGTGCTGGGGGGGGAGCAGGTGGGACAGGCGGGGCGGGCGGCGAGGAGGAGGGGCCGGGGTTGATAGCAGCAGGAGTGGATAATCTGTGTGACGCTCTAGAGCTTCTGGGGAGGCGTGTGCTGTATGTGACAGATTGCCGGCGCCAGTTTGGGCTGCTGCTGCAGAGCCTGCTCACGGACAGAGCCACGGACCCGGCTGTGCTGCTGTCGATTCTGGAGATTGTGTGCCGATGGGTGGATACAGAGTTCAGGTGCGCACTGCTGCTGCTGCTGCTGCTGCTGCTGCTGGCCGCGTGACCTGTAGGCATTTTTTCTGCACCATAGGATTCGTCTCACTTGCTGTCCATTCTGGAAATTGTGTGTCGATGGATGGATACAGAGTTCAGGTGCGCGCTGCTGCTCCCAAATGTGACTTCCCGTGACTTCCCCCTTTCCTCCCCATTCCCTCCCTTGGCACATTCACTCTCACGCACCCAATCCCACACCCACTCGTTCCCCCCCGCTTCCCTCCTTCCGTCCCCCCGCATCCCGCTTTCCTTTCCCCTCTTCCCCTCTTCCTTCCCCTGCTTTCTCCCTTCTCCCCCCCCCCCACCTTCCCCTTCCTTCCCCCGCCAGGGTGGCGGTGGTGAGGGGGGCGCAGCAGCAGGCGGAGCTGGTATACACGGGCATGCTGAACGCGCGCGACGTGGTCAACTTCCTGTACAAGCTCGCGCTCGTCACCAAGGAGCGCCGCCTCTGCCACCTCCACTTCGCGCCCTCGCGCTCCTCCCGCGCCTCCTCCGCTGCTGCGCTCGCTGCCTCCACCGACTCCCCTGCCCAGCCGACCGGGGTGAGTGGGGAGTGGGGGAATGGGGTGTGGCGCACAGGGGGAGAATGGGGGAATCGGGTGTAGGGCATTCGGGGAGGGGAGGGTGGGGAGGAGGAGCGGGGGGTTGTGGGTGGGGAGGGTGGAGGGGATTGGCTGAAGTTGGTAGTGAGCGAGTGGGGTGCGGGGGACCGACGGGCAAGGTACCGCACCGCACGAAATGATTAATGGGTGCGAACCTGTCATCACCTCTCATATCCTCTCATCACATCTCATTACCTACCATGCGTGCACTTGTCCCGTGCCCCCTCGTTTGGTCTGTGTTTCTCTTTCCCCCAGGCCCAACCCACTGCAGACTCCTCCTCAGGGTCACCGTCTGAGCCAGCGAGGGACTGGGAGGGCAAGTTCCTGGGCCTGCTCTACTCCCTCTGCTCCGATTCCTCCAGGTCACCCCTGCCTCCCTCCCTGCCTCCCTCCCTGCCTCCCTCCCTGCCTCCCTCCCTGCCTCCCTCCCTGCCTCCCTCCCTGCCTCCCTCCCTGCCTCCCTCCCTGCCTCCCTCCCTGCCTCCCTCCCTGCCTCCCTCCCTGCCTCCCTCCCTGCCTCCCTCCCTGCCTCCCTCCCTGCCTCCCTCCCTGCCTCCCTCGCGTCTTCCCACACCGCCTTCTGTTTCTTGCGCGCCTCCAATGCACACACTCCTGCCTCCCTTGCGTCTCCTCTAACTGCATTCCTACTGCTGCCCCGCATTCAGCTGGAAAAAGGTTCGAGAGCCAATTGCACTGCTACTGCTGCATCGCATCACCTATCAATCCCCAATAGGCAACCCTTCTCTCTCTCTCTCTCCAATCCAATCCAACCCCTCACCCCTAGAGCCTCGTCGCATCCGGCTGCCCGTCCATCCCCTTCCCTTCCCGTTCCACTCCCTCGTTTCACTCTCCCGCAACAACTCCTTCCTCCGTACTACAATGCTTCACAATTCCCGCCCTCCTTCTCCCCCTCGCTCGCTCTCTCCCACCCTCGTACACAACCCAACCCCCCCTTCCTCTCCTCCCTCCCCCCGTCGTTTTCTTCCCTCCTTATCACCAGGTACCCCACGCCCATCCGCCAGGAGGTCTTCCAGAAGGTAGAACGAGTCTTCATGCTTGGCCTGCGCTGACTTTTGAGTCGAATCAGAAGTCACCCGCCCCTGTCCCCCCTCTCTCCCCCCACACCCCTTCCTCCTCACCAGGTACCCCACGCCCATCCGCCAGGAGGTCTTCCAAAAAGTAGAGCGGGTCTTCATGCTGGGCCTGCGCTCGCGCTCTCCTGCCCTGCGCGCCAAGTTCTTCTCTCTCTACAACGACGCCATAGGGCGGCAGCTGTGCACGCGCCTGCAGTTCATCATCCACGGCCAGAGCTGGGAGGCCCTCGCAGACTCCTTCTGGGTCAAGCACGCGCTGGACCTGCTCCTTGCGATTCTCATCGATAAGGACAGCGTCACTCTTGCTCCCAACTCTGCGCAGCTGCCCCCGCTCATGCCTGCTGGCGGCGTGCCTCTCCACGCTGCCGTTGCTGCAGGGAGCTCCGGGGGAGTGTCCGGCGGCGGAGGGGGAGGAGGCGGGGGCGGGGGCGGGGGCGGGGGCGGGGGCGGGGGCGGGGGCGGGGGAGGAGGAGGGAGTGGAAGCGGAAGTGGTGCCGCGGAGGGAGGGGCTTCCGAGGAAGCAGAGGGCGGGCGGTTGTCATTCAACTCTCTCGTGGCAAAGCACACCAAGTTCATTAACGACTCGCTCCGCCTGCAAGTCTCCGACCTGCTACGCCCCCTCCAGGAGATGTCAGTAGAGGAGCCCATGGTGGCATACCACCTGTGGGTGCTGGTGTTTCCGATCGTGTGGGCGTCCCTGCACAAGGACGAGCAGGTGCAGCTGGCCAAGCCCATGATCGCGCTGCTGTCCCGGGAGTACCATTTCCACCAGCTGCACCGCCGCCCCAACGTCGTGCAGGCGCTGCTTGAAGGCATCAGGTGGGCCCCGGGCGCTTTTTAGAGTTCTTGAAATACCTGCTCTTCTGGTCTTCTGGTGTGGGTGGGGATCAGATCAGATCAGATCAGATCAGATCAGATCTGTGTTCCGTGCAATAGAGGGATTCTTCCAGTCCGGTCTGGTTACCTGTCCGCCGTTTTCCCACCTGTCTACTTATGGTGGACTCATCTATTGCCGCCACGTGCCCCGTGCCCTGTTGCGCAGTTTGAGTCAGCCGCAGCCGAAGATCCCATCGGAGGTGATAAAGTACCTAGGGCGCACGTTCAACGCGTGGCACGTGGCCATTCCGCTGCTCGAGAGCCACGTCTCCATGTTCCCCCAGGACGCCCGCTGCTTCGATGCCCTTGCGGAGCTCTACAGGTGTGCGGTCTTGTATCATCCTCATCATATATGTGCACCTCATGTGCGGGAGGGGAACATTGGGGAAAGCAAGGGGTGCGTCCCATATACACAAGGGAATGCAAGGGGTGGTGTGTGTCCAGGAAAATGCTTTGGGTTTTGTTTTTTGGGGGGGGGCAGTGAGGTGTTGCGATGCGAGCCAATCTCTCATGTGCTGTGCCATGCCGTTCCGATTGGCCCCTGTGACACTGTGAGATTGGCCCCCCGCACCGATGCTGCCCTGCAGGCTGCTGAACAACGCGGACATGGTGCAGACTCAAGGCAGCGCTGGAGACCCACGTGTTATTTTATGCCCCTCCAAAAACGCATGTTCACACTCCCGCCCTCCACTCATCCCATGCTGCACGGCACACACCTCCCTGCACGCTGCTGAACGACGCGGACATGGTGCACGGGCTGTGGCGCAGCCGCAAGACAGCACAGGAGATGCGACGCGCCTATAAAACACTCTCCTTTCCACCGCACCACTCGTCCTGCGCACCCCACACATTTTCCTACAGGCTGCTGAACGACGCGGACATGGTGCACGGGCTGTGGCGCAGCCGCAAGGCAGCGCAGGAAACCCACGTGGCGCTGGCCCTCCAGCAGCACGGCTTCTGGCGCGAGGCGCAGGAGGTCCTCTCCCGCGCCATGGCCCGCTGGCAGAACGGCTCCTTCACCAACCACGAAGTCAGCAAAGCCGAGGAGTCGCTCTGGGAGGAGCAGTGGCTGGCATCCGCCCGGCAGCTGTGCCAATGGGATGTATTATCAGAGTTTGGGCGCGAGGTGGATAACTACCAGGTGTTATTGGATGTGGAGTGGCGGCGGGGCAACTGGGCGTTGTTGAAGGAGACGGTGCTGCCGCGCGCGCAGGTGGAGGAGAGTCCGAGAGTGGCGATCGTGCGGGCGTACTGCAAGCTGCAGGAGGGCACGCTGGAGAGCATCCAGGAGGCGGACCAGCTCATCTCACTGGTAGGCGGGCGTTGGCAATCGCAGAAGGACTCTGGGCGGGTGTTGGGTTTGGGCGGGTTTTTTTGACGACTCAAAACCCGCTGCTGCAGGAGGGCACGCTGGAGAGCATCCAGGAGGCGGACCAGCTCATCTCACTGGTAGGCTGCGTACGTGGAAGAGGGACTTGGGGGGTTTGGGGGTTTGAGCGGGCAGGGCTGGTTGCAGAGGAGGGAATTCTTCATTGTCCAACAATGGCTTTATTCTTTTTTTTCTTTTTGTGTCCGTCTGGACCATTATTAAGGACAAGACAGACCCTCAAGACAGACCCTCATTGCCCACCTCCCGTGCCTCGTTCTCCTCTCCTGTGTTCCCTGCGCGCGCATTTAACAAACTGCTCTTGCCACATGCAGGGGGTGTCGTTAGCACTAAGCAGGTGGTGGCAGCTGCCGGTGGTGGGCGTGCAGCCGCACCTACCCCTATTACAACAATTCCAGCGTCTGGTGGAGCTGCAGGAGTCAGCACGAGTGCGCCTGGACATAGCAGCAGGCGCCAAGCACCACAAGCTCATGGCCATGCACGGCGGCTCACGCGACGCCGCCGCTGCAGCAGGTGCAGCAGGAGCAGGAGCAGGAGGAGCAGGAGGAGCAGGCGGGAGCGGCCCTGGGGGTGGGGCAGGAGGAGGGGCGGGGGCGTCGGCACCGTATGCGTTCACACAGCTCAAGGATGTGTTGGATACGTGGAGGATTAGAGTGCCCAATGAATGGGAGGAGGTGGCGGTGTGGAGCGACGTGCTGCAGTGGCGCAACCACGTCTACTCCTTCATAATCTCATCTCTTGAGGTACTGTTGCTATCCATCAACCACCAACCACTGCCCATATTTCCTCTCCCTTTTCCGCCTCCATTCCTTCTGTGTGTCTTGCATCCACCTCTCCTATCCTCCTCTCTTCTCTCCTCTCCGTGTCTCTCGCCTCACATCATGCCCCCGACCCGCACCTTCACACTGCCTCGTGCCTCATCGCCTCATGCAAAACTTTCCCCTTGTCCCGCCTCTCCCCCCCCCCCCCCACCCCACTCCCACCAACAGTCCCTGCCGGAAACCAGTCCCGACCTGCGCTCCCTCGGCTTCCGTGACAAGGCATGGAGCGTGAACCGCCTCGCCTCCGTCGCCCGCCACCACGGGCTAGGAAGCACATGCGTGCGCCTGCTCAACTCCCTCTACGGCTACATGACCATGGAAGTCCAAGAAGCCTTCACCAAGATCCGGGAACAAGTCAAAGCCTTCATGGAGATGCGGGAAGGCGGCGGGAAGCTACTTACAGGGCTGAACCTGATCAATGTCACGCGGCTGGATTACTTCCCGCAGCCGCTGCAGGCCGAGATATTCCGGCTCAAAGGCGAGTTTTTGCGGCGCATGGGCGATGGGGATGGCGCGCACGTGGCCTTCTCCACGTCGGTATCCCTGTGTAAGAGCTCGCCGAGAGGGTGGCTCAGTTGGGCGTGCTACTGCGACCAGGTGTGGCAGAGCACGGGCGTGGCAGTCTGGCTTGAGTACGCTGTAACCTGCTACTTCCAGAGCATCACCTACGGCTCGCCGCGCGGCCGCACGTTCCTGTCGCGCGTGCTATACCTGTTATCATTCGAAGATGGAGAGGGCACGGTGGCACGTGCCTTTGACAAGCATGCAGACAACGTGCCCAACTGGGTGTGGCTCGCCTGGCTGCCGCAGCTCCTGCTCTCGCTGCAGCGCCCCGAGATGCCTCATGCGAAGGCCATTCTCCTGCGCCTTGCCGCGTCCTACCCCCAGGTATGCATGCTGCCGTTTACCGCACAGGCACAGTGCACATGCGTCTACTGGCTCTCGACGCATCTGCTCTTCTCTCCTCCCTTGCTGCGCCACAGAAGCGAACCGATGCCTCTTTTCGTGGTTTCTTTCCTCGGGGTTCACAAAACAACCCATTCAACCAGATGGCTGGCCCACTCATCACTTGCTTGCTTCCGTGCTTTCTTCCCCTCCCGCGCTCTCTCCCTTGCACGCCAGGCGCTCTACTACTGGCTGCGCACGCATGTGCTCGAGCGCAGAGACGTGGCGCAGAGAGCAGCAGCTCGCCCCCATGCTGCAGCTGCAGCAGCAGCCGCGGCTGCAGCGGCTGCGGCGGCGGCAGGAGGGGCAGGAGGGCAAGGTGCAGGAGTTGGTGCAGGCGTTGGTGCTGCTGGGACTGGGGCGAGCAACGTGGGATCAGCAGGGGGGGCGGCAGCAGCAGCAGCAGGCAGCACCGGTGGTGGGGCTGTGCTGGGAGCATCAGGCCCTGCAGGGACGAACATGGGTGCTAGCGCTGCTGGCGGTGCAGTTGGGGGAGGTGCGACTGGGGGAGGGCAGGGAGGGGGAGCGGGAGCAGGAGGGCCGGGTGCAGCAGGGAGGGCTGTGCCAGCCATGTCAGAGTCGCGAACAGCCGTGTCTGCTGCATCTAATGATGCAGGCCCGCCCTACAACCCTGGGGGCGGTGCGAGGCCGGCAGGAGCTGCTGCCCCTGGCCAAGCAGCAGCAGCAGTGGGAGCAGCAGCAGCAGCAGCAGCAGTGGGAGCAGCAGCTGCAGCAGCGGCGGCGGCGCCAACGACACTGGCAGCAGGCGCACCGGTGGTGGGGGTTGCCCGGCGCTCAGCCGCTGCAGGTGCAGCCGGGGGAGGTGCATCCGGCACTGCTGCTGGCTCCGCCGCCGCTGCCGCCGCCGCCGCTGCTGCTGCTGCCGCTGGTACTGGAAGCAACAGCGCCGGCACGAGCAGCTGGCAGGCAGCAGCAGTGATGGCATTTGAAGCAGCAATGGAGGTGATGGAGGCGCTCCGCACCAAGTACGGCAGCCTGGCGTCAGAGCTGGAGGTGATGCTCACAGAGATCGGCGTGCGCTTCGTGCCTCTCCCAGAGGAGCGCTTACTCGCTGTCGTGCACGCGCTGCTGCACCGCTGCTACCGCTACCCCACCGCGACCACTGCCGAGGTGCCTCTGTCGCTCAAAAAGGAGCTGTCTGGCGTCTGCCGTGCGTGCTTCTCCTCTGATACTGTCACCAAGCACACCGAGTTTGTGAACGAGTACAAGCGTGAGTTTGAACGGTCACTCGACCCGGAGTCCACTGATACCTTCCCTAAGTCTCTCGCCGACCTCACAGCGTCGCTCAAGCACTGGGAGGGGGTGTTACAGCGTAACATCGAGGAGCGGTTACCAGCGGTGCTGAAGCTGGAGGAGGAGAGCCGGCAGCTGCGGGAGTGGAACGTGATGGATATAGAGGTCCCAGGACAGTATTTTAATGACCAGGATGTGCCTCCAGAGCACGCCATCAGGCTCGATCGGATCGCTCCAGACGTGCCAATCATCCGCCGCCACGGCAGCAGCCACCGGCGGCTGTCCCTCGTGGGCAGCGACGGGTCTCAGAAGCACTTCTTAGTCCAGACGTCCCTGACTCCATCAGCGCGCAGTGACGAGCGCACGGTGCAGCTGCTGCGGTCGATCAACCGGGCCGCGCTGCTGAAGCACCGCGACACGCGGCGGCGCAATCTGGCGTTCCACACGCCGATCATCGTGCCGGTGTGGCCGCAGGTGCGGCTCGTGGAGGACGACGTCACCTACTGCACCTTCGCAGAGGTCTATGCGATGAACTGCGCGCGCTACAACCGGGAAGCAGACCTCCCGATCGCGAAATTCAAGCACGATCTCAACGCTGCGATCATCAACCAGCTGTCGGGGGAGCGGCTGGTGGCTCTACGGCTGAGATCGTACCGCGAGATCACGGCCCATCTGGTATCAGAAAATATCATGTCGCAGTTTGTGTACAAGTCGCTACCGTCGTCGTCGCACCTTTGGACGTTCAAGAGGCAGCTGGCGTCGCAGTTGGCGCTGTCGGGGTGCGTGTCGTTCCTGCTGCACATAGGAGGGCGGTCGCCCAGCAAGACCCTCTTTGCCAGGAACACCGGCAAGATCTTCCAAAACGACTTTCACCCAGGTCAGTTTGAGCACGGGTCAACGCTTTGACATGTATCACAGTCTGTGGTAGTCACAACAAGCTGGTCACGGGTCAGGATGCTGTTGTTGGTTTTCTTATTGCTGTGCTTTTGCTTTGCTCGGTTGGTTGCGTTCCTGTATCTGTCCAATTGCTCGGTGACTACCCAACCTAGCCTGTTTCATGCTTCCGCTTGCCTTTTGCCCCCTGCTGCATGCCTGCCACCAGCATACGACCACAACGGCATGGTGGAGTGTCAGGAGCCGGTGCCGTTCCGTCTGACGCGCAACCTGCACACCTTCTTCACGCCCTTTGGCACGCTCGGCATCTTCATGTCTGCGCTCTGTGCTGCCGCCCACGCCATCCTCGCCCCCAAGGTACTGCCTGCGCCGCTGCTGTTAAGGCCCCTCATCGATTAGCTTTCAAGGTGCTGAGCGCACCAAGTAGTGTAGGTACATCCTCACTCCATGCAAGGGTGTTTTTGAGAATTCTCAAAAACACCCTTCAGCAAGTAGTGTAGGTACATCCTCACTCCACGCAAGTATTTCTATCACCACCTCTTCCTTTCCCTGGGATATCTGCACCCGTCCCTCTCTCTCCCCCTCTTTTCCAACTGACGTTTTTACATCCTCACTCGAATCTTTCTACCACCTCCTTTCACTGGAATGCTTTGTCCCTCTCTCGCCTCCGCTCATCCCACGCTCCTCGCTCACCTCCATTCACTTCTCCCTCCGCCCCCACCCCAACCCCTCTGCTACTTCCCTCCCCCTTCCACCAACAGCGCCACGACATGCGGCATCACTTTGCCATGTTCTTTCGGGACGAGCTCATCTCCTGGTCATGGCGCAGACCCCCTTCCTTGGGCCCGCCTGGGGCCGCCAGCAGCAGTGGCAGCATAGCGACGGCGGATCTCAAGGCCAAGGTGGCAGCCAATGTCGAGAGCGTGTGGCGTCGCCTGCAGCGTGTCGCCCCTCAGAGCTACGTGGGAGCCATTGCTGCCGCCGCCGCTGCTGCCAGCGAGATTCTACAGGTGCGTGCGTGGCACGAGTGAAGGCTGTTTGAGCGCTCTTTGTTTTCTTTTTCTTCTCTTTCTTTTCTCCTTTTTTTTTTGTGGAGCTGGGCTAGAGGTTATGTTCTTTCTGTGGTTGCCCATTCTTTCTTTCAAAAGATTTGTGATTATGCTCATTTCATGTTTTCTCTGGTTCCTGCAATCAATCAACCCATTCCGCCCTCGCAGCCGACCTCTCACCCCATCCTCTACCCTGCTCCTTCTTTCCCCCCACCCTCACCCCACCTCCCTCGTTTGCAACACCACCCATCCATCCCCCTCTGCCCCCTCGACTGGTATGCCATGGTGCAGAGCGATGTGCCAGAGCTACGGTCAGTGCAGCAGGGGGCCATGGAGCTGGTGGAAGCAGCACTCAAACCAGAGAATCTGTGCATGATGGATCCCACGTGGCATCCCTGGTTCTGATTATCTCACCGCACAGTGCTATATTTGGTGTTTATTAGTAATATCACTAACCTAGGATCTAACGCACTGTAGCATTACTGCTACAAGTAGCTACTCAACACCACCAAGCAGCTGTCTGGCCTGGTATGTGTCACCTTTCAATGTGCCACTAAAACCACATTCTCGGCGCATGTTTGTATTGGGGGGGCTCTAGTCCTTAAAGCGATGGTACACATTTGCCACCCAAAACCCAGAACCCTGGCGAACTGTTACTGCAGATGAAAAGTGTCTGCACGAAATCCTGGTTTTCGCCAGCCAACACTTTCGCGCTGGTTTGCCTGGTTCAAAAAAAAAACTTCTGAACCCAACACTGCCAAAAGTTGCCCGTCGCTTTAACTGATGGTTTGCTGATTCTGTCGAAGCACTTGTAGCACAAACATTCCTCACTAATCACCCTTCTCAAGCTTTTTTTTTGTGAATGTAAATCTTCTCAAGCTGTGTTCTTTCTCGGCATTCCGGTTTGTAACCTTCGCGGACGCTAGTAACCCTTTCGCCGTAGCTTTCCTTGCCAAAGCTCTGACATGTTTCTTTGCCATCTGAACTGCCTGCTCCCAAACCAACCTGAACGCCCCAACCAACGCCTCCCCTGTTTCTTGTTCGCTTGGCACACCATTCACGATTCCAGTTGAATCTCGGCCGACGCTTGTGCGTCCGAGCTGACCAGCAGCGCGCGAGACAAGATTATTATTGGCAAAAGGCAACGGCGGTTCTCGATAAAAGTATTCGCTTTCGCCTCATATCTCGATCGTCATCGGCCAGAGTTACAGGTGGAACCTACTTGCGAGTCGCAGCAACACTTTGGCTGACGGCATACCAGACGATAACTCGGCGAATGACACAAACCTCTTTCGCAAAGGCATTCCTTTCTTCGCTGTCGGAAAGTACGATGATGGTTCGCTTCACAGACTGTTGAATTCGCGTTCAGGTGCCGTATCTGTCTCAACGCCTCAATCACCGTAGGCTCGTCGTGTCTCTCTTCCAGTCGCCTCCCGCGGACCCCTTACACTTCAGACCCTCTAAATCAGCGGCAACCCGTTCTCTCATCCTCATTCCATCGCTTTCAGCAGCAGCAGCAGCAGCAGCAGCAGCAGCAGCAGCAGCAGCAGCAGCAGCAGCAGCAACAGCAGCTGGGCGAGCGTAGGATCGTGCGTTACCTGGCGCCATGATTGAGGGATTAACTGCGGAGGAGACCCGCACGCTGACGCTCATCAATGTCGTCGCCTCCGCGTTCTCCTTCCTTGGCTCGGGATTCATCGTCCTCTGTTACCTGGGCTTTAAAGACCTCCGGAAATTCTCCTTCAAGCTTATCTTCTATCTCTCTTTGTCGGTGAGAAAGAGCATCGATTTGACAAGCGGTAGCAGGGGTGAGAGCAGGAGACAGAGGAGAGTAGAGCAATGGGCTTTACTCGTTATAATCGTCATCACGTCACACGCTGTCATCGTTATCATCATCATTTTGCTTTAGCGTCATAACCACAACTCATTCCAGTCGTAATTATTGTGGTTAACCGCCCGGGCCGTAACTTATACCACGCCTGTGTGCCATCCCACGCCCTTTCTGTCCTTCAGGACATGCTCTGCAGCCTCTTCAACCTACTCGGGTAAGGCATTTTAAACAAGATTCACAATCTCCCTCTAGATTCCTTTCCATCTATTATTTCACAAATTTCACACCAACTTCCCACAAATCCCTCACCTAAGCTCCTCCACTTATTGCTCCCTCCTCTCCCAAACGCCCCGCACCCACACCACGCCCCACTCCCTCGCACCACGCAGCAACCCGGGCGAGGGCGCGCTGTGCTACATGCAGGGCTACGCGACGCAGTTCTTCTGGGTAGCATCATTCCTCTGGACCACCACCATCGCATACACGCTCCACCGCACGGTCGTGAGGCACAAGGCGGACGTGGAGGGCCTGGGGCCCTACTTCCACGTGTATGTGTGGGGCACTGCCGCGCTCATGACGCTCATTCCGTCCCTGGGCAGCGACTATGGTCCCGCAGGCGCTTGGTGCTGGGTTCAGAATGAGACAGTCATGGGGAAGGTGAGCTGGAGGAAGGGGGGGGAGTGGGTGCCGGTGGGGGTGAGGAAGAGGAACGGAGTGAGGGGTTTGAGGAAGGGAGGACAGCGCGGGGGCAAGTCGCTTTGCTGAATTGGAGGACTGATGCCTTTGCTTCCCCTCTTGTTACGCTCTCCGTTGTATCTGTACGTTCTCACCGCGTTCTGTTTGCACCACCACTCTTTCCACTTCCACCCCTGCCTTCACATATCTTACACCCACCATCACCCATCCCTTATCCATGACCCACACCCCTCCACCACCCACTCAGTGAACGTCCCTGAAACCAAACCTCATCCAACTCCAACCCATCCCCAACCCGTCCCCCTCCCATCCCCCATCCACCATCCACCATCCTCCATGCATTCATATTGCATCACTGGCCTGGGTCCTGGCGTGCGAGCAGGTGCTGCGCTTTCTGACCTTCTACGTGCCTCTGTGGTCGGCCATTCTCTTCAATGGCGTCATTTACTTCCAAGTCATCCGCATGCTATCCAATGCCACGCGGGTAATTCCACAAGAGTAACCCAACACAAGCACGCTTCCCTCCTCAAAGCCTTTTCCACCCCCAACACACATTTTCTTGTTTTTTTTGCAACAAGTACAGCAGTTAGCTGTTTGCGTGTGCAATGACAGAGAAGGTGAGGTAAGTGGAGAGCTAAACAGGTCTTCCAATCCATAACATTACTGTGTGTGCGTGCTTGTATTCTGATGGCAGATGGCAGCTAACATGGCAGATAGGCAGAAAATGGAAGGTCCAGCAAGCTCCAAAGTCTCAAGTGTAAGCTGTTGCACTTTCTCCCTTCATAACCATCAGAGTGCATAAGCTTTCACTGTTTCTCTGATTCGCTGCCTCTTAAAGCTGTTTTTTTTTCAACCTCTTGTCGCAGCCGCGGCACCAGTGAGCAATCATTCTTATACCCTTATTGCATGCATGTGCAATGTTTGGCAGGCCATGAATCGGTGGGGGTATTACCCTCTGATCCTCATCGGATCGTGGACGTGTGGAACGATCAACAAGATCCACAACCTCTTGGAGCCTCACCACCCGCTCTTCATCCTCTACTGCCTGCACATTGGCACTGCCGCTCTCATGGTCAGCTCAACTGCCCCCTCTGTTTATGATGTGCGCTCATTGTGCTTGTACGGCATCCGTGTGCCGCGCATGTACAGTTCGACTATTTTTTTCCTTTTTTTTACTGAAGTCACGACTGATATCCACATTTGCCTGTCTTCCATGATCCTCACTGGTATCCCTCATCAGGGCCTCTTCAACTCCATAGCGTATGGCTTCAATGCAGCTGTGCGGCGCACGCTGCGGGAGAAACTCATGCAGTAAGTTGCTCGCATCAACACATTGATCTCATGTGCATTTGCTGTGGACGAATTTTAGAAATTAGGTGCTTTCTGCCTTACACTAAACAATTAATCACCTCCCACTTTCTCCTTCGTTGCTGCTGTGCTACTCCCATCTGTATATTTCTGTGCGCTTTCTGCTTTCTAGAAACTGGCCTGAGCGGTTGCGGGTGTGGGGGCCAGCCTCACCCACCTTTCTGAGGCTGGAAAGTGATTCGGCAGAGGAAAGTGAGCTGGCGTGCTTGGGAGGCACAGACACGGAGAATGAAACAGAGCCAGAAACTGAACCTTCTTGACATGCAGTTGTCAGCAGCCAAAATTTTATGTTTCAAGGACCTTGCAAGGACCTCGCAATCTCATCAAAATCATCATATGCATTAGTTTCATTGTTATAAAGTCATCATTTTGGGCATATTCTCCACATATGGTACATGTCCTGGCTCCCTTCTCTTAGCTCACCAGACACAAGGTACAAAAACAACATACTTCTGCTTTCATGTGTGGTGTGTCTCTACTACCAATGTTTCGGCCCAACTAGTAGGTACGGTATATATGTGCAGCGAGCACTGTCAATGCGGGTGTCCCTTCACGCTGGCATTCATGACGGGAGGTCCAACAGTTGTGACACAAAACATTGGGAATAAGCACACATCCCTTAACTCACCGCCGCATTTGGAAACAGCTAACCGCTTTTACCAGTGGAGAATTAGGGTTGAGGGGTAAGTCAGGTTATGGGTGCAGATTATACATGGTACCACCACATGTACGTGGCGTTCCCAACACGGGTTATACATCCAAGTTACTAGGTTCAGAAGTAAAAGGATGTGGGAAGCGGGGGAGTGGAAGGAATGGGGTGGGGGGGTGGGGTTGAGAGAACGGAAGCTAGAGGGAGAGGGACAACCCCCTTAGCTCTGTAGCGAGGGAGGGTCTGGGGAGAGGAAGAGAGAGATCAGGAGGAATGTGTGTGTACGAGAGAGAGAGAGAGAGAGAGAGAGAGAGAGAGAGAGAGAGAGGGAGAGAGAGAGAGAGAGAGAGAGAGAGAGAGAGAGAGAGAGAGAGAGAGAGAGAGAGGAGGGGGGAGAGAGGAAGTGAAAGGAGAGATGGGGGAGGGAGAGAGAACGAGAGGGAGAGAAGATGAGGGGAAGGTAAGAGGAACCGTTCAATGCAGATAAGATAAGTGAGAAAATTCAGCAGCAGGGGAGGTTCTCAACAGCAAGGCTCAGAAGAAAGGGAACTTGGAGAAGTTGGAAATCAGAGGGAGCGACAGATGACGAGGAGAGAAGGGGGGGACGGAGACACGAGGGGACGGACGGAGTAGAGAGGGGGAAGTTGGAAAGTCGAGTTAGGGTTTGGGAAAAGGAAGCGAGTTGGAGAGAAGAGGGGGCTATGGCACGAAGATAAAGAGCTGAAAATAAGACGGACAGCATGAGAGAGACGACAAAGACGGAGCGAAGAGGGAAAGATGGAGACTGTAGAAGGAGATGAAGTGAAGAGACGGAGTTGGAGAGAAAAGTTATGAAAAGAGAGGGGGCTGGAGACAGAAAGAAGAGGAGTTGTGGGAGAGTTGATGGAGCTGAGGAGAGGAGTGCAAAAAAAGAAGGGGATTTGGAGATGGCGGGAGGTGTGGGAAAGGAAGGGGGGGATTCAGAGAAAGGGGGAGACAAATAAAGTAAGATGGGCATACGGGGGAGGTGGATTGAAGAGGAGATGAAGTCAGTGGGGAGATGGAGAGGGGACAGAGAGAAAGGCGTTGCACAAAGATTAAAGAACCCGAACCAAGGATACGGGGATAAAGGGAAGGAGGGACAATAAAGGGATGGAAAGGGTGAGGGGTGTCGACAAAGGTCAGAGATTACGAGCACCGCTGGCACATTGAACGCGTTACCTCCGTACACGCAACGTTTGAGTAGTGCGGAAGTAGAGTGAAGCTTTCATGCATCTACATCAAAGGGCTCCAGTACTAAGAGAATCTGAATTCTACTGACCAAACACGGGCCAGTATGCTGAACAATATCGAGCAAAATCTTTTACAAACCGTGCCAAAGCTTCACTTGGTCACGATTTCTTGCCTAGGTTCCATCGCCATCAGCAGAAGCAGACCCATTTAAACTGAGCGATGTAGTTCTGTCGTTATGTATACTGATAGATTCGCGTCTAGTCGTCGTCTTCGTCATCATCTGTAACGAACGTAGATGCGCTCATCAGCAAGGAGCAAGACGCAATGTGTAAACCCGAACAGGTAAAATTAGTGTACTCACCAGATCTGCCATCTTCCACTTCTCCTGATCCAAACTGCCTGATAATAACTTTTGCAATAAGTATCCACCAGTACACGTGAAGTACTAGCAGGAGAACGAGAATGAAGTTAAAGAAGTAGTAAGTCTTCGGGCCATGGTCCACGTGGTCCATCTTGTCCAGTAGCTGAACCACCTGGTAGCTGTCAGACAGGAGAGAAATCCATTAGCCCGGGGATGCACGCACGGGAGTGAGATATGGTGGTAGATAGTTCCTTACCTTGAACTGTAGATGATGTACCGAGGATACCACCAGAGCCTCAACCATGCCCAAGATGCCGCAAAGATAAGAAAGTTGATGGTCGCGCTTGTTTCAAATTCAATGTACTTGCTCAGCTTAGCAAGCTCGAGGAAAATGTCGCTGGCATCATGGATCGCAACCATCAAGGAACAGACACGGCCGAACCTGACAATCACAGTATACAGAGGACAGTGAGTTAACTGCAAGGTGTCCTTCTCACTCTCGGTAAAGTCGATTTGTGGCCCAGCTGTAAAATAAGAGATCACAGAATCAACCGTTGATACCTGAATACGTAGGCGGTAATGACAAGGATTACGCAAGTCACGTGATGAGTCATGCTCACGCCAAAGTCCTTCCGTCTTGTTTCCCAAAATATGAGCGCAAAAACGCTGTACGTGTAGAATCCTCCGACGTAATTAAACAACGCTTTTAACTTCAACCTGCGCAATCAAGCGAACATTAGCAACGGAAGAGAAAATCTGGAAAACACAATACCGAAATGCACATCCAGACTTACTTCATCATTTGGTCGGGCCACTTCTGATCCCCAGGGCCCACCCAGAAGTGCCTGGTATCTTCCATCCAGGGCTCGCCCAGGGTTATAAGCACAGAAAATATCTCGGCGGATATGTAGTACATGCACTTCCAGCATGATTCTTTGAACTTAATGTGGGTCTTTAGCAATGCTTGTTTCTCCGACTTCTCAAGGGCTGTGGCTGTTCCATTGCCCTGACTCCAGTCCCCTCTGCTAAGAATGTACCGTCGGCCCACTTTCTGCACCGGCGAAGAAAAAATTAGTAGTGCAGATGCTTAGTAGTTAGTGAAAAGCAAACGTTTCATCCTTAAATACCTCAAAGACGAATCTGTCCAGAATGAAACGGAGTGCCGGAAAGACGCAAGCGAAAACTAGGATCGACAGAAGCTCGTACGCTCTGGGTTCACTTTCCACATCCCAGTTATCCCTCACGTAGGCGATCACGCCTGACATCGCAAGCGATCTTATCGGGCCTACAGGAAAAGAAACTAACAAGCCGATTAATGAGCACCGGCTTGGAAAATCATAAACTAGAACCAGGGGTGATAATCTAGTGCGAGATGGGAGGCAAAGAGCAGCCTGACAGAAAACTGACACCAGATCTGGAACCACACACTTCAACCAATCATGCGGGCCCTTTCTCCTCTCACGTCAAGCATGAGGAATCGACCATGCAATGGGTTTAGGAGTGTACGAGGAAAGTGACAGCGTTACTGGGCTTCGCGATGCCCACGCGAGGGGCAATGTACACATCAGCGGTGTAACTCGTAGAACCAGGCGATTGCTTTTATAAAATTTTATTCCACATCGGGAGTTCATGAATTTCATGCACACTGGCATGATTCATATGATTGTTCCCGGCCTCTAATCCCACCCTCCACTCGATGTACCATCACCTACCAGCACACACTAGAGGAAATCTGACAAACATCAAATCACAACCTTCTGTATCTGTATCAATGCATATCAGCAGCAGCCACCACCCGCATATTGCCAAGCAAAAAATCCACCTAAAAAACCGTAAAATATATTTCCATGCCACCTCTTGCAGTCTACCCAGACGTCCAATACTTCTTAGTGCACACCAGCACCACCTCCTCGTCGCCGTCCTTGCCCACTGAATCTTCCTTCCCGGGACGCTCAATGCGTGCGTCCCAGCGCAGTGCAGGCGCAATGCGCTTGATGCGGCGCAGCGTGGCAATGTCATCGCGGATGAGCACCACTCCCTCAGGGCGCAGGATGCGGTCCACCTCCAGCAGCACCTGCTCCACTGGGCACGGCCTGGGGCATCAAGGGAAGAGGAGAGGGGAAAAGAGAGGGTGGGTAAGGGGTTTCGAGGTGACTCAAAATGTGCGAGCAGGTTTCTTGCAGGGCAAGTTGCAGTCCACCTAGAGGAGCAACTGCTCCAGGTGACACAGCCTGGGAAACAGAGAGGGGGGAAATGGATAAGGATATTCTGTTTTCCCCCTACCGTCATAAAGGCCGGGAAGGTGAAGGGAGATACAGCGCTGCAAGAAAGAGAGGAGGATGACTTGATGAAAGAGTTGATGTACAGTAGCAGGCTGAGGTTACAGGGTGAGACGGGGCACACCTGCTAGTCCACTGGGAGAAGAGCTCGTCGGCATGGACGAGGTCATAGGTGCGGGGGTACGTGGAGAACGCCTCACACCTGCAGATCCACCACAACACAGCAGTGGAAGAACAGCAACACAGTAAGCAACCGTCACATAGACGAACAAGGCAAGCGCATCAGCAAAGCACATACCAGAAACAGCATGGGGTGCATGGAAGCTGCAGGCGTTTCACTAGCTCAAGCACATACCAGTCTTGGTACGTTCCCAGCAGCCCTCGGTCATAGATAACCCCGAGGGTGTTAGCAGCACCAAACGACACATGCGCCGGTGCCTCCACGCCCTCAGCATCCCCGCCCACAGCGTCCCCTCGGTCCACAGGCACCACGTTCATCACCCAAACAGGATCATGCCCCAGGGCGGCCGCAAACCCGCCCATGCCTGCGCTCATGTCCATGATGTTTCTATACTGCCCCTTCTCCTGCCCTAGGTCTGGAAGAAGTGCGCGCTTGTACCAGCGCACGCGCTGCCTCCACTTGTCAGAGTCCGCAGCAAAGTCCTCCACTGTCAGATCCTCCACCACAACCCCGCTCTCGCTCGCCCCCTGCAGCCGCCGCCTTTGCACGTCCTCTCCGCCTGCATCACCGCCTTCCTCACTGTCTGCCTCTTCGCCGCCCTCTGCAGTGCCCCCACTGCTCTCCTCGCTTGTCTCCTCACCCTCCTCCTCAGCCTTGCCATCACTGCCTTCCTCTTCCTCGCTGCTCTCCTCTCTGATCGCAACAGCAGCACCACCACCACTCTCCTCCTGTGCCCGCTCTGCCCTCTCCTCATCTGCCTCCTCCTCGCTTGTTTCCTTGCTCTCCTCCTCGCCCCCCTCTTTGCTCTCCTCTTCGCTTGCCCCCTTGCTCTCCTCCTCACCCTCTGTGCTCTCCTCCTCACTTACCCCCTCCTTCTCCTCCTCACCCCCTTCCTCCTTATCATCTCCGCTGCCCCCCTGCTCCTCCTCCGCCCCCTCTGCAACCTCCTCCGCACTCTCCTGCGCCTCCTCCTCTGCACGTTCCTCCACATCATCCGCGGTAGAGGCAGCCGCGCTGGTTGACAGCGAGAGCGACGCCGGGCTTGCCAGAGAGGAGCCCCAGGGCAATACGGGGCGGCGTGGCAGTGAGCCGGGCGGGCCACTTGTCCACGCTGCCGCCCGCCACCCCGTTGCTGTCTGCTGCGGGCACAGGAGTCAGACACGTCTCCATGGGCGTGTACCTGGTGCGGGGACAGGGGAGGAGCCACACGAGGGAGGGCCAGCAGGGAGATGAAGAGAGATGAGCAACAGGCGGGGGAGGTGGGGAACGGAAGAGCGGGGATGGGGTGTGGAAGGAAGAGCGCGTGATGACAGGAGGACGCAGCAAGAAGAGAAGCCAGCCGCAAGTACCGCCTATCGCGCTCATGCCCCACCACCTCCACCCCACAACCTCTCAATTCACATCCCAACCTCCTCCTCTTCCTCCTCATCATCACCATCGCCGCGTCACCCGGAACCACCCCGCTAGCACCCACCCCAACCCCGCCATCCCCGCCAGTGGTCCTACCACGACAGGTCCGCATCCTGGTCCGCGGGACACATGGGCGGGCTCGCGTCTCCGCGGCTCTTCTGGCACGCGCCGTCCAGGGGCTTCTGCCATATCGCGAACATGCCCGCCTGCTTGTACTTGCGCCAGCACATCTTCTCCCCAACGGCCTCCAGCCGGTCCTGCTCCGCCGACAGGTCCTCCTTGGTGCGGTTCCACCCGCGCGCGTAGTGCTGCCAGTCGATGGGCGGCCCCGTCAGCACCCAGAACCCGCCAGGGCGCAGCACGCGGTCGATCTCCGCCAGAAGGCGCCCGTCTGGGGGGAAGAACGGGAGAGGGGATGAATGGGGATCGGTACAAATCGGTGCTGTAACCTAGCCTGCCGGGTGCGTGGCCGGACGAGTCAATACGCGGAACCCTCTGCGGCTTGCTGCTCATGTACACGCCACGCCTACTCATGTACACGTTACAAGTGCCAACACCCCGCATCGCGCGCACCTTCGTTCCACCAGGGGATGAGGCAACGCGAGCAGTGCGCCATATCGAAGGAGCGTGCGGGGTACGGCAGGCGCTTGGTGGCCAGCACGCCGATCATCGCGGGCAGGCCTCGCTCCAGCGCGAACTGCACCTGCGCCTCGTGCCCGTCGCGCGGCGCCAGCGACATGGTCAGCACGCCGCGGCTCAGTAGATACGCGCCGAAGCTCCCCACCTGCGAGGGACAATAAAACGACCAGAAAAGAGATCAGGAGTGCGTAACGCGGTTCTCGTTTACGGTTTTTTTCTTCCACTCATCCCGAATACTGGTGCTCTCAGAGATGAAACCCGAATCGAGCGGTATCGGCGATTGGCGGTCTCTTACCCCGCATCCGGTGTCGAGCGCCGTGCGAATGGAGCCATCAGTGAGCGGAATGAGCTTGCCCAGCTCTTCCAGGTAATGATCCGCGCCTTTGTGGAACATTGTGCCGCCGCCAGGGAACGAAAACTTCTCTGTCTGCTCGTCGTACCGGATCCAGTTCTGGTCCGCCTTCGCCGTTGTCAACTGCTTGTGCGGCACGTTCACGTACCACGCCTCGTCACGGCTCTGCGGCCAGGGGAGCGGGCGCTTGTACCCGACGGGCGGCGGGATGAGGCAGTTCAGCTGCTCCGAGCTCTTCGGGCAGTGTCGTTCGCGATGCGCCAGGTTAGCTTTAATGAATCTCTTCGCGCGGTTGGGATCCTCGCATGGAGAGTAGTCCATGTAGCGCATGGCGCAGGGCTCGTACGGAGTTACTTCCTCTGCCAATCGCCGTTGCATCTCGCGAAGTAGTCTCCGAAGAGGAGCCTTTCGATGGGGTTGATCGGCTGCATTCCGGGGTGCTGCATCAGATATCTGAATCTGGAGCAGAAACAAAATGAGAAAGACTGACACAATAGTCCGCCTGTTGTCCATTACGTGGCCCGCCATTGCACCTGGCTTCGTAGCTTCTGTCCCTACGATAAGAGGATGTTTGCTGGTAACAAGTCTTAGAGGAACATCGATCACAGCAGGCTGTGTTTCTAGGTTTCAAACAAGGCCAGCAATTCACGAGGCGAGCATTTCTCGAGGCAAGGAAGAACAGATGAAATTTGAGCGACAGGTGATGAACATTCCCATCAAAGGCGAATGACACGCACCAGACCTCCCGTCATGCGACGCGCCGGTGACATGTCTGGGAGGGAAACATTGTCGAAGGGCATCGCACGCAGACATGACTTGTGTTTCTGATTGGCTTGCACCCTTGGCCCCCTACGGTGATTGGTGGATCTGCTTGGCATCATGGCCCTGTCGTCAGATGATGTCGCGCGAAAAGGCACATCTGACACACTAGTCTATACTCGATATGGATGCAAATGTTTGTCGTCTGCATATTTTCATTCATAAATCGAATAGACAAATGCAAGGTCCATTCTCATACACTCAAGTAACGCTCAGCCACGCGAAGCCATTCTAAACGAATTGCGTTACACCCTACGAACACCCACGAAACCACAGTACACGGCCACTATTGTTTCCCCAGAACGGTTCTCACGGCCTTCATTTGGACGTGACACGGCGCCTCGTGGCAAGCTTGGCCGATTCGGTTTCTCTAAAAGCAATTCACTTCTTGCCATTTTGTGTGAGCCGGAAGGGAGTTTCGTCTAAAAGTGTCTTTCTAAATCGCTACTTCCCCGCGATATTCAGCAGGGTTTCTGAGTGGTGGTCTGGTGGCGCTTTGGGGGAAGCGACCCGAATCGCGATGGTAGCCGTCGTGGCAAATCGTGAGCTCCCTCCGCTGCCATCCCCTCCACAATGCCCTGCCGCTGCTCCATCCTGAGCCAACATTGCACACAGACTACTTGTGCTTGCGCCTCGATACCTCCTGCGTAAGACTCAGTCAAGGCCCAGCATACCCCGACACGCCAGGGCCTTGCTTACACTCGTCCATTCGCCCTTGGCACATGTAGAGCGGTCCTTCGAAACAATCGACCTAGGTAACATCCACACTGCAGTCTCCACGGCGTTATGGGCAATCCGCAAATGCGATGAGTGCTTGTTTAGGAACTGCCAGCATTAGGAACATTCTCGAGAAGCGCGCCAAGTAGGCGACGAGGTAGTGAGAACAGTAGCAGCGTTGGATCCGCCTTGTGCAGCGGAGGGGGTGAGCGGCAGCCATGGTAGCGAACCTCACGGAGCCCTTGCGGCCGCTCATGCTGCAAGGCTCCATGTTCAAAGGGCTGCGAGGACGCGTCAAGGAGAAGTTCGAGTTCCGCTTTAGGTTCCACGCCACTCGTGTGAGTTCATGCCGACATGGTTCTCGTCAACCCCCTCACTTTCGCGACGCAGCTTCCACTGGATTATGTTAAACCGTTTGTCCAAGTCTTCACGTACTAGCGCTCCAGCTGGCAACGATGCCGTTCACTAATGCAGCAGGCATTCCGCGCCTCCATTCCCCGCTGCCTGTGCTGACCGCCCGTTCTTCCCTCTGTACTTCCCATCCCGTGCATTCCACCGCGCATCCCGCCGTGCGTCCACCAGATCCCGCTATCAGGCTACGACCAGCTGTGCGTGTCGGTGATCTCGTGCGACTCGGGGCGCACGGAGGCGCAGACGACCAAGTCGGCGGTGCGCAACGGCATATGCCAGTGGCCCGAGACGGTCACACACGTCGTCAAGATCGCGCGCAACCCCAAGACTAAGGCGTACGAGCCCAAGGCGTACCGCTTCGTCGTCTCCACCGTGAGTGATCCTTTCTCTGCCCTTGCAATTTCCTCAAACCGTACCCACTGTACCCGGCGTACCCGCTGCACTCTCCGCATATATGCCTGTGCACCTGGTGCTTTTCAGCTCAGCACCGTTTTTCTTTCTGCCACGATTATAGCTTTCAACGACCATGTGCTTATCGCGGTGTGTGGCCTCCCCGCGTCCCTTGCTGCGTGTTGAACCTTTTCTGCTGCTCGCGCGGGGGTGTGTGCGTGTGTGCGTGTGCTTGTGCGTGCGCGCGCGCGCGTGTGTGTGTGTGCGTTGGAGCGTGGCAGGGCGGCACGTGGGGCACGGTGTTGGGCGAGGCGACGTTGAACCTCGTGGACTTCATCAAGTATCGCCAGCTCGACCAGCGCGCGCTGCCGCTCGCCGCTGGCTCCGTCCTCCACGTACGTGCGCGCTGCTCCTTCACCAATCTTCCCCACCTCACCCGCCCACCCCCTCCGGCCCCTTCTCCTTCCCATTTCTCCTCGTCGCTCCCGTTCGCTTGCGTCGCCGAGCGCAGATCCCCCTTTTTCAATATCCACATGCGTTCCACTCGTCAACGTCACTTCACACTAAGCCGTCTCGTACCCCTGTCCATTCCCATATGCAGGCTACGTTGCAAAGTTTCCCTCTAGACCCGCGGGAGGAGGAAGAGACTCCAGACGAGCAAACCCCGGCCGGCAGCACACAGGCGGAGGGGGACGAAGGCGACTATTGCTATGACGATGAGTTCTACGGCGATGACGCGGATCCCGCAGGTGACGACGCGCGCAAGGCGGAGCCTGCGGCGCCCGCGCCCCAGGGGGAAGGTGTGGAGAAAGAAGCGGGTGGAGAGCAGCCCAGCGCCGCGCAGCAGAGCGCCGCACAGCCCAGTGCCGTGCAACCGAGTTCCGCGCCATCGGCGGAACAGCTTCCGGAGGCGGTGGCTGGCGGAAGCAGCAGCAGCAGCGCCGATGCAGGCGCGGTTGACCCCGCGCCAGCGGCGGCAGAAGCGGAACCTTCCGACAACGCGGTTGAGGCGCAGCAGCAGGCGGCGGTGGCGGACAAGGAGGCGGTGTCGTCTTGCGGCGCGACTGAGGGGAGCTCCGCGGAGAGCGCGGACGGCACCAGCGTTGCCAGCGCCAGCAGCAGCAGCGCGCCCAGCGAGGGAGGCGCCAGCAGCAGCAGCGGCAGCAGCAGCGCCAGTAGCGGCGCTGGAGGGAGCTCTGGCCCGAGTGCCAGCAGCAGCAACAACAGCAGCAACAGCAGCAGCAGTGGCAGCGGCAGCACGGCGGGCAAGGCGGCGAGCTTCATCTACCGCCTGGCGAACGTGCCTGTTGCGTCCATGAAGGTACGCCCCTCGCCCGTCTCCCCTCTCCTCGCCCTTGTCCTCGCCCATCGCCCTCGTCCCTTCTACTCGTTTCTCACTGCCAGCCATCTATCGCCTCTTGTGCGCCGCGTTCCATTGGGTGCTCGCTTTGCCGCCTCTTTCCTCTTTGTTGGTTTCTTGCCTCTCCTGCTTTACGTCCTCCTCGCCTCCCTCCTTCCTCTCTTTTTCACTCTCCCTCTCTCGCTCTCTGCCTCTCGTCTCCACCCTTCCCCGTAACGCAGCTCCCCGATCATCGCCCCAAGGCGCGTGGCAAGCCCACCGACACCACCGATACTTCCGCCACCACGCCTGCTTCAACCGCTCCCATCCCCGCCAGCATCAGCAGCAGCGGTGGCAGCGGCGGGGGAGTGGTCGCCACCGCCTCCGCTGCTGGCGCAGCCGCCGCGAAGCTCTTCCGCCGCTCCGCGTCCCTCATGGAAGGGGTTGGCGCGGGGAAGGGCGCCTCCTCTCCCGCCGCGACGGGCGTTGCAGGCGCTACCGTGGGCGGAGAGAGCAGCGCAAAGGCGGCTGAAACCGCCGCCGACCCCGCAAAGGGAGACGGAGGGGACGCCCCAACCCCTGCTCCCGCTGCCGGCGCTGCTGGCGCGGCGTTGGTCGCTAGCCCTGCCATGAGCGCCTCCCCTGCTCTTGCGCCCATGAAATCTCCCCCTTCCGCCCGCACCCGCTCCGGCTTCTTCTCCTTCGATCGATCCCCCGCCACCTCCGCAGCCGCCAGGGGCTCCCCTGCCGCGGGCTCTCTCCCTCCGCCCATCGCGCTCCCCGCCGCCGCTTCCCCCGCGCCCGCGAGCAGCAAGGCCGCGGAGCCTGCCGCGGCGGTCGCGGATAGCACAGTGGGGGAGGACGAAGAGCTTCCGCCGCTAGTGTCGTTCTCGGGGGAGCTCCGCCGGCCGCCGAACCCCGCGCTGGTGGGGGACCCGTATCACCGCAGCGTGGCGAGCGGACCCATGGAGGTGGGTGGAGGCGGAAGGTTCATTCCGGGCGCGGGATACCCCGCGCACCCCGCCCCAGGCGGACTTCACGACAGCCTCAGCACGGGGAACTTGGGGGGGGTTGGAGCGCACAAGGACCAGTCTCCTGGGCTCAAACCCGCGGGAATGCGCGGAGTCGGGCTGAAGCTCTTCCCCCTTCCTCCCCGAATCTGCCTCCACTTCCCGCAAGCGCCATGTCCCCCACTACCTGCCTTCTTTCCGCCTCAGCCGCGCCAGAGCCTTCCGCGGGGCTCCCCGCAAACCTGGGCGGCGCAGGAGCAGGTACGGGGGGCCGGTTCGGCGCCTTCCGGACCCCGCTCCGCAGTCTGAGCGGCGGAGTGGGGAACGACGGGGGGAACCTGCTGCGCCATTCGATGTCGGACGTGCTCATGGAGGCCGCCCGCGCGGGCGTGGGCGGACCAGGCGGAAAAGGAGGCGCAGACGCGGCGGGGGGAGCGGGAGTGGGCGGGCAGCACGAGCGCGGAATCAGCGTCAGCGCGTCCACCTCAGCGCTCTTCCTCCCCGGAACCGGCATTCGACCCGGTTTCGCCGCCGCGCTCGGTGGCGTGCCTTCCGCGGCCTCAGGTGCGCCAGGTGCGCTGGCGGCTCGAGAGCGCGGAAGGAGCAGCAGCGGCGGGGCCGGAGAGCTCCAGGCGGACCTGGTGGCGGCGGAGGCGGCGATCGAGGGGCTTCAGCGCGACTGCACGGCGCAGCAGCAGACGTCGCGCGCGCTGCTGCGCGAGGTGGAGGCGCTACGCGCGCAGCTGGCGGAGTCGCTGGTGGCGGACCGAGCGGCGGAGGCGCAGCTGGCGGCGGTGATGAGCGAGCGCGACGCGCTGGCGAAGCAGGTGGCGATTCTGAAGGTGGCGCAGAGCGAAGCGGAAGCGGCGGGAGGCGCGGGGGTCGGCGGAGGCACGTCGGTCCTGATGGTGATGCGCGACCTGGAGTACCACACAGAGCTGAACGCGCAACTCAAGTCGGAAGTGGAAATGCTCTCGGTACAGATGGGCGGAGATGGGATGGGGCGGATATCATGAGACCACCACAGTTCTCTCTTTGCTGCTTCTCAAACCCCCTCAGTTTATTGCTAATCACATCACAACTTCATGCTTACTGGTTCCCAGCGCATGTTAGCTCATTCCTCCTCCCACTCTCCCCACCACTTGTCCGCCTTGCATGTTAACCTTGCGCTCACTCCGCTCCCCCTTCCCGTTGCTCTTCCCCCACCCCTCTCTCCCGCGCAGTCCGCCAATGAGGAGCTGGCCAAGGCGCTGCAGCGCGCGGAAGCGGACGCGGACAAGTACCGGCGGGACGCGCAGGACCTGTACGAGCGCGAGCAGGCGCGCGAGCAGGCGGGCAAGCGCGCGCAGCGGCAGACGGACGAGCGCGAGGCGGAGTGGCGCGAGCGCATGCGCAAGCTTGAGGCGGACTGGAGGGAGCGCATGCGCAAGGCGGTCGACGCGCACAACCAGCTCGAGGCGCGCCTGGCACAGCTGGAGGGCGACTGGCGCGCGGATTCTGGGAGAGGCGCTGGGCGGAGCTTCGCGGAGGGACCATCGGGAACAGGAGGAGGGGCGGGTGGCGTGGAGGGCGGAGAGGCAGGGACGGGCGCGGAAGGGGCTGCGGCGGCTGCAGTTAGCGGATGCGCTGGCGCGGATGATGCTGACGGTGCCACCGCGACGCGCTCCCCAGGCCTGTTCCCTCCTGCTGCGTCTGCTGCCGCACCTTCCTCCAGCAGTACTATTCCCGCTTCTCTCATCACTACTAGCGCGCTGTGCGGCCCGCCGTTGCCGCTCCCTCCGGCCGCGGCGGCAGCGGAGTGCGAGTCGAGCCGCATGGAGCAGCTGCAGCAGAAACTGGCGGAGGCGGAGAAGGAGGCGCAGGAGCTGACGGCGGAGAGCCTGGAGCTGGCGGCGAGTTTGACGGCGGCGAAGCGCGACGCGGAGAGCAAGGAGGCGCGGATCAAGGAGCTGGAAGGCGCGATGGAGGAAATTATCCGCGCCACGGGGGTGGAACCCGCGGAACCGGCGGAAACGGCGGAACCGGCGGAGTCAGCGGACTCCGCCGAGGGAGGGGGCTTGGGGAGCAATGGCGCTGGTTCTGGTGCTGGCGGTGCTGGTGGTGGTGCGGATGGGGGGAGGAAGCTGGGTGGAGGCGGCCTGGTGGGCAAGTGGAAGGAGCTGCGCGCGAAGAAGCAGCAGCGTGAGCAGGAGAGCATCGCGCGGCTCAATGCTCACGTGGCGGAGCTCAGCGATGAGCTGGACAAGCGCAAGGCCGACGTCATCAACGCGTCTGCTGAGGTGGAGCGGCTGCGCGGATGCCTGGCGGCTGCGGAGGCGTCCGCCGCGAAGGTGGTAGCGGAGGCGGAGGAGGAGGCGGCGGCGCTGCGGGCGGAAGCCGCTAGGCTGCAGCGGGAGGCGGAGAGGGCGGCGGAACAGCGCGCGGAGCTGGAGAGCGAGGTGGCTGCGCGGGGGAGCCAGCTCGCGGCGCTGCAGCGGCGGTGCGAGGCGGCGGATGAGGAGCGGCAGCAGCTGGCTGTGCGCATGGCGGAGGAGGTGAGCATGCGGGAGCGCGCGGAGGAGTCCGCCGCCTCCCTGGCGGCGCAGCTGCACCTGCTGGCGGAAGAAGCGGAGGAGGCGGAGGAGGCGGCGGAAGCAGTGGCCGTGGCGGCGACAGCCGCCGTGGCGGCGGCGAACGCGGCGGATTCAGGCTCGGGAGCAGCAGGAGGAGGAGCAGCGGGAGCAGCGGCGGGTAAGGCGCTGCTGCCCAAGGGGCTGGTGGGCGCGGCGAAGAAGTTCAAAGGGCAGGTAGATGCGGCGGTGCGCGTGGAAGAGCTGGAGTTGCAGCTCGCGTCGCTGCGCGAGCTGCTGCAGGAGGCGACGGCAGCGCAGGTCAAGGCGGCGCGCGAGTCGGCGGCGGAAGGCGCGCGCAGCAAGGAGGTGGAGCAGCTGCAGGAGGAGGTGGCGGTGTGGCGCGTGCGCGCGGAGGGGCTCGAGCGGGACCTGCGCGTGCTGGAGGCGGAGAAGCGCACGCGCGAGGGGCGCATTTCGGAGCTGGGGCGCGAGGCGGGGGAGGCGCGCATGCGCGCCAAGGCGGCGGAGGAGGAGATGGGGCGGCTGGCGGCGCGCGTGAGCATCGCGACGGCGCGCGCGGCGGCGCAGGAGGTGGAGGTGCGGGAGAGCCGCGAGAGCAAAGCGGCGGCGGTGGGCATGGTGCAGCAGCTCGAGGAGGCGCTCCGGCGCGCGGGCAGCGAGCGGGCGCGCGCGGAAGCGGAGCTGGGGGAAGCGGTCGCCGCCAGAGCCGCGATGGAGCAGCAGGTCGCGGCGCTGGAGGCGCGCGTGGAGGAGCTGAACGGGGCCGCGGAGGGCCGCGGGCGCAGCGCGGCGGACGCGGCGGCGGTGGTAGCGGAGGCGCAGCGCGACGCGGAGCTGGAGCGCGAGGGCAGGCGCGCGGCGGAGGAGAAGGCGGCGGCGATGGAAGCCCTCCGCGGACGCCTGCAGGAAACAGTGCGGCGCGAGGAGGAGCTGCGGCAGGCAGCAGCGGACCGCGCGGAAATGCTAGAAGGCGAGCTGCGCAGCGTGCGCGAGCGCGCGGCGCGCGAGGCGGGGGAGATGCGCGACATGGAGCGGAAGCTGTTCCAGCGACTGGAGCAGGTGCTGGCGGAGAAGGAGGAGGGCGTGGTGCGAGTGACGCGACTGGAAGAGGCCGTGAAGAGAGAGCGCGCAGAGAAAGAGGCTGCCACGGAGCAGCTTCAGACGGAGGTGCTGGTGCTGAAGGAGCAGCTGCAGGCGCTGCTGGGCGGGCGCAGCGGGATCGAGCGCACGGCGGCTGCGCTCGCGGAGGAGCAGGCGGCGCGCGTGGCGCTGGAGGGGCGGCTGCGCGCGGCGGAGGCGGGCGCGGTGGCGGCGGAGGCGCGGTGGGAGGGGGAGGTCCGGGAGCTGGAGGGGAAAGTGCAGAGCCTGCAGGCGGAACGCACACAGTGGCGCGCGCGTGAGGTGGGACTAGCAGCAGAGCTGGAAGTAGCCCGCGGGGAAGCGGTACTCCTGCAGGAACTCTCCTTTGAAGTGCAGCGGCTGAAGGAGGAGAAGGCGGCGATTGAGAATCTGCTGGGGGAGGCACGGGGCGTGAATGAGGCGCTGGAGAGGGCGATGCTGGCTGCTGAGAGGGAGAAGAGGGGACTGGCGAGCCATGCTGCAGTGCTGAGTGAGAAAGCACGGGAGTGCGACCGCATGCGCCTGCAGCAGCAGGCTGACCTGCTCGTGCAAGGCGTGGCTGCTGCTGCTGCTGCTGCCGCTGCTGATGGGGAGACAGGTAAAGGAGGAGAGGCAGGTGGTGAGGAAGGAACCGGTGCTGCACCTGGGGCGGGAGGTGCGGCGAGTGGTGGGCTGGTGGATAGGAAGCAGGCGGAGCAGTTCTTGGAGTCTCTGCACCTTAAAGTTGAGGAGCTGGAGAGGCAGGTGGAGGAGGGTGCACTGCTGGCCACAGAGTTGGAAAATGCTAAGGCAGAGGTCGCCGCCAAGCAGGCGGAGATTGCTGCAAAGCAGGCCGAGGTGGTGGTGAAACAGGCGGAGGTGGAGGAGAGGGAGAGGCGGATCAAGGACCTGGAGGTGCGCATAGCCGAGGTTCAAGCCGAAGCAGAGAGGCAGAAGGCGGAGTGGCGGCTGAAGCAGGAGGCGGCAGAGGAGGTAGTGGCAGCAAAGATGGAAGGGCAGGCAGCAGCAGAGCGGCGCATAGGGGAGATGCGCGTGCAGGTGGTGGAGCTAGAGGCAGAGGTGGAGAGACTGCAGGTCGAGGCTGCTGCTGCCACCGCTGCTGCAGAGGCCGCGGCGTCGGCGGCAGAGGCGGCGGCTGCGGCGCTGCAGCAGCAGCAGAATGGGAATCTTGCGGCGCTGCTGGGTGCTGCTTCCAGTGCCGCTGCTGCTGCTGCTGCGTCTGGCAAGGCCAGCCCTGGTGCTGCTGGTGGTAGCAGCAGTAGCGGCGGTGGTGGAGGGAGTCCGAGCTACAGCAGCAGCGGCAGCAGTGGCGGTGGCGGAAGCGCCGTGCGGCGAAAGGTACGAGTTTCCTTTTTTTGTGAGCCTTCTTCTCCCTGGATTTGTCATTTTGCATGCTTCACATGCACTGTGCCATAGCTGACTGCTGCTCCATGAACTCTTTGTGCCATGCGATCTACTGTTGGCAGGCGAGCAAGGAGCCAGCATCCCCATCGCTGCCTGCACCTGATCGCACCACTGTCACTCGCAAGGTGGTTGTCGTGCGCCGTGTGCAGTCCAACCGTGACTCCTCTGCTGCCACCACCACCACCACCTCCTCCTCCTCTTCTTCTTCCACCTCTACAGCTCCCAGGCTGCCCTCCCCCAGTGCATCATCCACCCCTGCGTCCTCCCTCCCCTCCACCCCCCGCATTTCCAAGTCTGCCTCGGCGTCCTCTGCTCGTCCCGCCAGTCCACGCGCTGCTAGCCCCAGTAACATCCCCATTCCCAGTGCTGCTTCTGCTGCTGGCACAGCAGCCAGTGACAAGGCTGAAAAGGGTACAGAGGGGCCTCCAGCAGCAAGGGGTGGCAGCCCTCGCAGTGGCATTCGCCCTCCCAGTGTTGTGGTCTCAGGAAAAACCAGGGTTGCAAGCACCACCAGCACCAACATGTGAGTCAATGGTGCTTCCCTGCAGGTGCTTGAGCTTTGGTGAATCAGCTGCAACGATCAATTTTTCTGTGCCAGACCTTTCGCACCCTGCTTGAAGATGTTTTGTCGTGCACCATATTAATTCCCCCTTCACACCTTGTTTCTCCTGGTTTTCCTTGCCACAGTCCATCGGTGACAGCTACTGCCGGCGAGGGAGCTGTGGGAAGTGGAATCACACGTGTCAGTCGAGCCACAGCCAAGGCTCGCTCCCCTAGCAGTCAAAGCCCCTCTGCATCTCTCAACTCAGCTTTCAACAAGTAGATGTTTCTATGCTATTGCATTGCTCAATGTGTGCTATCAATTGAGAATATATTTCTCCTGTCTTTTTTTCTTGGTGTTATCTCATTGATCAGCATATAAACGATAAAACAAAGTGTCATGGTGCATTTTTAGGTTGTATAGAATTTTATTAATATGTAATGTTCTGAAATTCAAGAGAGAAACCAGAATAAGCCACCAAACAGATACCTTCTGATGCCGAAACTGTAACTATCCTAGACATCCTTGTCTGAGCGACGATTTTGCGTGTAACGGAACAAGGGCACACGCGCAACCATCTAAATCTCTGCATTGCCCATTTTGGTCAGATTTCGTCCCCAGTAGCGATGACCAGGAGTAGTAACGCACTCATGATTTCTTGGACCTCGTTATCCTCGGGTCAGAATTGTGGTTTTTCTAGTCCTTTGGGACTAAGTCCCTGTCGTTGCGGGCTATGGGGACCAGCGTGGCAGCCGTGATAAGTTATTATTGGAGCCACTGGAACGACGAGAGAGAACCGGAGCTCAGGGATATGCCATATGCCCTTATATTCGCCTTCGCTCTTCCCATTGCTCGATATATTCTGGACAAGTCCGTTTTCGAGGTACCTCAGCTTCTGTCCGCTGTTTCGGTTAGCCTTTAAGCGTCAAACTCAAGAGGTTTTTCTTCATCTTGCAGATCTTGGGGAAAAAGTTCGTCCGTAGCAAAGCTATTTGGACAAAGGATGTCTCGTTCACATCAGATAAGGGTTCTGCGGCTGCTATTGACAGGGAAGCCCTGTTGAAAACTCGGCGCAAATACAAGGAGTCGCTGTGGAAAATTGCGTACTATCTATCGTCATGTATCTTCTGCTACTTTGTGACGTCTGGAGAGCCCTGGCTCACAGACACGAAGTACTACTGGATCGGCCCTGGTTCGAAAGTTTGGCCAGATCAAACAGCAAAGCAAGTATCTCTCGAGTACGATTTTAGGGGTTCCACGTAGCTCGAGAATTCGGTCTGATCAGGCTGTGTTGCGACATTTCATGTTTCAGGCTGAAGGCCAAGGTCCTGTTTGGCTACTTCGCGGGATTTTACATTTATAGCATTTTCGCCATTCTTTTCTGGGAGACCCGACGAAAGGACTGGCTTGTGCATCTGATCCATCATATATGTTGCGTGACCATGTCGATTGTCTGCTATCACTTCAGGTAATTGTCTCAAGAGTTTGCCACTATGAATTTTGATCCTTGCCGTACCTACGTAAGGCGTCGTCTGTGCGTGTTTGCAGAGTATTCCGAATGGCCCCTGCAGTCATAGGACTTCACGATATAAGCGACGTGCTGCTCGAGGTCGCGAAACTGTGCCTATATTCAGAGTTTGAGCTGGGAGCAAACCTTTCATTCGCCCTTTTCGCGGCAACCTGGGTGATGTTTAGGTTGTGGTGGTTTCCGCGAAACGTCTTGTACAGCTTCTGGTATGTGGTCGAACCTTGGCCCTTTCTTCTTTCCGACAAAGTCCCTTGTCATGTTTGTTTCGGATGGTTTGCCATTCAGCTTCAGTCTGTCTGAAGTGCTTCTCATGTTCGTCTTCTTGGTGTGCCAGTTTTGAAACAATCAAATACTGGGATTTGAAGAAACACCCGGTACTTCTTCCATGGCTCTATTACGCCCTCAACTTCGCAACTCTCATGATGATAGAAATGCATTGTTATTGGTGGATACTTATCTGTAGAGTAATTTACAGGCAGGTAGTCGTTGGCCGTGTGGAAGGCGACGTCCGATCAGGTAAGGTTGAATTGCTGCATCGAATCTGCTGCTTAGCTGTTGCTGGACAAGTGTCTGACTGACCCCTGCTGTCATTTCGCAGATGGAGAAGATGATGATGATGATGACTGAGACATACGTCCCTTATTATTCGATCAATGAAATGTATTAACTATTAATCACATGCTGCCCATTGGCAGATTTCATGAAAACCATGATCTGTCGCCATTGGCAACAGCCAACTATAACTGCAAGGATGAAAAGACATGCAAACCCAGGGGTACCTGCCTTGCCTGCCTACAGTACGAGCAGATGGGACACAAATGCCAGGTTGGATCGGACTGATCAAGGAATGAATACAAGCACTACAAGCAGAGCACTAATGTGCGCATGCACTAGTGCATTTGCACATGCAGGAAACCCGGCAGAACTGTCTGCATAAACAGGGTGGGTCAGCATGAATGAAACGCTGTGACACAGGGACAGGACAAGACCAAGTCACTCTAACTTCAACAGACAACAGATGTGACTAGGGTAGGTACCATGGTGGACAAGTCAGTGAACAAAGCTGAGGCAAGTAAATGACAGCTATCAGTTCTACGGTAGAGCGCGATCTTCAATATGAGGAAAGTACAGCTCAACAGAATCCATCCATGCTCTTCTCTTCGTAGTTATCAGCACCACTCAATTCTTCCCAGCATATTCGCACAGGCTGGCTCCAGAGGCTTCACAAGCCAAGCAAAGGAGAGCGCACAGGGGGGCAGGACCAACAATGAAGAAGAAAGAGAGGGGAGCATGCACACAGACTTCAACCCTACACACTACACGAATTATAAATGCAGCTGCAAATTGCAAACACCCGCCTTCTTGACCCACCTTGCACATGTGCAAAAAGCACATCCCTGCTCACTGGGCACCACCACCTGCATTTCCACCAGCACCCCCTGCCACCTGTGCCATGAACTGCACATACTCTTTCTCGCCACCCGCCCCCACTCCCTCCCCTCCCGGCGCTCCCTCGCTTCCTGCCCCACCAACCAGCCCAGGAACAGCAGTTGGCATGTGCACCCCCCCCTTGACTGCACCCGCTGACACTGCTGCTGCCATAGCTGCTGCTGCCGCTGCAGACGTGGGCGCCCATGAAGGTTGTTGTGCCGCCGCCGCTGCTGCTGCAGGATCCATATGGGGATAGAGAGCAGGGGGGCACGAAAGCTCCATGCCAGGAGGGGGCCCTGCTGCTGTGCCCACCTCGCTAGGCGCACCAGGAGGCGGGGTGGAAGTCCCAGGAGGCAAATCCACGTCCTCATACACTCCAGGCGGGCCCACCAATTCAGGGTACGCACCAGGAGGGGGGGGATAATCCGAACCAAATGCATGCGGCATATAGGCACCTGGAAGAGGGCCTGATGGGCCATACGGGGGGAAAGGCGGCGGGGGAACACCTTCGGGATACCCAGGAGGAGCATAGGGAGGAGGGACGTTGCCAGGAGGAGGTGGACCACAGAGCCCAAAGGGAGGAGGGGGGCCACCAGGAGGGTGAGCCCATGGGGGAGGAGGAGCAGACGGGTCCACAGACCCAGGTGGAGGGTAAGGGGGAGGGGGGCCATAGGGGGGGCGCATGGGGGGAGGGGCCATGTGCGGGGGAGGGGGACCATGGGGGCCAGGCGGGGGAGGACCAGCACCACCAGTAGCAGCAGCGCCAGGAGGACCGGAAGGCCCAGAAGGCCCATACGAACCAGGGGGACCAGGGGGACCAGGGGGGCCGGAGGGGCCGTGTAGACCAGGCGGGCCATGGGGACCAGCACCACCCGAACCACCACCGCCCGCTGCTGACCCTACTACCCCTGGCCCTCCAGGCCCGCCGGGACCACCAGGGCCGCTGCCCTGCTGGTTCTTGGCAGTGGAGCGCACGACTATGGTCTTCCCCTCCATGCGGTACCCATTCAGCCCCTGCGTCGCCGCCATTGCCGCCTGCTTCTCCACAAACCGCACAAACCCAAACCCCCGGCTCATGCCCGTGTTGCGGTCGCGGATTATCTTGGTCTCCTGAATGCGCCCATACGGGGCAAAGAGAGAGTACAGCGCTTGATCGTCCACAGACTGAGGCAGGTACCCCACGTAGAGATTACAGTCGTCTTCCACTCGGCTTGACCCCCTGCCCCCTCCCCCACCACGATCCCCACCCCCGCCCTGCTCACCGCCCCTCTCCCCTCGCTCCCCGCCTCCCCATCCTCCTCCGCGCTCCTCCCCTCCCCCACGCCCCCCTGCACCGCCATCCCCACCCTCTCCCCCAATCGGGCCCCCCACGCCCCCCCCCACCTCAGCCAGAAACGACATATACTCCTCATCAAGCTTCTGCCCCTGCGCTCCCCCTCCGCCCCCTCCGCCCGTGCCCTTCATGGGGCAATCAACAGAGGGATGCCCCCCATCCCCGCAGATCGTACACGTGACTTCCGACCGGAAAGTCGAGTGCCTCTCAGGGCAGTTATACTGCCTGTGGCCCTGCTCCCCGCACAGCCGGCACACCAGCTCCTCCTCTCGGATCGTGCCGTTGAGGGCCGCAAGCTCCCTCAGCTGGGCGCGCTTGTGCTCGTTGTGCCCCTCGTCCACAGGAACCAGCAGCTTCTGCACCATGCCTGCCGCCTCGTTAAGAGCTGCCTCGCTATCCGCCTCCACCAGCACATGCAGGTCCTCATTGTCTGCCGGGTCAGGCTTGAAATCCCTCCCTCCCTTCGCCGCCCGCCCCTCCTTCACCGACCCTCTCCCCCGGATCACAATCTTGGCCCCTGTCTCTTTCTCCATGCGCTTCTGTGTGTTGCCGCGCGGCCCGATAATCAACCCAATGAAGTTATACCCAGGGTATTCTTTCATGGGGATGAATAGCTTCTTGTAGTACTTGGGCGGCTTGTAATCCGCAGGCGGTTTGAACCCGGGGTTCTTCTTTATCATCTCCGCAATCACCTCCTGCCGCTCCCGCATCAGCTTCTCCTTCACGCGCTGCTCCCGCGTGTTCACTCTCACGCCCATGTTGTCGTATATCGGCTCGGGCGACGGGGACCGCTCCACCGCCCGATCGTCTGTGAGCCCAAGTGCAGCAGCCATGGCGCCTTCGATCCCCGCAGCAGAATCCCCAGCCAGATTCCCCGCCTGGAGCTTCTTGTTGATTTCAAGAAGGCGGATGTTGAGTGCTTGAACCTCGGGGTTGAGGTCTCCTGAGATTTCCCGCACGAATTCTGGCAGCTTGATGGATGACAGGAGGGCTGCGGCGGCGCTGGTCACTCCGCCAACACCAACGCCCACTCCTGCTGCAGCTGCAGCGGCGGGATCGCTGTCACCCCATCGGCTCTTACGCTTGCGCTGCCCCCCTGCGGTGTTGTTTCCTGTAGCACCTGCGTCTGCTGCTCCTCCTGCTGCCCCTCCTGCTGCTGCTCCTGCCTCGTCGCCTGCACCCGTTGCTACGGCTGCTGCTGTGTCTCCTTCTGCTGGGCCCCACCTGCTGCGCCTGCGCTTTCCTGTCTTGCCATCCCCACTGCCGCCAGCAGCACCAGCAGCAGCAGCAGCAGCAGTGGAGTTTGACGCTCCTGCGCCCACGCCCTCAGCTAGAACCACTCCTGCAGCAGCACTTGAAGGAGCAGCACCAGCCGCAGCAGCAGTAGTGCCAGCTGCAGGGAAGCCAGCACCCGTGGTAGCTGCGACGGTGGCAGCGTTCCCTGCTGCAGCCGCAGTGGGTGCAAACCCCAGCACAGGCTCTTCAGCAGGCTGCCAACGAGACCGGTGCCTGGATCCATCCATAGCCTTGGCTGGAGCGTTGATCCCCCCACTGCCACCGACAACACCACCGGGAGCAGCGCTGCCTCTGTCAGCACCGCCGACAGCAGCAGCTGCAGCAGCAGAGGCAGCAGCAGCAGCAGCAGCGGCAGCAGCGGCAGCGGCAGCGGCGGCAGCAGCAGCCGCATCAGCTTCTTGTGCGGCCTGTGCACCCCATGGCTTCTCAGCAGGCCCCACGTGCGCCTGTGGAAACTGAGGAAATGGGACACTGGCTTCCAAAGCAGACCCTGCGTTGGCCCTCCACGCTCCGTGCTCCCTCGACGCGCCCCTTTCCCTCGAGACACCCCTTTCCCTCGACGTGCCTCTCTCACCACCCAAGTCCCTCTCCCGCGAACCAATTCTCTCCCCCCTCTCCCGCGAAACGCCCCTCTCCCGCGACACGCCTCTCTCCCTGGACGACCACCGCTCCCTGGATCTCGCCCTCCTCTCAGACGACCCTGATCCACCCGCCATTCTCCCTTCCTGCTCCTCTGCACCCTCCCTCCCCCACTGCCTCTCCCTGTGCCGTCTCCTTCCCGCCTTATCTCCGCCCTCCTTCCCATCATAGTGATCTCCCTCGCTCGGCACGCCGCGCCTGCCCTCCCTATACTCCCGGCTTCTCTCACGCGGATCCCGCTCGCCCTCCTCGCGCTCATACCCGTGCTCCAAATGCTGCTCCTGCTCTTGCTCGTACTCATGCTCGTGCTCACGATCCTGCTCGTGCCTCGATCTCCTCCGCTTCTTCTTATGCCGATGCCCCTCCCCTCGCTGCGCATCCTCCTTGTCTCCCCCCCTCTCGCCTCGATGCTCACGCCTCTCCTCATGCCGCCTCTCCCTGTGTCGCCTGCGCTCCCTCTCCTGCTCGTACCCCACCCCCTCCCCCTCCTCCATCCGAGCATCAACATGCTGTCCCTCCTCCCTCTCCTCCTCCTCCTCCTCCTCCTCCTCCTCCTGCTTCACGATCATCTGACCCCTCACCCCGCCCACCTCCTCTCCTGCGCCCACCCTTTCAACGCCCCGCCACATGCCCTCCTCGTCGCCCCTTCCTCCCTTGCTCATCGCCGCACCCGTCACCCAGTGACGCTCGCCGTCGCCGTCACCTTCAGCGCCGCCCTCTCTGTGCGTGCGACCCCTCTGCGCCTCGCCCTGCGCGCGGCGGGAGAAGGACCGCTGGGGGTGGTGTCCGCGGGAGCCCTGCTCCGCGTCCATCCCGCCCCACTGCGCACGCCGCCCCCTCTCCGCCTCGCCAGACTCGCCACCGTTTCGCTCCTCCTTGCGCTCCCGCTCCTCGCTCCTGCGTCGCATCTGCTCCTGCTCCCGCCACCACTGCTCCCCGTGGCCGTAACCCGCATCCACCTGACCCTCCTCCTCTTCCTCCTCCTCAACTTTCACCTCTTTCACCGCTTTCTCCTCATCCTCCTCCTCTTTGTCGTCCCTGCTGCCTCCCTCACCGTGAATGCGCAACTTCCACCCGTCCTCCCCCTGCTCCTCCCACTCAGCAGAACCCCCACTCCAGCAGCGCTGCTCCCGCGCGGGCAATTGCGCATGTTTCTCTGCATTCCGCCTCCCCGATTCCGAATCCCGCGCGCGCTCCTTGGCCGACTGTCCGCCTCCAAAATTATGCGGAAGCGGTTCGTCCCGGGAGTGTGGCCGCGCCGCAGGCCCGCCCTCGTGCTCGCCCTCGTCGTGATCGCGATCTTGCACTGGAATTTCGCCTTCCGATAGCTCCCCTTCCTCCAGTCCCACTCCTGCACCCTCATTCGAGAGGCCGTGACCGTCGGCGGGAATTTCTTTCGCGCGCCCGCGTACCTTCTCCACGCCTGCTACGCCCCCCTCCTCCCCCTCCTCCGCCTCCTCCTCCTCCTCCGCGCCCGCAAAATTTCCCTTCTCAAAACTCCGGTCTTTCTCCCATCCTTCGCCGATCTCCTCACCTTCCTCCCACCCCCACTCTTTGTCGTTTGTTCTTCCCCTCTCACACCGCCTCTCGCGATGCTTCGGCCTTTCCCACACTGCCTCTTCTTCCGCACCTGCGGGCGCAGCGCGGAAGCTCGTGTGCGCACGTCCGCCGTGCGGGCGGTGCTGGCGGGACCGCTCCTCGCGCCGCTGCTGCTGCTGCTGCTGATACGGCTCATCCTCCTCCCACGCCGTGTAGTGTCTGTCCGCGCCTTCCTCACGCTGCTGCTGCTGCTGCGCGTGTCGTTGCCGGTGCTCCCCAGAGTCGTGCCTCCCACCGTGCTCCTCTCCGCGCTCGCGCGACGTGCGACGCTCGCGACTCTTGTCGCTCGTCGACGACTTGAAGCTTCGCACAGGGCCTCGGAGGTGAGGTGTCGCCGAATCCGCCGGTTTGTCATCTTCCGCAAAATAACCCGTCGGCTCCTGCCGCCATGCAGACTGGTTGTGGCCGCTGGAGTTGTGCTGCGCGCTCTGGAAAGATCGCTCCATGCCACGTGGACGGTGCGCCAGGCAACGAGATCTGAATCCTCAGGACAGGTTACAAATCTCGAAAATAACAGATCCCGATGGCGATTCGAGTATACTCCGGAGTTTGGCTGGATGCGACGGTAAGGAGAGCAGCAGGTCGGGTGACGGAAATGAAAAAATCACCGATGGAATCTCCGCAAAATGACTTTATTCACAGACCAAGTGAATTCAGGTTTTGAAGATCCTGGATCCTTAAAACCTAAATCGATTCCTGTTTGACTCCTTAAGCTAACCGTAAATTCGCGACGAGCTAGTTCCGGCAGCGGCAGAGATACAGTTGGCAAGAGAAGGACGAGAAGCCGATAGCAGCATCCATGATCAGTTGGACTAAGAATGGCATGAGATGAATGGTGTCAGGAGCAGACAAGCAGTCATCGCCTTGGCAAACAAGAAGCGGCTATTTGATCCAGCACGCGTGGATCCACCCGCACAGGAGAAAAGGGGAAACTCGACCCAAGCAGCTGGCTGTCTTGGGCTTGGCGACCCCAGCAGGGTGCAGCTGAAGCAGCTGAAGGCCCAGTACAGTCCCAAGGACTATCCCAGGACTTGGTCCAACCTCTAGGGCAAACCTCGAGATATGCACGCTTCTCGGTAAGTGTTTGGGCTCCGTAGATTCTACAACAATGTCCATGATATCACCCCAAGATGATATTCCATCCAAAACAACAGATAGTGAGGCAGCGAAGGTTGTATCAACCAAAAGTGAACACTAAAAAAAACAAAACTGGATGAAGAATCTTATGTCCACAGAAATGGTTCCAGTTAGGAGCAAAAAAAAACATTCTGGAGAACTTCTGCAGATACCAAAAGATGGAAACACTTTTGTCCATCATCCTGTTGCCAAAATGTAATCATGGATTCCCAATCAACTCCCTGCCTCCCTACAGTTGCTGACGATAAGTCAACTCAATAGTTGAAGAAGCACGAGGTCGCAACACCAAGGAGCGGACAGTGAGAACGAGCAGCACCTTTGAGGCGGTCCCCACAGCTCCACCATTCAGGCACAGCAATCCGCCACCGCCTAGCCCAACAGCAGCTACTGTAGCTGCTGGCATGAGCAAATGCCGAATTGCTGCCAGTGGCCTAAACCGCCTATCCCTCTTTTGCTGGTGCTGCTGTTCCTCATGTACTAGCTGTGTCTGACAATCCACACCCTCGATTGCGGGGCTTCCAGCTGCTGCCTGATAATCACCCGCACTTGTGTGCAGAGCTGCAGTGCCAACCGCATGCAACTTCTGGGCCTCTGCTACTGCTGCTGCCATGTCGAAGCTAGGAGCAGCAGTGGCGGTCTGGCGGCAATGAGCGTGGAAGGCAGCATCCGGTTTACCCTCAGGGATCAGGTGAGACGGCACCTGCAACACCAGAAAGCATACAAGGCAGGCAGTGGGAAATGCATGAGAACACTCCACACCAATGGCACAAGCAAAGCACCACAACACATAAAAAAGATGCATTAGGTGTTTACTTTCAGCGGCAAATACGGCCTTCAGCTGCCACTGACCTGCTTAACCACAGACAGCGGAGGCATAACGCGAGGTGGTGACGCGCTCGCTGCTTGCTCCAGCATGGCACTGTGAGCTGGCGGCTTGCCATGCGAGGGGCTGTGCTCCTTGATGTAAGCGCGCAGGTGAGAGTCCGTGCTGCGGATGTAGCCCCAAGCTCCTCGACGGTATGCCAGTTTGGCCATGTCTCTCTGCATGCCACTGTCCTCCTGCACCACCATGTCCATCTCTGCTGCTATCCTGCCGTCCGGGAGCACCACTGCATGGCACAGCACAGCACAGCACAGCACAGCACAGCACAGGGACGCGCACAGGGAGAGAGAGCAGAAGATGAGACCTCTGAAGGGACCTCAGGATCACTGCAGGATGCAGAGCAACAGCCGTTCAGAAGAGAATGCAAAGGCAGGTAAGGGAAAGAGCAGTGGGCGTACCATCTTTCATGCGCCACTCGGATCGGTACACGTCCACGCGCCGTGGCTTGTTCTTCCTGGGCACGTTAACATCCTCCACCGCCTTGGTGATACAGAAGAACGTCTCACCGTCGCCCTCGCCACCGCCCTGCACCCCCCCCGCTGCCTCCCCACTGCCGCCCTGCTGCCACACACGCCACGCGAGCACATACTCGCGGGGCGCGCAGAAGGGGTACTTGCGCTCGAAGCGCGCGCTCTGCACGCCGGTGGCGGGGCAGGCGAGGAGAGGCGCCATGGAGCGCAGCATGGGGTCCCAGCGCGGCATGTAGGCGCAGTCCGTGTAGAAGGCACAAGTGTCTCGCGCAGTTGCGCCAATGAAGCGAATGCGCGACCGGTACTCCGTCACACCTCCGTCCTGCAAAACGGAGAGCGTGCGCACACACACACGTGAATACACTCACTACACATAGGCAAGTATGGCTGACGTGGCACGTGATCATACAAGTGAATCCCAGGCCCTGAGTCGATCATCTGACGCGTGACCCTTCCACCACACGCCCCTCACACCCGTCCCATCCACCCACCCGCTATCACCATGCACTGCCTGCACTACTCAACAGTTCCAATCCACCCCCCAGTTCCTCTCGCCCCTGCACCTCCCAGGCACCTCCCAGCCTCTCCTACCTGCGGGTCGCGGCGCCACGTCAAGTACTCGACGTCGGTGCTGTGCTTGTCAATGATCATCTCCCACGGGCCCTGCTCGTCGTCGTACGACCAGTCCAGCCGCAGCATCAGCGCCGCCAGGTCCCGCGTGCCCACCAGCGCCGTCGCCTCCCGCAGCTCCGCCTCCACCGCGCGCGCGTCCGCGGCGTGCAGGCGCGCCAGGGCAGGGTCGGCGGGCCCGGGGAAGCCCATGGCGCGGTCTCGCAGCTCCGCGGGGTCGCTGTTGATGAGGCGCAGGGGCGCTGGGTCGGACACGGTGCTGTGGAGGCATAGGGGGGGCGGAGGGGGAAGGGCGGAAAGAGGTGGGTTGAGACGCGAGACGGAAGGGGTAAAGGAGCCTAGGAGAGGCGCGGAAAAGCAGAAAGGGATGATGGGGAGTAAGAACCAGACCAGAATAGGCTCATGGGTGAAATGTGTAGCAGAACGTGGCATACGCAGATTTACAATAGGTGCGCTATCTGCATACCTCATATCATCGAGGCATGACTCGCTATGGACCGTGGGCAGAGCAGCCATGGACCGTGACGCCGAAGAGAAGAGCTGCGACAGGCTCTGGAAACACGGGTGGAAGAAGGAAAAGGAGGGAACCGTTGAGATACAAGGGTGACGGGCGAACAAAAGCTCAGGAAACTTCCGAGCACAATGCAGCAAAGAATAACGAAACACAGTCACAGCCACGAGAGTCGCAGGGACGAATCACGGCAGCAGCACAACAATACATACCCTGACGAGCACGGCAGGCGATTCTCCGAGCGACAGCGACACAGGCGACTTCATCACGCTCTGCGACCACTGCGCCACGTTGCTCCACGCGCTGCTGCTCGCGCTGCTGGCGCTGCTCAGCCCCAGAGAGATGCTGCTGGAAAGATTCATGCTCATGCTCCGAGGCAACGTCAGGCAGAGGCTGCTCGGCAGGCTACGGGACAGCGGCAGGCCCACCGCTTTCACCTCTTCCTCCGCCCGAAGCTCGAGCTCCCGTACCTCCTCCCCCTCCTCCTCCTCCTCCTCCTCCTCCTCGTCGCTCGACACGTCGCTCAGATCGTCGTCCGAATCCAGGCGAAGAAACGCGCTCGCACGCGTCGACGACACGCCCAGGCCCGCGGACGGGGCTGCGAGGGGCATCGGCGATGCCGCTATGAGCGGGGGAAGGGATGTGACGGACTTCTCGCTGCCGACCGTCGATTCAGCTCCTGACACTGTCGACGAGTCGGACTGCGCTGGTGAAGGGGAGGGCGTGGCAGAGGATGTGTAGGAGGAGGAGAATGGGAACCAGTACCCGGGCAGGCTGATGCTGGACGGGAAAAAACCACCACTGCTGCTGCTGCCGCTGTTGTTGCTGCTGCTAATGCTAGGCTCCATGGTGCTTTGTGCAACGACGGATTCCGGGACGACATGGGGAGAAGGGGTGCAGGTAGACGAAGTGCTAGCCGGCGGCGGGGTGGCCGAGCGGCTGGAGAAGGAGAAGGAGAACCAAGCCGACGAGCGACCGGCGCCGCTCGAGCTCGGCGTCGCCTCGACCTTCGTTTCCTCCTGGCCGACGCGCTCGCAGGCAGACACCTCCGGGGTAGTGCTGCTGGCGCTAGTAGCCATGCTGCTCTGCTCGCTCTCGCTCTCGCTCTCACTGCAGGAAATGGTCGCCCGTGGAGCTGCGGGCAGGGGGGAGAGCTTGAGGGTGGCAGCGGCGGCTGCACAGAGGGCCGTCATGAGGAATAAGATGAGCAGCGACACCTGATTGTCGGCGCCGTTCGACAGGTGCCACAGCGAGAACGCTGAGGCCTCGAGAACCCTGCGGACAACACGATGGAAAGGCAAGGGCAGAAAGAAACATTAGAAACATTGTGACGAGGACCGCCTATTTTATTCTTCCAAATTAATGACCCAGGTTAGTGGAAATAGGCAGACCAGGTGATTGTGTTTGGGAAACGGGCTGAGGACAGCACCTGATATCAGCTGACAATCCCAGCGAGGAAAGCAGGTCCAGGATATATGTGGGCGATCCGTATGCCGCCATGTGCGCTCCTGCCATGGCTGTGACGCTGAGCCCTGAGCCGAGGACCACCACCGACGACCAGCCGCTCTTTCCCTGAGACTGAAGTTGCAAATCCTGGGACTGGGCTTGTGAATCCCGTGACTCTTGTTGCGAATCCGGCGCCTGAGGTTGGGAATCCCGCGGTGGAGGCTGCGAATCCCGCGTCTGAATCAGTGAATCCTGCGACATCCGCTGTTGACTAGCGGAACTGCTGGTGAACCTGATGAGAAATGAAGAAGATGCGAGAGAAAAGCCGAGGAAGATACCTGATTAGTTTCAAAAATAATGAAACGAGAGACTGAAACAAATCAAGTATATTAAACAGCCCAATGTGACCCAGAACATTAAGGTGAGAGACACTCACAGGTCAGTGGCCGCTGTAAGCTGGTCCGCGTTCACGAGAAGACCTTTAGCTGAACTGGCTAGTGAGGCCATGCCAGCCGATGGAACCAGAGAATCTGACTGAGCATTCACGCAGCGAATGACGGACGGGATAGAGCTTGTTCCGCGCTGCAAATCGGCGTACTGCCATGATCCAGCAACAGACGCGACTGCCGTTGCCTCCTGTTCACCCATGCAGTGCAGGGTCACGGCGGGGAGGACTCCGCAGGTACTCATGGCTACCGAGAGAAACCTACACAAGAGCGAGTGTTGAATATGGACCTGTGATTATAAGCAGCCTGTGAGATGTGAGGTAGGAGGTGCTTTCACAGTTTGAGCTTGGGGTACAGAACAACTAAACCGCTCTGGTCCTCCGGGGAGCGACAAGCAAAGCACGTCCTCTGAATAAACACCAACAACGGTGTTGAAATACGCCGCAAGTCAGGGCGAGTCGAGGGGATTTCACTCGCCCAACGACGAGAGCACAGCAAAGCAGACACGACGGAATGCTGGTTGCTAGGGCTCCGTGCTGCAAAGAGATCTGAACCACAAAATATAGGCGCTTCCCCCTAGTGGCAAATGCGAGGAGGCAGATGAATACGTACGCCCTCCTCTGCCTCGAAGCACACACACGGGTGCTTTCTCTCCTAGCCTAGGACATGGGTTCCCTCCGTGCCTGCTGGATGACAGCGTGGTGCGAACAGGATGTGCGTGCTCCTTTCTCCTCCTGCTCCTTGCTGCTCCATCGCAAGGCCCAGAATTCTCCCTGCATGGTACAGAAACGAAATGCCACTGCGGAGGCGCACAGAGGAGCACAGGCGGGGCGGAGTGGACAGGCGGAGATTGGAGGACGTGGATTCCGCGGACCCCGTCGCATCGTGGATTTCACTGTGTGCCCAGGGCTGGGCAGTTCTCTGCGCTGCTGAAAGTGGATTGGTTCGGATTCCGCGAGGATTCTGATCTGACGACGCGTGAAAGTTTTTGCTTTGGGGGCTGATGTCTCATCTTGCGCACGCTGAAGTCCCTTTCGCGCGCTGAAGTTCTGTTTGCGCCTTGGGCCTTCCAAAGGGCGGAAAGGGGATAAGGAATCAAAATATGCGGGGCTGATGTGGCTGGCGGGATGATGACGCTCGCACGGGTGGGCTGCGGTGTGGAGGATTTGGTTTTTCTGTGGAGATGTCTGACGTGGACGTCACCAATATTATCAGCCTGAATCACGACAACGATGATATTGACGTGGGACGGATGTTTCTCTTGATCAAGAGCACACACTCTCGATCCCCGACGTGGATTGAGGGCAGTACATGCTGGCGCTGCTCTGGAAATACGCCCGCCTGGTTTGGAGACCACGGAAGCCACGCATGAAACCCGCTGAATCTTAGGAAGCCAGTTATCTTGAGAGGTTCAGTGGGGAAGATCCGGTCGTCCTACCCAGAGAGCAAGGCCGAAAACATGCTTGCTCTGATTATGTGTACATCACCCCCGCAAGTGGTACGCCGACCACGGACCTGAACCAACCTACACCGGGCACCAATAAGGTTTGTTGCCTGCTTGCGGAATGCTCACGCCATCCAATTGACACGTGTGAGTGCACTAAAAGAATGCTGCGATTAATGACGGCGACATGAAAACTATGACCACTTTGTGGATAGTACTTTCGTTCAAGATGCTGTTGGGCAACTTTGGGCAACCAACTAATGTTACCAATACAAAGAACCATGCATGCTCGCAAAGAATGCCTAGTCTCCTGAATGTACTATACCACTTACAACGCAAGACGCATGCCTCTTCCAGAAGTAACGTCATCAGTGTAATGCGAATTATTAGGTATGGGGCAATACAAAAATCCAGTGTCTTGAATGTCTAGAGCTGCAGAGGGATGGAAAAGGCCTGGCCTGGTGGGTCAAAGATTGCTTGTGAGTTCCAACTTGCAAAGTTTGGACCTCATCGATGGCTGTGGGGTGGCATGAGTGAATTCAGGCTGTTGGTTATTCCAACACAGGCATGCCATGGAAAGCAGGCGTGGCAATATGTAGCCTGGGCACCATACCGGATGGATGGAAGAGGCTGCTTTGGTCCTGTGGTTTAATGGTAGGAACTGATGCCAGTGTGCATGTGTCATGCTTGCTTGCTGTTGGGAGCAAATCAAATAACAGAGGTCTAATTCCTTTGAACCGTTCTTTGTTTGCCAAGTCGCTCTGTGCTACAAAGAAACATGCTTCAGCTGTGCAACTGACTCGTTTGTGGAAGTCTGACTGGCTGCCTCGCTGGTTGGTTGGTAGGTTGGCTCATTAGCTGGTTGGCTCGTTGGCTGTCTGGTTGGTCGACTGGCTGGTGGTAGGCTGATTGGTAGCTGTATGATTTGTTGGCTGGCTGGCTGGTTTGCTGGTTGACTGTCAGGCTGGTTGGTTGAACGTTTGTCAGTTGGATGGGTTGCTGGATGGTTGGCTGGTAAATTGATGGCCGGCTGGTTGGCTGATATGCTGGTTGGCTGGCTAGCTGGTTACCATAATTGGCTGGTGGGCTGGTTGGTCAATGGGGCTGTTCATCCAGGTACTAGCAAGCAGGGGAGGAGGGCGAATGAGCTGTACCGTATTCGTCAGATGGTGCGATGCATTGATAGATACACCCTGTTTTGTTGCCACTGCCTGCCAGTGTCATTCCTACCTGCTTGCGTGTACCGGTAGCTCCACCTCACTCTTGCTCAAGGCCGTGCACGAGCGCTTGGCCGAAACAAGCCATGCTCCCACCCACTGTTGCCACAGCACGGCACAACACCTGCAGGAGGACGCTTTGTGCTGCATGGGTGTTTGTGCCCGGGTGCCTCCCAAGGTGCCCACCCCACCCACTTATCCTACATTACGCAGAAGCTTCCAAGCAAAGCAATGCGCGACACATGTCGTCCACCCTCGCACATCAGCACATGTGGCCCTACACATCATGGCAATAAAGGCGCTCTGAACCCTTGTGAGCTGAGCTGCACACGGGACAGCAATGGGGGATGAAAGAGGTGGGAGCGAAGAGAACAGGGAAGCGCAATGCAGCGTAAGAGAAACAACTGCAATACTGGGCTAAGCATAAATCAAGCTGATCAGAAGGTGCAAGGGGATTGTGTATCGAAACAGTGAAGCAAGCAGTAAGTGGGAAATGGACACGAGTGAGGCAACCACATTCCCCCCTGCAGAACCCCCCATCACACCTATCTTTCATAATGCACAGAACTGCTGTCGTTGCCTTGCCACGCCCCCCCTGACAGAAATGGATCATGGAGACGAGGGGGAGAAGAGGCAAGGCATAATAGGATACAGAAAGGCAAGAGACGAGGCACACAAGGACAAGGTTTGAGGGTGACCGGCACGACATGGTAAGACATGAGAGCTGAGGCGATGCTCAACATAAACAATGTAAGAGCTTGGGAAAACTGTACTCACTCCTCCATTGCTGCTGCAGCAACCACTGCAGCTGGCATCGATGCTACAACAGATGCTGAACCACAGCTGTTGCTGCCCGTGAAAAGGAGGAAAAAGATAGCAGGTGTTGGAATCGGGTGACGAACAAGAGGAGGGCACAGAAGAGGAAAGGGTAGGAAAGGAGTGGTTTGATAGCTGAGCAGAGTGGCATGAACATCTGGCAACACGGCAGCAAAGACAAACGGGCAGCAAAGACACACGGGCAGCGCAGTGAAAAGAATCTAGATACGACAGCTACAGCTGAAGCAAAAGCGTGAGCACGGCGAATGGAGAAAACGCTACTTGATCTGATCCACTCTCAACTCCTTATGTGCTGTGTTGAAAAGAACCATCTGCCACATTCGCAAGGATTGCAGGCCAAGAGGCATCCTCACAAACGCATCAGCATGCACACGCACACTCCTCCTCCCTCGCCCCCCCTTCCCTCCCCTATAACACACACATACACACACAAGCACATGCACAAACACAGCAGCAGTCAATGCGAGAAAAGCAAGGCGAGAGAAGGAGGAGCCACTGGTGGAGGCACAACCACAAGCCACAGACCCCCAAGGGAACCTGAATGGGGAAACCTGAGCGGGCTGTGAGGCCTAAAGGGGACTGAACCTGAACCTGAGGGGTTACCTACAATAGGAGGGGTCTGCGGCTTGTGAGTTCAGCCAGCACCAACCAGTGGCGAGTTTTCAGAGACGAAAGCAGTGACGCACATGCAATACAAGTGATGAGCGCCTGGCATAAAAAAAGTAGGAGAAAATACTTAGCTGGATAGTCAAGGCCCCGTTGATACTGCTGACCTGGATAGTAAACGCTTCTGCTGTTTACAGGCCAGCAACGAAAGCCTGCCCGCACATCACGCCCGGTCCTCTCCCTGCCAATTCCCTCCGTTTCGCACGTTGTGAGGCACACACACGCAAGGGGAGAGATGCACGCAGACAGAAGCGGGGCAAGAAGGGAGGATTAGAAGCAGCAGGAGGAGAGTGGAGGTGGCAAGGGCAAGAGACACGACTGTTGCCTCTGCGCGGCGACGCTCTATGACCCACTTCACTGCCCCCCTGCACGCACCCCCTGCCATGTACCTCGCTCCGTCCATTGCACTGCTGCTCCTGCGCCTCGCCTTCCCCATGTGCTGTCGTCGCACCACGCCTCCCCCCCAAGAAGCACCATGTCTGCTGCTCCAGGTTGCTTGCTTGCTGCAGTCGTTTCCCTCCTCACTGCCCCGTCTGCGTCGCTGCCTCTGACGCCCCGAAACACACCGATGGTCCACACTATGCCACTCCGCATGCACCAATGCCCAGCTGCACCATGCACGGGCTTGGACGCCGTGACTCAGACACTTGCTGACACACGCGTGCATGCAATAACAGAACCACAGAAAAGAAGACTACAGGAACTAGGTTAGTAGCAGCAAGAGCGGAGCAAGCAAGGCAGCAAGCAACTGACTGAAGACTCTGCGCTGGCGGCGCTCTACGACCGGCTCTCTCCCCCAGCAGCTCTGCCCACAACACTCACAAGGCCAAAGAGCCCGGTCCGCCCTCCTCGTGTGTGTGACAGCTTGCTTCGATGGGGAGCAGCTACTGCCTCCACGTGGCCTCTGCACCTTGACCATCACAAAGCCACGTGGCCATTCTCCTCCGTGTCGCAGGCCACGGGGCACACACATGCAAGGGAAGAGAGACACAAACACAGAAGTGGCACAAGTCGGGAGGGTGAGAAGCAGCGGGAAGCGAGTGGTGGAGGCAAGGGCAAGAGGCACGACTGTTGCCTCTGCGCGGCGACGCCCTACGACTCACTTCACGGCCCCCCCGGCACGCACCCCCGGCCACGTACCTTGCTCCGTCCGCCACTCCGCCGCTCCTGCGCCACGCCTTCGCCCCCCGCAGCACCACCCTGCTGCTGCCCGTGCTGCAGGCATTCGGTTGCTGCAGCCGTTGCTAGAGACAGCAAAGAGAGACATCGAGTGAGAAGGGGCGAGGAAACATATCATTAGAAAGGCAATCAGCTAGGGATACAAGAAAGAGAAGGAGGAACACAAAGGACAAGGATGAAGGGAGATGGGTAAGACATGTAGCCTGGATAAGAACGCATGATAAGACAGGCAATAATAAGCAACCAACACTCACTCGCTGCATTGTAAGTGCTGCTGCAACAACCGACGCAAATCCAATTGACTTTGTAAGTGACGCTGCCACCACTGCCACAGATCCTGTGTCTCCTGCCACGCGCCTTCGCCCCAAGCAGCACCACCCTGCGCCCAGCTGCTCGTCCTCCGCTGCTATTGTTGTTGCTACTGCTACTGCTGCTGCTACTGCTACTGCTGCTGCTACAGACGGCCCTGAATCACACTAACGGTGCTCCAGGGTGCTTGGAGTCGTTTCTCTCCTCTGCATCGCTGCCTCCAACGCCCCTGAACCACACTGACGCTGCACATGCTGCCTCGGCTTGGACGCCATGAAGCAGGCACGCACAGACACACACACATGTGCACAAACAGAACCACAGACAAGAAAAGCACAAGAGCTAGGTTAGTTGCAGGCGGAGAGGAGCAAGCGACCAAGGCAGCAAGCAACTGACTGACGACTCTGCGCTGGCGGCGCTCTACGACCGGCTCTTCCCCCCAGCAGCTCCCCCCATGGCACTCACCAGACCACGCCCGGTGCGCTCTCCTCGTGCGCGCGCTAACATGTGTCCAGGCAGAGCAACGATGGTTGCACGACACCACGAGACTCTGCTGATGGAAATCTAGATAGATGCATGTTGCACTCCGTTCTCTCCCTGCCAACCCCTCTGTGTCGTCGCTGCCCGTGACAATCCCGAAACACACTGACGCCGCACACCATGCCATACCGCGGGCACCACTGCACAGCTGCACCACACGACCGACCACTCCTGCACAGGCTAGGAGGCCAAGAGGCAGAAGCTTACAGACACACGCATGCATGCCATAACAGACACACGAATGCATGCCATAACAGACACACACAGAGACAGGAAGAAGTAGCTTGTTAGTGGCGGTAGGAGAGGGGAGGGGGACTAAGCCAAGAGAAATTAGGCTGAGACTCAGCGCTGGCGGCGCCCTACGACCTACTCGCCCCCCCAGAGCCTCTCCCCGTCGCACTTACAAGGTCGAGCACAGTCTGTAACTATCGTATGACGACGGAAATAGCAGCTCCGTCGCTCTGATGCCTGAACCGCAGCTCCGTCTCGCATGGGAAGAGACGCACGCACAGAAGTGGCACAAGAAGGGAGGGTTAGAAGCAGCGGGAAGCACGAGGTGGGGGCAAGGGCAAGAGTCACGACAATTGCCTCTGCGCGGCGACGCCCTACGACTCACTTCCCTGCCCCCCCCTGCACGCAACCCCTGCCACGTACCTCGCTCCGCCCGCTGCTCTGCGGCTCCTGCGCCACGCCTTCGCCCCGAACAGCATCCTGCTGCTGCCCGTGCTGCAGACTGCTCGTCCATCGCTGCTCATTCTGATACTGTCGGTGCTCTCGTCGCGACCCTCTCCGCGTTGCTGCCCGTGATGCTTCTGAAACAGACTAACAGTACACACCATGCCACGCCGCCGCTCACGCACAGGCTTAGAGGCCCGGGTACAGGCACTCGCAGACTCACGCGCACATGCACAGCCAGAACCACAGAAAAGAGGACCACAAGAACTAGGTTAGTAGAAGCAGGAGAGGAGTAAAAGAGCAAGGCAGCAAGCAACTGACTGACGACTCTGCGCTGGCGGCGCTCTACGACCGGCTCTCTCTCCCCCAGCAGCTTCCCCCAGTGACTGGCACTTACAAAGGCCAAGCCCCGGTCCGATCTCCTCGTGTGCGCGACAGCATGCTTCGACTCGAAGGCGGAGCAGCCACCGCCGCACCACGAGGCTCTGCTGACTGCAAGAAGGCCAGGTGGTCATGAAGCGTTGTCGCTTTGACATGCCTCTCCTCCCGAGTCGACAGCCCCGTGGTCGGCCATGGTGGGCCGCCGTTATGAGAGCGTAGGCGACAGAAGGAAGCGGATAGCAACGGCGTCTGTTGGTGGGCTGTCCTTCTTGTCGACGCGCACTGGGCTGTCCATGTTTATCCACGGTCAGTGCACGAGGTGACGTTGAGTTGACTCAGAATAACAAATATGTCTCTTCACGAGCGAAGTCGAGAAAGGTGGGTGAGCGACGTATTTATATTTCATCAAACATTCGCTGGGGCGACCGCCGGGGACGATACGAAGAGCGGCGACTAAGAGCGTCAAGAGCAGTCGCGTCTGTCGCGAGAATCCATGCCACCATCTTATCCTGACGTCCTCCTAACGTCTGTCGTGAAGTATCTACTACTAGCGTGGATCTTATTATCCGCCGCTGTCGTAACATCCGCCTAACCACCTGTCGTGACATCCGCGTTAAGTTTCTAATTATCCCGGTTTCACACAACTAATTCATGGTGTCAGCTGTGTCACGAAATTAGAGCAACTACGATGTCGAGACGGACCCGCCAACAACAAGAAAAATGCTGGGAAAGACCTGGAAAGTGAGATCCAGTCCACGGTACAAGGAGGGTGTACCTCCATCCACCTACTTGTCGCCGCCGTTCAGAGCACGAGAATGTCTGGCCTAGCTCAACAGGCGTCTGGGATGGTGTGTGGCTGAGTGAGTGCCGAGCGATGGCTGCTCACGGTGAGTTTCAAGGGAAGTCGGGGAGTGGACTTGGTTGGGTTGGGTTGGGTGGAAAGGATTAGAAAAGTTTCATTTCAGGAGAGCGCGTCGCGGGGATTGGCTGGGCGAGGCGGTGTCAGGTTCAGGCAAGACAAAGTTTGAACCGTTTTGGAGGGAAAACTGAATGCTTGATGCGGGGAACCGAGACCGAGACACAGTAGGTGCTTCGATATTGTAACGGCGCTGGTCCTTTGTACGCAATGCTGAAAACTGGCTCAAACTGTATGAGATAGAATAATAACACTTCTGCACATATCAGTCACTCACTACAGCAGTCCTCCCTCCCACCCAAACCAACTATCAAACACCACCACTCCTCCCTCCCGCACAACCACCCTCCCATTCCTCCGTTCCCTGCAGGGTCCGTGTGTTTGTAGCCATGGCGTGCCTCCTTCGGCCGCTCCATCTGCCTCACGGAGCGTATTTCCCGGCCACTGCCATCTTCGCGCGCGCGTGCTTTACAACTGCTCGCTCCTCGTCGCTCTCTCGAGCCCACTCTTCTGTTAAGCCTCCCTCGCATTACCATCTCTCGACGTCTCAATGGTCGTCAACAGCAGCAACAGAAAGGACGGTTGCAGCCGCTTTAAGCGCTTGCCAAGGCCCTTCTCTCGTTAGCTGCGGAGGCGCTAACCCCCTGTATGGCCCGGTGAAGCCGCTCGATAGAATCACGGCGTCCGCTCGGCTTTCCAGAGGGAGCAGTAGCATCGCGTCGTGTGCGGATCGGATTGAGATTTCCAGCGCACCTGCAGCGATTTGTGGGCCTAGCTACAGCCGTTGCTGCTGGCACGGAGGGGCCGGCCGGCCGGCCGGGGAGTCGAGACGGGAAGTCCGGTCTGTTGCGACGTCGCCGGTGGTGCAACGGCTGCAGGAGGGGGAGGTAGCGCAAGTGGAAGGGGAAACGGGGAGAGATGCGGAGGATGGGGGAAGCACACGCGCGGGGTCGACAGGTGATAGTGTGGAAGGCGAGACCGGCGGTATTGACGAGACTGAGGTATGCACTGAGTCGATTCTTAAAGCCTCGAAAACCTATGGATTTTTCCCGAGTGCTGAATTCTCTATTTCCCGCACCTCTGTCCCCTACCTCTGATCTGCTCCGCCATAGCCTCCCTTCCTCTCCACTCCCCGCTCGCCCTCCCCGTTACCCCTTCCCTGCTTCTGTGGGTCCCGCGTGGCAGGCGGCGGTAATGGCAGCGCTTGAGCAAGGGTTGGGGGGGCCGTTGAGCAGAGAGGCGGTGGTGCCGCCGCCACAGCCGCTGGTGGTGGTGATTAGCGGGCCCAGCGGTGTGGGGAAAGACGCTGTCATCAAGGTACCCGCCGGCCCGACGAACCGTTGCTACCTGTCGGACTTTTTCTCACTTCCCTTACCAGCACGCACTTCCCCAACTCTTCCCCTCCTCCCCGCCCCCCTTCCCTCCGCTCCCTCACTCCCCCGTCCCTTCTCACCCCATCTACCCCTTCTCTTCTGTCTCCATTTCCTTTGTTCCCCTCCCTTCCTTTCTCCGCTTTTCTTCGCTAGAAATATTCCGCTGCCCACACTCTCTCTCTTTAGTCACGGGATTTAGAAAGCATATCTCATGCATGCCTTACAGCGCCATGCCAACAAGTACATGCCACTACCATGATCGGACATTCCCCTCCTCCACACCCCCTAACGTGTACATTCATGGCGGTGTGTGCATGCGTGCATGACCCCCTAACGTCCAGTGCCTGCAAGAAACCCGCCCTGACATCCATTTTGTCGTCACGGCAACATCCCGGGGGCGCAGAGCCGGCGAGGTGGATGGCCAGGATTACATCTTTGTGTCGCGTGAAGAGTTTGAGGCGATGAGGGATGGGGGCGAGCTTCTGGAGCATGCTGTTGTGTACGGCGACTATAAGGGCATCCCCAAGAAACAGGTGCGGCAAGGTCGAAGCATGGCTCTGTGTTGAGTGGGCTGGTGGAAGCGACCTGGTGACGATCCTGGAGCTGTATACATGTGTGAGTTGGAGTAGTGGTTTCTATGCTTGAGCGGCTGTTGAGGGACACACCAGGCGATGGGGTAGGTGTGAGTGAGCGATGAATGCATGACCTGTTCCGAAGCATTTCGAACCGGTAGTGTGAATATGATGGACTGATTAAGAATGCGGGGTCATTGTTGCAATGCTGGAAGGAACATCTCTTGGTCTGTCCCCCCATCCAGGTGCGAGACTCATTGGCGCGTGGCACAGACGTGGTACTGCGGATAGACGTGCAGGGAGCAGCCACCATGCGCTCGCTCCTCGGGTCCTCTGCTGTGTTTGTCTTCCTAGTGGCCGAGACCGAACACGCCCTGGTGCAGCGCCTGGTGCGCAGGAAGAGCGAGTCCGTGGAGAAACTGCTGGTGCGCGTGGGCACGGCGCGAGAGGAGCTGGGGCGACGAGGGGAGTTTGACTATGTGGTGGTGAATGCGGAGGGGCAGTTGGAGGCCACTGTGGACACGCTGTGTTCGATCATTGACGCGGAGAAGCTTAGAGCGCATCGCCCTACTTTGCTAGAGCTGTGACTGCATATAGTGGCATGTCTAAATGGTGTTGGTCTAGTGAGAAGCGAGGGTAGGTGTAATTAGGTGCGGTTATGTTGCTTTCTGTATGTTAGCAAATCTCTCTTAAACGTCTTAACCTAGTAACTGATGGAAGATGCTTGGGAAATTAAAAAAGTTGTGCTTATTTCATGCTCACCTTCCTCCAACCATTCTGAGTTCTATAGCTATGAAATAGTTGTTAGATTTCAGTAATATGTCTTTTGACAGGCTGGTCGCCAGGGTAGCGACCTACTGTATAGGGTCAGATGCATCTTGCATTGACGTGGTTACTACCAAGAATGTCATTCTGCCAAGCGCCTGCTCGGCTCGGGCAGGAAACACGTTGGCTTCATCCACCTGGAAGCAAAGCGTGGTGTCATTCAGCCACGCCATCACCTTCTCGTGCCAGTTCAGCCTTCAGCATTAGCTGGGCACAATTCGTCAAGAGCCAACCTACACCACTGGTTCGTTGCAGTGTAAGCATCTGCGGACCCAAATCTTCTGCGATACATTCGCGAAGCCTCTCGACGAATCAGATATTTCGTAACATCTTGCTGACGTTCAGCGAGACTCCATCCGAAACTTGCGCACACTCTCGCGCGGTTTCCGCCTTGCGCGATACCTTCCGCTCGGCGTGCCAAGACCCGCGCAGCCCCCTTCCCTCACTCGTCCTTGTTCCCCTTCGGTGTTTCCTAAGAGCCGCCATATCTCTCCAATCACGCAATCCGACCAGTGTGCAATTCGTTGTGCTTCCCTTGGTTCCTCCGCTCTCTCCGGCATACATTGAAATTTTGTCCTTCGACCCACTAGACCACGTCCTAAACGCTTCTATGGCGTTCGCTTCGTACGCGGCTCACCAATTGGCGGCTTCCTCCAGCTTTCTGGCTGGGTCGTCTCTACCTTCCAACAGCAGAGGGTTCGCCAGCAGGAGCGCCCGGCCCTCTTTGACCGTCAGAGCAAATGGTCAGTTCAAAAATTAAGAAGCACGTATGTTCTTACTAAGTTTTCTTCAGTCTCGAAGCACGATGTTGTTTCAAGTGCTGACTCTCCTTTTGTGGAAGCCGTTGTTCTTGACTTGTTACGGGCGTCACGTGGACTTCATGTTTTGAGAGCTCGGATATGCTGTTTCCAAATTATCCAAATGTCTCAACATTCATCCCGAAACTATTCCATACGAGACATCGCTAGCTGGCTAGCTTAATTACAACTCAATCTCGAAATTTGTTTTTGGCAGTGGATGTGAGCCCGGAGGACCATGCTTTGGAGATTATGCGGAAGTTCAGCGAGCAGTACGCGCGACGCACGGGCACATATTTCTGCGTTGATAAGGGTGTGACGTCCGTGGTGATTAAGGTGCGAGTCGTTTTGGCTGAGGGGCACTGAATTCTTCGCTTGACGATTGCGTGACTGCTCGTGGTTTGCGTGTTAGGGTTGTGAAAGGAGGATGTGAATCCTTGATGCCAAATTGTTTGGACGTTCAAGTTAGTGTATCAGTATTCGCATCTGGTACCGTATTTTTTTGCCTTTTTGCAGGGATTGGCGGAGCATAAGGACACTCTCGGAGCGCCATTGTGCCCGTGCAGGTGCGTGTTCGCTACTGTACTGGAGTCGGCATTCACTTTTGTTGGTTGTTCCTGTTTTTTGTGGGGGGCGGAATGGGGGTGTGGGTTGGGGTAACAGATAATTTGTTCTGAAATTTTAACAACTGTTGCAATTTGTCTAATCAACACGTCGCTTTGCTAACTTATGCCGGTTTTGAATTTCCCTTTCTGGTGAGCAGGCACTATGATGACAAGGTGGCTGAGGCGCAACAAGGCTTCTGGAATTGCCCATGTGTGCCGATGAGGGAGAGGTGAGTGAGGAATCGTAGTTGCTGGGCGCCGTTTTTGGTCGTGCCGCATTGGGAGTTCATTGTTGGCATAGCAGGTGGTTGTGTGGTGGCTGATAGGTCGGACTCGCACGTTGACCGCTTCTAATCTATGTGGTCTTCCGTGGTGCTTTCAGGAAGGAATGCCACTGCATGCTCTTTCTCACGGAGGACAATGACTTCGCTGGAAGAGAGCAGGTAGCTTTCCTTCTTACTGTTTTTTCTTCAGTGCTGTGGAGTACTCCTTATTGTACCCTTCTGACATACTTCTGTTTACTTGTTTTCAGGCTATTACTTTGAACGAGATTAAGGACTTCACAGCTGGTTTCTAGTTTCTCTACTGCTGTATTTGTGATTTGGACTCTTCTCCAATTTACCTTTTAATGAATCACTTCAGTCACTACCTTGCAGTTACCAGCGTTGGTGTACAATCTCTCACATCATAGTTCCCTGCGTAGTACTCATGAATTGCTCTTCATAACAGTTGCATTACTTGACACAAGCCATGTGACGTTTGAGAGGCCTTAGAATTATTTTCAGCTGGATATGGTTTTTGCCTGGATATGGTTTCAGCTGGATATGGTTCTACTACACTGCCTACATCTTGTTCAATCAAGCCAGTTCACCTAAGCCCACTCTTGGAATTCTGAATCAGAGCCAAAGAAGCAATTTTTCTGAAAACATAATGCTAGCACTGTACACTATCGCTACATTACGAGTGAACTGATTGTTCTCAACTAGATGAGAAAATATTGTATCGGTACATAGGCAAGGCACTCTGCCTTAAACAACCTGAAGATCAGTTTCCGACACACTTCGTAGGCCATAAAAATGCTAGATGCCCTAATTGAGAATTCCATCACTCAGTCGGCTTCTTGCTGTCGGTGTTGCTTACCTGTGTGGCTCTAGGGGTGGACGGAACGAGGCTGAAGCTGGTAGTGTGGGAGGAGGGGAAGTCCATGGATGGAGCAAAGGAGGAGCCTGCAGCACGGATGCGAGCACCCACTATCCACCACAAATCGTCTGCCAAGACAAGAGCAGTGCAGAGTGGAAAGCCCGAGCATGGAAAGGGTTTAGGAAAATGGAAGTCATGGGAGAAAGGTTGTCATGATGGGCGCACAGGAGCACCAAAAACACTCAAGCCGATTTTCATCTGTAGGAGTTTCATAAAGGGTGAGTTTCAAGGGTGAAGAACTTCATGGGGGGTGACTTGCATTGGAGAAGACTCATCACGAGCAAGGTTTACGAAGGGTAAGTTCCACAGGGGGTAGATACATGGGGGAAGTTTTACGAAGGGTAAGTTCCACAGGGGGTAGATACATGGGGGAAGTTTTACGAAGGGTAAGTTTCACACGGGGTAATGACGAATGAGCAAATAGGAAGGCACGCAAGCAAACAAAACCGCTTGACCGCCCGCCCACCACAATCCACCACCACACCAGGATGCAACTCACTTGCTCCGCCCTGTGCGTCTCCTTCCAGAGCCTCTGCCGTCTCGCCAATGCCCGCGCTGCCGCCCCTCGCACTGCTGCTCCGCTGCATCACCCTCGCCCTCTCCACCGCCTGCCGCTCCGCCTTCTCACGCACTTTATTCCTCTCCCTCCGCGGCGACCGCGACGACCGTGGGCTCTGCTGCCCAATCTCGCCCCCGGCTCCTGCCCCCCAAAACTCACCGCCCCCTGTTGCCAACTCCTCGTCAAACCCACTGCCATCTCCCGCCCCTGCCCCTGCCCCCCCTGCTGTGCTGCTCTGCAACGCCCCAGGAGCAGCCATAGGGGTGGTGGCGCCAGAGGTGTGAGGTGAGCCAGGGGCGCGGGCAGTGTCAGGCGTGCCAGGGCGTAAGGGCGAGGAGAGAGCACCCCATATGCTACTCGTGTCAGCACCCGGGGTGTTAGCTGCAGAGGAACGAGGCCTGGCACTTTGGTCTCCCCTTCCTGGAGTGACAGTGCCCGTGATGCTGCTGCTGTTGCCGCTGCTGCTGCTGCTGTTACTGCTGGCAGCGGTGGGTTGGGGGCTTGATTGACTGCTGCCTAGTCTACCTCCACTCCCTCCTCTCCTGCCTCTGCTTCTCCCTCCGCCGCACCCGCCTCCTCCCTGCCGCCGCTGCTTCTGCTGCGACTGCTCCTGAGCAGGCTGCGCGCTGCCCTCCCTACCCTGCTGCTGCTCTTGCTGCCGCTGCTGCTGCTGCCACTTACTGCGCCTGGGACTAGCCTTAGGGGACTTGTCCTGCGAGTCCTGAGACGACTGGTTGAAGCTCAAGGGCGATAGAGCGCTGCCAGGAGCAGCAGTAGACCCTGCCGCCGCAGCTGCCGCCGCCGCCGCTGCTGCAGCTGCTGAGGCAGTCCTAGCAGCAGGGGATTCCGAGACATGGGAGGCGGAAGAGGAAGAAGAGGAAGAAGACGAGGAGGAGGGATTGGACGGGTCTCCCCGGGAGCAGAAGGCGCGAACAGCCTCGTCCTGTGAGGCGTTACAGAAGGGGCCGAGGGCCGGGGCGAATATGGCGTGGCGCAGCATGCGGGGCAGGCGGGAGGTGACGAGGCGTGTGCGCGTGCCGGGGAACTTTCCGAGAAAGAGCTGGAAGGAGGAGAAGCGGAGCGTGGCGGAGGAGGCGTGGCGGGAGGAGACGAGCGGCGGGCAGCGAGCGACGAGGAAGCCTGAGAGATCGAAGATTGGCATCACGCCTATGCTGCTCGGTCAGAGGGGAGGCGGAGAGAGAAAGAGGGAGAGAGGGGAGAGGGGGAGAGGGAAAGAGGCAGAGAGGCAGAGGCAGAGGAGGAGAGGGGAGAGGGAGTGAGGTAGAGAGACAGGGAGGCAGAGAGAGGCAGGGAGATGTGTAAAGGATGTCATGTCAGGAGAGCATCCACGTGTTGCGGGATGGTGATGATGAATGGAAGGCCATGGGTGCGAGTGTGCGGGGCGGAGGCAGGAGGAAGACCGGGCGAGGGCGGGGTGGGAGGCGCAGGCGGAGGGTGGCGAAGGGGGTGGCGGGGAGGGGGGGAGGAGAGGGAAACCTTGACATGTTTACAAAGTTGGGGGCGGAGGGGGGGGCGGAGGGGAAGGGTGGGGGGGGAAGGAAGAGGAGAAGCGGGGAGGGGAGAGAGAGGAAGAAGAAGAAGAAAAAAGGGGGGAGCGCGGGAGGCAGCGAAACGCACCCTTGGCAGAACCAGCAAGGCTCGTTGGTTGCGGCGGGCGCAGGGCGCAGCAGGCGCGACCAGGCTTGCGAGGGCGAGAGCAGCCCCGAGCCCTTGCATCGCGGGCAGTGCAGGCGATCGCCGTCCAGCCGATCCAACAGCCCGAACGCCGCCTTCGCCGTCGCCTGATGGGCGCAGCACGGTACAGCGCGGTACAGCGCGGCACGGCGAGGGGAGAGAACGGGAAGTGGAAACGGGGCGACGGCAGGCAGGGGAGGGGAGGACGGAGGGTTGTTATGCGTGTACATGTGAGCGAGAGAGAGACGGGAAAGAGAACGAAGGGGTGTAGGGAGCCGGGGAGGGAAAAAAGGGTGGTCAACGGGCGAGTAACTAGAGATAGTGCGACGGGGAGCCGTGGAGAAGGGCAGAGACGAGACGAAGAGACGGAGTAAGGCCGGGAAGGGGGCGGAGGGAGGGGGCAGAGGGACGGATAGCGAGGTGGCCGAAACGCGTTCAGTTCGATCGTCGTCCCAAATGGTTCAAGTGGCTCAAGTGTTCAAGTGGCTCAAGCCATCATACCCATTTCTATGGTTTAGTGATTTCCTTGCTGATGGGGCTATCCTCAAGAACCAGCCACGTGGCCTACCTACACTGTTGATGTCGCCTTAGCCATGGCATGCGACAACATGCGACGACGTGCGACGACATGCCACAACATGCCACCATATGCAACATGCCACGCCACGTCACAGACAACTTCTCTCCGCCATTCGCATCTCTGCCGTTCCGTGGCTGCGAGTAAGTCGCGAGCTTGCTTTGCACCCACTCGCCACCGCCGCCACCGCCGCTCTCTCAAACCCGGGCCTCCATAACCGCCTCACCTCTCCTGCGCTCTAACGGCGCCGCAAGCCACACGGGCGCTTTTACTCGCTTTAACTCGCGTTGACTCGCTTTGATTCGCCTTGACTCGACTCAAGCCTCACCTGCGCGCGGACTTTCACTGCATTCGCAACTCCTCCAATCGCCACTGCGCCGTCCACCACTCCGCGCTGGATCCGCGCGGGAATCTCCTCAGCCCCCCGCTGCAACGGACCCACTAATCCCCGCGCGGTCGATTCCGTGCGCGTCACGGCATCGCGCCACATCAGCTCCCATTCCCCCAACGGGTTACCACCCGGTGCTGCCGCAGACGGCGACAGCGGCGGCTTCGGCGAGCTTCCCGGCGCCGCGGTCGCGGAGAACGGCCGGCGGCCGGCGGAGGGGGAGTTACGTCCGCCTAGACCTCCCCCGAGAGTGGCGCGGGGGAAATTCTTCCCCCGGGATGGGGAGGCGGAGGAGGCAGCGGGGGAAGGCGGGCCGATAGTTATCGTGGTGGAGTGGGCGAGAGAAGGCGACGAGGACATAGAAGCGCCGACGGCCGATCCTGTGGAAGCGAGGCGTCTTAACGGAAGATTGCGCGGACTACGGGAGCGGGAGGGAGACTGCTGGCGATATAATTGCTTCGCGTTAGCACTGCGGATGCCGACGCGGGGAGTGCCTGCATCCCTCCCTGTAAATCCCTCTGCTGCATCGCCGAGCCCTTCCGGTTCCGTGCGAAGCACGAAAACCGGCTCCCCAGCTGTCATTCCCGATGCACAGACGAAATCAGGCGAATCTTTGAAGATTTTGTGCGAAGGCTAAAGTCTTAAACTCGTGGCGTGTGTGATGGCTGCAACTAGCAGCTGAGATCAGGATTAGTCGAAGGCCTATCTTGGGCAGAGGGACAAGCTAGCAATTGTAGTGGGCTGAAATATGAGAAACCTGCCTGACAAGCTAGTGCAGGGAGGCCTCGAGGTTGGATTGGATTGGTTGGAAATAGAGTGACAAGTCACGGTGCTAGCCAATTCTCTAGGTTCCCGTTATGTCTGTCTTGTTCCGTTCCGTCCCGTTCCGTTCCGTTCCCTCCCACCCATCCAGGCAGGCGGCGAAACGCGACGTAACGCAACTCGCTAATTGGTCCCGTCATATCACGACGAACGGCTCACGACTCTCGTCACGATTCACGAAAGCAGCTCGCACGGGCTCCCCTCGATCTTCCGCCTCCGCGCGGAATGGGATCCCTTCCTCGCACACTTCTGAGCGGCAGAGCGGAACCTCTCTGAGGAAACCTTTCCCCCCGACGAGGAAAACTTGGTTTGGTGCAGCACGATTGGGGTGTCGCGGGGGAAGCAAAGACGAGGAGCGCCACAGGATTTTCCACGTGGAAGGTACAAGCATTTTCCCGCCAGTGCCGATGGGTTTGGGGGTTCGCTTCGATGAAACCTGGAATTGAACTTGTTCGAGTCTTGCTGAATAAGGGGGTCTAGCGCGTACATTTACAGTTCATAAACCCTATCAGTTACCACTTTTAGGGTTGTAACACTGCATTTTACAGAAAGGCTGGACAGGATCAGCTTTCGTTCATGAGACGGCACGTCCCCTGCACGTACGTCGAGTCGTCTGACTCACGTCACCTGAAACAGCATGCGCGCGAAAAAGGGTACAGCATTGGGTCCTGCGTACTACAGTAAATTTCGCTCAAACGAGAAATTTTCGCTTGCGCAATGATTCCCACGCGAGGATTGACGAGGGGGCTAGTTACCTTGGTTTCCACACATTCGGAAGACTGTAGAAAATTACGTGGCGGGGGTTGTGTCCGCGCGCTGGAAGGCACAAGCATTTTGGACTAAGCTCGCCCTGGGTTCGTTTCTAGGTACAATGAGTTTTTCTGATCTGAGAGACGTGTGAGGGCTCTAAGTTTCCCAAAACGTACGCGCTGGACACGCCCTAAGACTACAGTGTAGGGAAGTGCAAACTCATAAAACGGGACCTAGCATCAGAAGGATGGAAGGGTCCGCATGACTGACAAATCCTTGGAGCAAGTCGCGATCAACAACCTGTCTGCTGTTATCCCTCAACTGCCAGCGAGTCGCGATCAACGCAGCAATGTGTCGTGGAGGTGGTGAGATTGAGGGCTTAGCTGATTCGGAATGTTCATTCGAGCTTCGGCCAGCTACCGTGGCCGACTATGAGCTCTACGTTTCCTTCTTTCCGGACCTGTCGATGCCTGCGTCACTGCTACTGCCTTTCGACACGTGGCAGCGAGACCTTGCGCCGTCGACGTATTTCCTCGTGAACACTGCCGGAGCCAAGTCGCCTGGCGGTGACGCTGAGCGGAATGGGACGAGTGACGGGGCCCCTCTGGCGTACGTCTTCGTGGAGACGCTGCGGGACTCGGCGTTCATTCGCCATATCGTCGTCCACCGCGGTACGCCGTCGCATTGCTGTGCCTCCTCTGCAGCAGCTGTCCCTGCTGCTGCGCGTATGGTGATACCTCCACTGTTAAGGGCGATGACTTCGGGCAAACACTTATACGTTTCTTGCAGTGTCTCGCCTTTCCTCTCCACTACTCAAGGAACCCCTTATTTTTCTTCTCCCCCACTCCTCCCGTCCCCTCTCCTTTATCCTTCCCTTTAGGCTCTCCCCATCCCGCTTTCCCCCTTCCTTCATCTCCCTCCTGATTCCTTTTTTCTCCCGCACGCCAGAGAAGCGCAGGCAAGGCATGGGGACGAAGCTGATGCGGGCTCTGGCGGCGAGGCTGGCAGCAGCAGGGTGCAGGCAGTGGCGCCTCAACGTCTTCCCCTCCAACACTGCCGCCGTCCGCCTCTACTCCCGCCTCGGCCTCTCGCCGGTTCATTCCGGCAACTGCCTTCTAATTCCTTGGAAAACACTCTTACTGCGTTCTCAGAAGTGCCCTGCTCCGTGTAACGATGAGAAGGCTGGAGCGGCGAGCCTTGAATGTAACGCAGGGCCATGTGCTGGACAGGAGAGGTGCTGTGGGAGTCCAAGGGACGATGGATCAAGCAGCATGTGCTGTGCAGGAAGGTTGTCGGGTGGACAGACAGAGGCAGACGGACAGCTGAGGGATGATTCGGTTAATTGGTCAGGGCTTGAGAGGGTGAGGGTGGACGAGATTGAGGTAGAGGAGGAGGAGCAATTAGAGCGGGGAATGGGGTTACCATTGGGGATGTTACAACGATTTAGGGAACTCACGGGTACCCTGTTAGCCAAGGCTATGGTGACGATGGATGAAGATGCAGGAGGAGGTAGTAACTCAGAATCGAGGGCCCATTGTGAGAAAGGACCTGAAGATTTTGGTGCCGAAGACCCACGCACGAGAGGCACTGACAAGAATGCTTCGAGAGTGATTGGTTTAGCGGTCTACCAGGAGAGCTATGGTGGATTCAAGGTCTTCCGTGCTTCATCTCCTGAAGTAGCTGATAAGTTGCTGGAGTGGTTTGGGGTGCTTGGTGGTAATGATGGCATATGCACACTGCTAGTGGAAGCTTGTGGTGGTGTGGTGCAATGGCTGAAAGCCATGGGTGCAACCACAAGGTACAAAACAGTCCACATGGCTGGAAATGTGCCAAAGATCACATGACATGTGCAAGGGCAGAGGTGGACACATTCATATTACCGCATGTAGTAATTTGGCTTGGGATAAAATGGCATTGTCAGTTCTACAGGGTTGGTAGAGTGTTTGTTGATGTTACTGGATCAATTCCTCGCAATTCTTTTCCATACCGTATCACCGACACGAACCCTCCCCACCCCACCCCACCCCACACAGCATCACATCACAGCTTCAGTGATGAATCTGTGCAATAAAAAAGGATTGGGGGTGTTCCCATCCTATCCGTGCCGACCATCAGCATGCGACGCGTCTCGTTCAACAGAAACCGAAATCTTGGCGAGTTTCGAATTGTTGGACTTTCTTCTGCCCTTCGCTTCCACGCTACCCCTAGCGTCGTCCCTTTCCACAAGTGCGGCACAAGCGGGAAAAGCCGTTCTTTTTTTGTTCGATCTGCCCCGACAGCTGCACCACCAACCAGCCGACATTCAGGACGGGAGACACATCACGGAAGAAATCGTACAGTAGTTGACCACCACCCTTAGTTTCTCAGACTGCCCGTGCAGACGCCGTTTCGAAAAAAGAGGGCTCTTTCCGCATAGAAAAAGAAGAGGGGGGAGAGGAGAACGTATCGTATCGTGCAGCGTGCATGCGACGCGAGTCGGAAAAGAAAACTGGAGTTGTGAGGCGAGGCGACGGGGCGAGCGAGGAAGCAACCACAAGCACCAGCAGCCCTCCACTGCCCAGCCCACGAGGCTCCTTGCGTAAGGCCAGATCAAAGCGAATTCAGTTATTAAACAGGCGTTCGTTTTGGTCGTTTGACTGTTAATCTGCTTCTTGGAGTAGCTCCAGCCACAGCCGCACTGCAACCGCTACCAGGATCTGTGTCTGTTATCCCCTCGACGTTTCACCCAGAGTGGCGACAACGACGACGAAAGTCTGCCGCCGCGCCAACGCCGAGCTACACGAAAATTTTCGAGTCTCGAGCGAAGAGAGCGCTGTAACCCAGACGTTTTGCACAAACGGTCGTTTCACAAGGTAGCTCGTATTAGCACCGCAGCTATGGCGTCGACGGATTGCAAAAATAGTTTAGCGAGCAGTCAGAGAAACTCTTTTTCTACCACCTACCACACGTCTCTAGCCCAACGAATGGTGTCCTCGCTCCCGCCCAGCGATCCCCCCGTCTTTTGCCAAACCGCGCTCCACCCCGCCACAATCCCCTCCACCGCACTCTTCTCCGTCGAACCTCGCGCCGACGCTAGGGCTACTTCCGCCAGCATCTTTCCCCGTAGTCAATCCGCCGCCTCCGCCGACACCCCCGCCTCTGGGTACTCCGGAGTGCATCACCGCATCATCCGCACTTCCCCGGTCAACTCGTCAGCTCAGCACCCGGCGGTTGCCGCCAGCAGAGGAGAGGTGTTTTCGCAGCGCGCGCGCGCCGCCTGCAGCGGGCGCGCAGCGCTGCAGATGCCGCGCGGAGCGAGCGTCGGCGGGGGGGGAAGCGGCGGGGTGGGGAGCGGCGGAAGCGGCGGCGATGGGCAATGGCTTGCGCGGCTCCGCAAATGGGAGGAGGAGACGTGCCGCGCCAGAGGGCGCCCCATGCGCAGTGCGCTCGCCGCCGGAAACCCCGCCTCTTCCGCAAGCGCGCGGAAGTTGCGGTGGCAGCGGAGCGTCAGCGAAGGGGGCGCAGTTTCCGCCGATGCTGCTGCTGCTGCTGCTGCTGGTGATGAAATTCTTGCCATGGCGTGCGGTAACGAGTCCGAGGAGGGAGAGGACGAACATGAACATGAGTATGAGCATGAGAATGCGAACGAGGATGAGGATTCCGGAGATGGCGACGGCGCAGTGCTCATGGGCGAGGTGGTGGACAGTCCCACGGAACCGGCGCCCGCGCCCGCGCCGTATCTCAACGTCACGTTCGGAGCAGCAGCAGCACTCGCCAACCGCAGCCCCGGCCCCTGCTTCGTCCCTGGGCCAAGCTTGGGCATTGACGCGGGGAGCGGCGGCGGCACGTCGGGGTGCGGTATGCGCGCGCCGCAGCCCGCGATGGCGTCTCTCGCGCAGCACTCCGCGATGCAGCCGCCCGTCGCGTTGTACCCAGGGGGACAATGGTCGCAGCAGGGGCAGGGGCAGGGGCAGGGGCAGGGGCAGGGGCAGACATGGCAGGAGCAGCAAGCAGCGGCGCGGCAGCTCCCCCCGCGTCTGCTCCATCGCTGCCAATCTGTGCCCGTGGAGTCTCCCGGTTGCCCCCGTCGCTCACCCCCGCCCCCACACGCCCCCGTCCGCCCCGCCACCTCCCCCAAACCCGCCGTGCGCGCCCCGCACCGCCGCCCTCCGCCTGTGCTGCTCCCTCCCGCGACCCCCGCTGACAACATCCCCCTTGCTGCGCCCGTCGCTTCCCCCCTTGCTGCGCGCGTCGCCTCCCCTCTTGCTGCGGCCGTTGCCTCCCCCTCCCCCCTTGCGCCCGGCTCCGCGCCCCTCGCGGGGCAACGGCACTCGGCACTGCGCCCAGAATCCGCGGAGAGGGCAGCGCGGCGCAGACCCGCGTCCGCACGAGCGAGGGGCCAGGCGGGAACAGAGGCATCCAGCAGGGATGATGAGAGCAGCGGTGTCAGCGCAAGCACCGCTCTTGAGACTGCTGCTCCTGCAGCTGCTGTTGCCACTCCAAGGGCTCCGCCTTCCTCCCCGGTGCCAGTGGCCGAACGAGCAGCAGCAGCAACAGCAGCAGCAGCAGGACCATCAGCAGGTGGTGGTGGGGGCGCATCCAGCAGGGGGAATCTGAGCCATGCTGTGCAGTCATCCAGGGGTCACCATCTCTCGCCCCTCTCATCGTCCTCTCCACCGCCCCATGCGCACCATCCCTCGTCGTCCCTCCCGCATGCCAACCACGCGTCTTGCCACTCTGTTGCAGTTACCACCTCTGGTGCTCAATCCGCCCGTCCTTCATCCGCTGCTCCCACCACTGGAAGTAGCAGCACTGCCAGTGCTAATGCCAGTGCCAGCGCCAGTGTCAGTGCCAGTGTCAGAAGCACAAATCGCCGGAGAAATGACAGCATTGGCAGCAGCGGGAGCAGCAGCAGCAGCAGGACAGGTTCATTGCACATGGACATGCTTGCGTCACCGGCTGTTCCCAGCCCTCGCATGCCCCTCGCCTGCTTCCCTCGCTCCGTTTCCGCCTCTGCTGGTGAACCCTCTCCATCTGCTGCTGCTGCTGCTTGTAACACTGCGGGTGCTGCTGTTGCTGCTGGTGGTGCTGGTAGCAACATGCACTCCCTCATCAATCATGCTGCATCATCGGCTGTGGCAGGAGGAGCAGGGAGGACCCACTATCGACCCATGTACCCTCGCTCCTCCTCCACTCCCACCACTGCCGCCGCCACCCATACCAACCGCACCCGAATCAGCGTTAAGGTCATGGCCATGCCATTAGAGCATGTGCACGCTACTGAGTCTCTTGCTGGTGGCGGTACTGCTGCTTCTGGTGATGTTAAGGGTTCTGGAAGCAGTACTACCAGTGTGGGGGCTGCATCTTTGTCCCCCCAACAGCAGCGAGCGGAGGGAGCAGGAGCAGGAGGTAGCAGTGCAGGCAGCAGTGCAGGCAGTAAGGGATGGGCGCAAAGGAGAGGTGATGCGCTCATGGCTCATAGTCTCCAGCAACAGAGTGCTGAGCAGGAAGCAAGGAGCCACAGGCAGCAGAGGGAGAAGCCCAAGGTTGTTACCTCTGCTGCTGCTGCTTCTGCTGGTGCTGGTTCCTTATCTGCTGCTGGTGGTGTTGCTGGTAAGGCCTCTGTGAGAGACAGCAGCAATAGGGGCAGCAACAACAGCACTGGCAGCAGCAGCAAAAACACCAACAGCAAGAGCAGCAGCAAGAGCAGTGCAAGTAAAATGGCATTGAGGAAGGAAAATACGGAGGGCACAGACAGCAGCAGCAGCGGGCATAAGGTGGCGGCAAGAAAAGACAAGTCTCAGAGCACTGACAGCAGCAGTAGCAGCAGCAGCAGTAGCAGCAGCAGTAGCAGCAGCAGCAGCAGCAGCAGCAGCAGCAGCAGCATGGGCAGTCAGGTTGGTGCTGTGAGCAGGCAGGCAAACTCCAGCTCCAAGGTCAGAAGCTTGAGGAGACAGGTGTCTCCTAGCATCAATGTTGGTGCTGGTGCTGTGGCTGCCGCTGTGGCTGCTGCACCTGTACAGAGAGTGTACGTGTAGGCTGGAGTGGCAGCCGAGACTGTAACTCCCAAAGAATTTGTTCAAAGCTATAACAATTGCAGTTTTCCATACCTGTATCGTTTCAATATGATAGGCCAAACACAATACATGACACTAAGCACTCTCTAGCTCAGAGCAGGCGGTACTGCACTATACAAGGAACAGACAAGACAAGAGCTCTCGCACACACAAAAGCAAACCCGATTACAAGCAGCTAGAGTGGCTCCCTTCCAACAAACACACAAGAGGAGGTGGTGATGGTGGTGGTGCGTGGGGTGGGGACTATGGGGACTAAACTACAGAGCAGCAGCCGATGCAGCCAGCCACACCACACCACTAGAAAGCAACCCGATTCACTGCTAGAAGCAGCGGCTGGTCAATGCAAGCGAAAGCGGGAGCAGCAGTGGAGCGGAGCAGCGGTTGCAGCAATGCACACCGCATGCTGCCAACGCTTGTGCTCGGACCAGCCAGCCACACAGGTACGCAGGACCGCTGTGCTGCAGATTATCCCCAACCTAGAGCAAGAAGCCAAGCCACGAGGAGAGAACTAGGAGGAGCACGATGCAGAGCCATGGGCTGGGCTGGGCTACTGTATATCGGTGGAAGAATACCGTAGGCAAAGCACTAGATTGATACAGCGTGGTGATGAGAGGCGTTGTGACGAGAGGCGTTGTGATGAGAGGCGAGCGAGGAGTGGGGCCGAATGGTAGGGGGAGGGATTCAGGCAGGCGGGGCGGCAGGGTCGACTTCAGAGAATGCGGCGGTGCTTGAGGTAAGCAAGCATGGCCAGGAAGAGCAACACGCCGCCAAACACTATGCCGAATGTGGCTGTCCAGAAGGCAAGCTGTGCCCGAGAGCAGGGCAGGCAGGCAGGCAGGCAGGCAGGCATGCACGTGGGAGAGACGAGGGGATGGGGAGGAGGGGTTGAGGACGTGATGTGAGTCAGAGGATGCGGCGGTGCTTGAGGTAAGCAAACATGCCCAGGAAGATTGAGATGCCGCCAAACACTATGCAGAATGTGGCTGTCCAGAAGGCCGGCTGTGCCCGAGGATATATACGGGGTCGAGCATGGGAAGGCGGGAGGGTAGGGAGAGAGAAGGGGAATTAAGGGGAGGCGATGGGGTTGGGAGGCGTTGCGAAGGTGGGAGAAGGGGAGTGGAGGTGCATCAGGAGATCACACAGGATGGAAAGCATTTTAAACAGGCAGGCAACAGGAAGAGTAAGCAAAGCGAAGGGGGCGTGGGAGGGTGGCAGGAAGGAGTGGGAGGGATGGAGGGCGGGCGGGCGGGCAAGGTGCTGGAAGAAAAAGGCTTACCGCGCTCTCCTCGAGGCGATTGCGCAGGTTCATGCCAAAGATACCTGCTCATGCATGCGGCGCGGATGAAAGGGACGACAAGTGTGTGGAGAGGGTGGGTGGGGAGGGGCGGGAAGGGGAATGGGGAATTGGGAGGATTGGAAAAGACGGGAGAGGAGGAGAAGGGTCATGAGAACGGATGCGGCATGTGCTCAGGAAAGAGGGTGGGGAGCAGCGGACAAGGGCGGGTGGGGAGAATGGAGCGGAGGAGGAAGGGAGGTGGGTGGGTGGGTGGGTGGGTGGGCGCTGTATGGTGCAGGTCCCACAGTGCTGGGTATTGTGGAGAATGAACTGGGTCTCAGTTCAGGAGGATGAATTTGGAGAGTAATCGGTATCAACCTACTTACAACAGTTAGGCCCCGCCCCACAGTGCAGGGGCAGGGGCAGGGGCAGGGGCAGGGGCAGATGCTGGGGATGGGTGTGGTGAGGATTGAGCGTGCAAGGGGAGGCAATGAGTGCCGTCAGCCGTTAAGCGTGCACGGCGTGCATGCCGTGCAGTGCCCTCAGACGTCTCGTCAGGCATGAGTGTACGGCACGCACGCACGCACGCACCTGCGATGAGTGCTCCCAACGCTGCAGCGAAGGTGCCCACCTGCAGCAGCAGCTCCAACCGCCCCACCTCCAAGCGCCGTGAACTGCACGGGGGTGAGAGAGGAGAGACAGGGGGGAGGAAATCGAAGGGGAGGAGGGGGTGAGACAGGAGAAGAGGGGAGACAGGGGGAAGAGGGAAAGACAGAGGGAAGGGGGGAAGACAGGGGGTCAGGTTGGGGAAGACAGGGGGTCAGGTTGGGGGAAAGGACGACGGGGGCAGGGGGGCTGGCAGGGTGTAGGAAAAGGTTGGTTGAAAGGTGACTGGTGTGGCATGTGGAAGAGGAGTGAGTGGCTGTGGTGATAGGATTGACAGCGCAGCACGGGGCAGGGCAGGGCAGAGCAGGGAGCGGCGGGGAGTGGTAGCGAGCGGTAGCGAGCGGCAGCGAGCGGCATGGAGCGGCGGGGAGCGGTGGGGAGCGGCGGGGAGGTGCAGGTGTGGGCGGGGCGGGGCGGGGCAGACCTGAGGTTGACGGCGATGGAGTCCTCCATCTCCTTGGCCGAGTCCAGTAGCTTCTCCGACTGCCCGTGGCACGACTCACACCTGATGGCACACAACACGGGGGGCGCACAGCGCACAGGGCACACGGAAATGGTGAAGGGAGCACAAGCAAGGCAGAAAGGATGCGACAACAAGAATGAAAATATCACGAGGGCACCAGCAACAGCAGAAACAGCACAGGAGAGAAGAAACAGCAGCAGCATACCTCTGTAGATAGTACTCAAACACCATCTCTATCTCCTGCTCCTCCTCTGCCACCACCGGCCAAGCACACACGCGGGCACATGGGACAGGGAATAGGGATGGCACAGAGGGAAGGAACGGGTGGGATACGGCGGAGGGGAGAGGTGAGGGCAGCGGTTAGGAAGGATGGCCGACAGGAGGCGCACTGCAGAGGGCCGACCAAGCGCAACAAAGTGCTAATGGGTTGGAATGGATTGGAGCGGGGAGGATCGCGAGAGGCAGCCCGAGCAAAAATCCAGCAGCTACCGCCACTCTCCCGGGCTTCCCCACCGTTCGCTGCAATCCCACCTCCTCTCCACCCCCTCCTTCTCACCTCCTCCCTCCCTTCCCTTCTCCCCTTTTCCCATCAACCCATGCCCACCTTCTGCCAGCAGAGTATCAGCAGCAGTGGGGCACTCGAAGGCCCCATCCTTGTTCACCCGGCACTGCCTATCAATAGCCGTGATGCGCCTGAGCTCGTTGGTGTGTTCCAGCAGCTCCAGCAGCATCTGCCTCCTACCACCCCACCACGCCCTCTCCCGCTCCCCCCTTTCCACCCACCCACCCACCAACCACCACCCAACCACGCACCTTCAGCCAGCAGAGTGTCAGCAGCGGTGGGGCACTCGAACGCGCCGTCCTTATTAACCCGGCACTGCCTATCAATAGCCGTGATGCGCCTGAGCTCATTGGTGTGTTCCAGCAGCTCCAGCAGCATCTGCCTCAGCGCGCCCGCCTTGGACCCCAGCTCCACCAGCGCCTGCTTGCTCAGCCGCAGCTCCTCCAGGTTATCGGCTGTCAGGCGGTTGGGGAGGACCTCGAGGAGGGACAGCACGCGCGGTTCGATATCCATGAGAGCGGATTCCAGGCGCTGGGTGCGGGAGATGAGGGCTGATTCCACCACCTGAGGGTGAGGGCGGAGGGGAAGGGTTAGGTGGGGTAGGGAGGTTGGGTTAAGTGGGACGGGTGAGGTGGGGTGGGGTGGGGCGGGGGGGGGGGAGGGGGGGTGGGGGGTGGGGTGTGGGGAGTGGAATCTGACTGACTGACTGACCGACCGACCGACTGACTGACTGACCGACTGACTGACTGACTGACCGACCGACTGACTGACTGACCGACTGACTGACTGACGGACCAATTGACTGACTGACGGACCAATAAACTGACGGAAGGACCAATTGACTGACCTCGAGTTCAAAGGGCACGGCGGGCCCGCCACTGATGGACACGTCTGCATCGAGGCGCAGGCGCTCCAGCAGCACCTCCACGAACGACTGCGCTCCCACACTGCCACACGGCCGGGGGGGGAGGGGGAGAGAGGCGGGGCAGTTGGGACCGGTGGGGCGGGTGGAAAGGGAAGGCAGCTTAGAGAGTAAACTGTGCATCGAGGCGCAGGCGCTCCAGCAACACCTCCACGAACGACTGCGCTCCCACACTGGCACACGGCCGGGGGAGAGGAGGGGGGAGTGGGGAGGGTGGGGGGAGAAGAAGGGAAGACAGGGGGAAGATAGCGGGGGGAGGTTGGAGATTCAGTGCGGGCGCGGAGGGAGGCGTTTTGGGAGGCGTTTCGGAAAGACGAGGGTGGGAGGGAGAGGCGAGAGTGGGAGAGAGGAGAGGAGAGGCGCAGGCACAGGTACAGGTACAGAGAGTGTGGCGGCTTACCTGTTGTAGTCGAATATGAGGACGGTGTGGGCGGTGGAGATGGCTCGCAGTGACCCCAGGTTCAGCAGTATGGCGCTGTCGCGCACCTGGTGGCGCGGGGAGAGGGGCAGGGTGAGTGGGAGCAGGAGGGGGAGGGGGAGGGGGAGGGGGAGGGGAGGGGGTGAGGGTGAGGCTTGTGGAGAGGGAGGGAGAAGAAGAGGGGGGGTGGGGGTGGGGGGGGTGGGAGGTGAGAGAGCGTACGGCTTCGAATGCAGAAAAAGCGCGTGAACACATGGGTGGTGGAAAAGTAAAGAAGGAATGCACGGGTGGGAAGTAGGGGGAGGCGGATGCGGGGAGATGGGGGAGATGGGGGAGAGCGGGCATGGAGGGAGAACGCACGAGGATGGCGGGCATGGAGTTGGTGACCCAGAGCGAGGGGTCTATGCGCCGCACGTCCCGCTGGGTCAGCCCTGCAGCACGCACACGCACACGCACGGGCATGGGGCGCAGGGGGAAGGGGGAAGGGGGAAGGGGGCAGGGGGCAGAAAACAGTTGGGAGAGGGGAGGAAGGAGGGGGGAGGGGCAGAGGGGAGGGATAAGGAAGTGGCGTTTGGTGCATGCGCATGGTGCGTGGTGTGTGGTGTGGGTGTGTGGTTGAGCGGCGAGCAGCGAGGCTGGAAGCAAACTGATGCTAACTGCAGATTGCATGCAGTGCAGCATTAGATCCTTGTGGCCGTGCGTGTGTGCTACGTCTTTAGACCATCCCATCCCATCCCACCCCACCCCACCCCACCCCACCCCACCCCACCCCACCCCACCCCATCCCATCCCACCCCATTCCATCCCACTCCATCGTACCACTGAGCTTCAGCAGCTGTCGTCGGCTCACTTCCCGTTGCCACACGTCACCGCGTCCGTTCACCTCCAGCACCTGCCACGCCACTCCACGCCACTCCACGCCACTCCATGCCACACAATGCCACACAATGCCACACAATGCCACACAATGCCACACAATGCCACACAATGCCACACAATGCCACACAATGCCACACAATGCCACACAATGCCACACAATGCCACACAATGCCACACAATGCCACACAATGCCACACAATGCCACACAATGCCACACAATGCCACACAATGCCACACAATGCCACACAATGCCACACAATGCCACACAATGCCACACAATGCCACACAATGCCACACAATGCCACACAATGCCACACAATGCCACACAATGCCACACAATGCCACACAATGCCACACAATGCCACACAATGCCACACAATGCCACAAAATGCCGTACAGTGCCCCGAATAATGCCAGGGTACAGGGATCAAGCAGCCGTTCCCGAGCTGGTAAGAACACAACGGCGTGCCATGTGATGCCGCATAGTTTGCCGCACACAGTCGGGAACAACAGCACGACAGCACGACAGCACGAGAAACGGTACACAGATTCCCACGCGCGCACGCACCCACCCGCCCGCCCACCCACCCGCCCGCCCACCCACCCACCCACCCATCCACGCGCGCACGCACCCACCCATCCACGCGCGCACCCACGCGCACCCGCGCGCGCACCCACGCGCGCACTAGCGCACCTGGTAGACGGGTTCCTTGGCCAGTGTCATCAGCTCCTGCTGCAGCGCCGGTCGCGCCGCCGCAGCGGACGCCGCCTCCCACCACGTGCGCCCCAGCGCCACCGACCCGCTCCGCTCATCCTCGCCGTCGCGACCGCTGCTGCTGCTGGTGGTGCTGCTGGTGGTGGTGCTGCTGCTACTTACACTGCTAGCTCTCCCACTGCCACCGCCGCCGCCGCCGCCGCCGCCGCCGCCGCCGCTGCTGCTGCTGCTAGTCGCCTCGCTTTCCTCTGTAGCGGCACTCGAGCCGCCGCTGCCGTCAGCTTCGCTCGGTGCAACGACTCCCAGCCGCCCATTCACCACCTGCCCGTTCAACTGCCCGGAAACCACCTGATCCTTCACTCTCTGCTTGTTACCCTGCCCGTTCACAGCCTGCCCTTCCGCTGCAGTAGCTTTCTGACCGAGCTTCTCCAAGACCCGCTTCCCCTCGTCGTCAATATGCCAGATCTCGTATTCCTGCGGGCTATGCCGGTAGTGAGGCTCGTCGCCGCCACCAGGCACCACCTTCTTGATCTCGTCAATCACGGGTCGCTCGCTAAACGGGCCGCCGTTGCCGCCGCCGCCCGTCCCGCCCGTCCCTCCTGAAACGGCGGCCTTGCCTTTCGCCAGGCGGCTTTTTTTCTTGCCCACAGCGCCCCGGGAATGGCCAGCGGAGCCAACAGACGTGGCTGACGTGGCAGGCGCGGTTGACGTGGACGGCGGAGGAGGAGCGGCAGCAGCAGAGGCAGTACCCGCAGCTTGCGCCGACGAGTCCGGTCGTGGCGGTTCTGCTAATGAGGGCGACGCGGGTGAAGGGCTGGCAGCGGCGCTTGCGGCGGCAGACGCGGCGAGATGGAGCGTGTCGAGCGTCGCGCGAGGGCTGGGAATGACAACGGAGTGAAAGACGCTGTCCTCGTCATCCTCGCCGTCCACGCTGAAAACGCCGCCGTCCGGATACTCGACCCTGCCGCGGCTCGGACTAAGCGCCCTGCCTCCGCCGCCAGTTGCGGCGCTGCTAGTGCGCCGCCTTCCGCCGGCTTCGCTGGGTTTCGGTCGGCCCCACAAGATCTTGGCGCGCGCGGACCGTCGCCTTGCGGAGTCCGCCGCTCCCGCAATGGCGGAATCACGGCGTGTATGGGGCGTCGCGCGCTTTCCGCCGTCGTGATGCGCGGCACGGAGAACCCAGACGGGTCTAAGACTCCGAGAACGAGAAAACGAACCATCTAGCCTACGGCACGGTTCGTATGTGAGAGCGACGCAACTCCTGCTCGCTAAACAAGACGCCTCCATTCCAAGAGAAACCACCAGGGCAGTGACCGGTAAGGCGATGCGCTCCTAAAAGGCAGCGGACTGTTGCAATTGGATAGGGTTACCACCACAAAAGACGGCCGTTGATCAATAGAAACTTCGAGAACGCAAGGTCCGATGACGGGGATACGCCAATCTTGAAAAGAAGACAGTGGCGGCGGTTCTAGGCGCACCTGCTTGCGTGCCTATCGTTGTGGAAACGGGAAGGGATGGCAATGGAAAGGCTAGAGCGACGGCTGGGTGGGAAGGAAAAACTAAACTGTGCCACCGTGTGAGGCCGATGCACCAATGGGGAAGGCTGCTTGTCGAACGAACTAGCAGTGCTGTACGCAGCTTTCCGACTAAGGGCTGTTGTGTGGTGCAGTTCTTTTGGGTGGAACGGGCATTTTCACTCCCTAAGCTCGATATTTTTTGGCAGGAATTGGGGTGGTTTCAAAATGGCTGTATGCGATAAATCGTGGTTTCCTCAAACATTGAGCAACTCTCCCGTGGTTGTGGTAGTTGCGCAGCCCAATCTGACTCCGACTTTTGTGGGACACGGGCAGCCGCACCCAAATCTTCTTTGAGGCAAACCCGAAGGGCCACTAGAGGCTTCCTGTCGCCACGCCAGTTCGCGGGCCTACGTGGCATCCTAAAGCCCACAGAGATTTCTACCAATTGCCAAGGGCTTGGTATTGCCGCGCCGAGTCATAACCGAGTCACGTCCAATTCGAGATGGTGAAAGCATGCTGCCACGATGTCTGCCACAAGATGCCCAACCCCTGCACGCGAATTTGCCCTGCCCGCGATGGAAACTCTGCACCCGTGTATTAGGGTACCAGCCAGTTGCACCCCATTTACAAGCACCTCGAGCAATACGAACCACAAAAACCGAAGTTTGACAGAAGAGACCCATGTCAAACGGTCAACAGCGAGTTACAAAATCTTTTAAAAGCCCTTTTTGCTAAGTGCGAATTGACGAAAGCTTAGCGAAATGCAAGAATCACTTAAAGCCCAAGACCTGAATTACTCAACGCAGGTCAACGGAAAAAAATAGGTTCGGAAGGCAACCAGACAGAGGTTCGGTTGGGGTGCGAAGCACTTTCACTCGCGAAACCAATTTGCGACAAAAGTTTCTCGCGTACAAGAATACGAGTGCTAGGTGGGGTCCTTCCCACAACCTGAAAAGGGCGTAGATCCCAAACTGTGCACAGTCTGAGATAGCACGCAGATAACTAGGCAGGGAGCGTACCTGTAGAGATAGCGGGGAATCAGAGGCGCCTTACGAATGTGTGTGGCGCGGATTTCGATGACGACGCGCAAAGATAGTGTTCGTTGGTGTCGAAATGCAGGTTTAGTGCAACTGATGCGTATACTCGCACGGAATATCGTAGCGTGACCCTTCGCCAAAGCATGAACCTCTCCTTGCCGTCGTTTTCCTTTCCCAAGGCCCCACGATTTCAATCTCTTTCGCCATCGCTTCCCCAGCTCGTCGCCTTCAAGACCTCCTTCCGATGCCTTCGCGACCCCAGCCCGTCGCCTTCGCTCCGCCCGTTGCCCTCGCTTTCCACGCCTGTCGCCTTCACTTCCCCTCCCCCGTCGCCTTCTCTTTCCCCCGACCCCGTCGCGCTCAATTCCCCCTCCCGTCGCTTTTCCCGCCCGTCGCCTTCGCTTCTCCCGAACGGCGCCTTCCGTTCCCCCGCCCGTCGCACTCGCTTCCCCCGCCCGTCGCTCTCGCTTCCCCCGCTCGTCGCACACCGCGCCAGTCGCACACGCTTCCCGCCCGTCGCACTCGCTTCCCGCCAGTCGCACTCACTTCCCGCCCGTCGCCTTCACTACCCCTCCCATTGCCGTTCACTCTCTCCAGCTCACGCTCTGCCCTCCACTCACTCTCTTCCCCACCCTTCACTCTCTTCTCTCATGTACACTCCCTTTCCCCCTGTTCTCACTCCTCTCTTTCCCCCTCGCCTCACTCTCTACCCCCCTGCTCAATCCCTTCCCCCCTCGATCTCTTTCCCCTACTCACGATCTACCCCCCTGCTCAATCCCTTCCCCCCTCGATCTCTTTCCCCTACTCACGATCTACCCCCCTGCTCAATCCCTCCCCCCCTCGATCTCTTTCCCCTACTCACGATCTACCCCCCTGCTCAATCCCTCCCCCCCTCAATCTCTTTCCGCTGCTCACTCTCTCACTCTCTTCCCCCCTGCTTACTCTCTCCCCCCCTGCTCACTCTCTCCCCTCCTGCTCACTCTCTCCCCCCTGCTCACTCTCTCCCCCTCTGCTCACTCTCTCCCCCTCTGCTCACTCTGCGCCCCTGCTCACTCTCTTCCCCCCTGCTCACTCCCTCCCCCCCCGCTCACTCTCTCCCCCCCTGCTCACTCTTTCCCCCTCTGCTCACTCTCTCCCTCTGGACTCACCCGCCTTTCCTCCCTGTTTACTCTCGATTCCCCTTCGTTTAACCTTTTTTCCCCACACTACTCTTATTTCCCCTGTTCAGACCCCTCGGTTTCCCCTGCTTACTGGCTTTCCTCCCTGCTCACCCCCTTCTCCCCCCTGCTCACTCTCTTTCCCCTTTTGCTCACCCCTCTGCCCCGTCCACATCCAACCCTCGCTTATCTGCCATACCCCCTCTTCCCTTCCCGTTCTATCACGGAACCATGCTTGAACAGGTTACAGGTGCCCAGCACCATGAGTCCCAACAGGAATGTGATGAATGTGTTCCTGTAGTCTATTGATGACAACTTTTACATAAACAATATTATGCTTTGTTCCACTTCTTTGTAGTGGCCATGTGCATGGCTGCTCTGAAGCAGAGAAGGTTTTATTAATAAAAGCATAAGCGTCAATACATGGCATGGCAACCTATTTGTCATACCACTATCATCAAACAACGAACACCTCACATCTGGGTGCATGGCAGACCTGCACAAACACGAACCACAAAATTTTGTGTGTCATATGTTGGAGCAGCTGGGAAGGAGACCGTACAAAACAATAACAATCAAAGGGCAATCCCCTTGAATATACAAACAGGCTAGGAGTGTACAGGCTTGGAAGGGAAAGGGTGGATGGGAGGATGTGAGAAATTCGAGGGAGTAGGCAAGTGGGTCAGACAGAAAGGCGGAGGATAGGAATATCGGAAGATGGCAGCTTGAAAAAAAGGGCAGCAGGGTGGAGAGGCAGGTGTCAAATGTTGTAGCCTATAGTGAGGTTTGTCTTAGGGGGTACAAAACTTAGGGTTAGCTATATGTACCCCAACCAACATCAATGCATCATCCATTCTTCATTCTGTCACGGTATCAGTTAGGTTAGGATCCTGTGGGATCCCGTTCCTCCGTTCTCCGTTCGAGCCTCCCGAGCCTGATCCTAGCTCTCATTCGTCCCGGTTCCGTTGTTACCGCGCGTAGTGCCGAGCCTAGCGCCAATCCTAGCACACGTCCGCGCCACCCGTTCCCCTCGTTCCGTAGCGCCCGCCCTTACCCCCCGTCGCGTCGCGTTCCCCCCCCACGTCGTGTCGCGCCCGTTCCCCCCGTCGCGTCGCCGCCCATTCCCCCCGTCGCGTCGCGCCTTTTCCCCCCGTTGCCCGCCCTTTCCCCCTCGTCGCGTCCCTTTCCCCCCGTCGCGTCCTGCCCGCCCTTTCCCCCTCGTCGCGTCCCTTTCCCCCCGTCGCGTCCTCCCCGCCCTTTCCCCCTCGTCGCGTCCCTTTCCCCCCGTCGCGTCCTCCCCGCCCTTCCCCCCTCGTCGCGTCCCTTTCCCCCCGTCGCGTCCCGCCCGTCCTTTCCCCCCGTTGGGTCCCTTTCCCCCCGTCGCGTCCCGCCCGTCCTTTACCTCCGTCACGGCCCGCCCCTTCCCCTCCTGTAGCGGCCCGCCCTTTCCCCTGTAGCGGCCCGCCCTTTCCCCTGTAGCGGCTCGCCCCTTTCCCCAGCCCGTCGTCTTAACCCTAGCCTGCTCTTCCGCTGCCACTGTATCCCTAGCGTTAGTTCTCGCTATGGCGACTCCGCGTGTGCTTCGTTTCGACGCTGACGGTAGACCTCTTGATTTTTCCGTCTGGCTTCTTCGTGCTCGCCGTCTGTTAGAGAGTCAAGTCCAGGCAGGTGAGACCCTCTGAGCGCACGCTACTGGTGCCCTGCATCGCGCTCAGCAGCCTCCTCCCTGAGTCTGAGGAGGTTCACTTCACTCAGGTTCGCACCGCTGCTGAGTACCTCACTGCGATTAAGGCCCGCTACTCTTCTCCCGCTGCTGTCTCTCTTGGCCGCCTGTTCCTCCCGTTCCTGTTTCCTGACCTAGCGTCTTTTGAGCGCTCTGCTGACTTGATCGCTCACCTCCGCTCGCTCGACGCTAGTTACCGCGCTGCTTGCACTGAGGCACAGCTTGCACTGCTTCCTCCCCCTATGGCGATTACTATCTATTTCATCGCCACTAGCCTCCCTGACCGCCTTGCCTCCGTTCGCGACGCGCTTCTGCTGAAGCACCCTAGTGAGCTCACCATCGATGTCCTTGAGTCTACACTCAAGGACGTCGAGAGCAACCTTCGCTCGGTAGCCGCTGCCTCTGGTGCTGTGCCCCCCCCACTCTTCCACGGGTGCACAGTCCCGCAGTTACCCACCTTTACTGCCTCACTTGCCACTGCCGCTACTGACGCGACTGCAGCTGCTGTTACGACTGCGTCGCGGTCCCGCGGTAGGAGTGGCAAGAAAGGCGGTTCTGGTGGTGGTAGTGGAGGTGGAGGCGGAGGTAGTGGAGGTGGCGTTGCGCCTGGCAGCGGTGGAGGTTCAGGGCCTGGAGAGGCGCCTCGTGCAGTGACTGGTGACTCCACTGCGCCTGCTAGTGGTGGCGACGCCCGAGTTCGTCAGTCGCCTCCTGTACTTCCTGCCCCGGTTGGTGGAGCAGCGGCGTGGTACCAGGCTCAGCGTCAGCAGCAGCTTCTGCAGCACCAGCAGCCCCTCTCCTCCCAGCAGCCTCAGCAGCAGCAGCGGCAGCAGCTGGCTCCAGGGTCGGGGCT